CGACACACACACACACACACACACACACACACACACACACACACACACACACACACAACCCATACTATTCTCATAGAAACCATTTGGCATCACCAGTAGGCGCTAGTCCAACCCAAATCGGGAATTCCTGCAGAGGGCTCCTCCAATCCGAGCTCAGAGCTGGCCGAGACAGGCACATTAAGCAAACGCCTCATCATCATCCAGGCCACATTGTATAGTGCACGGGTTCTCCCTCTTGACAGGGCGGCAGAACGGCTTCCTACCTGCTACCTGCGTCGGGATGCAAGAAGACCCCGTACCGGAATACAGTTCATTCGTCTCTTGTGATTTCCTTGTTCCTTGTCGCACACCCATACGCACACACAGAGTCGGAGGATTTTCCGGGAAGTGCGCACCCTCTTTTCCGCTATTTCTTTCCCGGATGCCCACCTCTACACACCACCACCCCTCTCGCTCTTACTCCGGCTACGTACTCTTACTATAATCGTCACCGCAGGGGGGGTTTCATGCCAAAGTCTAATCAGATTGTGGCTCCCACATGGTCATCTGGGATAACGCGAGACCCCAAGGGCGCATGGATACTGTACCTCACTCCGGTACAATTTTTAGTCCAGCACGTGCCGTTTCAAGACTATGGATGCTCTAGAAGCCTATTACATCTCTAGTCATTCAACGGACCCAAAGGAAGTAAAATGGTACACGAAAGGAAAAAAGGAGATAAAGATACACGATCGTGGTCTCGAGAGAATTCGATACTACGGGCGGCTGTCCAACAACCGCACTTGCCAATGGCACCAAGTAAAGTTGATAATCATGACCAGTGACACAACTATTGCTATATCCACCACACAGGTCTGGCCTTTTTGCTCAATCTTTTCTTCAAAGGGGGCTCCACGCGCAGATCATATGACCTACTGGTCTTGACTCGTCAGTTCTGAGTGATGCGGCGAGAGGCCTCGCTCTGTGTATCCTTTTCGAATCCAAAGTTTTTTGTTTAAAAAAAAAAAGGGAATGCAGGGTCCTTAGTCCAGTCACACATTCAATTATATGCATATATTTGCAGGGTGGTGGGATGGGAAATGGAGAAGAGGAGGCTAGAATCTCTTTGTTCCATCGACATGTGGCGCATGTCCGGGCCTCGACCAACACGATCAGGGTGGTCAGAACACTGATCGACTGACAAGTGAGGAGAACAACATAAGATACCCTGGGTAATAGGGGAGGGGAAATGGTAAAAGGCTTGGTATCCGCCAAAAGGAGACCGATGGGTGGCGAAAAAAATTCAACCAAGAAGATTGGAACGGTTTTTCTCCCTCAACGATCCAAGGGGGGGAAAAGGCTTGGGTTTGGGATCGTTGAACAAAACGGCGCGTAAAACGAACGCATACGAAGCATTGAACCGGCGGCATGCGTGGAATGCCTCTAGAAGCATGTCAGGTTCGCTGCCAGTGCGATAAGCCGGGGCGGGCGTTTGTGCGGCGGCGGCGTCGACCGCTCCGAAGGGAAAAAAAAAAAAAAAAAAAAAGGATGGCGGGCATGAATAATACCTACCTACCTAGCTACAGTAACCGCCATACATAGTACATAGCACACCAAAGCAAAGAAGCGCGGGAGAAGAAAGCGAACTACTGTGGTTGTAGGCGTAAATAAAACACCCCTGGTCAAGTACCAGATCTGATGGGGCGCCCACTCGACAGCTGCCAAAACACGCACAAGACGTGCACAAGAGCTGCACAAGTGGCTCCAAAATACTTACCAGGGACGTTTTACTTACCCATCATACCACAGTACCACTCCCCCATCATTTCGCTAACTATTCTAAGTTTCCGACGTACCTGGATGTGTGCATCCGAGGCCAGCGAGGTTCAGCGCGTGCAAGAGAAAGAGAGAGAGAGCATTATCTAGTGCTGTGTTCATTTCGGAATCACATTATCTAGGACCTTTTTGCGCAGCTACTAATTGTCTGCGACGTGGAGGTGGCGAACTTTATTTGCTGGATACTTTGGATACCGGCTCCCGAAGAATTGCCCTTCTCTCCCTTCTTGTTGCTTATGAAGGAGCAGTAAATAATACCAAGCAGAGAGCGGGCTGTGTATGTACGTTGTGTACTGTGATGAGACTGGATCATGAGTCCACCGGAAGCAAAAGCTTGTAGTGTGATTGATCTACAGACACTTACCAAGAATTAATTATATTGGGACGAACAATTCGTTGCGAGCGCACATCTTCTTACTACTTTGCTTACCTACTTCCTGGCTTGCCGCTGCTTATTGCTACTGTACTTTACGCACACACACACACACGCGCTGCATCGTCATCTTCAATCATGCGATTTTAAGCTTCCATAGCTCGAAGGTTGAAGTTGGAGCCCGCTTCCCTTTTGGGTCAAACGTCCGAACGCAAAAGATGCCTGCCGGCAGGGGCGTTGAAGATTCGCGAAATGGCCGACTGGGAACCGACAGGATCCCATGGCGGGGGGCCAGCAGCCCAGCGTCTCTAACCGTTGTTACCAGTGCTACCTTTTGCCTCCAACGACCCCTGTGCCTGCGTGTGATCCGCCCGCAAAATCGGGGGTCCCAGGGTGTGGATATGAATGATGCCCTGGGTAAATGCTCTTGTCGCTCAGTGGAGGTGCCAGGGTCATGATGGTCATGGTGGAATTTCCCGACGGGAAACCCTGGCAATTGGACATGGGGAACTCGCGCTCTCTGCCTCTGGGATGGCATGGGATGGATTGGCAGTAAGTACGTACTCTGGGCAAATACTTACTCCGTAGTGTCTATCCTATGTTAATCAAACAAGAATAGCAGCAGCTGGAACTGCTGAGGGTTCGTGTAACTGGCCACCCCCCCAAGGCCGACGACAACATGCCGTGCTTTTCAAGACATCTATGACCACGGGATGCTAAAATGGGAGGGAACACCATCGTGTTACAATAGTATAATATATTGCCAATCTGTCCGAGACTGGTGTGTCTTCTGACAGTGGTTTGTCCATTATATTGCAGCGCAAACTCTATATAAGTCGGATCTTGGTCAGCGCGAATTCTTGCGCCATGGGACTATCCAAGCCAATATATTGTGTCTGCAAGAAACAAGTACATTTGCCCAAAAGTGCCAGCTACCTTTCTTTCCATGTGATAAAATCAAGGGGGTCCAATACTATTCTAGATTTCCTCATCAAACATTGCCAAATGGCGTGGGCAGTCGACGCTGATGACAATGTACCTGGCTACCTACACTAGAAAGTGGCATTAGATATCGGCTATAGCAGGTACCGATGTACTACCTGTAGTGTTTACATTAACTTTGCCGCCCATGTCACCTCCCTAGTATTCGGCTCCTGGGATCTGCTATCCACTGACCTGCAACGGTCTTTTGTAATGCTAGCAAGCATAGATAGTATTTTGTACACAGCGCAAGGTATTCTTCTATCTCTCATCTCTCATCTCTTCCCCCCGCCAAGGAATGAGCACAGCAAGCCCAGCCCACGCTCGTCAGCAGGATCCTAGGCTACTGTCTGGGGACGGGGCTCTGCGTCTTCGTGCCGGGAAACCCTGGAGTGTAGTTGGTGCGAGATGGGGCCATAAGCAAACAAAAACATTTTATTCCCGTATCCACCCTCTTGCGAAGGAGCGATAGCTCATTATCCGAGCACTGAGACATTACCTAAGAAGGAACACTGGTAATAGCAGCAGCTTACGAATTTCGGGATTGTGAATATCCTTTACTACCGAACTTCCGTATTCCGTAAAATTTATATTCTTGTTTTTTTTTCTTGGTCCTTTACCTTTTCTCTCACGGGCAAGTCAAGGTCCTCCTGGGCTCTCAGGCCCCCAACCCGAGCACTGCTCAAACGGTCCAGTTGCAGCTAACCAGGTTGTTATACCTGAACTAAAGCCGCACCCAAGGCCCAACGGAAATACTGTGACTATGACCTGCAACGCGAGTCGTGTTGGCCAATGACGACTTACGTCTTCGCAACTCTAATTGTGGGGAGATGATCCAGCAGCAGGGTGTCTATGTGTATTGTGACGATATACAGTAGGTAGCAATTCTACAGGGTTTTGTACACTGTTGAAAGAAAAGAGTGGATCGCTGGCTCTCTGAAGTCTTCTCTGTACGATAGTGGTTGCTCTCGTCTTTCGGGACCAGATGCCGACGCCGCAGTTGAGTAGTATTCATTTCCTCACGGCTTGGCCTTCTTGCCAATGTTCCAACCCCAGGATCGCAAGACTTTGACAACCTTGGGCAATATGGCCGCTGTTAGGGGCACCCGGATGAAGATGAAACTCTTGTGTATAGCGTATGCCAGCGCTAGTTGCGTTCCCAGGCCTGCGCATCTCAAATAAGCTTCACGAAGGAATACTGCAATGACGATCTAGCGACCATAGGTAAGACTTACTGGCTTCCGCTCGATTCCGAGCTTGGGCTTCCTCGACGCCCCAGCCCGCCATCTCGGCATGTTCGCTGATATTATTGTTGCCAAAGGTCTCCTGCTCATTGTCCTTGAGAGCTTTACGATATGCGGTCCACCTCTCCTGCACCGAATTCGGGATCAACTTTTTGACATTGGAGACGATCCAATGCTCAATCTCCCCTATCCTGTCTGTTCCCACGATGCGTACCAATAAGAAGCAGAATGGAAAGTCGAGAACGCTGAGAGCGAGATATACTCCCACGGCCGTCCACCCATACTCGCGGGAAAGTTTCTTCAATCTTGCAGACAGTCCCTGGGGCTCTGCCTCCTTTGTACTCGATTCCTTTGCCGCATTCTTGGCGTCTCGCAGGCGAGATGTGTTGTGAAAATTGCGCCTCGAGCTCCGCAGGGGACTGGTTCGGGCTTTTGGCAGATTCCTCGCAATCTGAGGGCGTAGCGATGCTAGTTGTCTCGAGCCTGCTGTCCTGACCAGACTCTGCGTATGGGTCGACAGATTCCGTGCCCAGATTGCTCTCCCTACCGGCTGCGCGTTCTGCCACCACATGGCGTTGCCGGTTCGCCCAAAGAGGGCTACATAGTCCCTGACCGAACTTTTCAACATGCTTGGCGATGGTGTTTGGATTTCAAAAGATGCTCGAGAGTGGCGCAACGCGAAGAAGTTCGAAAGAGCGCCGTAAGCTGCTAGCCGGCTGATCCGCAGCCTTTTTTCTCCTCCTCGCCGCAGATGCCACTGAAAGCTGAGCTTGTGGGCTGATGACTGGCTGAAAGGCCGTCACAAGCTGCGCCGCAGTGTAATCGTTATCGTGCGTTTTGCTTCGATGAAATGTTTCGGGTCAAATCGCACACTCGGCCGTCGGTCGTCGGTGTCGCTATCAATTCAATGTCCGGAGTCGGGGATGTTTTTGTTTTCTGGCAGCTTCTCCTGGCTGCTACCCGAAGCTTTGCACGCGGGCAAATTTTAGAAGCTATGGTGGAGATGCACGGTGATGCAACTCCTCCGTCCCGACTGGCACTTATCCCGATTCGACCTCAACTGGAAGGACCCTGGATTTTTGCTGCGACTGTAATTGTATGTACACAACATGCCTGTTAAAACACCACCTAACCTGCCTTATCATACTTCAAACACATATTACTACCCGATTACAACCTCACAGTGTACGGTAAAGATTGCAAACAACAATCAAGCAATATGACTAGCTGCCCATATCGTATAATACGTGTTCAACCAAGCGGCCTTTTGAGGTGCATATGTTCCAAGCTGATTAGAGCCTCGACTGGCCTTTTCCCTAGCCTCTGGACCATAGGTACTCAAGGAACCCTATGGCAAGGCAAAGGCACGAACTTCTGGCAGAAAGTTGGCGATAGCTATCACTGGTCACGCATTCTTGTGATAGCCCGTTCTACTCTTGCTTCTCAACTTCTGCATCAACATGTTGCGCGTTATTCACATCATCAATAGTATATACGAGCTAATCTTTAGCAACTCTTTCCATGCATAGTTCGTTCATTATCCTTCATCCATACACGAGAGAGGTCATGAGTGGCCGAATAGTATAGCTCCATCGCGCTGACGGTACTATTTACACGCCAACACCAACTCTGAACTGATTCATGGTCTCAGAGGTCGCCGAGCAAACCTTCAAGATTTCGGCTTCTGCTTCGGCAGATATAGATACTCATAGTCTTTTCGAGTATTAAACTGCAGGTTTTCCCCTACCGATACAATGTATAGTCTCATATCTCGGTTGCGGACGCACCATGTTTCGGGGTTTCCTCGTCGGCTCAACTTTCTTTTGAATGGTAGGTTGTCGATACCAGCAGAAATGCACGCCCTCAAGTCTACAGATGTAGCACCTTTCAGAGCCCAGCCAAACTCAGAGATCCTTTGAGTTCGACGGGAGCATGTGTGCAAATCGTCACAAATCCCCTTGTTGATTTTGGGCAAGGGCCCAAGATGGCTTCGTCCCTTTCATGGTCCAGCCCAATGCAACCATTCGCCAGACACAACCAACAACATATGGCGTCGCCAAGTGAAGTCTCCTTGTCCTCCTACTCCTACTCCTACTCCTCCCTCCCAAGCCAGAGACTCAGCTGTGGAACAGATAAGATGTGCGTTGGCACCGGAGCTAGGCCTAAGGAACGGCTTTCCTTTTTGGGGGATCCTAAAAACCGATCCGGATGTCGGTCTTCTCGGACTCAGTGGCGGTGTGCAAATACACACACAAAACCAAGGAAAGCCGAGCATGCCGCGTACCCGAGCAGAGTTTGGTGGCTCTGACGACAGCAAACCTTATTTTGACGTTTCAGCCCGTCTTCCCTACTAACAGCAAAATAACAGACTGGCTGAATCCCAGTAGGCAGGTCTGAGGGGCTTTTCGTTTGGTAGGTTCCCAGTCCAAGGACACCAATCTGTGCGGTAAGCATACTATGTTCAGCCCCAAGGACCATGGACCGCGCAAGCACTCAGTCCGTTGTACATCCTAACGCGAGGCTGGAGTTTTGAAAGAAATTGCCCATCCTTCCTCCCCTCCAATGTCTCTAGCATCTGCATTGGTCATGATGCTCGAGAATCACAATCTTAATACGAACTGAAAGGCAAGGACCCTCTTCGTGGAGCCTGCACGACTCATTCCTCATGCCCGAGTCAGCTATCTTGCGCATCCTTCCAGTCGTGCGAGAGCCTTGTAAGGCTTCATCGTTTGTACGTAATCGAATGACCTGTAAGGATTGTGAAGCCCTGTTCAGGGCGGAATAAGTCATCATCAGTTCGCTGGTAATGTTACGTATCCAATTCGCCTACCTCACAGCTCGGGGAGTTGTTCCTGGGCGAGAAGCGAGTGGAAAAGAGGATACGCCGACCCGACAGTACTTGACGTATCTCGTATGACATAACTCACAGGCAGAAGATCCATGTTCGGTCTTAACGTCTGTCATAGAAACACTTTTTTCTAAAGACAAAACCGTCAAGTCGCCACCCAATCCAAGTCTTCCGCTCTGTGAAGCATGCCATTGGGTGCAGTACACGTGTCTGTGAACCCCCCATCAGCCATTACTTAACGAACACTAAATGAATACTAGGCAGAGTAGGTCCTGAATAGATTTCAAATTCTGCTTGAAATTCTAGAAGGCCGCTAGAACCCCACTGCCATGAGGCATACTTCTTCTAACCCACGGCACATGACAGAGCCTAGTATCAGCGGCCGAACCAGGATATCGGTGCAGGCTCGAGTCAGTCTCATCTGTCGAAAGCCTGTCGCTCATCAAATTAGGTTTAATCTGTTTGTACTGGTCATCATACTCATGATGGATCGCCCCTGAAAAGATCTCCATAGGTAGGTCACGGTGTTTCTTTAGTGCAGTTACCTTGCTCAAGGAGCCCATAACGCGTGTCGAGGTCCATTGCATCCCAAATGCTGCAAGCCTATTGTTAGCGACAATCACACTGCATGACAAGTTTTCAGGGCTGATCATCTAAACGGCTACACGGCACGACATCATGTTCTCTCGAACAGAGACGGGCTTTGAACCATCCACGATCAGACCTTCCACGGACCTTCTACTCCTCGCACCAACTACGGGTACGCTGCACGATGCGTTTGGAACGGGATCAAGAGTCAAGCCACTGATTATCTATTGGGGTTGGCCAAGCAAGCAAGATAGTAGTAAAGCGATCGTCCCTTGAGCTAGCTGCCCTATGCCGGAAGCGATCTCGGTCGATTTGTATCTAGCCTTGCCTTACTGCCTTATGGCTGTCCGCCATGGAGATCCTTTTTCAACACCGTCCTCTGGATATTGAGAGGGGTTGGTAAATAGGAGCCTTTCGGTTTTGGTAGGTGCAGGACGCTGCGTTGTCACCATTTTGGGTCGATGCAACGCCGTCGCCGGGTCCGGCTTTGGTAGATCTGATCTTTTCCCATTCTCACATCAGAAGTAGCCACGGCCCATTCGCCCGAAGCATTTCGCGATGGCCATGATAGCTCGAGATTCCGTGTCGCTCTCGATCAGGAAAGGAGTCTTGTTGCTGCTGTATACATCCGCCCCTGGATGGATGGGCATGTTAATGATACAGATGGCTCTTTTGTCTCGATTCCTGCCCTTGCTCAGTACATGTACCTTGAAAACTGATCTGGACAGATCTAGCGTGTCAGGGACATGCTCACATGATGGTCGTTGGTGATAGTCCCTTGTATCTTAACAATAGTTTAGATCGAGATTGAAGCCCTAGACCGCTAGGCAAGCTCGAATATTTTCTGACGCAATTGTGATGAAAGTCCGCACTGGCCAAATTGTCTCGACATAACACATGGAGAGTTCACTAGGTCTCCTCGGAAGCTAATGTTTGGCCGCCAATGTGCAAGGTCAAGCTGCCGTCTCTTGAACATGGACCGTTGGTTGCGAGCAACGACACTGAAGCTGTAACCATGGCCCATGAAGAGATAGCCAACACTGGTGAACCTGGATCAATGGTAAATTCCGGCAAGTGCAGCTTCCCACCTGAGAAATTCGCAAGCCTGCCATGAAGGCTATTTGAAAGTGAAGCGCTCTTTATATTTCACTGTAGAAAAGAAAAGCATCCTAGCAGATGAAATCGAATGTGACATTGACATTATGACTGAATCGTATGTATCAATAAGTGAACCAAACGATCTGCTCATATCGAGCCTCGATCTAGATATCAATAATCTCTGTCTTGCTGCTGTTCGCATTCCAGTCGGCGCTCAACTCTGGCTGCAATCTGCACCCCTTCATGCAATTACCATTTCTTGTTCAGGGCTATGTATATACATGCCAAGTTTGGGCAAGCCAGAGGTGCATTGTATTGTTTAAACCATCTAACTGATACGTCAAATTGGTACTCGAGAAACATCCCGCATTACAGCGTATGAAGACGTGTGGCTTTCATTCGGCATAGGCCTAATCGAGGCAGCCATCATAGAACTGATAACATTCTTCAGGTAAGACACTGGGCATCCACATACGAGCATTTGTGCTTGTCTAGAAATATTATATATAGCCAGTGTTCAAGAACTCGTCTTCCTCTCAAACGTTGCAAATGATGTATACTGCAGAAAAGAGAATTGAATTTGATGGTTTCTGTTCTACGCAATCCTCAAAAGAGCTGCATCTATACACGCAGAATACGCGACACAGATTCGATTGTTGCTGGATCAGTACATTTAAAAGACAAATAACTGTGACATGCTTTGGAGTCTCCATATCAAGGCAGTCTCTTGGACAGAGAATCCCGACCAATGTCCAAGTACTTTTTGTTGGAAGTGGCATTTCATGAATTAGATAGATGTAATTATCACACCCAAAGACAACTGTTTTACAACACGCAAGTGTAGCTCTAAACAGTCTTCAGATAACAAAAATATTACAATGCTGCTAAGCTTGTACTTTACATGCTTGATTGTGGACTTGGATTGCCCGAGTCGCTGCCGTACAGAGACTCGCGACTTTGATACAAACGAAATTTTGATGTTGATGTCCTATGGCTACCCAATTTAAATGTACTTTTCGTATCAAAATAATCTCTTCTAATCTGATAAAATGACTGGAATGGGATGATAAGCACGGATTAATTGGAATCCTATCACACAGGCAAAGGTATGTTTGTCTGAATGGAGGTTATGGAAGGACAATGAACAATCAAAATACATGTACCCAGACATCATTGTATGTCGAGATCAAGTCACGAGTGCAACAATGCCAGTCGATGCAACCAGTCGATTGTTCTGGCGTTTGACTAGAATCCTGACATTGGAATAATCAGCTCGCCGTCGGTCATCTGCCAGCTGCGCGGTGGACGGCGAGTGCTTTGGACGCGTTTGTCCATCACTGCCGCGATTCTCCCTATGAATACAGGAAGGTGATAGTGATTTTGACTCTCCCACAACTTTCTCTTCTTCACATTCAATCTTCCGATTCGACCCCGTCTCGACAACGATGATTTCATCTCGCGTCAGGAACTCAATCCCAACCATCGCCATCGCTTTACCGGTCACCACTGCTCGGATTACCCATATGGACACCACCTCTTACTCTACTCCCACATGATACCCTTGAATAAAACTCCATCGTCTTCTTTAGTTCACACAAAACCCTTTACAGCATATTCGGACCAATCTCCCAGTCACATCGTCGATACCATTTCGTCCAACAGTTGGTCTGTCTTGCCAACAGATGATGGCAGCGGTTTTTCACACAAATTCTCGTACCGATTATTGCAGATTGGAAGCACTTGGCGCCGACGCACACTCTTTCACCAATGTCTTATCTCTTTAGTGCTGCGTTACAGTAGACACACGTGCTTTGGTAACTTCACAAGTCGACCATTACAGCATTTTTCCTTGTTTATTTCTATTCCAGTGTTTCTAACCAGCAAAGAAAGACATGCCCGACAGCCCACTACTGTGCAGATAGCTCGACACGATTGATTCCCCTGTCAACCTCCCAATATCACATAGTGACTCAGCTCGCTCACTGCTAGCGGTTGAACAAACGACGACCAGCCACCACAACTTTTGTCAACAGCTCGTCGGCGACCAAAGCCAGTCTGAGCGCCCGCCTGTCATCAAGAACAAATTCAAAATTTGCAAAATTCTCCATTGAGGTACCCCTCATTGCCCCGCCTTCCAAAGTTGATCATCAGCTTCTGGTTGCAGTGTTGCTTTGTCTCCAGTCTGCCAGCTTCAGCCGTTGTCACCATCCACACTTGCGCCGAGAGAACATAGCACTGGACACTTACTCAACTGCTGTATCATGACACTGTTAGTACTACCTTTACTCCCTCAATTTCACGCTTGTCATAGAATCCTTTCATTATTCCGTCCCAACCTGGTGTTTATATTGGCACCCTTCCTCCCAAAGACTTTACGTTTTCGTCCTAACTGAAGCATCATACGTCTAAAGGCATCTCAATATCGTCTCTACCCATTCGATTAACCCGCCAATGACGTCGAAATCGGACGAAAGAATACGATTGACCTTTCCGAGTCACGAAAATGTCACCACAGTATAGGTGTCATCATTTCCTATCTTTCATATTTTCAGGGTTCAGCCAACGTCGGCAAGCGAAAAGGCCGTCGCTTACAGTATTGCTTAAAAGAAGTTGTCTTTTAACTGAAGCGACCACAACTGCGAAACACAAGGTATCGCCGTCTGCAAGATCACTCTCATAATCGTCTGAAAGCTAATAGACAGTGTTGCTTTGCAGATCCGCCTACACAAGAAGTGGGGAGTTGTTATACGCGTTTGGGAACCATGGTCATGACTGAGACGAATAAGGCTCTTGACATGCTCTGGCCGTTCATAGGGATCCAGCTTTCGACTGCTCCTGTAGGCCCTATGGGTTGTCTCATTATTGAGCGAGCCAAAGGCTACCCCCTCATTGTTGGGTCAAAGAGGCCCTCCCTCCCCATGGCCGCTGCCACAACCATGTCTCTGCAGACCATCATCTTCAACGAGCCTAGCCCCTCTTCAGGGTTCCTTCTCGTAACGCAAATTTTGCGCATCTATGGTTTGATGCCGGTTTCACCGGCATAACCCTCTTTGTCGCGTCGATTGCCCGAGTCCGCAGCCTGAGCCTGACGGGCAGTGGCGCTGGGGGATGTCTGGAAGCATCTCTATGGTGCCGCTCCAAACAAACTCTTACGACAGCGGCATGTTTGTTGTTACAAACGCCCTTTCGTTGTCACTCGGCTTAGACCCGAGTGACTATACGGAACTCGAAATGAGCCACCAAAGAAGCACCTTTGCGATCCGATCAGAGTTGGCATATGGTGGAGGGGAAGTTGTGCGGGTGAGCTCAAGGGGCTACCCCGGGGTTGAGTAACAAAGAGCTCCCCCCCCCCCTTCCTCAGTCCATCCCACGCTGGGTGGGCTGCTTCACCAGATCACTTCTCGACATCCTCGGACGCCAGGAGGTGATCCGACATGGCATCTCTGTGCCAGATCTCCACAGAGAGCTAATCCAGAAGCTGCCGATGTCCTTTCGGACATCTTCCAACAGGAAGCCCGGAAGGAACTTGAACAGCCCGCACAGCCAAAACATCACCACTCGATGCGAGTTGAAGGAAATAGGCGGCCTAGAGCACCTGCGCAACATTCACACTCGATACTTCACCGCTGAAACTCTTCAGCCCGGCGACCACCTTGGACTGGAGCCTGGCGACGACAAGTTTCAGTTGGCAACGGTCGTTGTCCGCCGCAGAGATGGCGTCTTCATCCACCCTTACCACGTGCAGTGGATGATTGAGTTTCTGGACAAGATAAATCAGTTCACTGATGGAAAATGGTACACCGTAGAGTGGTTGAGTAGTATGACACAGTTGGAAGGGCTTTTCAAGTTCATTTGTTCGCATTCTTCTTTCATAGACGTAGACCACCTTTAATTTTACTCTTTGATCTGAATATTCGACGTATCAATAAACCAGTCCACGCGATGCGGCATGATTGTTTTGACACGACCTTGATGATTTTGCAATGGCTAGTCAACTGGTCTTGTACATCTAGCGCTGATGTGTTATATAACCAGAACCTGCAGGGTCACTATCCTGCTCTAGATCAAAACTTATGGACCTGGTCTTTCCTATAACCCATCTCTTCCAAGACACCCCTTTGCTTCCACGAGCCGACCAAGGAGCTCTCCATTGCCGGCGGCCCGCAGACGAATACTTTTGCGTCGGCCTGCGCGGGCCCCACGACTTTGCCCAGCAGCTCCTTGGTCACGTAGCCCCGAGGATACGGCGAGCCCTCGGCCGGGTTGCTGACCACGTAGCTCGCCCGGAAGCGGCCGGGGAACTGCTTCTCCCACCGCTCGAACTCGTCCCTGAGCAGCACGTCGGCGTCCGAGTTGACGCCAAAGACGAGGTCGACCTGGGTCCTGTCGCCCTCGTCGCGCAGGATGCCCGACGCCAGCTGGTAGATGGGCGTGATGCCCGCGCCGCCCGCGATGAGCGTCACCTTGGGAAATTGGTTCGCCTTGTACGCGAATCCCGGGATCCTGGTCACGAAGAAGAGCGAGTCGCCTGGTGACAGGGAGTGGAGATGTGTGCTGGCTTTGCCGCCGGGGTATTTCTTTACCATGAGTTCCAGGACTCCTGGCTCATCTGTAGCATGTTGGTAAGTTTCGGGGACCGACATCAATCTCACTTGTTGGAGGAGGAGAGGAGGGAAAAAAAAAACAAAAAAAAAAAGCGACATACGTGGTGAATTGATTGGTGTGTATGGCCTCACCACGGGTGTCCAGCTGCCCTTTGGCCATGAGAAAGTAAGAACTGCGGCTAATGAAGTTTTCAGTAAATTGGTCGTTTGCGAATTTTGTGATACGACCAGACTCACAAGTAGTTGGAAAACCGCTCACTGTACCCTCTGGTAATTGAAAGCGAAGCCGCTTCGTATTGTGATTGATGGTCTCAGAGTCGGCTAGCGGCAGAGATGTGAAGACGGGGCCTGTGAATAGCTTCCTGGGCTCGCCCGAGTCGGCGTGCGCTGTGTTCGAGTAGATTGCAAGTCCCACGCCAGTAACTGCTACTGCGCCAATTGCTGCCGCCACACCTCCGCGACGTAGCGGTTGAAATGCGGTTGCTGCCGCTCGAGACATGATTTTTTTTTTTTTCGCAGTTCAAAAGTGGCCTACGACAAGCGTTGATGGTGGTCGCTTATACTCGGTGGGGTTGTGCAGAAAATCACCTAAAGCGCCAATGTACGGATGGCTAGAATTGGGAGCACTGTGGGAAATATGCACAGGAGAATAATGTAAACAATACAAGATTTCTATAATCAAATTAAATATCTCTCACGTCAAAAATAATTCCAGCAGTGGTACTGGTGTTTTCTTATAAGCGAGCAGCAGCATGACACGGTCTCGGAGAATCGGTACTAGTACGATCGGACAATTGGAATTCCCTTCAAATGTCCGTGATTCTACAGCGCAACATACGACGACCCTGACATTCTGCGCGCCACCGTCCTCTCACTTGCTGATGTACCTTGTAAATGTACATGTGCTCTTTGGCTGTCAGCATCAGCCCCAAACGGTCGGTCATTGGACCGTCGAGTGGTCTCAAATAGCATGCAAAGAATCTCATTGACGTGCATCTGTCTTGCTGACCCTTGTTTTTCTCCCTGCTTTTGCGGGTATTCATGGAACGGAGATTCTCAAAGCTTCGACTCTCGACCATAAGGCAACGCTTCCTTTCAAAGTCTGCATGCTGTAAACTTTTGATCGTTGGTGGGATCACCACGTAGCTCAGCCTCACAACGGAGCTCCTCGGCGCCGTAGGTATTAAACTCGGTCCCGAGAAGTCGGGACGCCAAGTCCCGAGCAGCTAACCTAACCTAGGTCGTTGTTGGACCTGCGTAAGCGTGAACACCCCTAGAGCATAAGTCAGGACTTCCTTTACACGGCATTCTACATCATCGAGATACATACCTATAAATATATATATAAACACTGACCGACACAACTTACTTTTGCTGACAACGCAGGACCGCTTGCAAGTCCTTACCAAGACAGCGTTTATCACGGAACAATACTCGACCGTGCAAAAATTGATAAGGATGGGTATTATTCGTTACGCTACTCTCTAAAAATATGCAAATGTCCAAAAATCAGGTATCATGGAACATGCCGCGAAATAAACTTTCGCTTTCGCTTCTATATACATTTCAAAATACCCCGCTACGGAGATGTCTTCATCTGGCGGGTTCCGGGGTAATCATCGACAGCCGGGCGTGCTGCATCTCCGCAGCGTCCGGCTCGTGCTCGTATTGCACGGCCAGATGATGGCCATCCGACTGCGTTGCGGGAGGAGCTGCGGCTGAGCCCTGCGCAGGATATACTTCTGTTGGCATTTCCGCTACTTGATGACCTTCAATGGCCATCTCGTGGGCATGTTCCTCGTGCGGCAACTCATACATGACTTGTTGGCTCGGCGGTGGCGCGTACATCTCGTGGGCAATGTTATTCTCAGGCTTGGTCTGGTCGTAGTATGAATACCGCTGGTCCGCCTGAGGAGCCACCCACTCGCCATTCTGCCAATATCCTGACATGTAAGCCGGTGCTGGAGACCCAGGAACCGTCGATGGAGAGAGCAGAGGGCCTGCGGCTGGGTTGGACGCGTCCTTGTCCTTGCCTGATGCAGCTGCCGCAGTGTCCACGTTGAGATTGTTCTTCTTGGATCTTCTAAAGCGGAATAACACGAATGCGAGGCCAGCAATCACAACAGCACCCACCCCAACACCAACGCCTGTGCCTATCTTGGCTCCCGTGGAAAAGCCCGAAGAAGAAGATGATGTGACGGTGGTTTCAGTCACGTTGGAAGTCTTTGAGAGAACAATGGCATCCTCCCAGGTATCTGCGTCGGATCGATGCACCTGGGTCAGGTTGCCGTCGCTCATGTAGTAAATCCAAACTCGGTCATTTGACGTATCGTATGTCAAGGCTAGTGCCGCACTGGCATCGTCGGCGAGGGGCCATTTTTCGTTTTCCTGTGTGTCAAACTTGTTCCACGTGGCATTGAGTCCCGAAAGTCCATGGAGGTACTTGTCGGTGCCAATATAGAAGACGTTTTGCGTCAAATTATCACTGACAAAGACGGCGACGCTAGCAGTATAACCATCAAAGGCGTCGAGTGTCCAGTCCTGGTCCACATCATACCCGAATATGTAGCCACTCGTGTTTGTGTTGTTCGTGACTTGGATATACAAGGCATCGGAACTGTCCGTGTCATTGATAAGGATAGTTGTCAATGGAAAGGTGGCTGTCTCTTGTTTAGCAATGGATAGTCGGCGTAGTTTCATAAAGGTCGCACTTACTAATATCCCATGTATCCGCACTTTCGAGGTTACATACTTCGATGGTTTCGTACTGGGCTGTACTTATAGATGGCGACATGAGAGTGATGTTATTTTCGCCTTGATGGCTGGCCGCAAGTTCCAGCGACAATTGCTCGTCTGGGGTAAGCAGGCCATCGTAGTACCAGTCATCCCCAGGTTCATAGCGGAGTGCTGCCGTCCTCCAATAATAATCTTTGAAATAAACACGGTAGCGGGTGTCGTCGGCATCTCCGAGGTTGAGAATCGCAAGGCCAGTGCCATTATAGGGCGTGGTCAAGTGTGCAGAAATATCCCAACTGTATTCCGATTCTACTTCATAAGCAGAATACTGGCCTGTTGTCGAATTGCATTGCCATTGAGACTGTATAATACTCATTGACTCTGTTTGATACACAATAATGGCCTTGAATTACCATAAGCGTTTGCCGACAAGATTGCACCACAAGAATTGTGTGTAAAAGTAGTTAAATAGGGGAAATAACTGAACCAACTCACAATGTCAATACCACCAGACGTCTGATATCCTAACCCCGCCACGCTCGTGCCATTTACTGGCGGGTATCTGGAGTCAAGAGCGAATGCGGCAGACTCGTTTGCTGGAAATATGGGGTTGCTGTCGCTGTTACAGAGACTGTACATGATATCGCCGCTCGCTTTATCGTACATGATCACCTGGGGCGTAGAAAGCCCATCGTACCACCACGTCGATATAGGCCCGGCGCAAGCTGTTCCGAATAGAAGCCATAATGGGGTTTGTATGCTGGATACTCTCGAAGCATAACGGAACGCCATGGCGGGTAGTGTTTGGGCTGTAAGAAGATTCGGTGAACCCGCTGCTGGTTCAATCCCGCCTCTCCAGTGTAAAGTCGTGACAAAAAGTCAAGTTACTTGGATGACAAAGGGAAAACAGAATTCAAGTTCGGAGAGGAGAGCCAAGAAAACGGCGTCCCGAAGATAGCGAGAGAGAAACAAGAAGTAACTATCCGTGCCGCACCCTAATAACGTTGCTCTCTTTCTTCTTTGAGCAAACTTCATCAACACACAGCTGACTTGCAGGTCCAACTCACTGTAATGCGCGGGCGCGGACCCAGACAACCGCAGGGATTTCTGCATCTTGACAAACATTATTGGCTTTCCCCCTTGCGAGGCTTGCTATTTTCGCACCTCTGGACCTTGGTACCCTGGGCGATGTCCACTGCGACTGCCCACTATAATAGTTTTTCGTTATTGGCGCGTTCTGCGGAGTCGAGGCTCAGCTCCAGCGACGTGAGATCCAATCCACGATGCTTCTAGTGCAGACAAGTTCCTTTTCAAGTTCCACTGTGACTTACTGTTGGGTTTTAGCAGTTGCCGACACAGCCTTGAAAGGATCATGTCTGGCAAGCATTCTGAAATGAATTTGCTCCTATTGTTGAACACGATTGCGGAGTTTCCATGACTGAATACTCAAGGCTCTAGTAGTTGGGAGGTCGGCCGACATGAAATTGTATTGGACCCTTTCCCCCCTAAACAAGAAAGAAAAATCCATGCGTTGGCCAAAATCCTTCGAGGCCGCTAACAAATGACAGCGGCGGCCGCTGGGTTCAGAGGAACTTTCAGTATCCCCACCTAGTGCCGATCTTGTCACGAATTCTCCTCATTCTGGGCGAACCTAGCAGCTCTGTTTTCCATTGCTTGCGAAAACGTATTCCTTCTCCGCTTTGAATCGACGCTTTGGTGCCATCGCAAGACATCTTGTAGCGAGATGGGCCGCTGATTTAGAGTCTACTGTGTAGACAATGGCGGTGGGAGAAAGGCTCGAGCCTGGCACCAAATAATAACAATAATAATAATAGCTAGGGTCAACCCACAAATCTCGGGACTATGCAACCGCCAACCTTCGGCATCATATGCGTCCAAGACTTATCGACAGTCGATTCTTGGAGGCTTTAATTGCTTGATCATGAACGGATCAGATCATATATATGGCCTTATCTGGTTAATAGATGCGTGGCAATACAGTCTTGCAGCGAGTGGTGCGATAGCGGATGTAATGGGGCACAGCTTAGACACTGGACTTCTGTGTTTGATCTTATTGCGCACGTGCAGCTGTCGGAGACTTTATTTTGATTAATTAAGGGTTGAACTATACCAGTCTATCGGTATTGCCAGTCCTCACCATCATGCCAGCACCAACGACCCAGGATGCATCGTTGTGGCTATTTTTATCTTGCAGCTTTTTGATTTCTCGGCATTAGTGGAGACTGATTCATGCTTGATCTACTAATTCGCCCCCAAAATACTCTTATCTCAGAAACTGCTTCGAATCAACATTCTTGATACAAGCGTCTTCTTACCGCACAACGGGTTTCGCCGAAACCATTAGTGGTGCCTTCGACCAAAGCGCAAATATTTTCTGATTTGCCCAATCTTTGTTGTCGTTGCTGAGCGCGAGGTCAAAGTCATACACTAGTGATGCCAGGAACAATCGCATTTCGTGCAATGCCATGGTCTGACCAATACAATTTCTTGGTCCGCTGTCAATTCCATGTTTGAGTCAGTTACCGGTCCGAGGAAGTCGCTGGTTGATCAGTTGCACGCAAGGATCAACTGAAATGAAGCTTGACGACCTTGCTAACATGCAGGTGGCCAGGACAAGACTTTCAGAAGAAGCACTCAATACAAGTTTGCCGCGCAACTGCTAGAACAAACAATGCAATGAACAATATTTCAAAAGTGACTTACTAGCTAAATGGTTGATGGGCATCTTGCACATCATCGCTGTACTCTGGATCCCCCAACCAGCGCTCGGGCACGAAACTCTCGGGGTTCTTAAAGTTCCTCGTAGAGTGGTACATGGAGTAATGATGGCAAAAGACACGCGTATCTTCGGGAATCCACTGCCCAAGTATGGTCAAACCACCCTTCGGCACGATCCGTTGTGAGCCGATGGGAAGTGGCGGGTAAATGCGCATGGCTTCTTTGAGGCAAGCGTTTAGATATTTGAGATTACCGAGGCCGTCAAAGTTGATGTCCGTGGTGCTCTTGAATGAGCCTCGGACCTCTAGGCACAGACGCTGCATCTTTTCCGGATTCATCAGCAGGTAATACGTCACTCCGCTGAGAAGGGTCGCTATCATCACTTTGTTCAGTCTCGTGGTCGGTCGATATCTGTAATTTGCGTACAGAACATGACTCACCAGTTGTTTCCGAGCCGGCCATCATGAAAAGGTCCGCGTTGGAGTGCATCTCCTCCAAGCTGAGGCCCTTTTCGGTGCCTTGAGCACTCAAGACGAGATTCCAGATATCGGGCTTGTCGGAACCCTCTTGCATTCTCTGATCTACACGATCTGCCGAGTGCTTGGCATGGACTAGCATCTGTTCTGTCACGGACTTGGGCTGGAAGCGTTCAAATAGCGCCAGCAGAACCGGATAATAGTGAATGATGCTGATGATTGGCAGTAGCTGGAGCGATTCAAAGACGGAGCGAACCCATGGGCTGAATTCATTCTTGGCCAGGAGACCGAGTGGATGACCAAAACATAGGTCAGCCATGACATCAAATGTGGCAAAGTTGTAGAGTCCAGTCATGTCAATGGCCTGTCCACTGTTGTTGATGTCGCGTACCTTCGATGTAAAGATATCGGCACTAAGGGATGTGTCATGAGTACCAGGAGCAATTGATCTGTAAGATTTTGAAGAAAGAAAAAAGGGCATTGGGGATGGAGGCGATACTCACTATTTCTGGAATATCGGTTCTTGCTTTCTTAGTGCTCTTTCCGAAAAAGCAGGCGAGAACAGTTTACGCATGCGAGCATGATCGACGGCATCGGCAGTGAGTATGCTCTCAACACCTACATGATTATTGTTAGTAATGCCTATGCCAATATGTAGGTGCAACTTGTCTTCAGAGGTTTGACTTGCCATTGGCTGGTCTGATATTTGCGTCAAGCGGTTTTCCGAGGGTATACCCGCCCTTGATGGAGCCGTGGATAACCTTCCACGCGTCGGCTGAGGCGTAACTAACATCATGGGGACCAATTCTGACTACGGGGCCATAGATCTCGTGGAGATTATGTATCCAGTACACATCTTGACCATTCCAGAATTGACGCCAATACGGAATGCGGCTGATGGCACTGGTCTTTGGCCCGGGGATTCCGGCAAGTGGGTGGCCCGTCAGGAGATAGATGGCATGTCCAGCGAGATACACCAGGTACAAGAGCGACACAGCAGCCGCAATCTCTACAGCCAGAGCCATTTTGGGGCTGTTGGTTGTCCCGTGTGATGGGGCAGGCAGGTTGTCTTTCGCCTCAATGATTTGTTTTCAGTTGACAGAAAGAAATGATTGACAGTTGGCGGGGAGGCTGAGAAATTTATACAAATGGGAATCGAATCTGCGTTGTCATTTCCAGTTGCATATGCGCTTCTAAGGGTGATTCACCAAAGGCATTCTTGGAGTTGCATGATCGTCGGCGCATATACTGAAAAGAGCGACTCTGATTAAGCAAAAAATAGGCGGGCGTACCAATATCATTCCACCTTTTATCGGACTTTCCAACAAGAGCGTATTGATTGGCGGCAGACTCACGGCTTTATTCCCATCTAGAGTAATTGGCCTTGGCACGACTGCAGTGCCCTTACATGGGAGTTTGGGGAGCGTTATGACAGCGCATATGAGCCTAGGTTAGAGGGATCCAAAAGAACTCAGCATAGCTAGCGCACAGTATAATTGGTCCTGTCTAGCGGAGGCACCAATCATCTGCTTCGAGTTTGTTTCTTTTTGGCAGAGCATAACGAAGTACGTACAAACATACATTACACGGGACACAGATGAGCAATGTGGTTATGCCAATATTCATGTTTCTAGCTCTGAAAATATTCGTATAATCATGTAGTGTACAAAGTAGACGATCCGTATAGCAAGTGCAACTGTGGACATTATATACAGGTTACAAACATCGCGAGGGTGGCATATCGTGGCAGCATGGTGTTTGGAGACGTCTAAATGACTTTTCCAAGCCTCATATTCTTACACGAAGGGATATAGAGTTCACCTGACTCGATCACAATTGCATCTCAACTCCGGCAAGACCTTTCAGTTTGGAGAATCAGCGGCATCAGTCATAGAGTTTCTTCTACACATGGCGCAGCTGTCATTGCCCTGTGTCAACCTTAGATAGGGCGGGGTTTTAGCAGCTAGCTGCGAGGCTCCAGGGCTTGAGCTTGGAAGGAGAACGCTACTGGTCTAGGCAGTGCGGGGGAGCTTAGCGGTACCAAATAACTCGGACTTGGCCTGCAGAATGCTACAAAAACATCAGATGAATAGCCAAAACAAACGAAACAGATATATGACAATGCGATTAATGTATGCATGCACATGCGTGTTTGATGACCTCGATAAACAAACATCGCAGTAGATAATTGTTCGTCCAAAGATCTGCCGGGTAGAGATCGACACCCATGGGGAATCCTGGCTACCAAATTTTGGCAGTCTTATGCATTAGGCTTATGACCAGTGACTTGCCTTGACTTTGTCCGAGGGCAGGAATGACCCTTGTAAGCACACACGTGGAATCCACCTAGAGCTGCAATTTCCCTGTGCCAAAGCACCAATCAGCTTGAGCTTCCGTTTGGGGGAGGGACCAGAGCGCGACCGCGTCGATCTGCCTGCTGAGTGCGGTGCTTTGTACTGCACAAACCGCCCATTCGTCATTTTTTTTGTTGACAGCTGACATGACCACAAAATACCAACGGTAACCACCGACAACGACGACGACGATAAGACGAACACGACGACAAACGAACGACACAGCCGCAACGAACCACACAACGACAGATAGTTTAGGCGATCACGGCACCAAATAGCAACGTCAAGAAGTCAGCAACGCCAGAGTTTATCAAGTGCAGCCACTTCCCCGGCTGCATCTCTCGAAGCTACATCCTTGACAAGGTTTGGCTGGGTGCAGGCTAGCACTCTGCAACGCTCCTTTGACAGTGCTTCCACTGAGCTCGTCAGTGCAGTCCCTATCTTTGCCTGTCTACGAACGAAACATTACGATACCTGGACTCATCATATTGCCTGCGCCGCCGTCGTCTTCGCTGCCGTTACGGCCTGGCTTCGATCTCCAGGGGATGCGCACTTCAATCAGTCGACCTAGGTGCTGAATGCGAGGCCCGAGCCAACACCTGACCGTGCGGCAAACGTTGCAAAGCGCCGAGTAGCTGGCGCCCTACAGCCGCATACATCCCGTTGGGCGCAAGACGAACAGCGCCATCGGTCGCATGCTGCTTCGATTACCAGAACCATTCCAGCAGTGTAGGAGGCGAGGAGGCGCTTTCCTCCACCCATTGTAACCATGGCAGGCGGAAACATCAAGGTGGTGGTGCGAGTGCGGCCGTTCAATAGCAGAGAAATCGAGAGAGGGTCAAAATGTATCGTCGAAATGAACGGAAACCAAACCGTCCTGACACCGCCACCGGACGCTTCGGGCGGTGGTGGAAAAGGCGCAAAAGACAATGCTCCGAAAGCTTTTGCCTTTGACAGATCCTACTGGTCTTTCAGCAAAGCCGACCCAAACTATGCCGAACAGCATCATCTCCACGACGATTTGGGCAAACCCCTCTTGGATAATGCCTTCCAGGGCTATAATAACTGTATCTTTGCATATGGTCAGACCGGTTCCGGAAAGTCCTATTCCATGATGGGATACGGAAAAGAACATGGTATCATTCCGAAAATTTGCCAAGACATGTTCACGCGTATTGAGCAGATGCAACAAGACTCGAATCTAAAATGTACCGTCGAGGTCTCATATCTCGAAATCTACAACGAGCGTGTCCGCGACCTGCTGAATCCATCAACCAAAGGCAATCTCAAGGTTCGAGAGCATCCTTCGACGGGTCCGTATGTTGAAGATTTGGCAAAGTTGGTTGTTACAAGCTTTCAGGAGATTGAAAACCTCATGGACGAGGGTAACAAGGCAAGAACAGTCGCCGCGACGAACATGAACGAAACATCCAGTCGAAGTCACGCTGTCTTTACACTCATGGTGACTCAGAAAAGGTTCGATCCGGAGACAAAAATGGCAATGGAGAAGGCTGCCAAGATCAGTCTGGTGGATCTTGCTGGTTCAGAGCGTGCGACCTCTACAGGAGCCACGGGAGCTCGTCTCAAAGAAGGTGCTGAGATCAACAGATCCTTGTCCACGTTGGGTCGTGTCATTGCAGCGTTGGCCGATCTGTCCACCGGAAAGAAGAAGAAAGGAGGAGGAGCTGGAGGTCAGGTTCCATACCGAGACAGTGTCTTGACGTGGCTCTTGAAGGACTCTCTGGGAGGAAACAGTATGACTGCCATGATAGCAGCTATCAGTCCGGCCGACATCAATTATGACGAAACCCTAAGCACCCTGCGTTACGCCGATTCCGCCAAACGTATCAAGAACCACGCTGTTGTGAACGAAGACGCGAATGCTCGCATGATCAGGGAGCTCAAAGAGGAACTTGCCTTGTTGCGAAGTAAACTGGGCGGTGGCGGCGGAGGTGCCGCTGCTGGTGGAAGTGGTGGATCTGCCGTCCCACCCGATGAAGTCTATGCTGAAGGAACACCTCTCGAGCAGCAGATCGTTAGTATCACATCTTCAGACGGCACAGTCAAGAAGGTTTCGAAAGCCGAAATTGCCGAGCAACTCAGCCAGAGCGAGAAGTTGCTGACGGATCTAAACCAAACCTGGGAAGAGAAGCTGCTGAAGACGGAAGAAATTCATAAAGAACGTGAAGCGGCACTGGAAGAACTTGGAATCAGCATCGAGAAGGGTTTCATTGGGTTGCATACACCCAAGAAAATGCCCCATTTGGTCAACTTATCTGACGATCCCCTTCTCGCAGAGTGTTTGGTGTACAATCTCAAGCCCGGTACGACGACTGTCGGAAATGTGGAATCAAACGCGGATAATCAAGTCAACATCCGGTTGAACGGCACGCGTATATTGCATGAGCACTGCAAATTCGAGAACGCCGCAGATGGTACTGTGACGATTGTTCCCAACGAAGGCGCTGCTGTCATGGTGAATGGAAAAAGAATAAGTGAACCGAGTCGACTGCATTCAGGATACCGCATTATTCTTGGAGATTTCCACATTTTCAGATTTAATCATCCCATGGAAGCCAAAGCTGAGCGTGATGAGACCCGGCAGTCGCTGCTGCGTCAATCTGTGACAGCAACTCAACTGGGCCTCGACCGCACCTCACCTACCCCGACAAGGCCCACTCACGAGAGGTCAATCAGCAAAGCGGGATCTGACATTGGCGATAGTCGGCCAGAGTCTCCTGCCCCATTCCGTGGCACTGATTCCGACTGGTCATACGCAAGACGCGAAGCGGCGGGTGCTATTCTAGGCCAGACGGAGCAAAACTTGGCCAAATTGACCGATGAAGAGCTCAATGCTTTGTTTGAAGACGTGCAGCGTGCCCGAGCAGAGCGTGTCTTTGGCAAGGAGGGCGAGGAGGACTTGGACTCGGTGACTTCGTACCCTGTACGGGAAAAGTACATGTCGACAGGCACAATTGACAACCTGTCCCTTGACACGGCACTGACGATACCTTCGACCCCAAAAGCCGGCGAGAACGATGACAGACTGAAGGAAATCCGTGAAGTCATGCAGACACAATTGGAGAAACAGAAGGGCGAGTATCAGGAACAACTCAAGGACGCCGAAGCTGGAAATGTCGAGTTCGAGGAAATCAAGAAGGAGAAGGTTAGAATGGAAGAGACATTGATTCAGTTAAAGGCCGATATGCAGAAACAGCTCGAGGCGCAAAAGCAAGAGTTTGAGGCCAAGATTGAGAAGCTCGACCCACTAAAGAGGCCAAAAGCGAAGCCAAAGCTTTCGAAAGAAGAGGTCGAAAGAGCCAAGAAGGCACTCGCGCACTGGAGGAGTCGTCATTACGTGCAAATGGCTGAGAAGGTACTGCAACACGCCGCCACCCTGAAAGAAGCGCAAATTATGAGCGAGGAGCTTGGCGAGAACGTTGTCTTTCAATTTACCGTTGTGGACGCTGGACACGCCCTATGCTCATCCTACGATATGGTGCTTAACGGAGTGTCAAATGAGGGTGACGACATTGCCCTGGAAGAGGCACAGAAACCATGTGTTGGCATCCGGGTTGTTGACTATAAGCATACCGTGGTGCACCTCTGGAGTCTCGAGAAGCTTCATGACCGAGTTCGACAAATGAGGCAGATGCATCAGTATTTGGATCAGCCAGAGTATAGTCAACATTTCAAGCTCGACAACCCGTTTGTGGAAACTTGCATGCCGGAATACTCCCTTGTCGGCGAGGTCGACGTGCCTCTGAAAGCAGTCTTCGACAGCCGGGTTCAGGACTTCAACCTTGATGTCCTCTCACCCCACACTTCTCACGCCATTGGCATTCTTAAATTGTCTCTTGAGCCTTCAAGCGCTCGGGCTCCATCTAGCACGCTCAAGTACAATGTGGTCATGCACGACATGGTTGGTTTTGCCGAGCGAGAGGGAACTGATGTGCACGCCCAGCTTTTCATTCCCGGCGTTTCAGAAGACAGCGTCACCACGACTCAGATGATCAAGGACTTTGATGAGGGACCCATTCGTTTTGACAGTGTTCATAGTATGAGCGTGCCATTGTTCGGACCGCAGAACACCAACTTGCGCGTTGCTATTTTCGCAAAGGTCTCTACAATGCATCTCGACAAGCTTCTTAGTTGGGACGAAATGCGAGACGCTGTACCCGGTGCAGAGAACAAGCCAAAGCGTGATGCTCGTATCAACGAGTCACACTTTTTCACCGAGGAGAAACACGACCTCCTTGCTCGAGTCCAGATTCTTGAACTTTCGGAGAATGGCGATTACGTGCCAGTCGAAGTAACACAGACTAGCGAGCTCGATACTGGCACTTTCCAACTTCACCAGGGTCTTCAAAGGCGCATAGCTATTAATCTCACACACAGTTCTGGCGATGCATTACCTTGGGATGATATCACATCTGTTCGTGTTGGAAAGATTCAGCTGGTAGATCACGCTGGAAAGGTTCCTGATATGGCAGCTGCTGCTCCGGATATTCCTCTCCGGCTCAGCTCCAAACCGACCTTCCGCCAGAACGCCAATGGTACCCGCAGTGTCACGATTAGCGGCCAGTGGGATTCGAGTTTACACAACTCACTATTACTGGATCGGACGACAGTGGACAAGTACAAGGTGCAAATGTCGCTGTCTTGGGACATCAGTTCAGACAAGCTCGCAGAGCCAATGAAGTTCTCAACGAACATTTACTGTCAAATCCTTGGAAGAACATTTATTAGACAGGCTTCGATGCTGTCTGCATTATGGCAGCACATTCGCATCGTCCACTCGTCAAGCACCATCTACACACTCACTATGCGTCCTGCGCCCATCAAAAGAGTCGGTGATCTCTGGAGAATCAATAGTCAACATGGCTACGTCAAGGGCGAAGAAAATTTGAACAATTGGAGCCCGCGAGGCGTTTCGCTCATTGGCGATTTCATTGCAGCCCAGAAGAAGCGAAGACGGATTGCCGAGATAGGCGCTGCTCAAATCTTCCTCAAGAAAATCGGTCTTCCAGAACCAAAGAATCCGCCTGAAGAAGAGGATCACCAGTCTGAGTCGGACGAGTTCTCCCCCATCCCTAAAGGCAATGATGATGACTCTATTCATGCACTCCTAAACGACACCCCTCAGTCTTCACGGCCCTCGACGCCCAAACCCCAGGATCCTGAGAATAACGAGGAGGTGGATGAAACTGCCGCCCCAGATGAGCCAAAGACTGAATCGGTGGATGATGAAGAAGCATCACCGGAAGAGCCTGTTGAAGAATCAGTTCCCAAGTCGGACTTTGGGGAACACGAGACTTTGATCCTCAAGAAATGTCTCAAGCTATGGGGAAGTTACCCGGATCCAGTGATTCAGATTCTAAGTCCAGAAAATACTGCACCTCCAGCAGATGGTGTGGCTCCGGAATCTAGCGCCCCTCCTGCCTTGATCACAACAATAGTTCGGGTGCCCAAAAATCCAAAGGTTCTGAAAGGGGGCTACCTTCTAGTTCCCAACAACGACTCGAGCAAATGGGTCAAGCGCTTCGTTGAGTTGCGGCGGCCATATATCCACATCCACAGTGCCACAGATGGCGACGAGGTGGCCATCGTTAGCCTACGTAACTCGAGAGTTGATAGTCAACCAGAGATACTGGCGCTCTTTAGTGGACAAGATCCACATGACGATGATGAAGAAGGCTCCGCACAAGGAGACTTCCGACCTGGTCATCGTAGAACATCATCGGGCCGGATTGTATCTTCTATCTGGACGGGACTAGGCGGCAGCTCTGCTGGCCCCGGCTTAGGTGGCTTGAGTGAGCGCTTGCAGGCGGGCGTTTTTGCCATATATGGCACAGACAATACTTGGCTGTTTGCCGCGCGCAACGAGCGTGACAAGCTTGACTGGATCTTCCGCATCGACCAGAGCTATTTTTCAGGAACCGGCAGCGCGAGTGGTAGTGGAGCCGTCAGCCCCCAACCTGGAGATTATGCGAACGGCAACGGCTATTGAGAACTTTTGAGGTCTTGAGGCTACGCCACAACGAATTTCATATTGAAACGAGGTCACGATGCTTGTCATGTTACCCCGAATCGACGACGATGTGGGTCCAACTGCAGGGAGCATGTTAGAGTCCTAGAATGAAATTTTCTTTTGTTTATAATCGGATTGTATCATACAGCCAATTTTAATTCAACGACACCTCCAGCTAGAATATACCCCCAAACGGATTTACGCGGGGCCTTGCAGCCTTAGCTCATACGTATAGACAGAATAATGGTTATAAAAGTGGTTATATATACCTCGAGGGGAAAGAACTCGTTGAGAAGTGTCTGTCTGTCCAGTGTTCCAAAATGCAATCGCTATTGTTACCTACCTACACCGGTTTGACTTCACATTGCAGTGTGGTAGGAGGAGAAGCTATTATATTGCTTGCCGACTGAGACCACATGCTCCGGCCTAGTTTCGTACCCATACAAGAGGCCTGGCTCACCGAGACGTTTCCAGCACTGGATTTACGTTACTCATCGAAACTTACCCCGAAACCTTCAGCTCGGGAGCCCATAGGAAATGCAGACCTGTTGGAGTAGTTCGTCCTTGGTGCTCGGCAATCACCGTTAGCTCGTTAATTGCAAGGCAGAGCACATGTCGCTGAGCTTAGCCTTTTACTATGCGTGAACACTACAGCTTATCGAGACTATGCGATCTGAGTTGTCAGCCATGCCATGACGTCTGGAGAAGGATATTTATTGGAGCAATTGAAACGGCAGCTCTTCTAGCCAGACTGTGTACTCCTCACGTTCCATCACCATGGATATCGGAACCTCATAGTCTCTTGTCACCCTTGGCCCCTGTTTATCAATCGTATACTATCTACTGGGAGGTCGTCCGAAGAAGCTCGACACCAATATCCACATCTACATCAAGGCATATTCGTCTCTAGCGATATATCAAAACAGCTTATTAGGAAAGAAAGAAAGAAAGAAAAGATGCGGCTCGATTTTATCCTAGCCAATGCCTTGACAGCGACGGCTACCGCCGCGGCCATGGTCAGCAGCGGCAAGCAGCGGCGCTCGTGCTATGAGCGGGCACCGTCGGTGATCCAAATGGACCTCAACGTCACCATCGTCTTCTCGCCGGTCCTCTACTTTGACGTGCCGCGCGGCGAGCTCCGGGGCCCTTGCACGCTGGTGGCCAAGTTCCCGGCGGGGTACCCCATCTCGTCGTCGGGCGACGACTTGGTCAATGTGGTGGCGGCGAGCGGCGAGCACGACGGGGCCGTGGTGGGTGTGCTGCGCTTTGTGAGCGCGCCCAATGTCCCGACGGTCACGGTCGTGGGCACGTTTGAGTGTGATGGGGTCATGGACTATCAGCTCGAGATTGCTGACTCGGCCACCGAGGCCAACTGGGTCTCTTTTGAACAGGATGAGGATGCGGGATTGTTCTTGGAGATTGGGGATCGTTGTCGGCCCGAGTCGGAAGAAGAACTATAACGGAGAGGCGTGCCGATGTGATCGCCTTTATTTATACGAGGTTTTCTTGTAAGGGATGTCTTGTTTTTCTTTTTTCTTCATCTGAAACCGTTCAAGCTGGCAGGCATTTCTTTACTGTAACAAATTTCGGGAATAGGGAACTCTTACACACACGAGGAGGACTTGGTTCCCGGAGATTCTGCTTCCGCATGAGCGTCAGATTCGTCAAAAGTATGTAGCAGACCACGCATGGAGTTGGTTGGACTTGGAAAAATGGAAAAGTCTCTGGAGCAAAGTCATCATTTGGGTATTGATAACTTATGCATATACGGACTAATTAACAAAATGATACCGTCTAATGTACATTATCTAGATGAGCAATCGATCGTCGCTCCTTGTACCAGAGAGTACGAGAGCTCGTCAACGAGCCATTGATATGAAATAGCTCCACACCCAAGATCGATTGCGGGGCAAGTTCAATATAATCATAGTCAATACCAAGTCTTCTGTGATTCTCAACTTGACTGCTTCGAACCACTGATTTATACGTATTTTTGAATGCTAGAAGACATATTGGTGCTTATAGAATATTCCTAGCCGATATATAGCACATATATGGCTAATACATATCACGTGGTAATTTCAGGCATCTTTGTGCTGCGCCTCTTCAGCTGGTCCTGATTATCGGCCACTTCCGCCAAGGTTTCCCGCCAAGAGCTTACCATTGTATACAACTCGAGATCGTCGTCCCAAAGAATTGTGGGCGACTGCATTAGATAGAGTCATGGCGCACTCGTATCTAGAGTATTTTCGCCTCAAGGCAATCATTTCATACCTCCGGTATACCGATGACGAGAAGCCCACACCGCCTAGCCCCGATGACTCGTTCACGATCCCTTCCCGCGACGAAAAGCGCAGGATAACGGTCAATGTTTGTAAGTAGTCGCGCTCGATAAGTTGGCACCCATTCAAGCGCTGACACAACCAAGACCAACCAAAACCCGCCAGCAAGCCCAGTCCGGTACTACTCAATTGGAATGGAGGCGCCTTTGTTTTTGATGGGCATGGCGCAGATGAGCCCTTCTGTCGACGTGTTGCCGACGAGGCAGGGTATACCGTCCTTGACGCGAACTACGCTTTAGCGCCCGAGTACCCCTTCCCTTGCGGCGTCGAAGACGCAGAAGATCTCGTGTTATACGTTCTCCAGCATCCAGATGTGTACAATGTAAAAAACATTGTTCTCTCTGGATTCAGCTCTGGAGGGAATCTCGCCCTAGCCGCAGCTTCGGACCTGGAGAAGCAGGCAAAGATTTCCAACAATGCCATCCGTGGTCTCGTGGCGTTTTATCCTCCCACTAGCATGCTGGTGCACCCAGCCGAGAAGAAGTTGCTCAACGGCGCTCTGCCTCCCATCCCGCCGCTACTAAAGTTCTTTATGAGCACTTTTAGCTCCGCCTATCTGCCGCCTGGAGCAAACCCGTCCGACCCCCGGGCTTCTGTTCTCGAGGCCGATCCGGAACATTTCCCTGACAATCTGCTCATCATCACGGCCGAAAAAGATAGACTGGCGCCCGAGGCCGAGGCGCTGGCGACGAAACTCCAGGACGTGGGCAAAAATGTGCAGCTGAAGCGTTATGACGGCGTGAGGCACGGGTGGGACAAGACAAAGGACGATGAGTCTCATGATGCCAAGGTCAGGGACGAGGCATATAGCTTGGTTGTGAATTACTTGTTGGACTTGAAAAAGTGAGAGTCATAGCTTGCATGGTTAGATTAAAGCTCCAGAACCGCAAACTACTATTCAGCTGAGCTTGTACTTCAACGGCACGGAACTTGGCTCGATGAGGTCTTTCTACGAAGAAGGTAAACCACGCCTACCATGGATTTATGCTTATAGATAAGCACATGATTAGACTCATGCTAAGCCCATTGTCATTTCAACTGCTCTAGCTTCCGTGCGAATCGTCTTCAAACAAGTTCTCATGCTGTAATACTACGAAAGTATTCCCCCCCCTTTCACTGTCGAATCATGAACATTCGTACCATTTCCTCCTTGGTCATTCCGAAACTCCCGTCACTTGATCATTTCCGTGTTATCGTCAATTCCCGAGAGTCTTATCTTCGGTTTCCCGAAGAAGAGGAAGAGCCCTTGGATGCCTGCTCCCTGGCATCGGCATCTCGATAACCCTGAAGGATGGCCTTGCCCTCGGCCATCTGATCAGGGTCAGACACGTGCAGACCGTGCGACAGCATGAAGTCGTAGGTGCTGTCGAAGCCGGCATCCTTTGCGACGCGGTAGTCGCTGGAAGTGTTGGAGGACTGACCGCTCCCGCTCTGCTGCGAGCCGCCTTGCTGGTTGTTGCTGGAGCTGTTCTGAGGCATTATGGGAATACCTAGCTTTCGGGCTATTAGTTCTATACTCGTGTCAGTCATGATCAGGCGTATGATGGACATGATATTTACTTGTGTCTTGTGTATTTGTGTGTCCTGGAGGTTGCGAATAGGTTGAAATGAGTTCAGACTGAAATCAAGTGTGGAAAATGGGTAATTTTGCCAAGACGATAGAAAAGAACATCAATTGTTTAAATAGTGACGACCATTGCTTCATGGCGCAGGAGATGCAACAAACAGACAAACAAGGTGACCCTTGTCCAGTGTCACTCACGGATTGCGGGGAGAACTTAGAGGAGTCACCACTAAAATACAGCGCTTGATTTGTGCCAGGAACATCCAACCATCAAGGTTCAATGTAAACCAACTCACGCAAGCTGAACCAAACTTCCTTCTATCCGATAAATGAGAGACGAAATGATTTGTTTTCCAGGCCTGCCTATGAGTCTTTGCAAACTAAATATCATGTGAAATTGTATGTATCATGAGATTTCATAGCATCGTTCGCGCAATAGATGTTTATAACATACCCCGCCAGGAATAAGCAACATTTGAAGCTTATCCTCTGACCATTTCATTCGGCAGAACTAAATGACGAATATGAAACCACTTGAATACAATATGCGATTATGCTTGCTTTCTTCTTCTGAGGAATCTCATCTTTCTATCGTCCTGATTGCTCACGATTGAGATTTGATTTGCGATTAGAGAATAACAATGTTCGAAATTCAGGTTGAGCCTAAAAGCGGTTACGTTGGGCCCGTGCCAATGACGCGATCCACCCGCTGCGTAACCACCAACCTCGCCAGCTCCGTCGACGTGCCCTTCTGTTCATCCACTTGCCACGATAAACCCCATTGATAAACCGACTGCACCGACGAAATGTCACCTTCGGAGAACCGTGAGAACGGGGAGCAAGAGCCTCTGCTCCGGAATGCCGAGTCTCGCCAACAGACTGATGGTGATGCCGAGCCCGTAGCCGATGTGGAGGCGGCGGGCACATTCTCGCGCAATCTCGGCGCCAAGGAGGCCTTTGCCATTGTCATCAGCATTGTGATTGGCAGTGGCATCTTTACCTCTCCCGGTTCTATTGATACCAACGTGCCATCGCCGGGCGTTGCGCTTATTATATGGCTCGTCGGTGGCGTGCTGGCTTGGACGGGCGCGAGCACCATGGCCGAGTTGGGCACGGCCATTCCCGGTGAAGGTATGCTACATGCACAATCTGAGCTTTTGTACTCTATAGTCAGAGGTCAATACTGATGAAACCTGTAGGTGGTGTTCAGCCTTATCTACAGTACATTTTCGGCGACATATTCGGCTTCTTGGCGGCTTGGACCTGGATTGTTGCCGTCATGCCCGCAACTCTAGCCATTCTGAGCATTGTTTTCGTCGAAAGCATATTCTCAGCCCTGGGCGTGACAGACCAAGCCGATGCCGTCGAACACAAGCTGCTCTCGATACTGATCCTGCTGATCATGAACGTTGCAAACTCGATTAGCACCAAGGCCAGCACCAGGCTCAACAACTTCTTTGTCTTTACTAAATTTCTGAGTATTGCCGGCGTCGTCATTGCTGGTATCGTTGTCGTTGCACTGCAAGTCTCGGATCCGGATCGTGACATTGGTGGACGTGACTGGTTCAACAAGTCTTGGTTCGGATACCGGAATACCGTCAATCCGGATGGCAGCGAGACGGACTGGTCCAAGATATCCCAGTGGGAGCTGCTCGGACATTACTCAGCCGCACTCTATGGAGCACTGTGGGCTTATTCTGGCTGGGACAAGGTAAGATCCAGAGGTCTTTCTCGCGCAATCCCCGTAACTAATGTGAATGAAAGGCGATTTACATTTCTGCTGAGCTGTCCAAGCCCGCTCGCCAATTGCCATTGGCAATCAACACTGCTGTTCCAGCGATAGTAGTCTGCTTCCTCGCTGCAAATGCCGGGTACTACATCTTGTTGCCGTGGACTGTGGTCTCCACCACGGACAGTGTCGCAGTGGTAAGTACAACTTGAATATGTTCGGACTACAGTCACTGACTTCCAATTTCAGACCGCCATTACGCGACTGTTAGGTCCCGTCGTCGGAGTTGTAGCTGCCGTTCTCATTTGTCTGGTCGTCGCAGGATCACTACTAGGCAACTCCTTTGTCGCAGGCCGCATGGCTGTGGCCGCAGCTAACAAGGACTGGGTGCCACGCTTCCTCTCAATCGTTGGCCACGTTGGCCTCCAGCCTCGCAGAGAAGCTGCCCCTGAGAACGCTGAGGGCAACACTGACTCAAACGAGCAATCAGGGTCTGATGCGCCCTTGAATGCCATCATTTTGTCGACTATCGTCTCGGCACTATACATCTTGCTCGGCAATTTCAGAGCTCTTGTCACGTTTAACGGACTAGGCGAGTACTCTTTCTTCTTCCTCACTGTACTTGGTGCGGTTATCTTGCGTTTCCGTGAGCCGAACCTGAAGCGTCCCTACAAACCATTTCTGTTGGTACCTCTGGTATTTGCAGCTGTGAGCGGTTTTGTCGTTGTCCGTGGCGCCATCTTTGCTCCGAGATTGGCGCTGGTTTTGATCGTTGTCTGGGCACTGGGACTTGGTTTCTACCAGATCCGGAAGTACATTGCCCAAAGGAATGCATCCGAATCGTAGTCTGTCAGCTGTGTAGGCTGGGTCATAATCAAATGATCCACCAACGCCCCGTCTATGTCAAATATATAGAGATTACTTTCGAATACTATTTTTAGTTTACTAGTTTGCTATGAAAGAAGATGCGGCCTCAAGGCTAGCCGCCATCAGAGGCCGCCAGGCTGTAACGGACAATGTCGTCCAATTGCGTGCCTTCGGCGGCTCAACTTGACCCGACAGCTCAGTATTCAAGTGTAGAAAAGGTCGCGCTGCTCTCCTGACAATCGTGACGAGGCTCGCTAATTGATGACCGACGTCCCCGGCGGCTAAGAATTGGTATCGTTGTCCAATGAGGGGGTGCTATTGCTTTACACTGCATAGTGGCTATGTCGTCTGCATATTCCCCTCCTTTCCGAGTCTGCTGATCGAGGACGAGGCTCTGATTCCACAAACTTCTTTTCTTTTCAATTATCTTCTTTTCTTTCCAATTATCTCCTGTTCTCAATGTTTGGTCAGACCTGACATTTCTCTACCAGTGAAGCGCCATCGAAATGGCGGAGGCTTTCGGGCTTGCAGCGTCGGCCGCGGGCATCGTGTCCCTCGGGCTGCAAGTCTATGAAGGCGTCGCCTCCTATGTTGAAGGCGTCAAAGATCGCAAGACCGAATTATCTGCCATCTTAAAACAAGCAAACACCCTACAAGCCATTGTCAACGCTCTACAGGTGGCGGCTCCTCGAATCGATGCAATATTGTCAATTCATGAATCGCCTCTGCTGCCATCGCTCAAAACAGTGGAAGAAGAACTATGGGCCCTGAAACTCTTCTTGGGCTCGCTTCAAAATACCGATAGTCAGCCCAAGGATGTTCTAGCCACGCTGAAAGAACAGAAAAGGAAACTCACGTTTCCATTTCACAGACCGACTCTAAACAAGCTGCAGAAGAAGCTTGAATCTGCCAACAATGCCTTACAGACGAGTCTACAGGTAGTTGAGCTGTGAGTTCTCTTCATGTTTCATAACACTCAAGGTATTACGGCTGATACGAAATGAGCAAAGGACGGCTACCGCTCTGTTCCACACAGCTATTTCCGACATTCGTGCAACTGTGGACAATTCTCAATTGCTAGTGACGAATCTTCAGTCTGGCATTGGAACCTTGGAAACATCAATGAACTCCATGGCTCTCTCCCTTGCTCCCACACAAGCCTCGATAGGATCAATGGAGGGTAGACTCAACTTGCTCACGACAGAGGGAAGAAACAACAATGAGAATCTTGAGAGAAACTTCCACACCGTGCATACCAGCATGAGCCACCTCTCCGATGACGTGGGCAGAGCCATGAGTACAGTTCAAATGTCAACAGGTCAAGTTCATGGTGCAGTCTTGCAGCAAAGCCAAGATATACGTCAACTGCAGGACGTTGTATCAAAATCGATTGTGCAACCGACCACGATTGCGATGGCCGTAGAAGCAGTCATGGAAAAGAAGTTTGCTGAACTGACACACGGCAGTAGTGCCCCTACGAATTTGAGCCAGCCGCAGCTCATCTTGGGGAGACTACTCTCAAAGCCTAGCGAGCTCAGAGACGCACATGATGTTGATCGAATGGTTTCCATCACTCGGCGGCAACGTGAAGCTTCGATTTTCACTGCCCACAGAAGCTGTTCTTGCTACTTGAAACCAGGCACACAGCACCAGGTCGAGAAGTTTGGCGACTTTTACATGGTCAGAAAAACAAAAACACAACCTCAGCATCTACCCGACTGTGACTTTTGGGCATACAATTCCAAATCTACTACTCATGAGAGAACCTTGTCCTATACAGGCTTCCGAAAACTCTTGTCTGTGTCGCTGGAGCTGTCCCTTTCATGGACATCAGGGGCTGGTGGTTTGAGCATCAGCCCAAACATAACCTTGCGGCCAATGGTAGACGAGACAAGATCTCCAGCCTTCCGGCTCATTGACCTTATGCGGGAAAGCTACTTCTATATTGACTGTTCAGATATCGAGTTCGAATATATATTGGACCGTTCGATGAACGCAATTTTGAAACTTTATCGAACCAAAGAATGCTCGCCTTACGATGTCAACTTTCGCGGGGAGTCGGTGCTTCACAAATGGATAGATGTAGGTAATTGGACACCTTGGATATGACTCCAAATTACTTCCCGTGTGCTGTTGTTTCTATATCGTTGCTGACATCCCCTAGCTTCTATTTGCAGTCCTTGCGAGAACTAAATCGGAAATTTCTGCCCGAATCTTAATGACCGCATTGTCCTCAACGAGGCGTCTTGTGGCAGGATGGTCGCCAAGTAGCATCTTGTTCGATTACTATGGACAGTATGTTGCATCGGTATTTCAAACGCGTAGCCAGATGAAGTAGGAACGGCGCTAATAGCTCGAGTTGGTAGATCCCCGCTAGACTACACGACCGGCTACAACTTGGTAGATATGTTCCCATTAGGGGAAGTCGCGACTCTGCTATGCTCATACGACGACGAGCTTGCGATACGAGTGCGTGATAGCCTACGGCCATATGAGACCATGATAGGCCCATATGACCTTGGCAGCAATGAGATCCATTATATCCTTGGGTCTCCTGTTTGGCGAGAGGGTATGTGGTTGAACCAGCCTTATTACAATCATCAGCCTGTGAAGAACCCAAAGTAACAAAAGTTTTCCAGTATATGGCTTGGGTCCATTGAGCACATCAATCATAAGTGGCAACAAAGATCGCGTACAAACCATTCTGGATACGGATGTTTCCACCTTGGAAGAAACAAGCCATGCGCTTCAGACACCGTTCCATCTTGCCGCACTTAGCCCCAACCATGAGCTGTTGGAGGTTCTTCTTGAAGCTGCCGAGGACGGATCGACACGATTTGATACCAGAGATGCGCGTGGGAAATACGCATTAGAGGTCGCGGCTATAGACTCGTCGCGGCTTTGTCTCTATGGCCGTGCGTCTGTGCTATGTACAGACTGTCCATGTTCAGTCCCTTTCGATATGTTGCAATCCCGTGGTTGGCAGCTGTCCCCCAAGACGATCATTTCTCCATGCCAGCTGCTAATCCGAGCTTCTCAAGCGGTCAGAATGAAGATGATTTCGAATTTTAAGCACTTCAGAGAAGGGCTTCGTACAGCCGCTCTCGACTATCTCAGTCCATATGAGTACCAACACTTACAACTGGACGATTCGCGAATTGTGGATGGCCATATGAAACGAGTCGTGGAAAGACTTCTCGAATCAGATCTCAGAATAACCCAAGAGTACGAGGGTCTTGTCGATATTTTATCCAGAACAAGTGGAGATTGCATCTATCATGATCTTGTTGGAAATATCCGCCGCCATTTTAACATAGGCATCTCCTCCTTTGCCGACTTGCTTTTCGACAGCGGCTTCAAAGATGTGGATCATGAAGACGAGTATGGAAACAGTCCCCTACAAATCTTAGTGACTTCTAGTGAGTCTCTCGTGAGGGATGAAGACGAAGAGTCTCTTGAGCTGCTTGTTTGGTTCATTCACCACGGGGCCAACATATCGCAGGTCATCACAGAGTCTTGGGACGTGTGGGGTGCAACATTGACAGCTAATTTCCTGTGCCTAAAATCAATCAATCGGTACAGGAAGTCTGCAATAGATCACATCGCTGAGGCTCTTCGCTGGATTGCTCCTCTAGGACTATTTGACAAGTGCCGCTGTGGCTGTGTTGGGGCTGGTTGCAGCACTACAACCATATTCTTCCGAAATTTGTGGCAATGGTTCTTTAGGGACAAGGATGTAGTGCACATACATTACTACAACGATTGTGAAGGTTATGAAAGCTCTTCCGAAGGAGTAAAGGAAGTCTCGTCATCCAGGGCCGAGTCTGTATCCGATAGCTACAAGGACGACACAGACGACGAGTCGGTCTGCCAAGGCTATCCGGACCCGGAACGTATTAATGGCATCAACACAGAGAATGATACATCCTCGGAGTGGGAAACCATCGGCTCAGAGTCGGCATGGGAATCTGAAAATGATGAAAATGGGACAACGGACTTTTGGCAAAGTACCCATAACTTGTCAACCTATTTGCAGCTACTGGAAGTCGACTTTGTCAAGTGGGATCATGTTTCCTTGTCCGCTCTAAAGGTCTTCACTTTCGAAGCTCTTGAACTCAGACATACATGCTGCCACAAATTGGTCAAATCTGATAACGAGGACATACCGTGGAAGTGGAAGGACGTTCCTGTATGCGAGAACGAGATTGATGAAATCCAAGAAGAGGATCACGAATTGTTAGGCCTTCTGGATGATTTGGTAGAAGAGTTTGTCGACGAGCTTCAATCTTCTGGCAATAGCCTTCAACAGTTCTTGATCCGCTATTGGGCCCCTCGAATGGAACATGTCTTGGAAGATTTGCGAGCAGCCAAGATGAGCGCAGAACAAGTATTGGCGGCGGAACAGGTCGGCGTCACCTGGGAGGACGACTCAGTTGACGATTCGGTTGACGATTCGATTAGTGAGTCCGAAGATGAATACTCGTATCCACCCAGACCAACGCGATCGGAACGAATTGAGGCATTGATAAAGCAAATGGACGAGATTGTGGCCGAGTCTTCACAGTCAGGGCGGACATAGACTATTCATGTCAAATGACGTAGCTCCGTGGGCGTCGACGGTTCTTATTCTATCTTCGCTTGAGAATATTCAAAGATTGTGTTCTACTGAGAACATGTTCTAGAGTATAGGGAAGGCAGGGTACACAACTACGGAGCTTAGCACCGTCAACCGAACGAATTTTCTCCTTCTTTTTGTGAATTGCCTCTCGTATTATCTCTTTCGATTTTTTTCACAACTCTCACATTACAAAGACATTCAGGACGTTTGTAAACATGGCAATGAAATCAAAAGCATGTTGGGGTATCATACGGAATATCCAAATCAGCTACTACAAAAGATAATCATAGCTCATCGTCATCGTCATCGTCAATGGTCCAAATCAATGCCTTCGGTGACTCTTCGTGCTTGGTCGTCAAACGCACATTTTTTGATGCGCTCTTGCTGTATTCCGTCTTGATAGAATTCTTCCCAACCTCTGAAGGATTTCCTGGCCCGTCACCTTTCACCTTTGTCTCATTCGTGGCTTGCAATGCATATTTTTGCTCACTGCGTAAATCTGGCTTTGAGTCCTCTGGTTTCAGCTTGATATCAGGCTTCACCTCGTCCTTGACCCCATCCTGGGCATCTACAGGCAGCTTGCCCTCGTTCTCAGACTTGACCATACCGAAATCCCTCAAACGTTCCAGTCTTTTGGTATAAAACAGTTCCAAGGTGTTCCTGCGCTGTTCCTGGGTCATGGTCTCCACCGCCAGCGCAAACTCTGTGGCATTGGGAAATCCAAACGTCTTGGCCATTGTGCAAAATTGCCGCTGCTTGACGTCGTCGGGCGGGTTGTAGTGGAAGCTGAGATTGCCCGTCTCGATATCTGCGTCATCGATGCCGGGATCCTGGCTGTCAAAGATGGCTCTGGCAGTCTCACCCTGATCTTGGCTTGCCTCGAGCTCTGCACGCCGCGAGATTCTGTCTTCCACCTTGGAAGATCCCACGACCTCCGAGTTTTCGTGGGTATATTCCACGCCCGCAGATACGAGAATGGCCTGCACAACATCGCTCTTTCGTGCCTTGGCCTTCTTCTTATCCACATCGCCAATTTCCTGCTTGGTTAGAAGAGATGCCAAATGGCCCAGTCCGCCATTATCATTGCCCGGGTCTTCTTCCTTCTTGATCAGACCTTCCTGCGAGGCCTCTTCAACAGCTTGCTCCATGTCAACATCCATCAGACTGACGCCAGCTTTGGCCTCGGCAATATTTGTCTTGTTCACAATGTCTCGTAACTTGACTTCATCTGGTCTGTAAGACAAGAGATTGTCAATACCAAAGATCTCGCCTTTACGATCAGGCTGGTGCTGAACGCCTTTAAAGTAGCGGCGCTCGTTGGAAGCAGTATAGCCGATGTTTGCCTGCTGCTGCTTGTAAATCTGTCTGGCGTACGTGATCTCCTCAATCGTGCCGGCAGAGATGAGACGGTAGACTTCCACGTTGCGGACCTGACCGATACGATATGCACGATCTTGGGCCTGCAGATCATAGGAAGGGTTCCAGTGGGGATCCATGATTACGACCTTGTTTGCAGATGTGATGTTGAGGCCGACACCGCCAGCTTTGGTGGAGATGAGGAAGACGAATTGGTTCGAGTCTGTGTTGAAGTCGTCGACTGTGCTCTGACGGTCTTCGTACGACAAAGATCCGTCCAGATAGCTGACATTATAGCTTGTGTTGTTGAACAAGTACTGGAGAATTCTCAGCAGCCTCACGCTGTGTGAAAATACCAGGACCTTGTCTCCGTTGGAATGCCAATATGCTAGCAACTTCTTCAAAACTGCCCATTTGCCACAAAAGTCGGGGTTGGAGAGACTCAAAAGTGACTCTCGTTGGTTATACAATGTCTTCCAGTTATCTGGCATTGCAGCCTGTAGATATCTCATATCTCTATCGTGTTTCTCCTTGGTTTCTGAATGGGAAGGAATCAACAGGGTAAGGTGACTGGAGAGCTTTTGCAGAGACATGACGCATGGAAAAACCAAAGCCTTCCATGATTCGCCTTCTGCAGTCTTCTCGTGGCAGCAAAATCCTCGCTTATTCCCCGAGCCGCACTCACAGTCGTCGTAGGCACGTTTGACAATCTCTACAAGAGGACTGTCTGTAAAGTTCTGATACGCTTTGCGCTGTATTTCGGACAATGGGCAGAAAACAACTCGGTCGCTCTTCTTAGGCAGCTGATGAGCAATCAAGCTCTTCATGCGACGAAGGAAGAACTGTGGAAGAAGGTTCTCTACTAGTTTCTTTGCCGTCTTTCTCGCTTTGCTCAATTGCTGAATGGTCGCGTCGTGAGACTGTCCTATCGTCAGAGGTTTGCTGATGGTATGCTTCCACTCGGCCAGTGTTCCAAAGAGGCCCGGTTTCGTCCAGTTGAGTATGCACCATAACTCTTCGTACTTGTTTTGAATGGCCGTGCCAGTGAGCCCGATTCGGCACAGTGCATTGACATCCGTCATGGCCTTTGTGACTTCAGAACCAGGGTCTTTCAGGCAGTGGCATTCGTCGGCAACTACAAGATCCCAAGCGACTCTGTTGACTGCATTCTGGTTGTTCTTATATGTGGTATAGGTCGTGATCATGATCTCAAGACTGCCAGCTCGAGTGGCGGCGAGAACGTCATCCTTGCCGGCTCCATGGTAGAGATCAGTCGCCCACCATCCCCAGCGGTCCAACTCCTGCCTCCAATTTTGCGTCAATGATCCTGGACATACGATGAGCACCTTGGGATACCAGCGGTCAGTCGCCCATCGGAATTTCCTCATCCTTTTGGCGTCTCGCTGATCTCCAGTCTTGCCAAACATGGCAGTTAGGAAAGCTGCCACTTGTACCGTCTTTCCCAAGCCCATGTCATCTCCGAGAATACCTCCTTTTTGGTAGACGAATAGTTCATGAAGAAACTTGACACCCTCGACCTGATAATCGCGAAGGTATTGCGCAATCGGAGCGGGAATGATGCCACAGGAATGCGGAAGGACAATGTCCTCGTAGGCACGACTAGGCTTGACGCCACTCTTCTCGTCAAACTTTGGCCTCTCTTCCAGCCGTCCGTAGCGCTCATCGTCGGAAAAGTCCACGTCGTCATATGTAGGAGGCAGCTTCAACCCCGCCTGTTGGAGGCGTTTGCGATCTTGGTCAAACGCTCGGCGACGTTGCTTGAGGTAATCTGGCAGATTCTCTTCTGGATCATCATGATCTCCAGGCCGGACCTTCACCCGAGGTTTGCCCTTTGCAGCTTTCGCTGCTGGTCTCTCCGAGGCCTTGGCTTTACCCTTGCCCTTAGCCGGTTTCTCGTCAATCTTGCGCTTTTTGAAGGTATCATAGGACAGTTCATCATCGTCATCTGTCCACTCAATCTTCTCTGGCACTTGCGATGGTATTTTGCGCTTCCTTGGTTTGACATCCCGGATTGGTGATGTGGATGGTAGTACATCGGCTTCATCTCCGGAAGCTGTGACCTCGTCATCCGAAATGGAGATGATTACTGGTGGGGGCGCCATGGCGAAATAGGCAACCCGCGATGTCGAATCATGCAGTTGGCAACTTGATAATCCATGAGTTTGTTTTCAGATATGGGCTCTGTCTCTTTATTAAATAGAGGGTTAAAGCGTGCTTTGAGACGCGTTGGCTCTTGGTCACTTAGGCATTCACGAACACGTTGTCACGTGATTCCCTTTAGTCGTATAATTGATTGCAAGGCAGCAACTCAGATGGACTCCAGCTTGTAAATCATTTTCATCTCCAACGACAAAAGTTACTTCCAGGTTGGATATGCGCAGGTCTATGATTATCGAATATTCATTCGAGTAGAAACACGGAATTCACGTTTTGCAATAGTGAGCAATAACCGCTGCATCCCGGGTTCAGAAGATATGCATCATGCTGCCCATTCAAATAATGATGGAATTAAAGAGCTATTCCTGCTCCTAATTCCAGGTATATGAATCCAAGATGTTGGACTTGGAAGATAACACCAAAACGCCCTGCAATGCAATGCACCCACACCTTAGCGAGTTCACCTCTCTGGTAAACTGCGCTGATGCCTGTTTTCTTTTCATATGCTCCTGACTGAGACTTTCCCTAATCAAGTCCTCTACAGCAGCTCGAAATCGTCCAGCTTGTCTCTGTACTTCATGATATTCCTCTTAATCTTGCTGCCCACAGCCCAAGTGACAAAGTCCTCCATGTTACGGGTGACGAGGTAAGCCGGGTCGGTAATGGTATCGGTACCGACACGGACGTGGCCTTGCTCGATCATCTTTGTAGCAGCCTGCACCGTCTCGGCCATCTTGAGGCGGGTCATAACGACGGGCAGCCGCCGCCGGGCAAACGCCGACACGGTCACGTCGTGTTCGACGGCGCTGAGCTTGGAGGTTGAGGAGATGATACCCATGTCGTAGAGCTTTTCGAGCAGCAGATCCTCATGCTTGCGCCGCACGGGGCTGTCGGGTGGCAGGAGGGTTAGGCGATGTGCGAGTTTCCGGACGGAGCCACAGAGACGGTTATAGCCTGTTTTCCAAGTCAGCTTCAATTCGCAGGCTTGATTGCCCATGGCGTAGGAGTATCGTGGTACATACGGTGGTAGTCCTCGGGCTTCTGGATCATATAACGACGGATCTAGGCAGGAATATTAGCAGGCGCATACACCATGGGTGCCCACTATGGCAGCGACAAGCGTTTGGTGGTACATACAACTGCAGCATCTCTGTGGTCATTATCCTGCTTGTAGGTGATGAAATCGACCTTTCGGAGGAGCTTCTGCTCATGATGCTTGAGTTTGCGCACCATGATTGCGATTTTTGGTGATGTTATGAGCCGTGACGACTGCAACTAGCAAAACTGAAGCTCGGAATCGTCAATGGACTTTAGCCATCATCTAAATTTCTTATGGATCCTGGCGCCCGCCCACCATGCGTCCCGCTTTATCGATAAGACTGATAAGATATGCAGCTACCAGAGATGTTGCATCTAGCTAGGTGAGATTAGCAACGCCAAAAATATCTGGGTAGCGCCGCGAACTCGGGCGATGTCTCAATTGGCCATTGGGGATAGCTTCAGCTCCTGACCTGCTACACTCAATCAGTCCATCACACAGCCTCCAACATGCCGCCGAGGATACCACTATTGAGTGCCGCGAGGCCCGCTCAGACATACTTCAAGGCCCAGGTCTGCCAATTCTCCCAGTCAGGTGCTCGAAATGCCCGTAAGTAGTTATGCGATTCATCCCTGCAGTTTCCCCAAAAGAGAATGGAAACCAAAAAAAGCTAACATGATGGAATCGTATCAACAGTCCGGGACATTGGCCAGCCAAACTCCGGCTCGTCCCTCCTGGACCTCGACAAGCCCTCCTCACCCTCGTCGAGGCCAACACAGCGAAACAGCAATGCCGCCATGAAGTCCATCTTCGATCGGATGCGCGTCTCGCAAAGGCGCGGCGGCGACCAAGCGCCCGCGGGCGAATCCCTGCGGCCAAACGTCCAGGAGGAGCTGCGCGGCAAGAACATTGCCGAGGACTACATGCGCCAGCAGCCACGGCGGTGGAAGCTCGGCGACGTGTATGCGCCGCGCGACTTGTCGTCCGCCGAGATGTCGAAATGGGGCAAGATCTCGAATGTTGAAAGGGACCTAGTCGACCTGCTGGGTTTGAAGCCGCTGGATATGTACAGGGTAGGTGACCACAAGAAAGGAGGCGAGCAAGCATATCGTCAAGGATCGAAAATCGCGAGATGGAGCACACGCTGATCTAAAGAACTAGAACTTTTCCTTCATCTCAGAATTCACCACACCACACGGTCGCATAAAGAAGGCTGCACACACTGGCCTGAGGCCAGTCAACCAACGCAAGGTTGCAAAGGCGATCCGGCGAGCGATTGGGCTTGGACTCCACCCCAGTGTACACAAGCACCCTGAACTCTTGAAGAGAGAGAGGCGTTTCATGGGACCACAAACTAGAGCAACAGGCAAGATGGGCAACTATCTTTAAAATAGCAAGGAAGTTGACCGGAAAATGTCTAAAATGACAAAATTGTACAATAGATTGGTTCGCATTCGATTTTGTACAGATAGATACACACGCCTCGTGTGTATGAGTAACTTTATAACTCTTTGTACAATTACATGGCGACATCATCTTACGCTTTCCAGGGTCGCGTGATCTGGAATGTCCGGAAGCCTTCGGCGTCTCGCCTCCTCCGTATCTTCTCCAATTGGGCCCAGACATGTGGGAACCACTCCTTCGACCATGCTTCGAATTCATCTTTGAAGTCGTCATTGGGCAGAGCATTGTAAACCACGCCGAGACTATAGAGGGGTTAATACCGAGACAAGACACTCATATAAGGGCTCAAATGAACTTACGTCATGACATCAGGCCGCTGTCCAGTGTTGGCCTCCATGTCCTCGATGATCTTCTTGACCTCTTCCATGTGGCTGTTGCTAGCCAAAACCGCAGCATAAGCTGCCAACACGTTGACAGGAATCTCAATCTCCATTTTATGAAGCTTCTCCCAAAGCTGCTTTGCTGGTTCGTCGCCAAATGGCGTGATTTCATAAGTCCTAAAGACAATCTCCAGTGAGTGGTAGGAAGGGCCCTCGGCAGAGTTGTCGATGTCTTTCCAAAACTCCATTGCACGTTGTGGCTCTTCGCAGGCTGTGTATGCAATCATTAATGCGTTGAACAGCTGCGTGGTAGGTTGTACCGTGGTATCCATCTTGAGCATGTTGTGCACCAACTTGAGGCCCTCCAAGTCAGGGCTCCGGCCAATACCTTCGAGACAGCGGACATATGTCTCTATCGTCGGCCGATACTTTGGATTGCTATGTTGTCGCATGTGCCCAAACACGTGGCAGGCCATATCAGCACGCTTTCGATCAAAGAAAGTATCCATGATCTTTACTCTGTCCTCCAAGGCTGTGTCAGGAAAGAATTGTCGAAGTAAAGCGTAAGCATCCCACACGCGAGCCGTACTATTGGCTGTATCCAGGCAGAACCCGGTAAAGGCCTTGGAAATGAGCGCTCTTTCGCTCCAACTGTAGTGTACCGTGTGTAAAGAGAGCGTATCTATCACCTCGTATTGCTCGTCATTCTTCATGAATGTCATGCATAATGCTACCACGGTCTCCGGCTCTAGAGTGGCGGCCAGTTGTTCCAGGTAGCTTGTGACATCCAACACCTTGTCATGATTTGGGGATGGCGAGCTGCATAGCCCACGAATCAATTTGTTGAGAAGAGGCCAATCGTCTTCATCATTGTCATAGTTTTGAAGGGATCGGTAGGCGGTAAAGGCACCGTCCAGATCCCCCGCCTGCATTCTGTAGTCCATAATCAGACTATAATGCCTTCTATCAGGCTCGAGATCGAATTTGGGAACCAAAGCTACTAGTCGCTCGGCCATGTAGGGATCTCCCTTTTCGACAGCTGCCTCGATAAGGGCATTGACAATAGAGATATTGGGTCGGAAGTTGGGATCGGGGTTACTCTTGAACATGTGCTCGATATGTTCAGGCCCCTTGCCGAGGAGCAGTACTGCAAATCGATATATAACCAGAACTGCTTCTTCAGCGTAATGTGTCTCTGAAAGTGTAGGAAGAGTATCCGTTAATAATTGATACTCCGATATGGCCCATTCGGTATCATTGTTTCGCATGGCACATCGGAATACTTCTGCATAGGTTTGCTGCGCTGGCGTTGGAGGAGAAGTCGAGCTTGTCTCGGCGATGCCGTTCTCTGAAACGGATGCGTCGTCTGCGCGTGCGGGCTCGATCGGTTTGTAGAACCACTCCTTCATTGTCTCAAGATCATCTTTCTTGGCGTAGAATGTTGTCATGATCTCATGTACAGAACGGCCAAATTCAAGGCCAGATCGGGTTTGCATCTTTGCAAGGAAGTCCAATAGCTCTTCCTCCCTTCCCTCCTGCGCAAGGCCACGGAGCACCGGTATCCAGAGGCCCTTTGTACGGCCATAACCCAGTTTTGTATCGCTTTGAAGGGACTGCCACGATGTCAACAAGTGGTGTCGTGCCTCGAGTGACTTTCCGTGCTGTGTCAAGATTCTGAGAAGAGTGGCAATATCCGGGAACAACTCGACAGCGGCACTCTTGCTCTCGCCACCCCTGGAATACCGGGACGACCGGACCTTTTGTTTCGCCAGGTCGCGAATCTGTAGAAACAAGGCTCTTGCAAGCTCGAGGAGTTCGGTGGGGTCGTCGCGGGGTCGCTGTTGAAGTGAAATCTGTGCTGTCCTCAGGTCGGCCAGAGTCAAGGTGAATTCGGCACTGCGCTCGCCAGGCTCATTCAAGTGCTTCAAAACATGGTGCGCCACTCGTGCTTGCATGGCATTGACTGGGCGGTTGTTGACCTTTTTGTACTTGAAAAAGTCCCTGAACCCTTTGACAAGCTCCTCCCTCGGCGGCGGCCGAAGATTCTCATTTTTCATTGCGCCATACTTGAGTAACGACTCGAAACCGGGCTCGACCTCGGGTTCCTTCAAAATCCGGGGTGCCTTTTGAAAGAAGTTTAGAAACGTCCTCCGTTGAACTGGTCTCGCGATCCGTGCAGCGGCAGGATATCGGCGTAGAGATGGCCTTGTCGTCGGACACGGAGGGATGCCCTGGTGGGCACGCAAGCGTCGCAAGACATGGCGGGTCAATTGCGACCGCATAGTGGGTGAGAAGCCTATGGACGGATGCTACTTTGGCCGTCATATGTTAGCGATGACAAGGCTGCAGGTGGCCGAGCATGACAGTCTACTTGCCTGAGCATGGCTGAGTTGCTGAATTGAGCTGCGACTGGAGCTTGATAGTCGTCACCTGGCACTGGAGCAGGAGATCTCGAAGCTTGCGGTCGGTCGAAAAATATTGGAGCTCTCCCCATCCCATCCGCCGTAGCGTAGAAGCGTAGCGCGTCATTGCTAGGAGCTCCTTGTGCGTGGGAGCCAGCTGATGGCCAGCTGGAGTCGCGACTTGCCCAGGTTGAAGGATATTACTTGGAAATTGGTTTTTCTCAAGTCATTGGTAAAAGGAATCCAGCTAAATAATTATAGCCATTTTATTTTTACAATAATTCTATTTAAAGACTACGTTGTCACATTTTGAGTGCCTAGAAATGTTGAGTGAGGTATGCGCATGTGCATTGGCGCAAGCCACACCCGTACTTGTGAATATAATACTTACACACCTCATGTATAGAGAGAAGTACATGTAGCATGCACATGTGGACCGTCGCAGTTACAGAGGTTGCGAACCACTATATGGTCTTTGAATGTTCAAGTAAAAAGAAATCTAGATCCTTGGGGGAGTATAATAGAATATGCTGTCATGAAGTAAGAATATAGCACAGCTTGCTTTGGAGGGCCATTTGTTAGCATTGCCGATCCTCGAAGCTCGTCAATGATGGCGGCGATTGAGGATCGGAGTCCTATCATATAACGTAGTGCACTGCAATTTTAACCCACGCACAGGAAGTGAAATGTCTTCAGGTAACTACGATTGGTTCAAATTACTGCAAGTTTGCCTGCACCTTGACGTGTCAAACATGTCTATTAAGTCAATGCATAACTTGGTGAAGATAACACTTAAACCTGCAACCGCAAATATGCACATGTTTATATTTGGCGGTTAGTACCCGCAGAATGCACGTCGCATGCTTAATGTGATTATTTCTAATATGACTATGACTTAAATGGGCTGGTCACGGCTTGTATTTTTACGCTTCTGTGGAGTAATTGCTTCGCCCTTTCTATGCTCTCTTTTATCGAAGCACCTGTTTCCTGAGTAGGAGACAACTTGGTAGGCTTTGATGAAGACTTCTGCTTCAGACATTAAAGCTCCTGTCTCGAGAATTGACGAAGTCTTGTCAGAAAGCTTCTGAAAAAAAAAAAAAAACATATACTGAATACGAGGAACATAGATAGAGACAGAAGATCTGTATGATGGATGCGTAGAATAAGGCAAGAAAGAGGCGATCGCAGAGATAACCAGAGCTCTTGTGTTGGCTTATCTATTGCTCTCCAGCTAGCTAACCCTAAAATTCATTACTACTACACATACTTACACATCAAAATGACCGAAGCCAGAGTAAGAGACTATAAACAGAGATGAGAATTCATGCCCCAACCTGATTTTGAATCTTGTTGCTGACAGAATGACGAAAGATTTTGATGTTTCTCTGCGATTTGGCAAGACTTGTCTCACAGGTTTTCTTTTCCCCTGATCTATATTCCAATCCCGAGTTTTCTGCGAGTCGAATCAGCCGACTAATCGTACCTTAGAAGGATTATGATTCGAGCGGCTAGCTTCGTTATGAGCAGCTTTTAGTGAACACGAGACCTCATGCCCGTGTGGAACAAAACATTCGGGCGGAGAAAGCGTCAACGTAGCGGCGCAGGAGTAGTACACTCATGGCAGTTTTCCATAGGCGGAAATTCAATATTTAGCAGAAGATTGACCTTTTGTACTCTCCATGGTTAGATTTCCATCACATAAGCGCAAGGAACCCCTGAGACGGAACGTCAGGTCGCAACGCTATGAGTTTGAAACACTTTCTGGCCATGTGCGCTTGGTTCCTGCCAAGGCTGGGATTTGCCAATTGCACCTGTCATAATTATCATATGGTTTCGTTAAGGACCGTCACTGTCACGATGCTTTTGAGCAAATCAAAGGGTTTCTCTGGAAGCGAGCTCTGCAAGCCAATCAATGTTCTTTTCAGATAAAGCTATACCTTTGTAAGACCCCGGAGCCAAGCCCCGTTCCGGATTTCCGTGGAAACACCAACCCCGTGATCACTTCCCCATGTCCTGGCCCCGGCATTCAGTTTTTGGGGTATTGACTAAGGATAGCACTTGAGCCCCAAACGGAAATATCCAAGGAACAAAAACCACCAATCAATCACCGATGCATATTTTCACCTATATACGTTTCCATTTCTTGGCAAACTTTGCGGCAAATTGTTATACAAGAGCTCTAGAACCAATGCATGGGTTAGGGAAGCGACTTGTCAAAAGAGCCTCTTGTGTCAATATACTATAAAATGCCTGTTCCTAACACAAGTTTATTCAGCATGCCGATCCTTCCAGAATCAGCTTGCAAGCCTTGACATTACTCAGAGATCCCGTCTTTATCAGAAGACTTTACGATGATTTCAAAGCAATTCTTTGCAGTCGCTCTTGCGGCTCTGGTCCGTCAAGTCAGCGGCGCCGGTGTCACTGGCTCGGCCGAGGGCTTCGCCAAGGGTGTTACAGGTGGTGGCTCGGCTACTGCTGTATATCCCACGACAAATGCCGAACTTGTGTCGTATCTTGGAGATAGCTCTGCCCGAGTTATCATACTTACCAAGACCTTTGACTTTACGGGGACTGAAGGCACCTCGACCGAGACCGGTTGTGCTCCCTGGGGAACTGGGTCAGCTTGCCAAACGGCAATTAACCAGAACAGCTGGTGTGACAACTATGAAGCCAGCGCCCCAGATGTCACAGTATCCTACGACAAGGCTGGTGTTCTCGGTATCACTGTTGGATCGAACAAGTCTCTTGTCGGACAAGGCTCAGCCGGTGTTATCAAGGTGGGCTTATATATTCATTCTACATTCCCACTTAATACGGCCTATAGACATTAACGCATTTTCTCCAGGGCAAAGGTCTTCGGATCATCAGTGCATCCAATGTCATCATTCAAAATATCAAGATCACGGATCTCAACCCTGAGTACGTTTGGGGTGGTGACGCCATTACTCTGGACGACACTGATCTCGGTAAGCACCATTGCTCCTTCGTATTAGAGATATGCCCCATGACTATAATTGATGGTGATGATTATTTACAACACATACTTTCAAGTTTTTTATTCTTGCAACTCTAGGACGATACTAACATGATACACTTAGTCTGGATCGACCACGTTTCCACGTCACTGATCGGACGTCAGCACATTGTCCTCGGCACTGAGGCCAGTGGTCGCGTGACCATCTCCAACTGCAACATTGATGGAACGACATCGTGGTCGCCCAACTGCGACAGCTATCACTACTGGAACGTTCTCTTCTTGGGATCTCAGGATCTGGTTACCTTTAAGAACAACTACATTCACCATTTCTCTGGCCGTGCACCCAAGGTTGGCGGCAACACTCTTCTCCACGCTGTCAACAACTATTTCGTAAGCAAATGCCCTTCATGCTCCAAGCCGTACATCTCTCCCTGTTCAAAGAAGGAAGAGAAGAAATTTTTAGAAGGCATTGCCATATGCTCCTAAATGACATCTGACGTACCCTGCCCACAACAATCTTGCACAGACTTCTAACACATTTTATCAACCATTAGTACCAGACCGACAGCAGCGGACACGCCTTCGAGATTGACTCTGGCGGCATGGTCCTCGCCGAGGGCAACGTCTTCCAGAATGTCGTCAATGTCGTAACCGACGACGTCGAGGGTCAGGCCTTTACGAGCCCCAGCAGCACCGCCAACACAGCGTGCTCAACGTACCTGGGACGCAGCTGTGTTCTCAACGCTTTCGGAAGCTCTGGTACCTTCAACATTGTCGACACGAGCTTCTTGGTCAATTTCTCGGGCAAGAACATTGCGTCGGCTACCAGCGCAGATACTGCCAAGTCCGTGTCGTCATCGGCTGGCAACACCCTCTCTTGAGTTTTGACGAGAACAGACTTGTCGTTGTGGGCTTCGCGGAGCATGTGGGCGCTTCAGGGTGGCTGCATTGTTGAATCGGTAGCAAATACTTCCCTGTACATACTTTGTAGCATTGAAATCGTACATATGTCATATGCATTAACCCTGTGTCTCTTTTCCCCCTAAGTAAGGACGGACGCAGTGACTACCGTAATTATCAGTGAGCAATTATGTTCAAAAGTTTGAGACACACTCTCAGTCGTCCGGGTGAATATCAATGTTGTGCAGTCATATGAGACACGCAAGACAATGCATGGTCTAACGACAATGCCTGAGGCAGGGGTGCCAAGATACCTGGAAGAATTATTATTACTGGCAACATCCAGCACACTTCAGGTGAGGCTAGGCAGGTCTGGGGTAGCGCTAGTCCCCTGACTACAGGGCATCCGCGGCACTGAAAATACTTCGAGGCATTCTGCGGATGCGCACTAGTCGCCCACCATCTTACCGCCTTCCAAGCTAGAAAATAATCAACTATGCCAGGGGTTGCCACTCACTGAATGAAAGAAGCTTCATCACATGTTCATGAGCTCTTCCTACAACTCCATCGTCTCCCCCATCAGCTTTTCATCCTGTCCGCATGTTCATCTCACTCATCAGACGCAGACCCCTGTTGCTACTTCAAGCGGCACTCACAGCGACAATGCAGGATTCGGGAAGGGGACGAGGCAGGCCTAACCGCCGCCGTGGCGGCGGTAGGCCCGCTGGCGCTGGAGCTGGCAGCAACAGGCCGAGATTTCAAGCCAGCAATCAGGAGAATGATCAAGTCCCAGGATCTCAGAGACCCTTTGCAACTATAGCTCAGCCGGCCTTGACCATCTCTGTCCCAGCTGATACGCCCAAGTTTGCCGATCTGGCCCAGGAGAAGCTCATCGACCCCGTCCTCTTGCAGACGATTACGGAGGATATGAAGTTTGATCACATGACTCCTGTCCAAGCCGCCACCATACATGACTTGCTTAAGGAGCGTAGCGACATGCTGGCCCAGGCCAAGACGGGAACTGGCAAGACCATGGCTTTCCTGCTTCCCGCCATTCAGACTCTGATCAACAAGAACAAGAAGCCGGGAATGACGATTTCCGCCTTGATCATCTCTCCCACCCGTGAGCTGGCTATGCAAATTGCCAACGAGGCCACCACACTGCTGCAGCGTCGTCCAGAGTACAAGGTGTGCATTGCCATTGGCGGCACCAATAAAAACAGCGAGGCCTCCCGCATCTCCAAGGGATGCGACATTCTCATTGGCACGCCTGGTCGCATCCTAGACCACATCCAGCCTGATGAGGGTGACTACAGCATGGTCCTCGAGAGACTGCAACACCTGGATACTCTGGTACTGGACGAAGCAGATAGAATGCTCGACATTGGCTTCCTCCCTGACCTCAAGAAGATTATCGGTTTCCTTCCCGACAAGGAGTCGAGCCAAAGACAAGGAATGCTGTTTTCTGCAACCATTGCGGATCATGTGCAGAAGGTTGCCCACCTTGCTCTGTCCAAGGACTACAAGTTCATCTCGACCATTCCCAAGGGCGAAGCCGGCACTCACGAGCGTGTTCCTCAGCGACTCGTTGTTGTTCCCACGTTTTCTGACCTTACCGCCGCACTCGTCGGTGCTCTCCGCCAAGAGGTTGATCAGGTTGGCCCAGACAGTTTCAAGGCCATTGTTTTCGCCCCGACTGCTGCTCTTGTCGATTTCTACGCAGATGTCCTGGCCAAGATCCCCAAGTTGCCTTCGATCATAGCTCTTCATTCGCGCATGACACAGTCCAAGCGAACCAGAACGACGGATGAGTTCCGTAATGCTTCAAATGGTATTCTTTTTGCCACGGATGTTATTGCCAGAGGCATGGATTTCCCCTCTGTGACCAACGTCTTCCAGGTCGGCATCCCCGCCGACCGAGAGTCATATATCCATCGTCTCGGCCGTACTGCTCGTGCTGGAGCAGAGGGCCGTGGTACTTTCATCGTCGCAGAGGCAGAGAGGTACTTTCCCGAGCATAAGCTCAAGGACATCTCCTTTGAGAATGTTCAGGCGGATCTCAGCGCCAAGGAGTTGGTGGCCCAGATTGCAGTGAGCCTGGAGCCCGAGGTTCAGACCAAGGCATACCAGTCCTGGCTGGGTTATTACAAGGGTCCTCTGAAACAATTGCGCTGGACGCCAGAGCAACTGGTCAAGGAGGCCAATAATCTTGCACTTGAGGGCCTGGGCGCACCGGAAGTCCCGTCACTGTACAGGACCACGGTTGGCAAGATGGGATTGAAGGGCATCAAGGGACTGACGGTAGTCCCCGACCCGCCCAGAGAGGCTCGTGGAGGTGGAGGCCGGGGCCGGGGCAAGGCTGCCTCGGAAGCACCCAACAACGCATCGGGTGCGAAGCGCCAGAAGCGATAGATCATTTTTGGTGTGCCAATACCTTGATCAAGATCATGACATTGCATCATGCGGCGTTGAAGGGGATTCTCATGTTATAGAGGGTATAAACTATAGATACTGTTTGTTTGTTTACGGATACCCTCAAGAAGCTGGGTCACAGTGTAACGCAGCGAGGTTGGCCAAGTAAAAGACGAGGATCGGTCATAGGATATCTGCTCAAGTCAATGGTTTTAGGCGAACGGCGGTTCCGAATATATGTGGTTTGTCTGCTTTATAACATCTACTGTCACTTGTCTACTTTACTGCATCAGACCAACCAGATCGACTGGCGCCGCTCTGATTTATAACGCCATTAACCTTGCAATAGTCCTCATACAAAGCAATCATGGTTTGCAGCTTCTCAGGCATTGCATCACCGAGGTCATTGGTCTCGCCTGGATCTTCGAGGACGTTGAAGAGCTGCCAGCGCTCGGGGCCGTAGGGCTTGGGAATGAACAGGCCCTTCCACGGGCCCTGACGAACGGCACGGCGTCCAAAGAGTTCCCAGCCCGTAACGTGGTCCTCGGCATGAATCTTGGCTCTGTCACCATGGAGGTATGGTAGCCAGGACGCACCAGCTACCGGCGCAACGGGTCCACCCTGATACGTCGTGCCCGGGTGAGCGATGCCGCAGACATCGAGTAGTGTGGGCAACACGTCCATGACGGTGGCAAACTGATGATCAATCTTGTTGGGGGCAAAGAGCGGCGGGTACCGTGCAAGAAAGGGCACGCGGATACCACCCTCGGACGTGAACATTTTGTACAGCAGTCCCGGTGCCGTGCTCGCGCTGGCCCATCGCGCGCCGTACCAGACAAAACTATCATAACAGCCCATATTCTCGACGCTATTGTTGTGCCACTTTTGACAGTACGTGCCCATGTCGCCGCCGGATGTGAGTGGCGCGTACTCGTACTGCGCGCCCTCGGCACCATTGTCGCTAAAGAACATGATAATGGTGTCGTCGTACTGACCCGTCTGCCGGAGGTAAGTAACCACCCGCCCAACGTTTTCGTCGATGCGGTCGACCATGCCCGCGTACACCTCCATCTTGCGCGCGAACTCGCGCTTCTCGTCGAGGGTCAGCTCGTCCCAGTTCTTGGTATCGAGACCGTCCTCGCCTTTACTGATGACGGGTGCCGGCACCGCGTGCTCGGGTACGAGGCCCATCGCCTTGAGCTTGGCTACGCGTTTGAGCCGGAGTACGTCCCACCCTTCGTCATAGACGCCCCGGTACTTGTCGATATTTGCTGGCGGTGCCTGCAGTGGCCAATGAGGAGCTGTAAAGGGCAGATAGGCAAAGAAGGGACGCTCTTCAGTCCCGGATTCCGTCTTCTTTTCCTCGCGGTCCCTCAGGTAGTCTAGCAGGTTCTCGGTGAAGCTGTCGGTGCTGTAAAAGCCCTTGTCCAGCTTGTCTGGGCCGAAACCTTCCCCGTCGCGGTTGTACATGCGGCCCATGAGTGCTGCCAACCTGGGAATCGCCGACCGGTCTGTAAAGTCTGGTTCCCAGCCGTAGTGGTTGTGGCAGCCGCCTAGCATGGAAAAGGAGCGCTCGAATCCACGCGCGTGAGGGCTCGTGTCGGGGGTGAGGCCCAGATGCCACTTGCCGGACATGAGCGTCTCGTAACCTGGTGTGATTCCTTGGTTAGCCTTTGGACATGAGAATTCAAGGGTGAGTCAGAGAAGTGCTAATCGTCTGCTTACCTCCATCGCGCATGAGCTCGGGCAGACAGACGACTCGATCATTGAGGTAACCCTCGTAGCCCGGCTTCCCTTTCATATCAGGCGTGATGCGCTCCGCCATGGTACCAATGCCGGCTACGTGGTGGTCGGTTCCTGTAATGTAGCAAAATGGTGTTCAGCCGTATTTGGTTTCTTCATCCTCCATCGACAAAGATGCACTGCCCGTAGCCTGCCTAGTTGGAGACAAACGGGAGCAAACCATGGAGTCAATCTACTCACCACTCATGAGCATGGATCTCGTGGGAGAGCAAGCCGAGGCCACGTGAAAAGATGTCATGCGCAACCCCTCCTCGGCCAGCTGATCCAGATTCGGGGTCTGAATCTCGCCGCCGAAGCAGCCAATGTCTGAGAAGCCCAAGTCATCTGCGAGGATGATGAGAACATTGGGGCGCTTTTGAGATGCCATATTGCCTCGATAACAGCCTTGTTATGATTTACCTAGGCAAGTACAGAAAGCAATAGGATCTTGGAAGAAACATCTTAAAGAAATAAATATACAATAATTTTTTTCAGCTCATGATTCATCCGTAGATGTCGTGCTCGCCCGCTTCTGTGAGGAAATGGGGATCGCAATGCACTAGACGGTAATTGAGGTCATAGTTGGTCCTTTGGAGTATAGGAATTAAACAAGAATGACGAATGAGAGACATCTCCGAGTGTCGTGTCGGAGTGTTGTTCTAAAAGCGAGCATGTTTCCCATTCTCCTCCCGACGACTCGGGTGTCGCCTCGGTGGCGGTGGGTTGTAAGCTCTTCCCGGCTACTTCGGGTGTCGGGTCGGGTATAATGTTAGCTGTCTTGGACGGGGTCAAGGGACCGACCACCAACTGCTGGCTATTATTCATCGGCTGTCTTTTCTCCACAATGCCATGCCTCTTCATCGAGCAAATTCTATCGGTTGAGTCTCATGCAGTTGAAAACAAAACCCAATTTTTACGGTATGTGCGCATGATTTTGAGCATTTGCAAAGTGTCAAGGCACTTTCACAGGTCTCATTGCCGATGTCGACATGTTCCAATCCTGAGGTCGTATAAGCGAGTGTCAGAAAAGACGGTTTCGGTCGGTCTTTTTAATTAATCCACAATATATATATATATAATTCTTCAAAAGCTATATGCCCTCTTAAAACAAATTGTTGCTTCCTGTCGGAACTATTGTCCCACTATCACCAAGCTCCATATCTCCGGGGAACGAGAATGCAGGCAATGTAAACTCGAGTGACTGAGGGCAATAAGGAAACAGATTACTGTCAGTAGTGGTGCTGCTGACATCATCTCTACCATAAAGATTTTGTGCTGCGAATCCAGAGAAAGGAGAGGTTGAGGGTAGTGGACCCTCCCATCCATTGTAATCCGAAGCTGCCAGTCTGGTTATATTTCCTCTATCAAGTCCGACGGGCCCCCAATTTGTCATTCCTTCCGATATTTGGGAATTGGGAATGCCATGTGGCTGTCCTCGCTTGGGATTCGGAAATCTCGCATCTTCTCGTTGGCGGGCTTGATCGGCTACTTCATCTATACATAGTGGCACAGTTTTGTTTTTCTCAAGAATACTAGATGATGAATGTGTGTTAGAAGATCTTTGTGTTGCTTGAATTTGGCATGTTTCACATACTCTCGGTGGGTACTAGTAAAGTCCCGGGCAATTTCTGCGTTATCGGGAGAGGCTTCGATTTCCGTGAGGATTCTTTGCAGCTAGAGTTGACACTAAAGTTAGGAACGAAACTTTGCGAAATTGCGATGTAAAGTTCTAGGAGTGGTGATGGCTTACCCATGAACCAACATAAGGACTCACTTGGGCCAATGGCTCTAGGATTTCGAGGTTTAGATGAAGTGGCGTCTTGGCTAGCCCCGAAGTCTCAGTTTGGTATCTCGTGAGGAGTAGCATTGACCGAGTATTGATATAGACACAACGTGCTATTGTCGTATCAGTCACAAAGAAACGCTCAGAATACCGCTGAACCGAGTGTAGACGAGCCCAGAACTGATGAAGGGTGTTTGCATGGCGCGCCAACTCGTCCCGACAGCGATCCAAAAGCGCTTGGTCGTAGCCTTTGTCCGGAGAAACATTTTGATCAGCTGACGTGGTCGGCTCGAGAAAGTGGAGATACAGTTCGCAAGCAGCTGTATGAAGCCAGCTATGGACCATGGTATACACTCCAGCGTCAGGTGTGGATGCCCGTAAGAACAAGGCTCTCTCGTTGTTACGCATTTCTGGAGGCAAGAGATTCTGGAACTCGGCGAGTTGCCGTCTCAAGTCCATAAAGCGGCCGCCATCGTCCCAAAGACCCGCGGTGGTCTTGTCCTTGCCCTCAAATTGGAGAAAGATTTGGATTTGTTCACGCAGATCGAGTATGCGAATCAAATATGCCGTCACGCCAAGAGATTCCAGATTTTGTAAGCTCTCAGAAACCATATCTTGAAGGTAAGGAGTCGCAGTCTCCTGCTCGAGGCCAAATAGTCGGTCATCACAAGGCAGAGTCACCCGGATTTTCTCGCGCGGGCACTGTGATGGATACCCGAGACCCTCACATCCGATTACCTTGTCTAGATAATAGACGCACCATATCAAACGCCGACGACACTCCTGGTTGGTAGGAAGAACGGCATCTGTTGGGTGGTTCAGTTTGAGCGCAAAGGCATGAGTACTGGCCAAGGCCAAGAGGTTCCATGCCGTGACCAGGCGACCGGAAGCCAGATGGTCAAAAATAAGAAGTAGAAGGATCTGCAGTCGGGGAATGGAGAGGGAGCTGAGATCGCGGAAGACTGCCAACTCAACATCGGCGAGCCACTTGGGCCCAGGATAATCAAAGGAGTCTCCGTTATCTGAGCGAGGTCTGTTGGACACGAAGCGAGAAGATACGCTCGTGACGACTCGTACCAGGTTCTTTGCCATGGCACCAGTATGCCAGGACCTCAGAAATGAGCCCTTGTGTATAAAGTTGAAAGCCGAAGTTGTCCAGACATGATGGAAAAATGCGTCAATATGAATCTGTAAGATACTTCGCCGCAGGTCCAGAGAAGTGGACTCGGGATGGTGTATCTCTGTTTGACCTTCGATCTGACCACGGGCGAATGGAGAAGCAGGTTCTTCAGACACTGTTGTCATACCGGTGCCAACTTTCTCGTAGACACAGTCAAGTTCGTGTGAGTGGCACCTGTCACACTTGGGCCAACTCCCAGAACATCGTAGTTTGGAGTTCCTGCATAGCACGCATGCCTGCCGCGTACGCTTCTTGGTTAAAGATGTGACACTTTCTGATGAACCATCTTCATATTGGCATTCAAACCCAAGACGGGTGCAATTGGAGCATGCTTCGGGATTCTCGTCACACTTCACCTTGCGGGTCTTGCAGGGGAGACAGCCCCGGCTGGACCGTTTCCGCTTTTTTCTAGGCTCCGGGTTGCTCCTCCTCTCAGTCGGAGACGTGACAGCTGGAGAGAGAGTCATGGTTGATGGTTGGAAGGGTTTGGGAGAAATCGACTCGGCTCGGGAGTCGGGTAAGTTGAAGTCGGTTGTGGTTTGCTCAATCATTACCCCAGATTTGCACGAGTCGTGGGCCCGTGGGGTATGGCGTGCTACTAGCCTATAACCGTTATAGTAGGTAAGGTACTGGGTGCTATTGAATCCCTATCTCTCTAGGTTTGCAACCAAAGCATCCTGCTAGTTCAAACTCTACATCAAGATCATCTCTATGCAAATGGATATATATATCATATCTTGCTGAATCATCTGGTATTGCTTTTGAAAATCGAGACGAGGCAGACAAAGAGCTATGCCATCAGAGTCTTGAGCCCCTGTATGGGTTTCGCAGTCTGTCAGATATCATTGTCGTCTTGTTCCCAATCCGTCACACAGCGCCCTTAGATCTTCCTGACTTTGTCGTCAAGATGCGTAATCCTTTTGCCATCAATGAAGGTATACATGGCCCAGCACCCAAACAGATCTATGGATGGAGGCCATATGCATTAGCATGCTCCTCATCGTGGGTAAGCATACAATTTTCCAGGAAAGGATGGAAGAGTAGAAACATGCTAATTGTCTCTCAACACAGGCCGCTGCCATGTTTGGCTACGACTCGGCGTTCATCGGCTCGACTCTTACCTTGACCTCGTTCAAGAACGACTTTGGACTTGGCGGCGAAGCGGCGACCAGACTAAGCTCAAACATTACCTCTATATTCCAAGCTGGTGCCTTTTTCGGTGCCATCTTTGGGTTCGTGATTGCTGAGAAATGGGGCCGTAAACCCAACCTGATTGTGTCGAGCCTGGTCTTTCTCCTCGGTGCCCTTCTGCAGACGTTCTGCAAGGGTTCATCTCAAATCGGGATGATGTATGCTGGCCGTATCCTCACAGGCATTGGCGTCGGCGCCAGTTCTCTTATCAACCCCATTTATATTTCCGAGTCAAGTCCTGCTGCGATTCGTAGGCGTATGATTGGAATCTTTGAGATCTTCCTTCAGATTGGTACGTGTTGCGTCAATCAGCAGCATATATCCTTCAACCTCCACTTCACATGCTCACAAGGTCACAGCCAGTCTCTGCGGCTTCTGGGTGACATATGGTGTCAACCAGGGTCTGCCATCAAGTACAATGCAGTGGCGCATTCCGTTTGCTGTACAGACTATTCCGGCCGGATTTTGTGTAATCTGCATGGTCTTCATGGTTGAGTCGCCTCGATGGCTGGCCAAGAAACGTCGGTACGCGGAGGCACTCGAGACTCTGGCCTGGCTACGCCATCTACCTGCCGACCATGTATACGTCCAGGAAGAAATGACACTGATTCGCACCTCGCTTGGGTCAGAGTCCGAAAATTTCGGAAGCGCATCCAACGCGCTCAGCCTGAACGCCTTGCGCGGCGCCTGGGCAGAACTATGGAGCCCCTCGATGCGCTTTCGTGTCGGGTTCGCCATGGCCATGAAGTGGATGAGCAACGTGTCTGGTGTCAATGCCCTCAACTACTATACTCCAGTCATCTTCAAATCCCTCGGCTTCAGCGGCGCCTCGGTCTCGCTGCTGGCCACGGGCATTTACGGGGTTGTGAAAAGCCTGGTCACGGTCATATTCCTCTGGTTCATGGTGGACCGCTGGGAACGTCGCCCGTTCCTCCTGATCGGAACCGGCATCATCATGGTCTGCATGTTCTACTTGGGTGCGTACAGTCGCATCTCGCACTCGTTCGAGACGTCGCCGCCCCGTGACGGTGGCGCCTACACGGCCATTGTTCTGACCTATGTTTATGCCGCCGCTTATTGCATCAGCTGGAATGCGGCCCCTTGGGTTTTTGCAGCCGAGGTGTTTCCAACCAACATTCGCACGCTGGGCATGCTGGTTGCTGTGCTCAACCAGTGGCTAGCCCAGTTTGTTATAGTCTATGCGATCCCCTATATGATTGCCGACATTTCGTACGGCATCTTCTTCTTCTTTGGCGCTTGCATCACCGTCAGTGGCCTGGCCGTGTACTTGTTGATGCCCGAAACCAAAGGCTTCCCGCTCGAGGATATGCATTACATCTTTGAGAATGGACATTGGTTCGCTCCAAGAATGAGAGCCGCTGCCGAGGAGCTACAGGCAGAGCAGAATCGCATGCGGGAGATTGAGGCGAACAAGCCTATAGTCGAAGAGATCCCATAAGTTCATCATCCAATGGAAAGTCGGAAGCTGTCGTGCCAATTTTCGAGTTTGACAAGATGGGCAATATCCTTAACATATAACACGGCGACTGCAGTGCTGGGAGAAGAAGTAGCGTGATCATAAAACTATCTAGTTGCGGTTGAAGCAATGCCTCCTTCGTTGTTGGTACCAATTTGAATTGCATTTCTGCCACATGTGATCGGGCCAAATTACACCCTTGTGGAATAAGGTCAGGTGTTGATGTGGCTTCGGCTAGAACACCGGAAATGGCCAGTCTATAAACACAGTTTTATGCGCTATAGCGAACCCCATATACGAGTTGAATTGCTGACGCCGTCGCCGTCGCCACCGCTACTAGAAGTTGATACAGATTTCTACTCATTCATCTAACCAACAGAAGACAAGACTAGAAATCTTGTGAGCTCACCTTCTCACATATATTGTTTTGCGCATGCGGTGGACGATGGAGGGGGTGTGCTCCGTACCGGACAAAGATGGACTTATGCGAACCCAGAGGTATGGTCGCATAAGCCAAATTGTTGAAACCCCTATAAACTGCGCGTGGACCAGCTAATGTCACTCTAATCATGATTGTAGAAGAAAAGAAAAACACATTACGCGCTTTTTAGTTATAGCAAAACGTAATAAAAGAAAAGAAGATAAAAAAGGAGAGAAAACATCGGTCATTTACAAGCAAAGACTCAGAAATTGACAATCAGTCAAGCGTCCTTTTTCAACAGCAAACCGTCGAGGGATAGATCAGCAGCAATTGGCAGATATTATACCTTGTCGAGAAGGAAGAGACCGTCTTTCACACGGGCCCGTTATGGCATGTTTTGTGGGGGAGGGGAAGGAAATCAAGCTTAAAAAGTCGGGATGAACTCCAAAGTCCAGGGCATTCAATTGACTGCGGGGAACCGCTGCTCGAGCTCATCTTACTCCGCCCATTGTCCGACATCTCCGCCACTGAACCCCAGCATAATCATCAGGGCAGTATGTATGCGTGCGTCGTGCTGCATGCCAAAATAACACAATTACACGTGTAGAAAGCAAATCCAGACTATATAACCTAGCACATGGGACCAGACTGTTGGGATATACGCGTGCCAAGCCATCGGAATACCATCCCCCAAGGCAATAAGACCGCGAGAAGCGCCGCCCCCTTAGGCAGTCTTCACCAACTCGTACAAGGAAACATACAGGCAAGGTCGGTACGGCGGAGATGTTTGCCACAAGAGAAAAACAGATCGCGGCTTGCCGAAGCCGAGAAAGCCCTGAGAACCAAAAGCTCGCGAGTTGCCCATGGTCTTTGTGGCCCCGAAGCAGGCCCGAATTACCCCAGGGCCCAGGTGATGTGCAGTCTTGGCACCATCCCCCGGATAGGCTGGTGGAGTCAAAGGAGCCAGAACGGACTGTAGTCAATGATGTGAACTACTACCAGGAACAAACGAGAATTTCTACGAGGAATTGGGGTAAGCGGGGAACACATGATGGGGATGGGGAAATAGCTGCATTTATTTTGTTATTCCGCTCAAGTTACGATGGCTTCGCAGGTCAAGAAACATGGGGCCGTATTGCAAGGATGTGGTATTTACCTGACTTATAAAAAGGACGTCACCGCCGGGTACATGGCGCACCTCAGACATTGCATGCATGCATCTAGGTTGCGACTGCTCTAGCCACTGCAAGCTTCACAGTCTTGTCCCAGAGGTAGTCTTTTCCCTCTTCCTTTTCACTATCTCCAGGGAGAAGGATCAACACAATGGCGAGCTTGATCGTCTTTGCCGCAGCTGCGGCGGCGGCGGCCGTCCTTAGGCGGGACTATCCGAGCGACACGACGCTGACAGCTTGTCCGGGATACAAGGCTTCAAACGTGCAGACGACTGCATCTAGTTTGACTGCAGACCTTACCTTGGCTGGCGAGGCATGCAATGTCTATGGTGCCGACTTGACCGACTTGATTCTCGAGGTTTCTTACGATACAGGTATATTGGCCACATAACCGGAGACGTGGATAGCTGGACTCGAGTCGCTAACATCATTACAGAGACCCGGTTGCATGTCAAGATTCAAGATGCCGCCAATGACGTATACCAGGTCCCCGAGTCCGTCTTTCCCCGGCCAGAGGTTGACGGAGGCTACCCAACAGCACAGTCTGCTCTCACCTTCAACTACACTGAAGAGCCATTCTCCTTTACCGTCTCCAGGACAGCGACCGGCGAGATCCTTTTTGACACTTCTGCCGCCAGCTTGGTTTTCGAGTCTCAATATCTCCGGCTGCGAACCAAGCTCCCCGAGGATCCTTACTTGTACGGCCTGGGCGAGCACTCTGATCCTTTCAGGCTAAACACTACAGACTACATTCGCACGATTTGGTCGCAGGATTCCTACTCTGTCCCCGAGGGTTCAAACCTCTACGGTAACCACCCAGTCTACTTTGAACACCGTGAAGGCGGCACTCATGGTGTCCTCTTCCTAAATTCGAATGGACTCGATGTCTTTGTCAACAATACGGAAGAGTCTGGCCAGTACCTCGAGTACAATTCCCTCGGAGGTGTTCTCGACTTTTACTTCATCGCCGGTCCTTCTCCGGTCGAGGTCGCCCAGCAATATGCCGGTGTCGTAGGTCTGCCAGCGATGCAGCCGTACTGGTCGCTTGGCTTCCACCAGTGCCGTTATGGATACCAGGACGCCTTTGACGTTGCCGAGGTCGTCTACAACTACAGCCAAGCAGAGATTCCGCTGGAGACCATGTGGACGGATATTGACTACATGTACCGCCGCAGAGTCTTCTCGTTGGATCCTGACAGGTTCCCCCTCTCCAAGATGAGGGAGCTGGTCGACCACCTCCATGCCAATAACCAACACTACATTGTCATGGTGGATCCAGCAGTGGCCTACCAAGACTTCCCGGGTACCCTCCAGCGCGGTATCGACGACAATGTCTTCATGCTCCGCTCCAACGGTTCGGTATGGAAAGGTGTCGTCTGGCCAGGTGTGACAGCTTTCCCTGATTGGTTTTCGGCGAATATCACGACATTCTGGAACAACGAATTTGCCGAGTTCTTTTCACCCGAGACTGGTGTAGATATCTCAGGTCTTTGGATCGACATGAACGAACCATCCAACTTCCCATGCTACTTTCCGTGTGACAATCCGGACTACTATGCCATTGGTTACCCTCCGGAGCCTCCGGCCGTGCGATCGCCACCAAGAGAGCTGCCTGGTTGGTCTTGCGATTTCCAGCCCGAGGGCACAGATTGCGAGCAGTCTGAAGTGGCAACTCGGGATATTGAAGTTGTTGAGCCCCGAGACGGCTTTACTGGCTCAGAGGATCATGTTTGGTTTTCCAAGCGTCAAGAAGGCCAACAACTAGGTCTTCCTGACAGAGATTTGCTATATCCCAAATACCCCATCCACAATAAGGCAGCTTACCAAGATGATTGTGAGTGTACAATTTAGATTGGACTTTGCCAATCACTAATTTGAAAACCTTCAGGGAACGCCGACAAGGGTGGTATTTCAAACAAGACTGTCAACACTGACCTGATTCACCAGAATGGGCTCACCATGTACGATGTAAGTTGAGGATTCGCTCTACTCTCGTTTCATGTTTTCTCTTTTAGGGTGAAGAACTAATATCCCACCATAGACCCATAATATCTACGGATCAATGATGAGTGTTGCATCCCGTGAAGCCATGCTGGCACGCAAACCTACCCTCCGGCCTCTTATCATTACCCGGTCAACATTCGTAGGTGCTGGTGCCAAGGTCGGTCATTGGCTGGGCGACAACCTGTCGACATGGTGGCACTACCGTCTAGTGATTCGCTCAATGTTTTCTTTCACGGCCATTTATCAAATTCCAATGGTTGGCGCTGATACCTGCGGTTTTGGCTCAAACACGACCGAGCAGCTCTGTGCCAGATGGGCAGCACTAGGTGCCCTTACTCCATTTTACCGCAACCACAACGACATTGCCGCTATTTCTCAAGAGTTCTATCGCTGGGATTCGGTCGCGGACGTGGCCAGAAAATTTATCAACATCCGATACCAACTTCTCGATTACCTGTACACGGCCCTCTACCATCAAACGACTGACGGTACCCCAAATGTTCTGCCCCTTTTCTATGTCTATCCCGAGGACAAGACGACCTGGGATCTGGAATTACAGTACTTCCTCGGACCCGGCCTCTTGGTTGCCCCCGTGACCGAGGAGAACGCGACGAGCGTCGACATTTATCTGCCCAATGACATCTTCTACGACTTTTACACGCACGAAAAGGTCGAGGGCCAAGGTGCATACATTACGCGCGAGGACCAGAGCATATCGGATCTCCCCTTGTATTACCGAGGCGGTGTCATCGTCCCGCTCCGCGCCAACTCGTCCATGACGACAACAGACCTGCGCAAGCAAGACTTTGAAATCGTCATTCCTGTCAATGCCAATGGTACCGCCCAGGGCGAGCTTTATCTCGATGATGGCGTGAGCCTTGAGCAGACCGGTGTCACGGCCATCACATTTGCTTTTGATGGCACATACCTGACGGCCGAGGGTACCTTTAACTATGAGACTGAGCTCAAGATCTCCAAGGTTACGGTTTTGGGCTCGCCGTCATCCAAGAAGTGCCGACGCAGTGTTAGCGTTGATGTGAACCAACCCCTTACTGAGGGTTTCAAGATCCAGGTTGTCTAGAAGAAGGCCAGCGTTCGTGTTCCTCCGCACGACGAGCTGTGAGAGTTGCATGATTGTTCCCTAAATTCATATACTAATTCATGATTTACGATGTTTTGTAAATGTGATTCAATAATAATGTGAACAGATCATGTCGAAATGTTGCTCGCGTATTTTGATTCCAGTGTACTCAAGTTACATCACTCTTATTCTTGTTACCAATCATTTGTAGCCTGTGACACATACACCAGCTTGCTAATACCGTAAACCCATCAACTAGACGGCACCATAATTCGGTCGACATCGGGCCCATAGGTCCCGTCGCCAACGCCGGCAATGACCACCGTGTTACTGCTTCCGCTGGTGAGCTGAGCGTGCACGACACTGCTGGCCGGGGTATTGCCGTCCTCGCTGGGCAAAAAGGCAACCGTCTGCGCCACACCATTGACCGTTACCTTGGCGAAGCGCTGGCCGGTATTACCGTTTTCATACTTTATACGAATGGTGGACTTGGTGCTGGCTGAGCTCGACACGCCGCTGAAAGTGACGGAGCCGCCCGAGGAGCCCCCAATGTATCCCGCGGCCTTTGTGCCCGAGCAGCCCGAGCACGACACGGACGTGGCGCCGCCGGCGAGCGTGGCCGACTCGCCCTCGGGCTGGGTCTCGGATGGGCCGGCGGCCCAGGTCCCCGCCGACGCGTTGGGCACCCAGTTCACGTAGTTGGCCATGGAGACGGTGGTGCCCGAGATGCTGAGCGGCAGCCACACGTAGGTGCTGCGCATCAGGTTGGACGAGACCCAGCGGTCGCCCATGTATATGGCCGAGGACCCAAAGGGCAGAATGTAGTTTGTCTGCGACGTGTACGTGTTGGAGCCTGTCGTGGCAAAGGTGGCCCATGAGGACCAGGGTCCCGAGAGGGATGTAGCGTAGGAGTATACCTAGGGGCGATGACGAATAATCAGTAATTGTTTCTTTGTCTCGTTTCTCGCTCTTGCGAAGAATGAATAGGCATATGTCAGGTCGGGAAAAAAAAGGCTTACATTGTCGTTTGGACTCCAGCCAGTCAAGTGGCTACCAAACATGAAGTAGTATCCATTCTTCTTCAGGATGGCTGGCGCCTCAATCGAGTCACTCCACAGGTAAGTCGCACTCGTTACGTTGAGATAGTCCGAGGTGAGAGCATCGATGCGTAAACCGTTGGCACGCTAACATATTGTATGTTTGTTAACAATAGCTTACAGATGGGACTTATAGATAAAGTCGACGGGGAAACTCTTGAACAAAACTCACATCCTCGGTCAACAGATACGCCTTGCCGTCGTCGTCCTGGAAAAGACCCATGTCGCGGCTCTGGTAGCCAAGCGGCCTCCAGCTGCCCAGGTAGCTATAGGCACCACAGACCGTGTCCGAGGTGGCGACGCCGACCTTGGCCTCGCTATAGTCGCTGCTGTCAATGTGCATGTAGAGCACATACTTTTTGGTGCTCGAGTTGTAAATGACCTTGGGCCGCTCAACGACGCGGCTGGGGCCTAGATCGCCCGACGACGACGTCTGCGATAGTAGCGCGCCCACGTACGTCCACTCGACCAGGTTTGTCGACGAGTAGCAGTTGATGTTTTGAAAGGCGCTGCCGTTGGTCTTGTCCTCGCCAATGAGGTAGTACGTCGAGCCGACCTGGATTACGCCAGCTCCGTGGGCTTGAACATGTTTAAGCGTGTTGGTCTGTGTTGTTTTGTACATGCACAGAGTCAGCCAAGAGACATGTTGACATTTTCAACCAAGACACTTGTCGAAAGAACGTTAAACCTACCGCGGTCCATGTTGCGCCTGGGACGATCTGCAATGTAGCACGAGCTACAGTTGCTGCGAGGAAGAGCAAGCCGGTCTGCAGAAACCTCATCGTGATGCGGACGTCGTGTCTGGGTAAAAATCAGGGGGGAGCCTTAGGAAGGTGTGTGATCGCTTGCTCTAGGTGTCCGACCTGAATGGCAAGCATCGCGAGTTTCCTCCATTATATATACCATACTATCGGGTTCATTTAATGAGGGTTTTCCAAGTGGAATGGCGACGGCTTGCTTGGTAACATTGAACCAACGTCCTTTCATGCACACAAACTAGAGAGCACTTCGATCCGCTCCGGACCGAGGAATTAATGTGGGCATATTTTTTCGTATATTGCTGCAGATTCCCCAACTCTTTGGCTGCAATAATTCGTGGACAAACACCCCCGCATAAATGGGCCACAATCGTGGTTCGGCTTCCCTTCACGTGGACTCGATGGTTGTAACCGCATGCGCGCATTGAGCAGCTAGAAAAAGAAACAATAGTACAAAATAGTGTTGCATCTGGCTGGCGCGCCTAAAAGCAAGGAACCGACGGTGCCGTACCTGGCATTTGTGGGGTACAGATATAGGCCAGGGGTGGGCTTACCGTTTCCCCATATGGCTGAAGATGTGCCGAGACAGACAAACCACCCAGTTAGTACATTTGATAGTACGTAGATTTTGGTCTTGCCTCAGGTAGAGACTACGTACTAGAATACGAATCCCCGGCGGCATGCTTCGGGGTTCTGTTAGCAATGGTCCGCGAGCTCTCCCAGGCCTAGTCGAGCCCCGACAATTACTCAGGTTTACATGTGAAAACAGACGCTATAATAATCTGCATGTACCATCATATATCATCTCTGTAGGTACTGTAGGTAGTCTTGGAGTACTGCTCTTGTGCATGAGGCAGCAGGTTGTACTCATACAAGCAGCCTGTATGAGGCTGAGTGCGGGAAAGAGAGAAAAAAAGAAAAGGTGATCATGTCGCATCCATCATAGCATTGGTCATAAAAAAATGTGGCTCGCCCTTTTGTTTCCTAGAAATTGCGCCGTGCGTTATCATTCGATCCGAGCACCCGGTTCGTTCTGTTGTTCAAGTTCCTTATCAAATAATTTCCTATTCCGCTATGTCACACATCCCAAATCCCAAATTTCGTCTTGAAGCGCGCCCATCGTAGCTCAGCAGCATTGCCCGCGATTGCCCGGAACTTGTTCCGGAGGCCGGAGGCCGGTCTGTCGGTATTGTCAAGTCCACAGCCCATTAGGGTCTGTGGTACTGCAATGAATGACGTGCTGAATTGCGGCGTCTCAAGCAGCTCAACGTATTCGCTAACATGATTTCTTCGTATCATCCGTCTACCTCCATCTTGTCCTCCACCAACGTACTGGCCGCAACTATGACGTCCTCTTCCGAATTTCGTGAAGGCGCGTCTGAATGATTACCAGCACCATTGTTCTTATGGTTAGACTCTTTCTCTCCCGATCCGGGCCCGCTGCAGAGTCGATATTCGCCATCCTCCTTTCGTTCTATGACGCCCTCGTCCAACGCCCACTTGGCTAGGAGACGGTCAACGCCGAGTCTTGCGGCTTCGCCTTTCTCCATGTGTCTTCCCACGTGCTCGGTCCATTCATCCCACGAGGTGGGACCTTCAAACACACTGGCACAGTCGGGCTTGGGGCAAGCTGAGCGCTGCGGGGGCTTCCTGCGCGTTATCAGACATGATGTCTGCATCTCTTTGACGTGTGTTTCCCATTCCACTTGTAATTTGCTGTCCCCTTTGGCAAGAGCTTTCTTGATGGCAAAAGGTGCATGCATCCTCCTCAAATGTTGAGTAAAGAGATCTTTTCTGTTGAACTCATTGCCTTTGCCCTCGATGCTGCTCTGTGGACAACTAGAGCATCGATAATAAGTCAGACAAAGATGCTGTGAAGCGATATGCCTTTTCCATTCATTCTTAGAACCAAATGTACTCGGGCATCCCGCAAATGCAAATGCACAAGGGAACGGCCGGGTATGTGCCGCTGCAATGTGTTTCCTCAATGATGACGAATCTTTGAATGGTGCGTGACTGCAGAGATCACAACGCGTCTCCTGCTTTGGTGTAACTTTTGCAAGAGACCGACGCGGTTTCGGTTTCGCAGTAGGTGTGGTGTGTTGGACCTCATCAAAGCCACTTTCGTTCATGCTATGTGAGGAGCTCTCATCGTGCTTGATGTCTGGGGTAAGCTCCATGAGTGATGAATTCGCCGGCGCTGCAGATCCTTCATCACTAAGATGCCGGACATGGCTTAGAGCTTTCAGTTGCTCAGCTGCTTCTTGCATCTCTGCCGAATCTTCACCATCGTCCTGCTGTTTGACCACAATAACAGGCGTCGAGGTGGCGAATGCGGCATTGCCAAGTGGCTGACTTAAACTACTCGGGTCGGTACGAGGAGTCCCCTCCGGCCGTGCTGGTGTTTCTGGATGTCTTGACACATGGTTGACATCTGCGTGGCTATGCTCATATCTGTGGGCGACGGCTGCTGCCGTGGCTGAGGCGGAAGCTGCTTCACGCGCTTCCAGCAGTATACGGCCGTCCTCCGGGGTGACTTTGGCAGAAGAAACTGATCCTACAAGTCGCTTGTAAATGTGCGTCAAGTTTCTAGAGGTGATGTAGCCCAGGAAACAACACACTTTGTCGTGTTGCACAACACTCCAGACAGACCCAGGCATTGATATTAGGAGCATTGTGGGTGGTCCAAGAAACATACCCTCAACGACGATCTTGGAAGCCGCCCCCGGAGAAGTATGCAGCCATTGGTCGAAGGATGACATGTCCGGACTGGCTTCCCCAACAAACGTAGTACAAACCAGGACTCGTGCCTCGTCAAACGTCAATTCGGCTACTGATTGAGGTTGTATGGTCTGGTCAAGCTGCGAAACTCCAGAGGAATGCGTCTCGCCATCAGCTTGCGTGTGAGATTCTGGTCGGGCTGGCAGCGGGCCCAGGGTGATGGACTGGTTCTTGCCACGACCTAAACATTGTGATATGGGCAGTTTCTCAGCTAGTGAAATGCCTTTTGAAGCTCCATTAGTGAGACTGGAGTTTTGCAATAGTTCCTGCTGACGATTCCATGCGACTTCGTGCCACAAGTGGTCCGCGGTAAAGGGTCTCCCCGTGCTCAACCTGTGAAATGCTTCCGTAAGAAGTACGGTAAAGGAGCGTCCCGGAAATTCCTGAGCGGATTTTTCAGGACCATGTGCTGCGATGACCTGTCTCAAGCTCGCACCATCGCTCGGTGCTGCCACGTCTCTGGTGGTGCATGAGTCCAGGAGGAACAAAGTATCCGACGGCGATTCGTCAAACAAGCAACGAAGACCTTGCCACCTCAACTTGATTGCGTTGTCCGTTGGATTGCTAACGACATTGTGGTCAGAGAAACGGTATTCCCAGGTCAAGCTCCGGGAGCCTCACCTTGCCCAAAAGAGCTGGTTGTCCATGCCGACATAGGCATGACCAGCATAGTAAATGATCAGCAGATGATCCGGGGCCTGCCTCTCGAGGAAATTCTGCACGCGGATGCCCAGTTTGATGCTGGCACTTGCGACTGCTGGTATATTATACCTTTCAGTACGAAAGTTATACCTCTCCCGGAGGAGCTGCTCAAAGGTATCAAGCTCCTCCAGAGCTGCCGCTCTCTGTTCTATATCGTCCTTGTCCTCCTCATCCTCATCCTCATTCCCCTCCCCATCAATTACCTCGTCTTCCCATTTGAGAATCAAGACCGAGACATTGTTATAAGGCGACTTTTGCGATTGCCGGTGTATCAGCATGGCGGCATCTTGCAGGTGTCTCGCAAAGGACTCGAACTCGTGTCTCTCGGGCGGTGGTGGGGCGGCCTGAGCGGCCTCCTGAACTGGGTAATGCTGCTGCGGCGGCGGCGGCGGCGGTGGGGCCTGTGGTGGTCAGCAATGGGCCTTTGGAGAACCTGCACATCTCTAGACTGGCCCGAGACGACCCAGGACGTACAGCTTCATGGGGAGAATAGGCAGGCAATGACTGCGGCGGTTCTTTGGGAGCGAGGCGCCTCTTCTTAGCCGCTGGAGGGTCCATCGCTGGCAGAGCGGTGCAGTTTCAACGGTCAATTGGGAGGGTCGCGACGCAAGCTGGGCGGGTAAAGAAGGGTAATTGAACAGACAAGAGTGCTCCAGAATGGCTCAGAGGCCCGAAACCTCGGAATTGCAATTCATTCGAAAAAATACAGCCAATAAAAGAAAACGGCGTCGAGGAAAACCAGCACAGTCGACGACGGGGGACAACTCAGCAGCCTTACGACTTGGGCTGCCGACGAGGCTGTGTCGACTGTCCACTTTTGCCCAGGTTAATTCAGGCGGTGTCAACGTTAAGGATCTGCTGACGATTTGAACTAGATTTGACAGTAAACCGTGTCTAGGCCCAACAAACCGGGGTGTGTTTGATATATTTTAAGGTACGGGCGGGGCTCAATGCTGTTAGGGGAAGACCAGATATACTGCTCTTTTGTATACGAATATCAAGTATCGGCTAACAAGCGTGGGGTAGCGTAGGCACCAAGAGCTCGAGATATCTTCACTGGTTGCAAGTTTATGCTTATACCCCTTCATATCATATTAACCGAGTCCACTACAACGCCTCGGTAGCATGGATCTTTGCTGGTGGTGGAGATGAGATGAGTTGTCAGCTCTATTGATGGTAAAGAATAAGTATCAGGTAGCACTTTGCATTTCCAAGATCATTGAGATGACGGATCATTTGGCTGTATAATACCAAGAGACTCATCAATTCATTGTATCTCAACTTGATGCATTCATTGCGGCCTCCTTGAGCATGATGACTCGTCTCGATCCAAGACATACATGCCTGAAGTGGCGTTGCGCGACCATAACACGAATTAATCAAGTGTCTATATCGCTAGCTCGATTACCGCGGAAGTGATGCGGACTTTGTGAGACGGTCCAACATCCAATGCCGTACAATCAGGATGCGACAGGCATAGTCCTTCTTGAGCTCCATATTCCGATCTCAATGCATAACATTATTACATTTATACAATTCTTCACCCAGCGCGTGTCTGGTCATTGGTGCTTTGATAATTTTACTGCCAACTGGGTATTATCTCAAAAGCAATACAACAATAGCTCATGGTCTTTAGCCAAACTAAGACGGTTTTGTAGTTCCGGACATCCAAATCGACGTCCCTGGAAGACGGCTAACCAGAGCGCATAGTGCACGCTTCGCAAAACTTTGTACACAAAGATTGTCTTTCCTCCTTATCCATACATTTCCCAGCCTGTTTCAGGATGAGCTCAGCCGCACGCCACAATCTCATCTCCACTAGATGGCATCGTGGCTATCCTTGTGCTCAGCCTCGACAGCAAGCTTCTCCTCTGGAGTAACCATGTTGCGCTCCTCTCGGATGACGCTACGGTCGTTGTGTGTCTTCCAGGCAGGAGTGCCAATAAACTTGATAGATCCAGGCTTGCTGTAGTCGAAGATCGCCTCAACCTCCTCGAGGGGCTTGTTGGCTGTTTCCGGAAAGAGAAAGAAAGTGTGCAGAAACATGGCGACGAGGAAGACGGCAAAGAGCACGTAAACCTTCCAGGTAATGCTAGCAAAAGCGGGAGGCACAAACCAGGCCAGGGCAAAGTTGAAAGCCCAGTTAGCAGAGGTTGCGAGTGCCACCGCCTTGCCACGGACGCGCAGAGGGTACAGCTCCGGGGGGTAGGTCCAAGATACAGGTCCCCAAGTCGGGGCGTATGAGGCGACGAAGAGGTAGGTAGAGGCGATGACGGCCTTGGCTGGGGCGCCGGAGATGGCCATTGACTCGGAGTCGGTTGTGAAGTGGTCCGATTCGACAGGAGGGCGGGAGTAGACTGCAAACAGACCAGCATTGATGCACATCCACAGGCACATGAAGAAGGCACCAATGAGTAGAGTCGGTCGACGACCCCAGGCATCCATCCAGATAAGTGCCGGAACCGTCAATACGACGTTGATGATGAATTGAATGCTGCTAGGAAGCAGCACATCTGCTCCAAGGCCTGCCATGGTGAAAACATACGTAATGTAGTACATCATGACGTTCATGCCTGTGAGCTGGGACCAAATTTGGGTAAAAATACCTGCAGTGGTCAGCATTCATTTTGGATCTCACAGTCGCATCACATCTAGGATACATACCAATATGGGTTCGGTTGATCATGTTCGGCTTAAAGAGCTCGAACCAGCTGACATCAGCATTCTGGCGCTCAAAATCGACCACCTCCCGAATCTCGGCCAGCTCCTTGGCCACAAAGGTGGAGTTGGGGTCGCCCTTGCCGTGCACGAGAGTGAGAACCTCCTTGGTCTCCTCCCAGCGATCCTTCTTGGCTAGCCAACGGGGCGACTCGGGCATGAAAAGAAGACCAAGGAAGAGCAGCACAGCAGGGAGCATCTGAAGACCCCATGGAATTCTGAAGGCGGCGGCGCCGCTGATCTTGCTACAGCCGTAGCAGATGAAGAACATGATCATGATACCCCAGGTGATGGCCCATTGCTGCATACCGACCAGTCTTCCACGCTTGGAGGGTGGCGCCAGCTCGGTGATGTAAACGGGGACTTGCGCAGAGCAGATTCCGACACTGATACCGTTGATGACACGGCCGGCAACAAGCATAGGAATGTTGACCGAGGCGCAGCAGATGATGGAGCCAATGACCCTATTAGGAGGTCAGCGTACTCTCCACCTGCATTCCATGCATGATAGCTGTTGTTCACTCACCAGATGATAGATCCGACCTGAATAGAGGTCTTTCGGCCGAGTATATCAGAAATGAAGCCGGATACCAACGCGCCGCCCCACGAACCGGCCGGCATAGATGCAGTAATTCCTCCCTGGAGATTGGATGATGGGCCACGGCAAAGGCCATCGTCGCCATTGCCTTGTTCATTGAATTGACATAGATAGGGTTGTGTAGAGATGATAGCACTCATGGACGAGATATCGAAGCCAAACAGACCACCACCTATATGATTGGACAACACGTTAGATCCGTTATAGAAAGGCGCCAAAGAGGCGACATAGTCTTGTGTGTGTATATGTATGGAGTAAACCTACCAATGACGGCGATGGCCGCAATGAAATAAATGTTTCCAATCTTGAAAACCATGTTTATCTAAGACCTCCGTGGCCTAGACTTTCCTAGGTGATTTTGTTTCGGTCTGTTCCAAGGGAGGATAATCAAAGGGAGACCAGACTTTTAGGAAGACGGGCGAGGGGGGTGTCAGTCTTATAGGAGATGCAAGGTGGAGCGAAAGCTTAGTTGTACATATTAACTCTTTCGTAGGTGCCCAGGTGGTGGGTAACAGGTCATGTACGTAGTAGGAGGTAGTCATGAGAAAGTCAAGGTCAAGTTGGCGGCTCCAAAGCCCCGGGCCACGGTTGGCGTGATCCCGATCAACATCAAGCTTTTGCTACTCTCAAGGTACCTGCCTGCTGCACTTGGGAGGGTCGAGTGACTGACAGACCCGACCAGACAGCGGTTGAAAGGGTAAGCACAATCCTTGCAAGCAGGCATCCTGGTCTGGTTCGGCGTGGCTTGCAACTGACGGAAAGCGACATGGCGAGCATGGATTTTTAGTCTTCCAGCTCGTCCGGTTGGCAGATCGTAACTTACGCGAGGCCGTTTGCGGAAACTGGCGAAGGTGGGTTGATCGGTCGCATGCCTCCATGTCCTCCATGCCTAAGGTAGGCACATATGTACATGGCGCGCCAAATGTTAAAGCTCACCAGGGACTTTTAGATCGGGAACGGTAAAGAGAAAGACAGAGATAAAAAGTTGACTTTCTCCCTTACCTAGGCGCGGGTATGAGTAAGGTGGTGTAAGTTCACCAAGACCATCAAATGGGGCTTGGCATCTACCTGATTACTTTTCTTTCTATTGTCGTTCCCTTTTCCCTACTGCTTGACGTCCATGGGTACCACCACATGTGACGGGGTTGATCCGTATAGGTACATGAGCAGCAGCAGCAGCAGCATACCAACAAATTAGTATCCATGTCATAGAAAACGTCCCACTCTCGGACTTTCAATTTTTAATGGTCACACGCAACGGAATTGATTTGGTAAAGAAGTTGCGCACAATAAAAATTTCAGCAATCAGGATTCGGAACATGTCCAAGAGCCCACGCGAAGACTGGGGTTCGGTTATCCGTGGGTGGGTAATGCGCTGGAAGTCTGAGACCACCCCAGTTCCAACTTTCCCCCAATCCCCGAACTCCCCAAGCTCCCCCATGGAGAACTGAGTCGAAGGATCGCTCTATACGCCGTAGTAGGGCCGGTTCGCGTTGGATTTGCTGATCGCAAGATGGGCTCGTCTTAGATTATCTTAGTCTTGTCTCGCGAGTCCTTAACCAAAGCCTTGTCTGCCTGCCTCGACGGGTTCTACATTAGTCCTCGAAACTACTGCATGTATTGAACAAGTCACGGGGCAGAGATGAACCTCGGTGAGAGAGACAGACAGAGAGCAGGCAAGGAGGGTCCTCTCGTGTGGTAACGGCCCATACAATCCATTGCGGCGACAAAAGGGATGTGCTACCAACATTCAGTGCGCGATCCGATTTTCCCAGTGATTCAAGTAATGGGATTGGCAGTATTCAAGGTTCGGCCAGTCGTCACTAAAGTGCTGTCAGATCCTGGGGAAAGCCCCCCAAGGCGAGCTTATTTGCTGAATTATGCTTTTTCCTCTTTTTTTTGGCGCCCATTGCCCACCTGCTTCTTGCTGGTGTATGTACAGATGGAGTTTGGTTTAAGCCATGACTCTGATCAGTTCTCCTTGACAGGTGCTTCTGCTTGCTGTCAGGGCTCTCTGATGCTTCTTTGCACTATGATTGCAATTTGCTCGCAGCGATTCTGATATCATTCGAGCCTCAATATGTTTCATGCAAAAGAACATACGTCAGTGGCGTCCATTCCCGCCTCGGCAAGCCATTGACCAGGATCGGGGCCAGGGCCAGGACTGAGGATTTATGTTCACCCATCTCTTTTCTTTTTCCTTTTTTCTTTGGACGATTGCGGTCATGGGGGGGTAATGAGGGGAATAGGTACCGCATTTGGACTAGCCCTTGCGGTTCACTGGGGCCAAACACGGAGAAGCCTCCCCAGATTGTCTGGCCCAAAATGAGACGCCCCCAAATTCTCCTCTTCTTCTCCAATGTTCCAAACCGATCGTCTCCACATCAGGCATTCACTAAATAACAAGCGGAGGGGGCCGAACGGGGATAGGAAAATTGTAGGAAAAAGAGAAAAACTTACAATGAATTTTTGATCGCACACTGTTTTGGACTCTACCACGTTACAGTCAGTGGATCGCTGACTCGCACTATCTCGGCGGTCTACGAAAATATTCACTGGCTCGGTAAACACTCGAGGTACCTGTTCTGTAGCATACGTTGACCGCCTACAAGAGTTTACGAGAGTTTCCGACTCGTCTTCTCCAGCTTACTCAATGGCCGTGGTCACGATGTACAAGAATTATGCAGCTAGGTCTGCGATTTGCTGACAATGGACTTTTGGACCTGTTCGCAAAAGGGGTCCAGACAACGAAGACGACTATTCGTATCAATTCGTGTCAAAACCCATGAATCCACCACATGTTTGACTGGTCCAGCGGTTGGATCTGCGTGTAAGCTTGTTTCAACTTCCGGGCCGAGCCATTGTGCAATCAGAGCACGTCAAAGTGTCTCACAAACCAAAATTCTTAGAAACACATGTGTTGCGGCTCGGAAGGGCATTGCTTGTATAACAGCCTCTTTGCAAAAAGGCACGTGTTTGGCCGGGTCGATGACAAGACATCTTGTCTCATTGATAAGTTCAACATACTCGCAGTAAGGCCGGGCCTTACCCGATCATGATGCTAAGGACTTCTTGTCATAAATCATGCATTCGTTTTTTGTTTCCCTTGAGCCATCGAATTCGAGTCCAGGCTTGGCTCCTTCGAGGCTGCAAATCCCTAGGGGAAAATCAAAAGTCTATAAGTCAGTGAATGCAATGCACCTTGTCTTGTGCCCAAACATCTGGATAGAGTTTATGCAGACCCAAGATGGTGGAATTGTATTTATTTATAGGGATGGCAAGCAATCCTCGACTGGACGGTCCCATGATTCGTCTTTCTAACCATTAGCATCAAATCTTAAAGCTTGTTTGAGGTCTACAGCCACAAGAAATCACGTACAATCTGGGTCTTGTGACCGGACCAGAATTGCAGGGCCGAATTCTTCATCACGTCAGTGTTACTTGTAAGCAACGTTCTTGTGCTCCTCTCAGATACTCCTGGCGGGAACACAGTCGCGCCTCGAGACATGCTTGGTGTTGACGTGATGCGGATAATCCGGATTCGTGCCTCGGCTGTCTGCTTGGACTGCACTCGACCGCACTGACGTGCATACACTCCGCCTCTGAATGTGTATTTCATCTTATGGCCAAGCATAAATGATGACATGAACATCAGTGTTCCGCAGCCAAGATCCAGTCACCGATTTGATGTCTGCAGGGTGTCCTTAGTCAGCAGAGTGACTCTATTTTTTCCTGGTCCGAATTTCATCGACACCCAGAAATTTTGCGCCCTCGATTCGTGAATTGCAGCATTCTATGCTATTCTACTTACTTTTTGACCATGGTATGGACGACGTCCGAAGCAGGTCTTCCATGGTCCATGTCCAAGGTCAGATTTGCATGACTCTCTTTTGAAGCCGCTGATGGTATGAAACCACTCCACTCTTCTTTCCTTTGCGAACAACGGATCTGGCTTTGGATGGGTTCTTGTTGGAGAGAGGCAGCTCGCTTCAATCTTGACGAGGAACATTTTCTGGGCACAATCACATCAAGAACGATTATGTTTGTTTTGTGTCTGGTACTCGGCTCGTATGGGCGGGGCTACTCTTTTTCTCAGCTGTGAGACATGCTCAGACCAGTCTATTACGGACACAATCTCACAGGTAGGTTTTCCAAAATCTATTCTGGTTTTATGATCGTTGAGATGTCTGTGTTACGTTAAGTTCGACTCCATTCTTGTGTCGCTCATATAGTAAGGATCCTGGATACGAATTACACAACCTGGTCCATGCTGCGTGGAGGGAGTCAAATGGCTTAAGAAAGCATCAGAGAATTCAAGTTCTAACTACCTTGTACGGCAACACGAATTTCAAGCGTATGGCTCAGAGCATCAGAATAGTGATACTGACGAGGAGGAGAATGAGCTGTTCCAATGAAGGCATGATTCACTGCCTTGGATGGCAAACTCCGCAGCTCCATCGCTGTCGTAAGTAAAACAGCCCTTCAACATCTCGCTTTTCCAGCTCTCCCGAAGCGACTCGAACTCTTCTCAAGATCTTCGTCCAAATTGAACCTCCCGCCGGCTCAGTATAGGTAGGGAAAGAGACGAACTGAACGAATGAGATTTGGTAAAAACACGTGAATCGGAGGAAACCGAGTCGAAAGATTAGTCTGCTAAGCGTTTCTCGACTGGATTTGTCAATGGCGTACAATGACGACCTGTCAATCCTCTTCTGTCTCTCGTTTATGAGTGCTTGCTCGATCTTATCTACTCAAGACATTCTCGAAATGAGATTTTCGAATCATGATTTTACCAACGTCAGCCATCTTATCGCTCGTGTTGGGCAAGTTCATTCAAGCAAGTCACGGCTGTAGGTCAAGTCTGGTGAGACTTTGATATACCAGCCCCTGCCAGAACTCGAAAAACGATCTGGCAATATATTCGCGGCAAGAGCTCGTTGCCAGGTAGGAAAGGTGGCCCCAAGAGTACAACAGCGATATGATGTAGTCAAAAATATCTTGCTACTGGGTTGTTCTCGGGCTGCATAAGTAAACAAGCCCAGAGTACATTCAAAATTGCTGGACTGAACAGGTTGTGCCTTACTAGGCCTAATGTAAATACTCGCAAAGAGCTTCCAGGAGCGGCAAGTTATGATTCCATGTCTGCAATGTGCGTCTATCCTACCTCCAAGGGAATGCTTCTTATGTGAAGATAAGAACAGTTTGGGCATGAGAGACGGCAGTCAATTCCAACATTGTTGCACCTCGCGTTGTCATGAAGTCCGAAATGGTGAACAATACGTACCTGGGACCCATCACGTGGCGTGGATGTCCACAAATTCGAGGCAACCCGAGATCTGAGTGAGATCATGATTTGGTGCCCTATGATTGGGTCGCAATACGAAGGGCCTTTGGCTGCTTTCGGTCCTTACCTATGCCCGCTTAAAAACCCAGAGTTTGTGGCGAGCTTTGCGATATGGAGACGAGGACACCCACTAGCGAGCACCGCCACACGGAACCGATGCGACCTTCGAGTCTTTGGCGCCAGTGGAAGAGCCGCTGGCAGCCAATGACAACCCAGCATCGAGATGGTCATTGGGCATTTATTGCCCAACAATGACTCCATTGGACTCTTGAGTTGCTTGGGTTTCTTGGATCTACACGGTCCGACAATGGGGAACTGGGAACTCCTGAGAATCGCATCCCCAGTTGTCCAGGAACGAAAACATGCAGCAGCGGCTGCCTCCTCGAGGCGATATTGTGTAGGCTTGTGGAGCTGTCTTGTCTTTTGGGGCCCGCAGAGTTCAATAGCATTGCAATTCACAGTCAAGTCAGTGCCCGTCGGTCCACCCACTCACTGTCTTGGGAGACATCTGACGTACGTCACATGCAAGTAACGGTCTTGTCCCGTCTGCACTGAATAGACGAGAGCAGTCATTGATGCTGCAATGTCTGCGACAGAATCACTTCACATTGTGCATACGTATAACCACGGGCCCAGGTCATAGGCTATGGCGTATCACCAACCTGACAATAAGGATGCAACCATATCTAGGAAATAGAAGACAGCAAGCAACTAACGCGGTAGCATTTGTTTAGATGCCGGCTTGCCGAACCAGTGATAATTCAAGTTTTGATCGCAGAAGCGCAGCCAACTCGTACTATGTGCCTTTTTTTTCTTTGGCCCTTCCAGTATCCGACAGGGTCTTTCACAGCCACACTAGAGCAGCTGCCAAACGCAGGGACGCCCCGCTATTCGCTCATCCGAGAGAATCGTTCTTAAGCTTAACAGGCGTGAGATGTTTGAGACCGTTGATGGGAAACTTCCCTTCAAAAACGTTATTCCTGCAACTAAAGAGAATTACCGAAAGACCATTGAGCATAGGCTATCGGCATGCCCGTAGAGCAGCAGCTTCTTTGCACTACTTGCAAGCCAGCCATCATTATTCTTTTCTTACGGGCTTGCTGATAGACATTCATCATAGTTGATCTCTGTGTCTTGCCCCGGTCCGTCTCTTCTCATCGTGGCGCATCCTTGCCCGCTGAGCCCACTCTTGCGTAATACCCAGGCACTCAGTCAACTCAAGTGAAAACCAGCGCCAAACTACACTAGGGCGACCGTCCCGCGACGCCTACTAGGTACGGCGGAGTCATTCCTCCCACCAAGGCCGGCTTTGCTTGCTTGGCCAAGGTAAGGTAGGCGCGCGCTGAATATCCATCCATCTGTCTGTCTGCCACCGATTGCGCCGAGCCTATATTCCAGGCAGGCTCACCAACTTTAAACCTTCTTTCACTCCCTCCCTCCCTCCTCTACCAAAGTTTCTTGCTGCTACTTGCCACTCGAGAAATCACAATGGAAGACGACGTAGGGCTGAAGAGAAGGGACACCATCAAAGGCCCTCCCTTGAGGATACTGTCTCTTGGTAAGTAGTCTCGAAAAATCCCACTCCCCAAAGATGAACCCTGCTCCTGTTGCTCGAGTCTCAAACACACACGGTCGCAAAATACAGCGCTGACATGGCCATTGCGGGGCAACAATAGACGGTGGAGGTGTACGCGGTTACTCAATGATTATTATCCTTCAAGAGCTCATGCACAAAACCTACGTCGAAATCGAAGGCAGGGCACCGCGACGCGATCAAATCCCGAAACCATGCGATCATTTCGACCTCATTGTCGGCACTGGCACTGGCGGCCTCATCGCCATCATGCTCGGTCGCCTCAGGCTAGACCTAGAGACCTGCAAGGAACTCTACGTTCGCATGACCCGGATGGTCTTTGAGACGGACAAGACGATTGTGGGAATACCCTATCGATCCACGCTCTTCAAGGCATCCATGCTTGAGCAGGCTATCAAGGAGGCAGTCCGCGAGCATACAGCCTCCGAGGCTGAGGGTAACGATGGCACGAATTCTACTGGTTCCGGCTATCCGCTCTCTGCTTCGTCGAGATCAAGCGTTTCGAGCAACCCCAGGAGGCATGCCAGCAACGCCAGCGTTGTCAGCTTCAGCGCTCGCAGTCCCGCTGCACAGATGGCCAGGCCCGCGCATCGGGGGCTATACGGAGATCCCAACGCCAAACTTTACGACGAAAGAGAGTACAGGACGAAAACGTGAGCATTCCCATCATCATGAATGACGAGTATTCAAGCTGACACAATAGCAGAGCGGTTACTGCATATTACAAGGGCACGCCCAGGAACGGAGAACCCGCCTTGCTTCGCTCCTACGACTCGAGAAAAGAACCCGCCCCAGAATACGACTGCAAGGTCTGGGAGGCTGGACGTGCAACATCTGCTATCGGGCTCGCCTTCAAGCCAATCAGGATAGGGCAATCAGTTTTCCACGACGACGGGTCCGGTTCCTTCAACCCAGCACCCACTGCTCTCGACGAAGCCACAGTCAACGAATGGCCAGGCAGAGAAGTCGGAGTGTTTATCAGCATCGGTACCGGACGCAGACCCAAAGGCAGCGAAAGCAACTCGCATTCCTGGTATGAGGGCTTCATGGGCGATTATGCCGAGGCCAGGAAGAAGCTCATCGCCAAGATCGAGAACTGTGAAGTCATTCATGAGCACATGAAGACGGAGCTTCTGATGAAGCGTGGAGTCAATGCAGAGAATTATTACCGCCTGAACGTGGAGGTGGGTGTGGGCGAGTTTGGTATGAACGAATGGCACCGACTCTCGGATATCAGCCAGAAAACAAGGCAATATCTTTCGCGACACGATGAGCAGAAATTGGTCCAGGGATCATCGACCAAGCTGGCCAAGATATACCGGGCCAAGGAGAGATGGACTAGAATGAGCAATGTGCCAGAGATTATATCTCCGCCGCCAAAGACCGACTCTATGCAATTTCCTCTGGCTGTCGAGCTTCCCGGAGATTTCCCGCCTCCTAGGCCGGTACAAACTCCTCCGAGCAGAGATTCCTACGACTCGGGAATCGACCGCCTTTCTCTGCCCGGCTCTGCGCCGGCTTTTACACCATCTCCACGGAGCTCGCAAGACAAGACGCGCCCGCCAACGAGTCATTCTTCTCCGCCCCAGCAGGCTGCAAGGTTGCATCATCCAGCATCTCAAAGTCCGCTTGTGTCGGCCACGAAGCCTCCTGCCGATGACCCAGATAGGCTGATTGTCAATTCCCCAACACCTGCGCAGTACCGGAACGGCTCCGGGACAGACAAGATCATGATCACAAGTCCGGATGAGCATCCCCGCAGACACCACACCATGCCGGTGAGCCAAGGGTCTGTGGAGCAAAGTGCGCGCCTTGAAGGGCCTCCAAGACCACCAAAGACGCCAATTCCGGAAGAGATGAAGAGCTCAGTCGACCGACGCCCTTCAACGCTACCATACCCTGACGATGACGAACCCCCACCAACAGTCAACATGGCCAAAAAGCCCAACTACCACCGGGTAAGGTGATTGTGACTCGAGTGGGCCAGAGGGCATTTCTAGTGTAATAAATTGACGGCAAGATGGGGAGGACTTGCGATTGAAATTTTACTGGGACAAATGATACCAATGCACATGGGATTGTGCCAGGGGACCAGGCGTTTTGGGGACATAATTGTGGCTTTTAGGATACCATTCACGCATATGATTTGACTGAATTTCTCTTTACCAGTACCGAGGAGGCAAGGACTAGGATCTGTAGTTGATCACCGCCTATCCTATTGGCCTCCCTACTTATGTCTAATATAAAATATCGTGTATTTTACCTCTCCTGGGACGATTCGACGAGTTCCAATAGTTTGTGTGTGCTGACATCCTGGAACAAATGCATTGGCAGGCACAAGACATACGAGTCACTAGCCCTCTTCTTTGGATTGATGCAAGTTAGATTTGATTCAACGGGCAACGTGGAGTGGCGCAGAAACCCGCATCTGCAACGGTATCGACATGTGAAATTACCATGAACCATAACGACAATGGCCATCATGGTGCAGCCGCCGGTTAGGGCTGCTTTGCACAAACAGAGTCAAGCGTGCCGCGAAGGAGTCTGTAGTTTTTAGAGTTTATCTCGGTTCAATTTGTTAGGCACCGGCTTTTGTGTATTAGTGGAATGGAAGATTCGGGGCAAGTTCGAAGGGTCAACGAAAGTCATGTAGGTCACTAACTTAGCTCCCATACCTCATGGTAGCACGAGGTTGGTAATCAATCTATTGGAGTAAATGCCTGCCCCGAAGCAACACGAGGTAGCAACGTGACTTCTTACATCATTCTTGCTGTCCCCTATCTTCCTGCCATATCGCTTTCTTCTTGCGAATGCTTCTCATTCGGATGATGCTAGATAGACATGGCACAAATAATCATGACTTTCAACTAGGTATAATCAACTCTCAGTCCAAACTCACCAAGATGATCAGAATTCAAAGCAAGAGCCTTATGAGCCGAGCCGAATTGCCGGGTCGGCGGTTTCGCCACCATCGTCTGTCGCGAGGGGAACAACAATGCAAAGCTTCATCGCCATAAGGTTTCAAAGGACCCCGGAACTATACTACGCTGATCCAATCGTTTTCCCCCCTCTCGAGACTCGACCATACAGCTTACAGCGAGCCACTCTTACGGCAAGTCTTGTCGTCCGGCATACACTACTAGCCATTGACCTTGGGACTGACTTGTTACTCGAAGCGTTCATCATCCCAACGACAATTATATAATCATAATCGGATGACTTCACTTGCCACTCATATTTATGATAGAATGCTGTGCTACTGACGTTCATACTGGGCGGCTTCTTCCGCCGCTCTATCGCGTCTCTAGATGTCTGCTGACCTGTGAAGCAAGCCTCTTCTAAAGTTTTCATAGCGTTATCCAACCCCAGCTCGGGTCCAATATAGCTCTCATCGGTGCAATACAAGTCTCGAACCAGGCCATTCGGTATCAAGACCATGCTTAGAGCATTCTCTGGGCTTTCGAATGGTATATTACATGAGGATTTATCAAGCTTGTTGTGAATACGTGAAGTGTCCAACCCACCATCGAGACAGATACGCTAGCAACCAACGTTACTCTGTGGGCCGGTATGACTTTTATCATCATGATGAAGGATCCCATGCCAGCGAGAAGCAAAACACGACCCCATAAAGACAAAAACGGCAAACTCATTCGGCACTATTATGTCTGAAATGGCACAATCGCGTAATACCAAGGCACCACGAGCTGAAAGAATCACGACAAGCTGCTCCGAGTGTCGCCGTAGGAAACAAAAGGCATGTGGCCTGGTACAATCAATCTTTTTGGAGCGTTGGTAGCTACTTACTCCGCTACCACTCCGGAGACACGGCCTTGATCACCTCATCGCGATCGACTTCTTTCCTTGATACGGAAGAAATAGTCGAAGGAACTGCGCTGATCCCCAATGCCCTGCTTGCAATGACAGACCAAACACGCCTTTGTGGCTTCTCCTCATAGCTGATCAGCACATAGTGTAATCAAGGACAACCGTGTAGCAACTGTGCTCGCCGGTTCCCTCAGCCAGACTGCGAATACAAGGAAACGAAGTTGGTAACCTACTCGAAAGCCCAGATACCACCATCACTAAAAGAAGATTTGAAGAAACAGACATACGTCACTTCCAAATACGTCAACGTTTCTTGTGGCACAAGCATACGATCCAGAAAGCCACTCGATCTTGCGAGATCAATCTCTACTACCCCCGCCGGGACATAGAAGTTTACCAAATATTGAACAGGGAGGTTGGTCCGGATCAATCTTACAGTCCGTGAACGACCTACCGATCCAGCCTTCGAGCTCGGTACCTTCCTGGAGCTCCGACGCAACTCTCGGCGGAAGTGGCCTGGCTGACTGTAAGCCGGGTTGCACGAGTCACTCGGATGCATTCCATGCTGCGGCCAGATTGTTGGAACATACTTACACGATATCAGGCCAGATATTTCAATCCTGCGATCATAGTCCGGGAAAGATACCCGGCGGTCATGCTCAGGACAGCTTTGTTGGAGTGGGAGGCACCACATTTACGCTTTCGAGTCCTGTGGGATCGTTGCATAATTTGCCCTATACACCCACGGCTCTCAACACGCAACTTCTAGAAATCTGTAAGCTTTCAAACACTATCGATTGGGTTTGCACTGATTATTGAATGTCAATTTTGCAGTTTTGAAGCTATTTTCTCGTTTCAAGACCTCCATAGACGGAAACCCGGACCTCGACAGCCCATACCACAAGCTCTATATGCCCTTTTGCATCCAGAACCCCTTGCTCGTTCAAATATCCATCTACACTGTGGCCTGCTTCCTGACCGAGACAAGGCACCTCGACAAGCAGCAGTCCATACTCATCAAGGGCCAGACGATCCGCATGCTCAATGATCGACTACGTTCTACCGAAGATGCTATCAGTGACGCATCTATTGCTGGAGTGTGTCAAATGATTGCTGACGAGTGTAAGTCGTCCCTGAAAGACAGAATATTGCCAGGGACCCCTTTCACTTTGCTCGCAACTGTTAAAGGCTAATTCCATTCCTGTACAGGGTATTGGGGCGACATGCATGAGCTGCTCGCCCACCTCAAGGGCATGCGACATATGATCGAACTACGTGGTGGCTATCAGAATCTTGGTCTCGAAGGTCTCTTGAGCAAGATGATCATTGTGTACTCTTCCTATCAAGACCAGACATTGCAAAGTGACTGGCCTCATTAACAGTGAAGCAGCACCGACTTTGGCATTGCGATTACTTTCGAGCTACCGCCGTATCTGCAAGAAGGGAAAGAGTTCCAGTTCGAGGACAGGACGCCGGGGGAGCACAGGGTTTCACACCACTCGCCCCTGGTCGCATCGGCATTGAGTTTTGCAAACTCTGTCCACCTCAGTGGATTGCATCCGACAACCGCGTCGATCCTCGACGACATCCGATTCCTGATTGCCTTGGCCATCTCCACGCCGGCGGTCCCGAGCACCCAGCAAGCGCAGAAACTCAAGTGGACGGCGGACTGGATACATGGTCGTATACAGGCCCTCCCAAACGACGCGCCTCCATCCGAGCCATCGGCAACGTCCTCGACAAGCAGTACGCCACAGGCAAAGGAAAAACAAAACCAGTCGACCGCGAGCTCAGCACGCACGAGCCATGAGCCCCAGAGGTCAGACAGCGTGGCGAGCCCCGATTACCTATACCAGTCGATCCGCCAGGCGGCCTTGCTCTATACCACGACGATCGCAGCCACCAAGCCTTTCAGCCAGACGTGCTCGCCCGACGACTTTTGTCAGCTGTGGGTGGCGGTCTGGCGCGTGCCGCTCGGCGTCTGGAAGTCCCTGCTCGGCATCTTCCTCTGGATCGAGGTGGCCGTCCTCGCGGCGGCGCGGGACACGCCGCACGGCCGCTTCGTCAAGAGCATGTACAATATTGCCGCGCTGTCCCTGGCGACCGAGGACTGGGACGCGGCCATTGCGGCCTTGAGGAGCGCGCTGAATTTGCAGTCCCGGCTTACTACGTGGGATACTAACAAGCTGACCCCTTAGGGAGGAGAACAAATTGATACAAGAGAGAGAAGCATTTTCCAGGAGCACTTTGGTTTGCAGCTTGTAGTAGATGCAATCCTCTTCGACCATCCAAGGTTTTATTATTCCATGCGTCCATCTGGAGGATCATCTATCATATATACGGTCACCACATTGATAGAACGGGGCACATTATAAGACAGTGTGGGAATGTTTGGAACTTGTTCTTCTTGAAAATAATCAATTATGAGGTATCTTTGATCCAAAAGTATAAATCATCTATTGGATCCAACTTCTGCTGCTGCCACCAATTTCGCTAGACTGGCCACTTCCCCCCTTTTATATCGAGAAGTTCCTGTGTAGGGTATCTGGTCTGTTTATTATACAAAAAATCATTTGTTTCTTTGCGGTTCTACCGCTTTGATGTCGTCGTAGCACATTACTAGATGCTTCGTTATACATTCCCGTATCTTTTTTTTTTATATCCTCTATTCTTCTGTAAGATGGATAGTATTTTGTCGGATTTACTTTTTTCTTTCTTTCTTTGTTTTGGCATGAGGGTAGAGAGAAGAGCTCCTTAGACGCTCTCCTTCTCAATGTGCTCGTGCTCGGCCTTGTTGGCCAGACCCATCTGGTCGGCAAAGGTCGAGTGAGGCACCCACTTGGCCGAGGTGCGGGGAATGGTCTCCTCGAGCATGGCATCGACCTGCTCGAGGGTGAGACCCTTGGTCTCGGGGATGAGGAAGTAGGCGTAGACGAGGGCGCAGGTGCAGAGCGAACCCCAGACGAAGAAGACCTTGGCGCCCAGGTTGCCCTTGTCTTCATCAACCATGTAGGGACTGGAAGAATTATGTGTTAGTCGATGAGGAACTTGGAGCGGATTGATTTTGAACAAAACTTACGTGATGATGGCAATGATGCAGTTCCACAGCCAGTTGGAGGCGGTGGACAGACCGACACCGCGGGAGCGGATCTGAAGAGGGAAAATCTCCCCAATGACGACCCAGGCACCAGGACCCCATGTGGAAGCGAAGAAGAAGATGTAGATGCAGATGAAGGCAATCATGGAGGTGGTGGCCTTGTCATTGTCGGGGAGGACGGTACCGACAATGGCGACGATGAACTGGCAGATGATCATACCAAGGGCACCCCAGATGAGAATGGAGCGGCGACCAAACTTCTCAATGGTCCAGAAGGAGACGGGGGTCGAGCAGACGTTGACCAGGTTGGTGATGAGCGAGATCAGGAAGGAGTTCTGGATTGTGCCCAGGGACTCGAAGAAGGTGGTACCAAAGTAGAAGATGAAGTTGACACCGGTCCACTGCTGCATCATCTGGAGGGAAGTACCGAGGATAGTGCGGCGCAGGTTGCTGCTCTGCTTGAACAGGGAACCCTTGAAGCAGTTCAACCACGAGTCAAAGTAGCCACCCTCGGGGATGACAGACAGCTCGTACTCGTGGTTGGCAATGATCTCGGCAAGCTCATCCTGGATGAAGTCGGACTCGACGGGCTGGTCACGGAGGCGGGCCAGGGCGGTAGCGGCGAGATCGAGCTTGCCCTTCTTGACGAAGTAGCGGGGAGAGTCGGGGAGGAAGAGCAGACCGCCACCGAGGATCAGGGACCAGAGGATCTGAATGGCAATGGGGATACGGTAAGAACCGCTGTCGTTGCGCTCGGAGGTGGCGTAGTCAATGGCCGAGGCGAGGAGGAGACCGATGGTCACACAGAATTGGTATCCGGAGACAATGGTACCACGGACCTTGCGAGGGGAGATCTCGGACATGTACCTGTTGGAGAGCAAAAGAGTTAGAAATCAAACTGGCAGACGGAAAAGGGAAAAATGATAGATCGAAATATGCTTACAGAATGAGGACAGCAGAGACGAAACCGACACCGAAACCGGCAATGAGACGACCGGCAACCATGAGGCCAAGACCGTGAGAAGCGACCTGCAGGACGACACCGACGAGGAAGATGAGGCAGCCAGAGATGATAGTCCACTTGCGGCCGATCCACTCGGCAATGTCACCGGCGATGATGGCACCGAAGAAGGTACCGGCAGAGAGAATAGAGACGATCAGAGACTTCTTCCATGTGGTGAGGGCGGTGGCATCGGGGCCGTCGATGACGTGAATGAAGTATTCCATGGCGTTGACACCGGAAATGTAACCCGAGTCATAACCGAAGAAGAGACCACCACAGGCGGCGAAGACGCACATGAGGTAGGTCTTCCAGGTGACGGGAGCCTCCACGCGGTTCACGTCCGCCGTGGCGTGGAGGGTGGGAGTAGCACCACCAGGCATCTTGTCGAGAATTATTGTCGTTGTTGGCGATGTGTATAATAAGTACTCGAGTCCTCAAGAGTATAAAAGTGGGGACCTTTGGCTCAACCGCGAGGGCTGTATGAATTGATGAGATGAGAGGGATGAGATGGGAGTAGAACAACACAAACTCTAACGGACATCACGGGCTCCTTTATACAACTTCTGCAACCCCCCAAGCAAGCCCAACACCCGGTCGGTCATTTCGGTCGGCTACCTGCCTCGAAAACCTTCCCTCGGTCGGCGGCAGCCAGCCCAGGCCTGCCCAGGCGAGTCGGCCCAGGTTCGAGTTGGGAATTGTGTGTACGTACTGCTTTGGCCCTCTCAGCTAGACTCTAGTTGCTAGCTGTGTGTAGGTTCCGACACTCGAACTCATCGGACGGGCGCGCTGGGCTCCACCTCCACGCTCCGGGGCACCACGCGCATGTGGCCAGGGAGCGACTCCAGATCATCAAACTCCCCCAAAAAATCCATGGGTGGGGACGCACTCACTTTCACCCACAAAGGTAAAATCCCCACGAAATGATACCTCGAGACGAGCAGTGGGAGGAAAATGGGGAGGGAGGGGGCCCTGAGCTTCTGGAAACCCACCATCGGGATGCCTCCAGACCAAGGAGGGTCCCTGACTACGGTGGATTTTCCACCCGTTTCCAGGTTGCCAGAGACGTGGTTGGACTGGTGGGTGACTGGCGTGACTGGGTGTGTCTGGTTGCGCCTGGAGTGCAGTCGTAATGGACTCGGTGCGCGTTCGGCTTCATTGTGGGCTTGCTGTGGAAACTCGGCCGTACTGTCGGTGGTTTTCTCAATCAACTGAAAGGAATGGCGCCGTCCCCGCCGTCCGGGGCAAGGGGTGGGACTCACGGTATGGCCGCGCTCGGCTGCTGATTGGTCATGGTCTGGGGTCATTACCAGAAGGGGCAACTAGCGATGGATACTCTTCTTCTTTCTTGGGTCAAGTTTTTTTTTTTTTTTTTTTTCTTGCTCTTGCTCTGTAATAGTCGTAACAAACTTGACGTTTCTTGTCCCGAACTTGAAGCGACGACGCGCTACCGAGAATCTGTCTCGACTATCATCCGGTATCCGCCAGCTTGGGCTCAATATTTTTCCTGGAGATTTGATGCGGATATCTGCCACCGCGCAAGAAATCACCCCTTTCGCGACAGTAGAGAAAGAAAAGGCTTTTTTCTTAATGGGTGATGGGGATCGTGTTGAAATCGCACGACCCCTAGACGTGATCGTGCCGCGCAGAGGCCCCATCGCTCGTTTTTTTTTTTCTTCAGCTATTGTATACGTACACTATTCATACGCGGGTAACGGCTTCGTCCCACAGCAGAGACTGCATCAAGAGAAGACCCCCGAATCTATCGACAGCCGGGCATCTTCTGTGGGGATTGTGTTGATCACGTTCAGATGCGAAACTTTCCTCTTGTCTCTACGTGTGTATCTGCACGGTCGAAACCTGAAAACCCTTACAGCGAGCGACCGGCTACAGGCAACGGCCCTCCCCAAAAGATTCCAGGGACCACTTATCGCCGAAACGCGGGTAACGTTGTTGCTGACAGACATTGTTGTCATCATGATTTCCCCCAAAATCTCGTGTACATTGTATAATCGGACGAAAATGTCCCGTGACCATGACTTTTTTCTTCTCTTTTATCGTATGAGCCGCTGATACGATCCGTGTGTCTGGTCGGCTGCGAAGAAAAAAGGCCCTAAGAATAAACAATTTGGAAACTATTGGAGCAAGCATGCGTGTACATTCGTCTCAACCCCCTAGTAATACTCCCAACGACATGGATGCAGCTTTCATTGGCCATATGACTGATGGATGCAATGCAGTCATATATTCCTGGCCTTGTCGGTTATGGCGTACGTAGCAATGTACTCTATATGTCCGTACACATCCGATGGATGAAGCAAATTGATAAAAGTCACGACGGAAAAAACCAGAATCATCCTACAAACACGCTACAAAAAATCACGTATTATGGACAGGGGTTGCTCGGAGATAATCGGCGCAATATGGGCCAAAGGTCACGGTTCAGGATCCAGGTCCCTCTGCTCCTACCTAAAAGCTTAAAACCTGTCGCTGGGCAAAAAAGCCACGCGAGAAGGGATGCTCTCGATGCTTCCCCATCTGGGGGGATTTTTGGCACCGTTCAAAAAGTATCACCGAGTATTCCCCATCCCCTCAAAAATTGACCCCGACTTCAAATCCCCAGCTTCATCTTGAAGCAAGCCGCATGCATATTAGGCCCGATTAACAGTCTGGAGGATTCTCCGTAGGTAGGGCTCAATTACTTGCTTTTCTTCTTCTACTTGTCGTGTCTGGTATCAGCGATCACGCGGGGAAGGACCCAATCCAATGTGTTTAATAAACAGGTATTATCAAGTCGCCATCCGGATCGCCGGTAAAGGCAGTTTCGACAATTTGGCCCATGACAACGCGAGATTGTTTGTATACAGTAGGTAAGGTAGCAATGTCGTGAGCCTCCTTGGTCACTCTCGGCCAAGTCGCCGCAGTCGGGCCACTCGCTTGCATCTCAAATCGGATCAATGCACAATCAGGTATGCATGCACACCCTAGATTGATATAGGTTATGGAATAGTCATGCCACGAGAATGCACACCGATAATCACCTACTAGTACATGACATCTTCTCTTGTGCATTTGAATGGGTTTACAAAATTCCGCAAGACACTGCACCGAATTGATCATCAGTCGCGAATAGATCGACCGCGGCGCTGAAATGCGCTTGGAAACTGCCCGCCCGCGGCAGGCAAAGGATGGAATCAATTGCGTAGGTAAGCGGCCACATCCTGGCGGTCCTCATTTCAAGGACGATCGGAACGTCGGGCATTGCAATTGGTCATGGAAGAGATCCGGCAGCCACCGACCAAATGGCTTACGAAGAGGAGGGCACTGGTCTCATGGTGACCACGAGAAAAGTCGCTAGTACTACCTACACGTACGATCCATAGCATCAGCCGAGCCGAATGGAAATTCCGACCTTTTTTCTCAAGTGTGAAAAGGAGACGAGTTCCAAAAGAGTGGTGAGTTCTGGCCAAAAACGGTCAAACCACCTACTTTTTAGTGGGCGGCATCCACGCATCCAACAACCATCCCACCCAAAAAAAACTCGCTCCACTTTCTTTCTGTCAATGCGTGTGGGATGATGGGGAAGAGAGAAAGGAGCCGCTTTGCCGCTCAAATCTGCCAACTTGATCTTGGGATCTTGACATTCTGTGGGAAAACTGGGGATGGATCAGAGCTGGGAAATCATGTGCATGTTACCCTCGGTTGGCCCTTTGCACTGCCCATTAAAACCCCCATGAAACGGCGCGTCGGCCGCCAGCTCTGCACTCTGTATACGAAACTTAGAAGGGCCGATGCTATACTCAGGTGACGTGAAAGAAAAAAGCAGCAGTAATTTGTAGTAGCATGGCCGCATTGGGATCTAGTCAGGTCCCAGTTCAGCCAGCCAAGATTGATGGCGTCGCTCAGTGCAACTTTGCGGCTCTGCGAACGGGGTGGCACAAAGCTAGAGGCGAAGGGAAAACCTTTGCCTCGGGTCCGCAACAAATACCAGCAGCACATTAAGCAGCAAATACGTGACACGAGAAGAAAACGTTTTGACACATTCTATGCTATTTTCAGTCGGCGCGTGCACTATTGTTGACCTAGGTTCGGAACACTTGTATTACCTAGCAGGCTCCCTCTAGACGCCAAGTCCAGACCCAACCGTTGCTGGGTCTGCGGCTACCTAGTGTCAGTTTGCTAAAGCTGGTGGCCATTGTCGCTGTTCAGGTCACGAGATCGTCTGGATTCCAGATTTTTCAGCGTGTCCCACTCGTAAAATCTGGGCCTGGCAACTGGGGAAAGGAAAAGATTCCAGCGCTTTGTTCTGGGGACGAGCTAAACTAACACGCTGTGCCAAACCACCGACCGTCTCGGCCTTCCCCGCGCCACAATTGCGGACACTACACTAGAAGCAGCCAAAACCCACGCGGCCGAAATCAGATCCTCAATGCGATTCTAGATCTCTGCTGATGTTTCCAGCATCTTGACAATTCCCATACCGGCAATCTACTCACACTACACTATTGTCCCACCATTACGACGATGTCTTATGCTGACTGATGCTGTCTGTCAGCCGATTTTCTGGGGTATCCCCCGCAAACGCCCCTCCTCCACTGATTCCAGCTGCGCGTCACCTCTCACCATCTCCGCAAGGTGTAACCACCCCGTGACTAGAACAATGACAAAGTGATTACGCAGCAGCTTCGGTCTTGCCTCCCTGTTCGGCGCTGGCCGTCGCCTGCCTTTGAGCCGCCATTCCTCCAAAGTTCAGTGCCTCGAATTTTATAGAGCAAGCGGCAATGAAAGCGACAGCGCTGCCAGCCAGAGTCAGGTAGAAACAGCTCACGAGAGCTTTGGTGAAGGCCTCGACCACAAGAGCGAGCAGATCCGGGCTCAGAAAATATGTAGCTGTCGAATCAGCCCCCGACAGGAGCTCGCGGATGTCATGGTGCGAGAGGTTGAGATCTGTCACGACTTTGCCAACCAGCTGGAACCCAAGGTTCTCGTAAATGGCGCCCGACATGGCTAGAGAAAGGAGATACCTACCATCTGTCCCATGTTGAACAGAGCTGCTGCGTCCATACAGTCCTGAGGTGGTAAGACTGTCGACGCAATCGGCAAAGAAATTGGCCACATCAGTCCAGCACCAGCAGCGACGATGGTTTCGTATCCCATTACCCTGCCCTCGGACGATTGGGAAGTAATTGTCTGCTGCAGTCCACCGCCGATGAGCATCAATGCTGCGCCAATCAGGAAAAATACCTGGTAGTATCGTACGACGGGGAGCAATGTGCCGGCGAGGAAGATCATGAAAATGAAGACGCCAATGAATGGGAGAAGCCGTACTGCCGCAGCCAGTGCCCCATGACCGTGGGTGAAGGCAAAATAAATCGTGGTATAGTATAGCGTCGCACCGTACACTACGCCCGCCACCCACACACAAAGCATCGGTAATGCCACGGACCTGTTTGAGAAGAGCTTCCATGGGATCGCTCGATGCTCGTGTGTGGTGAAGAGGTTCAAGTACTGCTGAGTTGTGAATGCGCATATGGCCAGACCCAAAACGGTCCATATGGCAATGACTGAGCCTGAACTCAGTCCCACACAGACCCCGAGAACACGGCAGCGAAACCGTACATTACAAAGATCCCCACCCACAGCAGACAGCCGACCCAATCAATCTCTCGGAGGTGTTGAAGTGCGGGTTTGTTGGTAGGCAGACGGTAAGATGGATATAGTAGGACAAGCGACGAAGCCGCAGCCACGACCGGTACGATGACATAGAAAGCCTGTATGCTGTCAACTTTAGCACATTGGCATATGAACAAAAAGCCATACCCATCTCCAAGTCGTGTGTTAATTCTCAGCAAAAGCTCCGCCAATGATTGGGCCCGCAACCAGGCCAATGGCGAATGAAATGGCAACGAGTGCCTGTACCATCGTAAGTTCGGACGGTCGAGCGAATATCACGTTGTAACAGAGCATGCTAAAGTCTACTATAAGCATTCGGGATCATGGTACGTCAAGAGTCATAACTTGCAGCACTTACACCTGATACAACGTCGCGGACCCGACAGCCATGAGAACGCGCCCGGCAATGACGGACTCAATGTTGGGAGCAGCACCGGCCAGTGCCGACGCAGCACAGGTGAGCAGACATGACAAAAGTCCCATCCACTTTAAATCACAGAACAAGGTAAATTTTCGGACGAGTGGGATCACGGCCACGCTGATGAGCGAGTATGAAAGGCTGAGCCAAGGTAGGAGCTCAATATGGCCAAAGGCACGGTACACGGAAACCTGTACATTGGCAACATTACTTGTATCGTAGCCTGTCGAGACCGCATGAGCCAGCTGGAATTGATACCAGCCAAAAAAGAGGCAGTCGATGATTCACGTACCGCCAATCATAGATAGCAATAGATTTGTACAGAGAATGATTTTCCACCTCCTTTCTGATATACTTTCTCGTGGATGTTGCGCCTGTGTCTGTAGCGGCTCGACACTTTTAAACTTGTCGTTGGCTTCGAGATCAGGTTCCTATTTGCCATGGATTGTCGAAGCCTCGGAACCGGTTGCAGCAACGCCTGCCAGGCACTGAGTCTGGGTGTTTCGGATGACATTACAAGAAAGTCTTGCTCGTGGAAGTAAGTTGACTTCTAGGAGATTGGAGTGTTGCGCTATCTGTCTCTTCGTTTCTTTGGCTTCTTATTTTCTGCATGGACACAAATGAGTGAGCAGACAAGAGTCAGTTTGCTGGCTTACATATTAAATCACGACGTGTCAGAGTGCGACTACATCGCAATTGTTGCTACTAGGTTGCAATTTGGCAGGTCCAAAAGAACCAACATGATATCAATCCTGTCTATACTCGGCGAGTTGGAGTCATGGATCCCAAGGGATACAAATAGCACAGTGGTTTCGTGCACCTTTATATATGCATGGAGAATGTTGGCACAGTTTGTATTTTCTCATCGACGCGGGTCAATGTTTTCATCACCCCTTGCGCCGGAGGATCAGACGATCCGCCTTCTTAAAAAAAAAGAAGAAAAAAAAAAAAGGACTTGCTGGACAAAAGGTCCACGATACCTACGTACAGACGCATCTCACCGGGCCTGACCACCAAGAACATGACCTGATTGGCTTACGTCTGACAGCGGCGCAGGTCCTGACGGTTTGGTATCACGTCCATACCCATCACCAATACGGCGCTTCGTTCAAGGAAGGTCGCAGCTCCGGCAGGGACTCCACCAACAAGCATCCGCGACAACAATAACAATAGAAATGGACATGTTATACCGAGCCGGCAACTTTACCATTTGCCGGGTCTGTTCTGAATAGGAAAAAGGTCAACAACCAACTCTTTCTTGATGAACAGCCTGGAATCCTGGTTCAAATAGTAATAAGCGCCATGGAGCACCTTTCATATCCATGTTACGAGCAGAGAAAAGCACAAAAGGAAGATAGGGGTCGAATTTATATTCTTCAAAGCCCAATGCTGGCCATGAATAATTCCCATATTCCATCCTCGACCAGCTCGCCCGCCCTCCTCATGCGCTCGCGCTCAACAAGACACGAGACCACAATCTCCTCCAGCTGAGCCGTGCCCATGCCATCCTGTAAAAGGTCAAACTGACCCGAGCCGCGGTTCCGCCTACTCTTGTGCGTGGCGCCGAACCGCGCAATCACTTCCTTGCGTCCTCCATTGCCACCGGCAGCCGCCGTCGTCAGTTTCATCCCCTTGGTCCCGTCGCGCTCCCACTTGATCTTGCCCAGGCCCGTCGCGCTGTGCATCTCCCTCCGCACCTTGGTCGTCTGCCCGTGCAGCTCGAGGTCCGTCTTGGTGCTCGTCCACTGGTGGAAGCGGGCCGAGGCGATCTGCGGCCCGGCGGCGTTGCCGCGCAGGGCAATGAGGTGCGGAGCGTCGTTGTCGTTGCCGATCGAGTTGGAGGTAAAGGTGATGGTGAGCAGCGGTCCGTACTCGGACGTGCAGACCATGGTGTGGCCTTGGGGCTTCAGCTCTAGCGTCCTTGGTGATGGTGGCGTTGGTGTCGGATGGGTGGAGGAAGAGTCTTGTTGCCATGCCTCCTATTTCATGTGTTATTAAGTGATTACGATTCTTCTTTTTTGTTCGACACTACTTCCTCCCTACAATGAAAATAATCATCCAACGATGTTGGAACACAATACATCCTACTTACCTGTGAATGCCCACTGTATTTATCTGCCGTGTTTTGAGCTGGTGAGCTGGTATATTGTTGCAATGATGGCTTCTTGTTGAACTTGGCATCAGTCCATTTGCCAATGCGATGGACCGCAGTTTGTGTAATTGCACTCATGATGATTATTTGATCAGATTCTAGGTGAACGTTTGCGTAACTGCTGAATAACTATAATGGTCTGGTGTTTCCTTGTCGGAAGGCATATGTTGTACTATAATCTCGAGACTGGAGAGAAGGTCTGTGAATCTTTCAACGAGAGCATCTACCATTCCACATCTTGCCTGCTTTGAAAGTTCTTTATTTCGCACCCTTCACGTCATTCCCGCCATGTTTGGTGGTTTGGGACACGACCCGGATCCTTGCGTTCTGACGTCGCCTGGCGATCCGATACGCTGGAATCGGCAATTGATGGGCATGGAGCGGCCCTATAAGTGGCTGCCTATAACAAGGAGTCCAGGACTGTTGGAGTCGGTCAGGGGCGTTGAAACTCATCAACTCATTGGGCGACCACTAGCATCCGTGTACACGAAGGTCTGAATTGCATCACCTCGATGAAACCGAATAACTGCTTGGTTTATAACTCGCAGCTGCTCTTGTGCCCAAGTTACGGATAACAGGCACTTGGGCTATGCATGTTTTGTCGGTCGACAAGTTATAAAGTTGTACAAGCCAAATGCCTTCATTTGTTCAACTCTTTGCAGGCTAGAGGCATCGAATGCCATGTTCCTCTGATTACATGTTTTATTCATCAACTACCCTGAAGTCTATCTGTTAACCTTGCAATTAGGCGGTTAAAAAGTTCCTCTGAATCTTCTTCAATGACTTCCCGCGCTAGATCCTTGACTATTTCGGCATCGCACTCATGATCTTCTGTCCATGCATCTAGGGAAGTGACCCGATCTTCCAACAGGTCAACTTTACGGTCTAGCTCTTCACCTGCAGAAACGAGTCGCTGTTCTAGGGTTTCTAATTTATCACTCATGGTAGCAATGCAATTTCGCAGCTGACGATTCTCGTCCTTCAGTTCTGCCACCGTCTTCTCAAACTGCTCAGACTTGGAGCGCAAGAGGACCATATTGGCTTCGTTAGTTTGTGCAAGTCGGATGTTTTCTGCAACAATTTGCTTCAGGTCCTCGTACAAAGACTTGGTAGACTGTGCAAAAAGTTCGTCTCGTTCAATAATGGGGCTGTCTCGCCTCCGTTTCTTGCTTGGTGGCGAGTAGACGAGAGGGTCCGACGTAGACTTTTCTATCACGGCCTGGTCGTAGGCAGGTGGCTGATCAATGGTTTCTGCCTGGCTAGTAGGTTCTGCACGATTTTCTTGATGTATCCCTGTCGCAGCAGTGGTCGATGCATCAGTCAAATTGATGGCAATCCCGCCCTGGCCTCGATAATATCTTTGAATGTTGGCTTGATCAGAATTTGACTTCAAGGTTCTGGACGTCAATGCATCGGATAGAGCCACAAAGCTAGCATCTGGAATCGTCCTGCACGGGATGCCGAATCTCAGCGTAAAGACAGTTGCCCGACCGAGTAATTGAAGTAGATGCAGATTTGTTTCCGATTCAGGATTTTTGGGCTGACATGGCCAACAAGGCGAGACGAGTACAGCTGGCTGGCTTATTTGAAAGCGCAAAGCACGCTCTAGATGGGTTGGTGTCGACTCATTGTCTGTTGTCAATGGACTGCATAGGGCCAGTTGTTCAACGCCTTCTGGTGCGATATGGAGATAAAACAGATAGTGGTTGCATCCCTTGATGTCGACTCTCGCTTGTAATTTGAAGAATGCAGTTCTTGTGCCGGAATCATGGTAGATGCTGAGAGCTAGACCCGGCAGACTGTGAGACTGCCCATCCTCACCCTGCCAGTCAGCTCGGACAGGGCGGTGCCAGCCAGCCGAGATGTGTGAAATATTTTCTTCTTCTGTTTTGTTGTCTGCAGAGCCGCACGCGGACGGCGTTGGAGGCGCCGCGAGGTCGACCATACCCTGTACATGTTTAATCAGCAAAGACGATGTGAAACAGACATGAAGAAATGGGAGTTGTATAACTCGGCCCCCGTCGCCCATATGCATGCGCACACGGGCTGACGGTTGTCCCACCCGCCCAGGCTTCTAAGCAGAGGAGCAGCCTTGACTCCAAGTTTCCGAGCGCAAGAAGGGCGAAAGGCGAATGTCGCGGACAGCCTCGTAGTATACGTAGGATCCCACACCTCTACCAGTAGAGAGAGAAAGACAGAAGTTTCGGACAGACGACGCAGTAGCACTGACGGGGGAGTCTGTTCCGTCTTCATCGTCGGCAAGCAAAAGGCAAGCGGACTCGGAACATCATCCCCCTACCAAGACCCTGGGCCTTTCACCGGCCGTAGACGGTGAGTAGGAGCCAGTAGGAGTGGTCATGGCCGTGTAAATACAGCGCCGTCGAAATCAGAAAGGGCGGAATGGGTACCTTATCGTATAGTTGTCAAGTCGTCGATGCGCTCGCGTTGTTGTTGATGCATCGGATTGTTGATGTGTCAATGGTGAAAGAGGAGGCTGGGATGCGATGGAGTTTGGAGTTGATGCAGCGACTCAAAGAAGCACGGACCAACGAGCACCCTTCTGTCTCCACTTGACAGCAAAGGCAGTACTTATCACGTGACCTTGAAAGCACGCCGTGCGGCACTAGTGCTCTGGTCCCGCTTTTAATATACACTAGAGATGTACCTTGGTACTCAGTACTCTGTACTGGAACATGGCCATTAACACTCCTGATTGCTTGATAAAACCGAGTCTGGAGAACATATTGGTTTATCTTCGGCGGATATTCAACTCGTGGAACGAATGGATATCTTTTGTCCTGCTATTAGTCCTCACAAGTATGTTCACGGGCATTTCTTCGAACCGGCCCCTGCGGTCTGGTGTCATGGAATGATTGCTCCTGGCCAACCCGGTACCTTTACCGTTCAGGTTTGGCAAAATGGAGTATAGAAACTTGTGACCAAATGACGGGTAAGGAAGCAGATACAATGGTCGTATATTCGAAGAGGATCAAAGATATGCAAACCTGGCAGTCATCTTCCCTGTGTTGACCAAAATATCGTTGTTGGATTCAGACAGCTCGCCACTGCTTTGGCAATTTCAAATACGATGTCCTTGGTGACAGCTTCTTGAAAAACGTATATGCTGCAAATGGCAATGCCCTCCCGATCACACCCCTTCCTTTCTTCTTGTTCCTTTTTTCTTTTCTTTTCATTTTTTGATTTTATTGAGAAGCATTAGCAACATGTCATCAACGGATGGAGAGATGAAAAAGGCAAGCTATCATCTTCAAGGGAGGCGAAGCAAAACACGAAGGCCTTCAAGAGGGGTCGCACACATGGTCATTTCTCCTGTACGCGCCGGAGAAGAGTCTCGGCTTTGGCGAATTACTAGGTCTATCTCAACTGTCTTCTTTTTCCTCCTCCTTCTACCTTCAGTCCATGGCATCAATTGTCAAACGCAAACAATAACAAGAAAACAGAAACGAATGAGCTCTCTGGCATCATTGCCAAATCATTGCAGGCACACTTGCCATGACCCTCACACACGAAACTCTCAAATCAAACCATTTACCATCCATTGCATCCCTTCGTGCCTTGTGTGTCCTCCGTTGATGAAGTCATGTCCTTTCAGCGATACATGATGACGTTGTGAGTCTGGCCGCCCATAAAGACAGGCTGGGCACCGGGCTGTCCGACAATGATGGGCGGGTTGGTACGCCAGTGTGCAGTGCCATTGTGGAAGGGAGACTGGCGCCAGTTGGGATAGCCTGAAAGGGAAAATCAGTTAGCTGAATGCTCAGACGAAAAAGAAGAAAACATTGTGTAATTACACCAACCTCCGGTGCCAATAGGAGGAGCCTGGACACCGGGGGAAACCACGGGCGGGTTAATGAGCAGGTAGGGCTCATTGCCCATGACGCCGCCGGGCTGCTGCTGAGCCATGAAGGAGGGCATGGAGTACTGCTGCTGGGGCTGCTGGCCGACTCCGTAGATCATGGGCATGGGCTGTCCGACGACGAAGGGAGACTGCTGGCTGTTGATACATGTCAGTCATGAATCTGTCATCAAGGTTATTTTGGATGTACAAGACTTACTGGACAAAGACGGGAGTAGGAGCACTAGAGACAAAGTGGGCTTGGCTCTGGGAAATGAAGCTTCGCTGGTTCGGAGGGCGTGCAGCCGGATTGGCGGGGTCGTGAGGTCCGAGAGCAGGCTGAGAAGGGGCAGCAGATCGCGGCTGATGGTGAATCTCGGGGAGAGAGTGAGGATTGATCTCTTCCTCTGCCTGGGCCTCTGCTTGCTGCTGAACAGGCTCGGGCCCGGGCTCGGGCTCGGGCTCGACGGATGCATTGGCAGGAGCAGCTGTAGTAGTGGTCTGCTCAGCAGCAGCAGCCGGAGCCTCGGGGAACTCCTCTTCGGTCATGTTGATACACTCGGCCTGATAGTCCCAATGGATCTTGAGCTGGATATCAGGGGCACCGGGTCTCTTTGCTTTAATGTGTATGACAGGACGCGGTCCAGAATCACCGCGAATGAGGTAATTATCCCAGGTTATGGGGCGTTCACAGCTGCTGCCAAGGGGGAGGAAGGGGCCCTGTAACGGCTCCCCCAATTCGACGTTGGGATCCCACGGGACGGGAGGATGTCCAATAATCGAAAGGAATTCTCCTGCAATGGTTAGAACGTCGCATGCAGCGTCCCAAGATTCTTCAGGTAGATCGTCAAGATTGTCGGGAAGGACTCGTGGAAAGTGACAGGGGTCCTCTGCTAGATGGGAAGTTGAGTCAACAGTGCCGTTTGCAGGCTGCGACTCGTTGTTGCCAGTGGACTGCGGGGTGATGGGCTGATTAGCAACGACGGGCCTTGTAGCGCTTGAATCGCTGGAATCGCTGGAATCGTCAAACTCGTCGGCGACTGATGGAGATGGGATGGTGGCCGTCTCTGCAACCTCTGAACCACCAGGCTTGGAGCTCTCAGCTGCTGCGACGGGAGCGTTGTTGCGGTGCTGGTCGTTGGGATTGAGGGCTCGAGTCGACAAAGTAGCAGGACCTGCAACAGAAGCCAGCATGAGTCCGGCAATGTTGTTAGAGTCGGCGCCTGTGACGCCGTTGCCTGTGTCTGCCATATTTGCAAAAAGATTGCAGATGGCTTGGAGAGGGGAGTGGGAGAGTTTTTGTTTTACTGTCGGCGATGAGCCAGCTGTGATTTTGTATTGGGAAAAGGGGAAACTGGTGGGCTGTGACCCAAACAGACTTGATTGTTCTGCAGAGTTGAAAGTGTGCGGATGAAATAAAAAAAACTTCACGGGCAATGCGTTTGCTGGTTTTTGCAGCCCAAGCGAGGGGTAGTTTTCTGGTTGTTGTGACAACTAGGAAACACTTTGGCAAGTCACCAAAAATTCTTGTTGTTGTGCACACTGACCTAGCTGTTTACCTTGGATGGAAGATTTCTTCTTTTTGCACGGCTCTGTGGCCGTTGGTCATTGTTCAATGTGAATAATAGTTTACCTTTGCCATACTTCATACGGCGTTCACTGTCAAATAAATCACGATCAGTGCAATCTGCCCTCTCGCTCCCAGTCCATTTCTAATAGTATTGCTCTCTTCATATCATCGAACACTGAATTGACCCTGCAGAGTTTTGTTCTTCATGATTCTCTCTGGCAGTCATTTTTAGTTAGTTGTCTATTCTCTTGCTCTTGGACTCAATTTAAATGGTCCACTATCAATCTCAACATCTTGCGCTTTTCTCATAGAGGCAAAGGTCTTCTACCAGCTTCTGGCTGCACTGGGTGGACTATTTAGTAATGGATTTAATATTTGATATCACAATGACTAATTATCCGGATGCGCTTGAACCATACCAAACTGAAGAGCTCTATGCTTTCAAGTATACATTGTAGGCTTTGGGTTTCTCGCCTGATTGACCAGCGGCGCCTGTCTCTGAGATGTCCCTTGCTGCGACGGCTGTGCCGCCGATGACCCCGGCGAATAAAATCCGCTCAGCTCCTGCGGCGGCCTGTACGGTGCCCGAGGTCGAGGTGGAGGAGCTGGGCGAGGCGCGGGCGGCGAGTAGTAACCGGCCAGCTCGGGATTCTGAACGTTTGCTTGAGGAGCAGCGGGGCCAGCACGGCCAGCCATGGCATGCTGCCGAGTCGTGGTGATCTCCTCGTTGTGGGAGCTGGCATAGGATGTCCTGGGGGTGTATTCAATGTCCTGTAGATCACTCTGTCCCTGCTGTCCCTGCTGACTTTGCTGCCCTTGCGCATTCGCGGCCGGGACACTTTGGCGTGCCGGCCGCCTGTGAAAGAGACCGCAGCTGAAACCCATGCTGATTCAAAGAGTCGTTTGCTAATGCGTCACAAACAGACGGGCTTTTGACGCGTGTATACTGGATACGAGTACGATAAGGGGTGGGAGACTGCTGCAAATGTTAATCACGACAGCGCTTAAGCAGACGAAGAAAGGGTAGAATACCCAAGCTTGGAGTAGAAATCCAGTCAACGGGTCACTTCAGTCAATAAATCATATGTTTGAAGACCGCTGGTTTGTTGCGCATCGTCAACTAAGTTTTACATTTCCGTCGACTCATTATGGTGCTGTGCCGCAATCCATCGGGTGCGGTGATGCCTGGCCTAGGCCCAGTCCAGTCCGGCCCGGGCTTTCCAAGATTGGTCGACATTTCCGCGAGACAAGGCGGCAAAATCTGGCGGCGCTAATTCCCACGACAAGCTGGACGTTGTATGTTCGAAGGAAGCATTCGAGACATTCTACTAGGGCGCGCCTCGCCATGTCGACGATCACAGAGCTTACAGTTAAGCTTAAACATTTTGGTTTAGCGGTTCCAATCAGCAGCCATGTCTAGATCTTGTACGTACTAGTATCGCGTCGCACCAAAAGCCGGACTCGCCATTCAGTGGCCAAATTGATAGTAGTGGTACTGAATTCTCAATTTCAGTGCTTTGAAGATTTAAATTGCCCCAACCGTTGATATGGACATGCACACGCGATTATATTGAGAGAGCTCGACGTTTCGTACTGAGAGAATGCCATTAGGTCAAGGACATTCATTATCCAGTGGAAGAGTGACTACGGAACTGTGGATAGCAGACGAGCGGACGCATGTTCAAGTTGCAATGTCATGCTATGTATTTGGATTTAGTATAGGAACTGACATTGCTGTAAACCATGTATGCTCTTCTTCTATAGCCCGAATGCCAAGTCGAGCAGCGGGTCTCTTGTGGTACAAATAATCTGTAAGTCACCGCGCGGAGAACGCCGATGATACCGATCAATGCAGCGTTCCTAGTCCGGTCCGATCCGGTCGCCAAGCCTAAAGCCCCGTTGGCTATCAGACGCTCCCCGATCGCAAAACATTCCGTAGCCGAAGAAGGAGGAAGGGAAAGACAGGAAATCCGTAACCGGAATTTGTCCATTACCCGGGTATCATTCATTACCAGCAAGTACATCAAAATCTTCATCTCCCAGCCAAAAAAGTCTTCATTCCTCGCCCAGCCCCAGCTAGCTCACCGCCACGCATTTCTTCTCCAAACCACCAAAGCAAACATGATTGTCGAAACCATTACAATACCGCAGACTCTGCACCTGAAACCGGTACCCCTGACTCGGGCCGCCTTTTCTCCCTATGGCGACGTCCTGACCAACCCATCGCCAAAGTCGCTACCGCACAACACGCCAGCCGACACCATTGCCGCCGGCCAGCTCCCCTGCGGCGCCGTCTCGGCCAACCAAGGCTCCGCCATCCAGTACCGCCAACTCGGCGTCGTCCGCGACCTGTACCCGCAGGCGGTGAGCGGCCAGGCCGCCACGCCGCGCGTCACCATGTTTGTCTCGGGGGCCCGGGACGAGGTCCTGCGCACGGGAGCGTTCCAGGTCAAGATTCTGGAGCGTCACCCTTTCACCACGCAGACTTTTGCGCCGCTGAGCGGCGACGGGGAGTCCACGCGGTACTTGGTCATTGTGGCACCGACGCTGCCGTCGAGTAGTGGTAGTGACGAAAAGTTGCCCGCCCCCGCCGAGGCCACTGATGGCAAGGGCGCGCTGCCCGGACGCGGGTTCCCGGATCTCACCCGGGTCCAGGCCTTTATTGCTACTGGTCGACAGGCCGTGACCTATGGCGCCGGCACGTGGCATGCGCCCATGGTGGCGCTCGGGGAAGCTGGTACCGCTATTGATTTCGTCGTGACGCAGTTTGCTAATGATGTGCCGGTGGAGGATTGCCAAGAGGTTGTGCTCGAGGGCGGCTCAGCCAAGAATAGCATCACGGTTAGACTAGGTTCGGAAGCTAGGTTATCAAAGTTATAATGGAATGTGTGAATTACCAAACAAGTCACAGATCTGAAGCAAGAACCTTTTTTGGGTGGTGTTGAACCTTTTATTTGTTTTATCTATAGGGGATTTTATCCGTCATTCTACCCTATGGGCTGTGTTGAACAGCAATCTTTTTTTTCTGGTTGTTTTCTATTTTCTTCCCTCTTCGCGTGAGTTTGCACATCCTCTTGTGTCAAGTTGATACACTTGACTATTATGAGGTGAACTCTACGCCCTCCATATCAAATCATTCCGTCTCAGGTCATTCCTCCTCAGAACCTCTACTCGGGATATATCCCATCTCCTTGAGATCCTCCATCTCGAGATCTTTCCACTCATCCACCTCCCCAACAGGTTCATGTTTGTTTGGAACGTTAATTGTCCGCGAGAATACGAGCAACATCAAGCGCTGTGAGACCACCGTACGTGCTGACTTGGCGTTGGAGCACAAACTGGGCATTGTCGGGAACCTCCTCTCCGGCAGTGCGCTCAGACATCTCGACATCCGTATCGGCGTCCGTATCGACGTCCATCGCGTCGCCATCGTTGGACATGGTCAGATCGTTTCTGCCAACGGTGGCATCCTTGACGGTAGATGACTGTCCGAGTGCAGCCATGGTAGCATAGTCCACCTCGCCAAGGGCCTTCCAAATCTCGGGTGGGCGCAGAAGAGAATTGACACGGGTCTTTTGGCATTCCGCGTCGCCACAGGAGCCGAGACCACTGCAGCAACCGGGAATCGGCACCAGCTCGCCCAGGCATTGGCCAGGCTGCACCAGGACGCGCTTGTTGGTTCGAGCCTCGAGCATGTCCACCTCAATGGTGCCATCGACGACGCAGTGGTAATAATGGACATCTTTTGTCTGGCCTCTACGGGCGCAGCGTCCCTTGGCTTGCTCCATGCAGGAGTCGTAGTTGTCCTGAGCCTTGGTGGCCAGGGGCGTCGCAAATATGACATGATTAGCGACGACCAGGTTGCTCCCGGCAGCCTCGGGGGCATCGACCTTTAGTATAAGGACGCGAAACTGGTCATCCTGGAAAGCCTCGACAGTGCCACTGGCTCTGCATGATACACTGCTGATGCCCGGAAGGTTTGTGGTGGTTCTGGCTGTAATGCTATTGTGCTTCATGGCATCCAAGAGCTCCTTGATGAGGTCTGTATACTGCGTGAAGACAACGACTTTCTCGTCTGCGGGAGTCCGCTGGATCAAATCAATGACACAATTGACCTTGCTGGAGTAGTTGCGGCGGACATTGGGTAGGCGTTGCTCTGTCTGAGCAAAGTCTCGACGCTCGGTGAACAGTTTTGCCAAGTCCACGACGTTGCCTTCTATGATAGAACGGCATCCAGTAGTTCGTTCGTGGCCATCGCCACAGTATTCCTTATCTGCAATACAGCTTCGGCACATGACATGTGCACATAGAAGGTTTGCCGTCAGATCATCTTTGGAACCGCAACGGAAGCATTCAAAGTCCCAATTGCTGTTCACACGCTGGAACAACTTGGCCCGTTGTACCTGGTTTCCATGCGTTTCTAGAAGCTGAATAGCATCAACGAAAAGGTTGATAGCTTCCTTGAAAGCATTCTCAGTGGCGGAAACATTGGCGCCTCGTACTCTGACCATGGAACCCAGCATTGGGGGTGGGCCGAATGGCATCAGAGCTCGAGGATCGGTGCAATTTTCGTAGTTCTTGTAGCCAGCGCCACCCTCTTCGTGGGCTTTGATGAGCTGTAGAACTTCAGCCTTCTTAATAGGCTTGCTGCATTTCAGGCCTCGCACGCGAGCCTCTGCCTCGAGCTCTTGGTTTGTCTTCTTGGACAAAATCGCTTGCTCCTGCTCAATGTTCTTCTTGCCATCGATAGACGTGGCACGGCGTGCATTCTGTTTGTCTTCAATTTCCGGGAAAAGTTGTTGCAGCTTGTCACGTAACTCATAGTCCTTCGCGTTGTCGATGTATGAGCTGATCTCCTCAGGTCCTTGATCGTTGTTTCGTGACATATACTCGGTGATCAGATCGGTTACGTCGTCTTCACTCATATCATCGAGTTGAATAGGCTCCAATCTGTAAAAGTCCGTCCAAAGAATTTTTTCATTCTCGTAGAAATTCTTCAAGAGGCTCCTGTCCTCAACAGACGACGTGAAGACTACCTTGCCCTTTTGAAGTTGAGCAAGATCAAAGCTACCCATGCATTGGGAGGCTTTTCTCACAAAATCGGCCTTGATCTTGTCGTCGACATCAGGCATCAGAGCATGCACTAGAACCATGTATGGATAGGATCCTCCAAAAGATCTGACGTCGCCCTTTTGCAGTCTGCGGATGATTCGAAGGAGAGGTTCAATCACGGCTGCTGAGTCATCGGTCTCTTTCGATCTCTTGCCCTTTCCCTTGGCCGTTGAGCACTTTTCTAGACGTCTAGCTAGCCACAAGAGAAGACGAAATAGTTGTCCAATGTACTTCTTGGTGTTCTCAAGGACTTCTTGGCGGTTTTCAGTCAACTGCAGGTGAGTGCGGTTGCCATCTCTGCCAAAGGTTGGGAGAGAGGCTGCGTAGCTCAGTGCCTTTGAGCTGAGGTCATCTGGGATGACCGAGCCTGGCGTAATGCCAACAGCGTGCAGCGCGATTCCCAGATTCTCCTTGTCCAGGTAGTCCTGGTTCATCTGTGCCCGGCGCCAAACTTGCTGCGTCTCTAAGTAGACGGCCTTTTCCTCCTGGCTTGGGGCGCAGACGATGACATGCTCATGCACCTGAACATTCAGGCCAGCGGCATTATTGGAGATGGAGAAGGTTCTGAGAAAATGCTCGGCCTGTTCATGACGGTCTTTGACAAACTTGTCTGATTTCAAGCGTCCATAAGACAAGCAATCCTCGGCCTGGGTGCGAACTGACAGCGTGGGCCCGTTGGTAATGGCAGGGAGTCCCAAGCGAAGGTCAATGGGTCTGACCAAAGAGATTCCCAAAGCTGTGGCCATGTAGTTGATGTCGGCAAGAGTCTGGCGGGGCGGAGTTCCCGAGAGGAGCCATTTGTGTTCGGTCTTTGCGGTGGAAAGGAACTGCGCTACATGAATGTTGCGGTAGCTGACCTCGTCCCAAACAATTCGAGACCAGCTGAAGTACTCGAATAGTATGTAGGCGTCAAAGAACATTTTGGAATAGTTCAATTTGCGAGGCTTTGTGTTTCCTGTAGATGCCGCCTTCTTCGTTTTCTGGCCCGGAACTGCCCACCGAGAGCTTTCCTTGACATGCTCTGCGACCAAATCACGATTCTCTGCTTGAAAGTCAGAGTAGGCGCCCTCCATAGTGCGTACCAGACCCTTGCGTGCATGTTCATTTGCTCCTGACTCAAGGTATGCGGAAAGGAACGTGCGAAGATTGCGCACACAAGCACGGTGCCACTCGACATATGTTCGCTCGGGGTAAGGGAGTTTTGTGCTGTCAGCCCTGGAGGTGCCCGTGATGACACTTCGTGCAGAAGATTTTGCAAGCTCCTCCCTGTACTGGTTGTCTCCAAACAGACTATCGTTGACAATGACAACCTTGGCGTTGCGAATACGTTTCTGGTTTACAAACAATGTCAGATCCTTGGGGGATCTGAGAACAAGGAGATCATCTGCGGCCAGATTTCGAAGGAATCTCCAGGCCTCATTCTGCCATTGATCAATAATGTGCTCGGGCACAATGATCAGAGTCGCTTTGAGTGCCTTGGCACCCAAGCTGGCCTCCTGCTCAGCTCGTCTCTTGTAGCCAGAATCGTCATGGTTTGCTTGGAGGTCGATCAAAGCGAGGGTCATTACCGTCTTGCCGGCACCGACTTTGTCAGCAATGATTCCTCCGGCACAATAGACCTCGCGCTCAGCACGTCCCACTGCGCGCAGAGGAAGCCCATCCATTACTTCTTCTTCATCCTCTCGCTCGGTAAAAGCTTGGGGCGAGTTTTCCCGATCAATCATGTACTTGACTGTCGACAACTGCTTCGGGTCCAGACGTAGAGACGGCGGGAAATGCGGCGGCTGGGCTTGCTCTTGCCCAAGACGGCTGGGAAGCGTCGGGATAGACTCTGAGAACGGCTTCAGGTTGAAGACAAGCGAGTCGGAATGTCCTGGTTCGGTGAATGCCTTCAAGACGATTGGGCTAGCCAGATCTGCAAGTGCGCCGTCGATACTCGGCAAGCATGACAGAGCGCGGTGAGCAATTCTTGATGTGTTGAGGCTCAATCTCACATACATGAAAGGTCTCTCTTTCTTGGATTCCCGGTCGTGTGGAGGGACTCTAGCCGCGATCTCCAATGCCGGAGCTTGCTTTCTCAACCCGTCCTCATATCTACCGACATCATCGGGTTTATGTATGGGTTGTAAGACGCCGCCTTCAGTTTCGCAAATCCAGTAGACGTCTGGGAACTTGGGCGAGCATGGCTCGCAAAGTTCAACACGAATAGTCTGGGTACTCAAGGGGTTCATCGAGCGAATGATGCTGGGAATTGCAAATGGGATTGACCTGAAGAACGAACCATGATCCTTCTTGTCGATGGTGACGAACTTGTCTCCACCATCGCAAAGCCATGCTATCCTGGTTAGGAGGTGGTTGGGATCCAGGCCTCCTGGAATATTCATTTCAGCCAAGATACGATTGTCTTCATGGCATTCCGGCACCTGTGCGTCAAGGCTTGTGGCGCGCCACAGGCGCGCGAGGTTCTGCACAGGTGGGCTAAGGACCAGTTCCATATTCTTGTTGACTGCCCTGCTATCTGCTACCCCCTAGGTATCAGATTGCCAGAAACCGTCCATGGTGATTAGCATCACGTAAGTTCCCCGTGGGAGTTTGTGGATCTGTCTGGATGGTTCAGCCATGGGAACGAAGGACAACAAGACCTCACGATGTTCATGCCATTGCATGAGACGGGGATTCTTGGAGAGGACAAAGGCGTCAAGCTCTGCGGGCCCAATCCTTGACGGGTCCTTGAAGAGAAACAAATCCTCGCCATTATTCTGGTGCTGAACATAGAGGCTGTTCTCGGCAACATCGCAGTTGGGCTTCTGTTCCCAGGTTCCATAGAGAGATTCACAGATACCTTCAGCAAGGCGGTCGGTGACGCACTGATCCTCGTCCTCTTCTGGAAGGCGGTCGATGGTGAGGGACTTCTCTTCTTTCGTCACCAGTACCCTCTGGTTATACACTTGGGATCCATTGACCATACGAGATGGCTGGAAAAAGTTCCAAGGCAGCCACTGCTGGTGCATAGGGAGGCTGGGAAGATCTTCGTCTGCGATCTGAGCACGCGAAACCGGCCGTCCACGCAGAAGAAAGTCGCGCACTCGCTCTGGAGATGGGAAGTACTCTCTGGAATGGCGATCAAAGGCTTGATCAGGACGGGATGCTTCTACAAGTGTGGGGGCGAGCATCTCAGCAACATCTGAGTGAGGGTCGATGAACAGATACCAGGTGATGCTCTCCGCGTCAATCATGATCTTGACCTTGAATCCAGGCTGGGAGCCGTAGCAAATGGAGACAGTCTCCGAAAGATGAACTCCATCGAAGTAAAACACCGCATTGCACAGCAAACTTGTAACAACAATATGGTCGGATTCATTGCACCAGCATCCCCGGAGCTTTGAGAGGCACGCGCGAGCCACATTGCTTGGGAACATGCCGCACAGAACTTGCGGAAAGTGCTTCATCAGCATCAGTTTTGCAGCCTCTTGCCCAAACGCCTCAGGCACCAGATCTAGCTTTGCGTAATCATGCTTGGGGTTTCCCTTGCAATTGCCACAGCGTATAGTGTCGCACGTCTGACACTTCCAGAGGATTGCAGAGCTGTACATTGCGGTACCTGTACAGAAGCAGTAGGGGCGAATGCGCTTGGTCAAAGCGAGAATCTCACCCGTAGTGGCGTTGACGTAACCAGAGGGATCAAAGCTGAGATCTTGTTCGTGGTCTGTGGGGACGAGACGAAATCTTGGTAGCGATGAAAGAGGTCCTTTGAAAGTCTCATCCAGGTCAGATATGTGAGGAAATCCATGACGCATGGCCGGACCATTATGTTTATGCATGGCCATGATTGCCGAGAGAAAGATTGCTCCAACGACTGTAGTAGTCATGGCATTGCCAGCCAGATTCTTGAGCTGATCTGTAGTCTCTCGAGAGAGACTGAGGGATTGAACCGGGAGGCCTTGTAGTTGCAGGTACTCTCTGCCAGTCACAAAACGACTCTGGTTCGAGATGAACGCCATACCACTAGGAGTCAGACAGCCAGAAATTCCAAAAGGATTTGTTCCTAGGTTTCTGTCGACGTTCTGGCTGAAGTCATGGATCTTCACCTTAAATCGCGAATCGTACGACGGCGAGGCGGTCAAGCCTCGAAGGAGGCTAATATCTGCCACATCCTTTACACGATCCGGCTGACGTGCCATGATCGTTTGATTGGCACGGTCGTAAAACCTTGTCTCTCCAGTTGGTTTCAAACCGGAGAAGGGATGGCTGCGGCCCAGGCCCTCGGTCTGTCGCACGTTCTCGTGCCTCTGTTGAGAAAATTGCCACGAAGATTCCCGAGTTGTCTTGTTGGCTTTCTCGTGCTCAAGCTGTTGAATGTCGACCTGAGTTGCTGGATCAGTGTTGTGATAAAGGAACTTTTCAACGTCGACCGATGCTCGACGTTGGAAATACTTCAAGTATGACATTGCATCCTTGGCCATATCTCCGGTCATATTGCTGCCGAAGGCTTCATTACTAAAAGCAACGAGGTATTTGCGCTGGCGTGTCTGTGGCATGTAGTAATCTTTCGTATCGCAGGACATGAATGCTGCCTTGTACCCAACCGCCGGCATGAAAATAGTCTCCAGGTCCTCCCATGGCGCGTCCAAAACATTCTCGAAGATGACAATTGCGGGTTGGTTATTCTGAATGAAAGTCAGGACTGGGAAGAATGTGGCGTCGGATTCGCTCAAGGTGAGATTTTGAACAATCTGGCCAAGAAGGGTCGAGATTTTGCGCTTATGAGGTTGCTGTCCCGGATCCTCTTTCGTTTCCCATATCTTCTGCAGGTATCTGTGGAAATCACCAGCGGCGGGACCGCCATAATCTTTCTGCTTGGCATTGTTGAGGTTCGAAAACGAAACACAGGATGTGCCCACAATCAACATTTGCCACTTGTCGTAAGAAATGCTTTTCCGAGAGCCCAACGCAGTCAAACTTGGAAAAGAAAAGTTAGCCAAATTGATTGGCAATGCTGGAAATGAAAAAGGACTTACAGTTTCGCCTCACCAATGTTAGGTTGAGCGAAATCTCGTACGTCCCGAAAGACATCTGCATCGGTATTTCTTCGGAGGTACGCCTGTTTGTAAGGGTCAATCTCGACGGCATACTGTTGCTTGTAGCGAAAGAGCTCCATTCCCGTCATAGCATAGAACTCATTCTGTAGCATCTTTAAAGCAAAGATTGGCGCGTCAGTACCGGAACACATTGTTCCCACATTGAGTCGGAAGCCGCCAGCCAAGGCGATGTCTCGGAGACTCGGCAGGGGGCCCTGACCAGGCTCTGGTAGGAGGGCCCGCCTCATGAGGTCTCGGAAGGCATCTTCCGCATTGTAGATTTCCCGAAGATTGGTGTTCAAGCCGTTGTGGCGAGCAGGAGATGCCACCGCCACATTCGGCTCCATATCTTCTATGGAAAAGCCTAAGCCTGTTAGCAAATATTTGTTTTAGATTGTACTCTTCGTAGTTTATCGTACCGGATTCATCGTCTGTCACGTCTTCGATCTTTCTCTTTCTCGATGATCGAGTCAGAGAGCGTATAAAGGCAGCACCGTGGTCTGCCATGTCACTATCCTCACTTGTCTGCTTGAGGCGACCTTTGCCACGGCTGCCCGCGCGACTTGTGTCGTCGGGCGCCATGGTGGGCAAGAACTGGCCACAAGATCGACCTGGGCACTGGGACTGGGGATAGGCAAAGGAATCTGGGGCGCAGAAATCAAGCTGTGAAGATGGTAGGTGAAGACAAAAGGATCGTTGATGAAGATCACTTGCTGGCAAGATGACCTAGCCGGAAGCAAATGTCTGTCCAGCCGGGGTTTGATGCGCAGCCAGCTGTTCTTCAAGCTGTCAAGGAAGTGATGATGAATGGAATTCAAGGCAAGTCAACGGAGTTGAGGTTGGGAATGTCAAGTTCAGCAGTCCTGAAGGAGAAAAGAAAAGATGACCAAAGGTTCAAAGTTTCGAAGCTCAGCAGTCTGAAGGAGAGAGGGGATGGCAGAAGGATGAAGATTTCAAGCTCAGCAGTCCTGAAGAAGAAGAAGAACAGGCAAGGTGGCAGAAGGGTGAAGCTTCAAAAATCTGTGGATGGGTCAGAACAAATATTGTGGCAGACCCGCAAGGTGTGAAAATTCCGCAGAGTGAGGGGCGTCTGAATGCAAACAGAGTGGCAGCTGTCTAGACTGCAGCTAGGCTGCGTAGGATTGGCAGGACCGGGGGCTCTGAGCTTGAGCCTCGTCGTCTTCAGTCCAGCCCACCAGCTGACGGGGCTTCAAGCCCACCGGACGACGACGACGACCAAGCCGGCCTCAACGCGGAGGGGTGATCACGGAGGGGCCGGGATAGAGCACACAGGGACCCGAGCCGGTATCAAGCTGGCCACACGACTGTATAACAACCAACGGTCGAAGTGAAGATCGTCGACACGCTAATGTGAAGCAGAGCAGAGTTGAATAGTGCCAAAATGTATCAAGAATAACAACCACAAGGCCATGAATGATCGGTGTTGACATTTGTGGAAAAGCGGTCATCAATGTCAAGAGTTTGTGCTATCGTCGACGACAAGTACACGACATCCCATCTTGCAATTGATCATAAAGTTGGGATTGACTGTGCTGGAGTAGAGTCAGTGTTGCGACTAGTAATCTTTCGTCTGCAAATTATCGATCATAAAGATGAGATGGGACGAAATAAGGAGTCCTGGCAATGGAATCAGAGGTCTCCTCGGAGCCAGCCAGTCAAACGTCACAGGCCACGCACAGAAGCTCTCTGGTAAACATGGTGTGGGTAAATTGTGTTCTCGTAACTGTTCAAAGGGGCTTATCAACCAAGCAGTGGTGTGCGTGCTCGGGAAACAAGTCGATCATCTTGCGATTGACTAAGATGACAAAGCCCATATGCCCTAGTATGTAGGAGTGCTTTGTACTACCCAGGTGTTTGCACGTCTGCAATGCCACGATACAGTACGGACATGAGCTCTTTGAACAATGCCATGACTATTAGCATTGCCCTCAAGTCAAACGTGAATACGACACTTTCAAGTCTCAATGATAAGTGAGTATGATTCGTTCTGAGAGCTGTGGAAGCATGACAAGCTGAATCTGCGAGCTCCAATATCGTACTTGCCAACGTTGTCGAGTGTGAGCCCAAAGGCGAAGCCATGCTGATCACAAGTTGTGTTTTCTGGCTCTCTGACAAGCTGTGCTTCTCAGTAAGAGAACATGGAGATGTCTGGATCTCGGACCTTAAGCAGCTCGCTTGAGGTGAGGTAATTTCTCCTGCTTGACAACATTGCCATTGAGATAGTTCAGTTACGGTAGAGCAGCTCACAGGCCGCAATGATCTCAACGTGTCGTAGAACGTGAGCAGGTCAACCGTCACCGCTTCTTGTGATTTGGTTCTTCATGGATGTAAGGTCCAAGAGACGAGCTCTTGTCCATCTGTTGATATCGGCCTGAGGAGGAGACATACCAAACCCATGGGTATCGCAATGATTTACCATCCGAGTCGCACGGATGCGGGCCATTTACCAGAGTTGTCACGGATTGACAACTTGGACGGAATCGCTGTATGGAATTTCTTCCACTGCATGCTTTGATGTCCAGAAGACACTTGTCCTCTCTTTCACAAGAGTATCCCAATACAGAAGTTCAACTGCACAGTCGCTGACATTCTGTGTGTGTTGGCCAATGTGGAGGAGATGCCTTTTCTGTTCCGAGGAGTCTGGTATCAATCGCTCTTACTCAACCAATTGAAATTGGACACTGCTGGGCGCTGGAGTCTCGAATCGCGCTGATGTTTGCCATGCGATGCTGCAAGTGATTTTGATGACGGCACAAGTCCAGACTTGTGGTCTTGTTCAGATCAATGCCCTATTGTGATACTGGCGATTCAGGCAGCAAGTGGAGATGGATACTGTGGAAGATGGCATCTGTGTAAAGTCTTAGGAAGCAGCAAAGAAACCAGGCATCCTCAACATTAAGGCGCTAAAGCTTGCTAGCGCGTATTGATCCTCGGATCTATCCGGCACGCTTAAACCTCGGAAAGAAGTACCTATACAAGAACCCTCTCTACCTCTTGTCTATTTGGCAACAATAATTCATCATGAAGATTAGGTGACTATGTCCTCTCGTGGTGGAAATCTATGTCTATTCTGAAGCCGTTTTGGGGGGTTATGAGTATACCAAGCAAATGGGGGCAGATCGAGTATCAATCCTTCCTCCAACTCAGCGCCGCTCTTGCGTCTCCGCCCCCGGCCTTCCAAAGCGGAGCAAGACCGGATGTCTAAGACTCAAGTCACGGGCACTTCTTGGTTGCTGCAAAGCTGTACCGAGAATCTCACCATGTCCATTTGATCAACCTTTATTTTACGGATAGATGAGGAAGTCGTAAAGATACACACTTTTAGCCTTCCAGCAATTCAGTAAAACTACTGCAAACAACACTCCCAAAGCCCGCCAAGATGACAGTCAGTGTGCTAGAGTCCACCGATGTCAAAAACAAACTCGAGGATCTTTCTGGGGTGGTGCTTAAACCCGGCGAGAATCCATACAATGCTCTGATCGAGGCTTGTCACAATAATCCGGTATGTTTGTACATATATTCATTTGCTTCTAGTGACCAGTCGCCATTAAAGGAATACACTGTGCCGAGTTGCGACTACAAGTAGCCCTTTCTCCAACGCTTACCAACTCTGTCGCCAGGCTGAAATCCAAACCCTCTACGCAGCACATCGCGTAAAGCGGAACGCGCAACAGAGGGAAAAGTTCATCACACCAGAGTTCAAAGAGCTCATTATTGACCCGTATCTCTTGAGGCTGGAGAAACCCTCGATTGAGCCGGGCTTCAAGGATCAGCGCAATTGCATGACCTTTTGGGGCCGTCCTCCGCTTCACGTATTGGCGCTTGCCGAAAAGCTTCAGGAAAAATTGAGGGCATGTGCACCCAGTGAGTCACATTACTTCTTGAGCGTAAAAGTATTATTGTTGAGCGATGGCAAAATCGAGGCGAATCATTGCGTGGTGTGAAGTTATGTCAGGAGCCAGTGGCTTGAAGTCTCTACAAACTCATCGGTTCGCCTCGATAACTTTTGATGTAATCGTAAAATCGAATTTGATATGTTTTGCTCCCATTGAACATCATTAGCTAACAAGAATTCTAGATATCTGGCTGATGCCCTTGCATCGCATGCATATCACCACTCTCGAGATTACCTTTTCCAAGACCCCAGAGGAGATCCACGCCATCAAGAAGGTGCTAGAACCAGTCATACCCACGGTAGCAAACTACACCTTTCACCACCGGGCAAGACTTGTCAAGCCAGTCATATCGTACGATCTGTCGGCTTTTGCTGTCTCGTTCCTGCCCGCCAGCGGTGAGCCGGCCCTCTCTCCTCCGTCTACTGCAGTGGACGATGGCGGGGCTATCAAGCAGCAGGGCGACCAGTACACATATCACCACCTCAGACGCGACATGTGGGAACTAGCCAAGAACGCCGGCATTGCCATTGATTCCCGCTACATCGTTCCCAGTGCGCACATCACGTTGGGTCGGTACCTGAGCGAAGAAGATCACGCCACGCCCGAGCAGCGGCAGAAGTGGGTCGACACCATTGACGAGATCAATCAGTGGCTGGAAGCGGAAGTCTGGGACCGTGAAGATGGCGACCTCGTAGGCGAGTGGCTTGTCGGCCAGGAGAAGGGTCTCGACGTTCGAGTTGGAACCCTGTGGTACGGAGGCGGGCGCACCGTGATGACGGGTGAGGGTTTCTAGAGATCACGACATATTCATGGACCAAGTGCAGGAACAAATTATCAAGCGCCGGGATGCTCATAGACTAGACTCACAATGTTCCTAGACAAGAGAAGGTATCAAACTTGCTGCTTGTACCAGACCAAACCTTGAGATATTGTGAGTAATGACCGGGTTCAACACGGAGCGGACTACGACTTTGATCGCTCGATTGGGAACCTTCCGCTTTGGCTGATTTCCTAACAGCATACCAAAGATTGCAGCTCGACATTTCTTGGGACGCCCGTCTACTGAAAGAACGATATCACGCATGGGCGGTCAGGCAACATTGGGCGGGGTCTGGATATGGGGTTGAAGTGATTAGACTGGGCTCTTGATCCGCGTCTAGCAATGTGGTCAACACTAAGCGGTGCTGTACACAATTCTCAACCATGATTTGTCCAGCCCGTATGCGAAACAAGCTCTGGATTGACCATCTCCCATGACCGTTGCCATTCCATCATCACTGGTCGAGAACCCTTCACAACATGTATCGATTCGGGACGTGTGTTCTTGGTGCTCAGCAGCAAAGACTCGTATCGGTTTTTTATTTTCAACCTATGCCTTGCTATACCCGGCTCCTCAGCCGAAGAAGATCAAGACTCCTGTCGCCAGTGTGCCCTTTCATGAGAAACCACCCTGATGCCATGTACCGGAAATGTGAAAAACGTGAGAGATCGAGTAACATTGACAACATTTAGAACACCAGAGCAGCACCCTTGGTCTTCTTGTCACCACTGTTGAATTGTTAGCGGGGAACTGCTTCGTCGGGATTGCGCATGGTACATACCCAAGCTCGAAGTGCTTGCAGCGCTTCAGGGCGAGCTGCATCTTGGTCTTGCAGGCAACGCACTCCAATCTCAGCACAACCTTCTTTGTGGTCTTAGCCTTCTTGTGGAAGACAGGCTTGGTCTGACCACCATAACCGGACTGCTTGCGGTCATATCTGCGCTTTCCCTGGGCGAAAAGCGAGGCCTGTGATTGCAGAGTTAGGATCGAGATTTCGGCTTGCCGTCGCGGGGGCTCGGGATCGTGTTTCGCGACGTGACGTGTGTTGGCTTCAACTAACCTTGCCAGCCTTGTACTGAGTGACCTTGTGCTGGGTGTGCTTCTTGCAGTCCTTGCCCTTGCAGTAGGTCTTACGGGTCTTGGGAATGTTGACCTGTGTGGAAGACCGCTGTTAGCCTTCTGCCACTTCAAAATGCCATGGAACGCCCATGTCCCCTCAGTTCCCCCTTCCCAAATTCTGCGCAATTTCTGGCGATTGACGACGGCCAAATAGAGGTTGTTTCCGATTGTGGGCGACCTATGATGGCTGAAATCGTGATTCGGTGTTGCTGAACTTTTTGCAGTTCGGTCGGCCAGTCGATATTTGTCGCCCCCCTCGTGTCGCATTCGCAATCCTCCCAATACGCGCCCAGAATCGTCGTAACAACAGTTCTCCTCTTTTCCAGTAACATAATTCAATGCATACGTACCATTTTGACAGCTTTTACCGGGTTGCTGCTCTGTGTTGGGTGGTGGTCGGGTCGTTGGGTGATGATGAGATTTTTCGAAGGTCCAATCCAAGTCCCGCTAGAATTTGGGAATTCGGTTTGGGCTGTGTGGCAGAGCTAGGGCTCGATTTCGCCTGCCAAAAAAAAGGACCCGCCCAAAATGATCCTGTCATGTTGAGCCACATTCACTAGCCACACCACGCCACTTTTCCGGCAGCTGGCAAATGAGTGCACGAGCTTTTGAACTTTTGCTAGGTACGGAAAAGGGACAATACCGGATATGTGTGATGAGCATCACCGTCATCACCAGAGCGATGCAAGCGTCCTAGACAGCAAGCGCATCTCTGCACTTGTCCCGCAGTTGATATGTACTTTTACATGTTTGCAGTCTGTGATTAAATGCATTCTATCCTCCTGATCAATTCCAAATCTTGGACAGAATTTCCAAAGACACGTCGAGCTCCTGGTAGTCGGCAGTCGGCAGGCGGCAGGCATCTCGCAACGTCTCCATCACAGTAAATAAATCTGCAGCTATTGGTACAATCTGTATTATCACTGATCGTTTTCTGGCCAAGTTGAAGGGAAGCGGGTACAGATGACAGCGCAGAGCCTCCTAAAGGATCCCCTGTAGCGAAGCTTCAACAAGTGTACTTCTGATAAAGCTATCAAATAGTCAATCGCCTTGCATTCAAACACGAACCTTTTTGGGGGGTGTCCGTCAGTTTGCACAGAAAAGGAAGGCCTTCTAACGCCCCCCCACGGCAAAGATCTAGCCAATCACGTGAATTGTGTACCTCCAAGCCAACAACTATATTATCTTAGCTAAGCTGAAGCTTTTATCATGGAACACAGTTATGTGTGTTGGTAGTAGTATAGCTTCGAGGTAAAGAAGCGCCCGAGTATAGTTGAACGAGCCCCGGATATCCATGTACTCAATTCGCAGTGCCCTTCCGCGATGGATACTCCGATTCACTGGATCCCAGGAGCGGTCTAATGCCGTGACAGATCCGGACGTGCGTCATGTATGAATCGGATCTTCTCCGGTTCAGGAGGAGGGAGCCGGTTGCGGCTATCGGCTCGGGAATAAAACACTTTTACGAGAGCCTTTTGATCACAGGCCCAATTTTTCTTACATTCGAACCAAGACTTCTAATATTGTTTGCGAAACAAACAATAATATATGCCAATACTAGAAATGAGGACGATCAGAAATATTCATCAAGGTCCTGGGCGCAAAGGGCGAATGGACTGTTTTAAAGTCCTCAGGAACCGGAGATTGGCTCTCGGGCTATTGCCGATCTTACCGTTCACATTACGGCAATTCTGGAAAACATCTTTCCCTATCGAGGCAAAGTCGGCAGGGTGCTAGGGACCGATCCTCGGCCAAGCTTTCAGAGGCCGCTGTTTCTTGTGGAGTCACTGGGCAATAATCCTAGACGTTCAGGCTGCGAAGCAAAAACGAAAGTGGGTGGTGACAACCTTGATTTGAGTCGCATCTCCGTTTCTGCATCTTTCCCTTTCCTCCAAATTCGAGTCATTATTCTCCTTTGCAATTTTTTCTTTCTTCCTGTTAGATTGCTCGCATCACCGGGGTACGGTTTCAAGTCCTATAAACGGACGCAATTCGTACTCAGAGGTGTTTACATCGCGAAAGAAGTACCTACTGTTGAGCTCTTCTCCCTGTCTTGCCAGTGGACTTTCATGTCTCCAAGAATGCCATGTCTATGAACTTCTATCTGTTATTACCTCATCAATAAATTCTTCTTATTATCTTAATCCTGATGTCTGCAGAAAAGGATGAAAGCAGCTCCCGTCCGGGTAGCGTCCGGGCCCAGAGCACGCGGGAACACAGCATACACTCATCCCATGATGATTCGGACTCCTCTGAGCATGCTGCGGACGGTGAGGGACTGGAGCGGTACTCGACACATCAGTCCATGGGACCAGATGTCCCTGTAGACCAAGCTTCTACTGTGTTCGAGATCCCAGACGAGGTGTACGATAGACTTCCGGCGCATCGGAAAAGGATCATTGTCCTCCTGCTCTCCTTTTGCTCTTTCTTGGCTCCAATCTCGAGTACCTCTGTCTTGGCCGCGAGTCCCGAGGTTGCGAAAGAGTTTCATACCACTGGATCCATTATTAATGTGTCTAATGCAATGTATATGTTGTTCATGGGACTCTCGCCCATGTTTTGGGGACCCTTGAGTCAAGTCTATGGCCGAAGATGGGTAAGCATCACCTTACTTTTTGTAGCGAATGGTAGATATGGAATACTGATGTGTATACCTAAAGGTGACCACTGTGACAGCAATTGCCTTCCTTGCTTGTTCGATTGGCACGGCTCTCGCCCCGAATCTGGCAGCTTTCTTTGTCTTCCGTATCCTTACCGCGTTTGAAGGAACGTCGTTTATTCTTGTCGGCTCGTCGGTTATAGGGTAAGTGGCATCAGACTTCCTGAATAGATTGATGCTGACAAAGCCAAAAGTGATATATACAGACCTACTGAGCGTGCCACAGCCCTCGGATGGTTCTTGTCAGGTACATTGATTGGTCCTGCTTTCGGACCCTTTTTAGGTGGCATCATTGTCACTTACACGACATGGTGAGTGAATACCCTCAACAAACACATCGTGCTACTATATGATTGAGGTCGTGATGAAAGAAACACAAAATAATAGTCTGATCTAACCTTGGAATTTTAGGCGGGTGATCTTTTGGCTACAGACAGGCCTTGCCGCTGTAGCTGCAGTTGGAACTTTCTTTCTCCTCCCCGAGACCATCTATCACAAAAAGATTGATGACCTGGTCGGCTTCTCCGGAAGTGAAAAGGTCAAGACACTGGCTACAATGGTCAACCCGTGGCGTGTCATCCGGTTATACGAATACCCAAATCTGTTTTTGGCAGCCCTTGCCAGCTCGGCCCTCTTGTGGAACATGTATAGCATCCTGGCCGCGATTCGTTATGTGCTCAACCCTCGATTCAACTTGACAACACCACTTCAAGGCGGCCTCTTTTATCTGGCGCCAGGTGTGGGCTACCTACTTGGCACATTCTTCGGCGGGCGCTACGCCGACTACATGGTGCGGCGATATATCAAGAAGCGTGGAATGCGGGTTCCAGAGGACCGTCTGTACTCGGCCCTGCCGTTCATGGCCTTTATCGCAGCTTGCATGTTGGTATACGGGTGGACGATCCAGTACGACCGGGGCGGCATCCCGCTCGCCGTGGTCATCCTGTTTCTTCAGGGATTTGCGCAGCTATTCTGCTTCCCCAGTCTCAATACGTACTGTCTGGACGTCATGCCCAAGAGCTCTGGCGAGGTCGTCGCCGGCAACTACGTGCTGCGCTACCTGTTTGCCTGCGCATCCACTGGCGCCGTCCTGCCCGCCATCAACGCCATGGGCGTCGGCTGGTTTAGCACCATTAGCAGTGTCTTTGTGATTGTCGGCTGCCTGTGCATATTCTCTACAATCACCTGGGGCCGTCAATGGAGGGAATCCTTGGATGGTAAGAAGAGGGCCGCGAGGCTGAGGCAGAGAGAAGCAGCCCGCCGTCAGCTGGCCGAAGTCGATGCCTCCGGTCGGAGCGATGAAGCTCAGGCAACAAGAGCGGCGCCGGAGATGAGAGAAAAGAAAGAAGAAGTTTAATATGGTTGCGATTGATGTGGATGGTTGCTACATCGCATCGCGACGAGCCTCGTAATAGATTGATAATCAAGACGGTAAGATACCCGCGTCCACGGCATCTTAATTCAAACGTATAATAATATCTCAAGCTATATCTTGGTAAAATCACAATCTTATGGCATCACGTGCTTGCCACCAACGTGCCCCGGGATAGATGATAGAGCTCTGAGTATTAAGGAAAGAATTGCATATCATGGCTTACAAATCATACGCACACCTATAAAGGCGTGGAAGCAATATCTACGTGCTGATACTATTACAGAGAATGCAAATATCTCACAATCTTCAATACTAGCTCGGGCATACATGGCTAGCTTCCTAGTTTGACGTCGGTAAACCGGAACGCTCTCCCCAGGATGACCCTCGTTCCAAAGATCTGCTCTTTTTCCTTTCGGTGCCAGCATTAGGGTATTTGCAGACAAGGCCAACAAGTCAAGTCTAGATCGTCTTATCAACTAGGATAATCTTTGCAACCATGAAACGTATACCGTGAAACCAACGCATCGGATTTAGTCGGGGAGAGAGCCTGGCTAGCTCGGCCATACGAGAAGAAAGTGGACCGATTCTTTGGCGTGACAACGTTTGTTACATGTCCGACATATTTCAACAACGCGATGCTATAGTAGAACTTGTGCTGGGCCAGTAGCCCATGTGACTAGCATTATTGGTATGATGGATCATTTAGCTTGGCAAGGGTTGTGGGGGTTGAGGCACAGCATATGGAGAAATGCCATTCAATTCTATATAGATGATGCCGCATTAGGCAATCCAATTGTATATTTCGTGGGCCGTGGGGATTTCCATCAATGAGCCTCGAGCAGCCGACGTAAGTGCTGCGACTGCAGTCAAATTAACCTGACACCACATCTGATACGAGGCTACCACGTGGACCAAGGTCGGGGAGTGTATATACCAGACGGGCTTTGCTAAAGTATTGTTAATGCTGAAAAGTAAAGTGTGAGAGAAACGCATGGCTTTTGGAGCAAGTCAGGCTGGTCAAGACAAGGCGCATTGACTGTGCGGGACAGTATCGTCTTGAACATCTTACCACCGGCCAGGCAGACAAATAGATATAGGTTAGTAGGGGAGCGGGTTGCGCTGTAGCAGTTGTTGCGCGACGATTTGGGTAGGCGAAACATGTGTTAGAATCAGTCACATTGGAAAAAGTGATGAAGTGATGCAATGACGCAATGAGATAGACGCCGGTCGCCGCTTTTGTGTTTTTTCAGTGTTTGCAAACGGCCTCCAAGTTCAGTGCAGGCAGTCAGTCAGTCAGTCAGTCGCGCTTTGTCGCGTAGAAGAACCAAGGTTGGCGGAAACCGGTGCGTGGAGAAGGTTGTAGATCATGTCCCATGTGGCGTACGGGGTAACCATGTAGCCACGGGATAGACAGCGGTGCCAAACAGAAATGCCAAGACTTTAAAACGCCCACTGTTCCAGTATCTGAAGAGCAGTCGGCAGTGCAAAAAGAATCAGGTCGTATTGACTAGCCGGTCTTTTCTTTCTTTCTTTGCTTGTAGAACCCTGAGGCGAAGGAAAAGATTGGAGCAATGGCAAGGTAACAAGAAAAGGGCAAAAGATTGATCTGGACAAATTGCGCTTTGGTGTCTTGAAACAACAGCCGCTCGGTAGGACAATCGTTCGACAATGCGGGCAGCTTCGCTGGCGCGTGTGCCGTCTCACTAGTAGCCAAACGTTTGACCGGTAGCCCGTCACCTCAACCCAACAGCCCAAACCAGAGCTCGCAATTCGCCTCTCTTACCTTCTTTTCCTTCTCTGATGTTGATGTCCCGAGAAGCCCTGTCGCATTGATCATTGATCAGACGGGATCTACGACCCGAGCGATGCGCGCCCCAGTGCCCCCCAGTGCCCCTCGCACAGCCTCATAGAGTCCTCCACCCATTTTGGCGATCAGAATAGGGCGTTGAACCAGTTCCGCAATTACTGAGAAAGGCGAGAAAGGGGACGAGGAGCAAAGGGGGGATAGAAGAATAAGAAGTCTTGGCACAGACTATACGATGCATACCCTTTTCATGCTTGGCTGCGACTCCCCACTCTCAACAGCCTTGCTTATACTCTGCAATGCATCGGGAAATACGAGGTGCAAGACAAGTACTTTGGCGTGACTGGCTTTACGTGCAAAGAAAATACAATGCACGATTGCTGAACCATAGATTTCTTGGGACGGGACAACGTACTGCCAGCGATCGCGATTGATTTGCAGAAAGGAAAGGGAAAAGGAGAAAGTAAATGGAAGAGCGACAAAGTACGATGGCACAAATGGTTCGTCCGCACATCGCGTGGCCGATCCTATAGAACATTATCTCGGCAACGCCGCGCCGGCCGAGCTGCCGTTAGATTCCGCGCACCAAGGCTAAAGCAAGGGACTGTTGCTAGATCGGGCTTTTTTGGAAAGCCAGTAAAGCTAAAAACTCTCATCGTGTGTGAGGATCTGCTTCCACTCAGCTGTTGCAGCAGCAGCAGCAATGAACCTCATGATAAGCCAAACCCGGCGGTGTAGAAGCGAGTTTTCGGTGACCTTCTTGATCCAGCCGCTGATCTTCCGGGCAAGCATATTACCTTAGGGCAGGTGTGTTACACGCTGGCCCTGTCCAGATTTCAACCAAGCCCAAGTAACACCTGGCAAGGCCTGCCTGGATGTTAAACGCACGGGGGGCTGGCTCGCACGAATGTAACTCCAGACACGGTAAGAACAATAAACGGCGCTGAACCGACAGAGAGCGGCTCTGCATTCTAAATAAGGTGCCGCTTGGGATGGGCCAAGATATCAACTTTAGAAAAGAGACGTACCCAGTCGTGCCAGTGTTTGGCATCTTATCTGACGTTTGCTTAATCTAGTCAGCAAGAAAGTAGCATGGCTGGGCGGTATCAAAAACGGCCATGCAGCATTTCCCTACACGTGGTCATGATCACGACTTCTGAGTCGAGGTAGCAAAACCTACATACAAATCCTGTGACACAGCTGCTTCCCAGATTTGTCAGAACAGACATTTTGACGTTTCGCACCAACTGGGTTCGTTTTCGGCAGAAAGGACGAAGGAAAAAAGAAAGGCTGGGCCGGCCAGGTTGACTTTCTGCCAATATTCTTGGTACAGTATCGTGTCATATTGGAAACAGTCTTGGTATTTGCCAATATTGGTCCCGCGTTTCCTCGCTCGCGCATCCACTTTGTCAAGAGCTGGTGCGACTTGTGCGCTGCATTATACTCTGTTGGCCCAAGAAGGATTCTGTCAAGACCACCCCAAAAAAAAAAAAAAGTAGCGTCGGATTGTGCTTCCCCAAGTACGTGCTTGTAATTATGTTTCCAAGGGATGGTTCACCCAATGATTAGTTGACAAGGGACGGACAGCACATTTGATCTTGCATCACCCGTCATTTGTGAGTACAACGGCAATTCTGGGTCCACGCCGACAGCAGTGGGGTGTACTTCCTTTCATGGCCACAACCTCAAAGCCGCCGGACGGACCGCCGAGCGCAACGGTACATGGCAAAGTGGCTCTGTTGTGTATGAGTTCCACCCGGTCGGTCGAGCTTGATTTACATTTCCCACATATGTACCACTCGTACCAATAGCTGCAGTTGACATGTGCTACTACATGTGTTGCGGCACGTCTTGGCAATCCAAGCATAGCATCTCCATAGCATCGGCATTGGGGAAATGTTGGGACTTCATTCTTGGATAGACTTTTGGTCTCGAACTTGCTGGAACGCACAAAAGAAGTTATCTGCGTGCTTCTCTTTGGGCGGTATACGGTTCCCATCTCTTTTACAGGAGCCGAGTTGATCCTACGAATAGTGTAGTGATAGTGTAATATAGCTCATTGGAGGCATACCTCATTGGGAAGGGGTTTATTCGGATTGACGGCATGACGTGCTGATGTTTATTCTATTGATGCTTATCGACATCCGCCATGGGATGGATGGGTGGAGTCAATATTCATTCGGTCCTCGAGATGGGCAGCCGTGGACAAGAGATTTGGTGTACGTACAACTGCTTGAAAAGAGAGTTCAAGGTTATTTGAAGTGCCGGGGCCAGATATTGGATGATTGCTACTGAACATTCACATGCCCGTCGGGGGCTGGTCCTAATTCCTGGGTTATCGGTTTAGCCTCCTAGCCTCAAGCTTTCGTTCTCTTGCCTTTCCTGTCGATAGGGACCTTGACAAGGCATGTAATAATCCTGGAAAAAGTTAGAGCCAATGCACCATCGGCTGCATTCATGGTCTTGGTGTTCTGATATCAAAGTTCTAGCACGCCTGCAATTATGTACGCATTTGAATACGGCCATAAGTTGCTCTACGAGCAGATCGACATCTACTTCGATGCTGCTCTTGGCACGGGAATTGAAGTGCGCACGTATCTGAGAAATTGCGATGGGAAGGAAATAACATGGAAGGAATAATGAACCAGGCCATGGGGATAAGTGTTTCAGATTCGTGCTGCCCGCTTTTTTCTTCCTTTCCTTCTTCCGCCGGCGGGTTCTCAGGGGGTTAGCTCATCTAGCGTATCGCTCGCTAAAGAAGACCCCCGGCACTACCTTGTAGTGTACTGACCTCGCTGACTGCCGCAAGCACGCGGTGTATTTCCATGAAGGAGGGCGATGGAGTAACGGGGTGAGTACTGGGGCGCTCAAGCGCTGGAGCAGAGAGCAGTCAGAGCGCCGAGCGACGATCTGTAGGGGGTTGTAGATCTTATCATCATGCCCTGGCAGTGCAGCAGCAGCCCTGTAAAGTGCAGCCAGCAGCCAGCGGGTAGCTAGCTAACGGTTCGGGGTCGATCTGTGGGATGATTCTTGAACAGTGTAGAGAGATGGCAAGGGTCGGACGTACAGCCGTACAGTGGCATCGACAGGGCCATGGGCCTCTCCCCTGCGAATCACTCCTTGGCGCCGTGGAGGCTCAACTGGATGAGCCGTTGTTGGCTGAGACGATATTCGAGTCAGCAGCAAAACCGCCCAACAGGTTGCAGAGGTGCTGGCATATTCAAGATTGATCGGCAGCTGCAGATATGTAGCCATGTAGCTTGTTGGTTTGGAGTATAATGGTGGTACAAACTATTCTTCTGGACAATGCAGAATTTGGCTCGGCATGGTGTTTATGTAAGATCAGCACCTTAATGTCAACGACTTCCAACCTCTCCTGCAGATTACAGGCTCGCAACTCCCGTAGCTAGATGTCTGGCCATGTGTGGGTTTAATGAGAAAAGGAATTGAGGATCTGCTGATGAACAAGTGAAGAATTCAGCAAATGGACTGATGGAATGGTCCTGAGAAGACCCGTAAGCGAGACTAGAAATTTCAGAAATCGTCAGGTAACGTCGCCCAGTTGCTCTTTTGTTTCAACCTTAGCGTCCCATTGCCACGGCCGAAACCAAGCACTGGATGCTCCAGGCCTGGTTTAGGGCGTACCAAATAGAGAGCTGGAGGGCATCTGGGTTGGTTTTCGCGGCGGATCTAGACCCCCAAAGGCAGTAGGTGACGACGCCTACAGCAAGGTAAGGGTGCCAAGCCGGGGTGGCTCCGCTAATCGAAGCGCGTTCACAACGCCCCACGCAGCACAAGACTATTACGACAGATATACAACCTTGGACTTGCTTCCAAAGGGTGCCGCCGCCCTGTCTGTCTTGTATGTTGAATTCGGCCCACATTATCTTGAAGAAAAAGAATGCCACCAGACACGCAAGCACGTTTTCCTTGGCCGGTGCTTTCGATCCAGCAGAACACCAACGACACATCTCAATAAGGTGTAACGCATTGATAACGACCGGGGAGCTGCTTGATCGGGTCATTGACTAGAGTTGCAGAATGCAGTGCAGCGCAGTACAGGCTGCAGGCAAAGTGAGAGGCAAGAAACGGTCTTTTCACCCAAGAGAATTCAAACTCAGCTCATTGCCTTTGCCCCCGTTCCAGTGCGTGTGCAATGTAGTGTGAAGTCTTTGACTCTCCTTATCCTAGTCTTCTCCCAAGCTTGCCCTCAAGGAGAGAGAAGGAGAACATTGAACTATTCCAGGGTCCAGAAGTTGATCAAAAGTATGCCCCGTATTTCCGCCCAGCTCGTCATTTCAGTGCGCGTTCATATCATGTATGTACAACATGTACATTTCTTCCCAGCGGACTCGTCTTCTGAAACTATGTAGCTGCGTAATGTACATCCCCATGTATATGCTGTCCCACCCATACTTTGGTATCTATCTATGATTCAGTCCGATCCCCAGTCCCTGCGACTTTGACTCCATCCGTGCCGTAACCAAGGTACATCTCCCTAAATAACTACTAGTATACTTTGTCCATCCCGCACATGGACCGGCGCCGGTACATATATACACAGACTCCACGGAGGAGGAATAAGAATAGAAAGGCAAAGCGTTCCGCCGTCCGTTTGGGAACATCAGATGTAAACCCACACTCGCTCGGTTTCCGGTTTTGCCTGGCCATTCGAAGCTCTGGTCTTGTCTCTCTACCAACGGCGACCATCTGTACCATACATCAACTGGTGCTGTGCACAGCCAGGACCTCGCACCTCTTTTTGTCAATTCGTATGTTTATTGGGCCCCTATTCTGTTGGTGCTAGCGAGTTTGATTTGCCTTCTTTTTTCTTTTCTTGTCCAACACGGAAACGGACAAGAAGACTTACACATACCATCGTCCCTCCTTCCTCAACTGTCAACTGCGTAGGAGCTCTTTCCCTCTCTCCGACCAATCTAGTTTCGACAAACACAACCACCAACAATTTTCTACGTCACTCTTCACTTGTCCATCTTTTCTGTTTTCTTGTACACTCTTTTTACCCAAATCGCCTTTCTTCGACTATTTTGTCGTAGTCCCTAGGTCTTGATCATCCCGGTCCAACGCTTGCAGCTGGTACCACGTTGTTTGTACCCCAAAGCTCGGCTCAGTCCTGTCTTGAGAGAATCGCATAGCCATTTCTGCTTGTCTTGGCACGCGCAAAACTGCAAAGGTCATTGCAGCCTGTGTAGCTTTGCTTCCACAAGTACGAAAATAACTGCATAAACTTCAGATGGTTTTTACTACGGCAAACATCTAATCCTTTTCACGGCTTGCCGTTGCATTCCTCGAGCCTGTCAACTACAAGTACACCTGGACGCAGAACCGCTTCTCAACTTACTCGAATACCATTTTTCAGACTCATTCACCGAGTCTCGTCTCGGAATCCGACACCATGGGACGAAAGGGGGAGCTCTTCTTGCCCATTTCAACAAAACCACAACCAAAGCTTCGGGTCAGGACCTTGCTAGGGCACTGCCTATATAGAAGAGTGGTAATATGGACCGTTTTGGTGGTCGTCGTACTCTCTTTTACCTTCTACAACCACAGTTACCACAGCCGAAATGTCTTGGATCTTGTGCAGATGGGCACAATTGACGTACCGCAAGACAAGCTCCCACACAGTCTTGAAGACACCGTTGATCAGCTAGTGAAGCAGTCTAGCCAAGACAATGCCGACGAGACTCAACAAATCATGGAAACCAAGGAGAAATCGTCCGAGCAGTCGAGCAAGGAAAGTTCCGAAGAGGATCAATCAAAGACGGGCAAGGAAGACTCGAAAGGCGATGTGAAGGAAGACTTGGAGGAGCATTCCAAGAACTCTGAAGATACCAAGCAGAAGCCAAAGGGCAAGGGCAAGTCCAAGCCCAATGGACCCCATTGGCTTGACTACGAGCAGTATGTGACATACCCGAAGTTGAAATCAATAGAAACTAACAGCCAGCAGTCTGGATAGATACTTTAATGGTCTGCGATCACTGGTCTCATTCTCTGAATACAAGCCCGAGTATCCAGTACCAGCAGATGCTGCCACGCCTACAGCTCCAGTGCCTTCAGTGCATAATACGGCCCTCCCAACACCTTCACCATACAGTCCTCACCCAAAGTACGACTCTAACGAGTACAAGAACAATTACCACAAGGTCAACAAATGCTACCTTGATGCTGAGAAAACTATCCCGGCTCCCGATGTCTACGCTTACGACGGTGTTCCCCAAGGCCAAGCCAAGCCAGCCATTGGATCCTACGATTTGTTCGGAATTCGCGAGGACGTTTGCTTTGATCGATTCGGTCGATATGGCGCATACGGACTTGGATACTCTGTCCAGCAGGGCGGCACAGGAGAAGGCACCGATACTGAAAATGAGGGTAGCCGTGCAGTGTGGGAGAAGAGCGGACAAATTGACTGGGACGGCATGGACTGGGCCGGTGCCCAGGAGCGCTGCTTCCAATCCAACGAGCACCGCTTCAACACTGGAAATGAGACCCTTGACGCCGAGGAGTCAACGCAGGGCCTAAAGAAGATTGATCGTACTGCAGTCGTCATTCGTACATACGTCGGCTTCAAGTGGACTGCTCACGCCCTTCTCAATTTCCGCGCCATGATTACCGAGCTCAACTTGCGGTCTGGCGGTGAATATGACGTACACTTCCTGTTGCACGTCCGTGAGCCTGACCTGCCCATCTGGGCAGACCCCGAGACAGCCCAAAAGGTGCTTGATGCCAGCGTTCCCAAGGAGTTCCATGGCCTTTGCACTCTTTGGTCAGAGCCTCAGATGAAGCTTTACTATCCCGGTAGCTTTGGAGATGCATTCGAGAACCCCAGTAACGGCGATATTCACGGCGTGTACCGCAGTGCTCACATGCCACTTCAGCATTTTGCCAATATGCATCCGGAATACGCACACTTCTGGAATTGGGAGATGGATATGCGCTGGGTCGGATCTTACTACGAGCTCTTTGACAAGCTCGGCAAGTGGGGTGCAAAGCAGAGCCGTATTGGTATGTGGGAGCGTGCCAGCAAGTACTATATCCCCGAGTTGCACGGAACATGGGACAACTTTACCGAGATCGTCGATTTTGAGACTCGCCAGGCGGGTCGCCGAGGTGTTTTGGGACCTGTGATTTTCGCCGGCAAGACAAACTTGCAGGATGGAGAGGAAGGCTTCATGCCATCTACATGCTCTACAGGCAGTGATATGAGCCAATGTGGCGTTGGCGAAGAAGCAGATCTCATCACACTCAACCCTCTCTTCGATACCGCCGAGTCTGGCTGGGTGTTTGCCAGCGACGCCAGCGGCTACAATCAAAAGGCCCAACAACCTCCGCGACGCTGCGCCATTGTCACTGCTTCTCGGTTGTCCCGACGCCTGCTCAGTGTTATGCATGAGGAAACATGGCGTCTCCACCACAGCATGTTTAGCGAAATGTTCCCCCCATCCATGGCACTTCACCACGGTCTCAAGGCTGTTTATGCTCCTCACCCCGTATATCTTGATCGTGCGTGGCCAGTTGAGGCCATTGAGGAGAACTTCAACGGTGGCCGTGACCACACTTCTGGCGGCCATGGAAGCCCCTTTGACATTACCAACGAGCACAACCACAAAGGCACTTCGTGGTATTACAACAGCGAATTTGCAGGACTCTTATGGCGCAGATGGCTTGGCTATGCACAATATGACGGACGAGGCGACAACGGTGGCCGCGCAGGCGAGGGCTCCATTAGAGGTGGGCGTGCTGAAGAGGCCAACGAGGAGAGCTCTGGAAGACTTTGTTTGCGCAGCATGCTGGTACACCCTATCAAGTGGGAAAACCCAGCCGAGTGGGATAGCTAGAGGGTGTCTCTAAGCTCTTTCCTCCACCAAAAAATCTTTCATTTGCTGCTCAGCTACAGGTAGAGCAAGACCTCACAAAAGTTCGACACCTAAGCTAGCAGTCATGGCAGCATTTGGAATTGAACCAAACCAAGGAACTTTCGCACTTGAAAGAATAGCCCTTGGATGTACATATCCACCACCATCATTTTCTCAGTACCGAGTACTGGCGGCGTACTCTGGAAAAACATTTTATCTTCCTTCTCGCGAAAGGATCGGCGTTTATATAGCGGCTGGCTCGGATTCTCATGTTTTCAGAGGCATAAGGCATCATACCCTTGCCAAAGATATATAATTCTGTCATAAAACGTTGACGGGGTTCGATATGGCGTGAGACGACAAGTCCATCCATAATGAACTACAATATCGGCCAAGAAGGATGACCAATGAAGGAGCGATGGCGTTTAGAGCACTCATTGTAGAGATTCTGTTTGTTTGTTGTATGTGTATATATGGAGGCAGATCACACCGCAAAAAGGTGAACATATGCTAGACTTCAAGTAGCTTTTTCTGCTTTTTGTTCAGCTTTAGAGAGACAGACAGGAAATGAAGAATAAAAATCTGACATGAACATCAACTTGAGGACTTGAGACAGGATCATTATGAAAGCAAAAAGTGCTGCTCAGGTGCCACGAATTGCAGACAGATGTGGACATTCAAGTAACTCCAGTGACTTGCTTTCCTGTCATGCTACAGCCTTGCTCTCCGGTCATGAATTTTTGTGCATTCAATTTTCTGATTTGGTAGTGACTATATGTTCAGAAAGCCTTGCAGAGAAGATGATGGAGAATTGCACTGTAATTTCAACCTCCACGGCGGGAATCAGCACAACTGAGGTAGTATGCCCGCCGGGCTTTACCCATATTGATCACGTATGCCTTCAGCTGTAAAGCTTGTGGTTTCTCAGTGGCTCGCTTAGAAGTATGATGACCACACAAGTCTTCGGTCCAATAGCAACAACCACCATAGTTGTCGGACATGAGAAATGAGCCGCTAACCCGCGACATTCACTGCAATTTTGACCCTCCCGAAGGGCGTAAATATCATGGCAGGTGCTGTTGGCTGCATCCCTACCGCCCAACGTGAGCAGAATAGTCCTGCAGCAAAGTACCATGCCGTGGCTCCTCGTCCACGACAATTTTTCGCGCACAGAGAAAGTTCACAGCCATCGTTCTATTGTCGAGACTCGGTATATATATATTATCATGTCTTTTCGTATGAGTTGCGCTCATCGAACGTATCGTTAGCCATAATTGGCATCATGGTCATTTGCTTCTGGAACATGACGACTGCTTGCTGGAGCAAAGGTCATGTTGCACGTAGACATGAAGCGATTAGAGATGGAGGAAAAGAGACACTCTGGCACCAGTGGTACATGCATGAGAAGATTCGTTGTGTCAGCACGAGGCCAAAGTGTAAAAAGTGACGATTAAGACGTTCAGCTGAGTGATCGCTTTTGTAAGGATTAAAATTGCAGTGAAGTGTAGCTGATTGGGTGCAATGATATGACACTTGGCTTGGTTCTTCTTTTTCTTTTTTATTAGACTGTGGTTGCACGGCACAGCACAGCCTTGTCCGAATCAATCTTCAGCTCCTTCGCAAGGGGGAAAATTGCATTGAATGAACCCCCACGCCTAGAAGTCCGTAAGCTGGAGGATCCTATGTAGAACAATTGTAGGATACCAGTCCAACGTGAGCATGAGCACCAATGTCAGAAAGGTACACAAAGCTTTCAAGTCCTACAAGTAGTTGACCCTACCAAATTTGCAAGTAATATTGATGCCAATACCGAATGACAATCTGATTCAAACCATAACAAAGAGAGGGCCAGTATTCAGACTAAAGATGTCCTTCCGCAAAGTCGGCTGTGAGTGATTGTTGACACTGTAATCTTTCCAGCCTTGAAGGATCATAGACCAAGCCGACGAATTGACACTCGCACTCGTAGCATGGTAGTAAAGCAGATCGCCAAGAAAGCCGTACTTGTGATTGGTCACTCTACTATAAAACCCACGGAATGTAGCATTGACCCAGGAAGGAATCGATCCCCGGTACACTCGGATTGCCGAACATTGTTCATATAGGATCTCCAGAGTGATTTCATGCGCATTGCATAGCAGAAAAGGGTATCGTTTTGGGCTCTATTGTAAGAGGCAACCCAAGTCACATAGTAAGAAACCAGAATATATTCAATCACGAAATCAAACCCTGTTTCATCCATCGTATGCATCGAGACCATGCTGATGGCGATTCAAAAAACGCTGAAAACATGACTACTTTCTCCAATTGCCGAGGCGACCTATACACGCAGCTCAGTGATTCGAAGCTGACTGACCCCTTTTCCCACTCTCAACTCCTCATGCCACTCCTCGCTATATTCACTCACTAGGCAATAGACATGAAGATAACTCATGCTATTCCTAGTCATTTCATATGAAACCCAACATGGAAACCTTCCAACGCGTTTCAAAGAATTCACCACGAAAGCCCCATAATGTTCCGTCAAAAAAGTGGCCCACCGATGCGACAAGCACAAGTAACGCTCTGGATAAGTACCAGTAGCAAGAAGCGCCCAAAATGAAGAGGCAGGTATCAGGCGAAAAATGTAAAAGGTCAAACAACGCCAAGAACACCATGGAACGCCAGCTTCGAAGAAAGAGTATATAATGGCATTTTGGAATGCATGGTCCGAGCCCTTCCCGCTTTGGGGGGTGCGGATCAATATGTGCAAGAGAGCTGGGTAAACCCAAAAGTGCTCATCCGGGGTATTTCAGGCACTACCGGCTTTACTTCTTTAGCACAGCATCGTAAATGCTGATGAGAGCAGTAACGGCTGTGCCGGTCAGGATGCCCTTGTAGCCACCATAGACGGAGCCGTTGATTCGCGCAATGGACTCCTCGCTGAGCCAGCCACCAAAGGTGACGCCCTGCCCGTATACGACGAACGAGATCAAGGCCTTGACGATGCTAAAGGTCAGAGGATCCACGACGTAATCAGGGGTGGGTGTGGTGTTTCGAGTCGTGCGGCGGGTTGGCTGGTTTGCTGCCGAAAGGTTGAAAAAGTAGCCGGCAAGAGTGGGCAGTATCGTGCTGGTGAACAGCCAGGTGAGCGTGGGCGACCAGAACGAAGAGGTGAGCAGCAGGAACAGGTCGGCGACATGGACGGGAAAGTCATTTGTGCCCAGGAAGTGGATTGCTGGGATGGTGAATGCATAACGGTCAGGCAGGACTTCAGGGCGCAGGAAATAGAGCTCGAAAAGCGACACAATGCCCAGGATGGAGTTGACAGTCGAGAGACTTTCCCTGGTGGCGTGGGTGACCTCGGTGATGCCCGACTCCTTGTAAATGGAGCTGGCGCGGTTTCGCAGAGCAACCGTGTGGCGGTCGACAGCCTCTGCAACGTCGGCGGGAGTCGCAGGTAGAGGGATGCGGCTGGCGAGAGAAAGAGCGCGCCCGGGAGTCTGAACAAGGGCATTGGAGATGCCAGTGGTGACAGCGGTGCTGGTGGCTGGCTCCTCTTCAGATCCAGATGCTGGTTCAGATGCCGACCTACAGCCACATGTGTTAGTGAACGCGTCATACCCGGTACTACATCGCGAGGCGATGCGCGATGCGGACGGTGGAGGCTACTTGACATACTCGGGAGCGGCAGCTACAACAGAAGCCAGCGCTGGGGGCAAGGCAGGAGCATCTTCAACAGCCTTGATGGTGCGACGTCGCGGGACCTTGATCTTCTCCTCGGTGCCATCAGAGGCGGTTGAACCTCTCTTCAGTGGCGAGCCGATCGTCCTGGCGCGACTCGAGAAGTAGGGAGCTAGCTTTGGGTCTGACGAAAAGGTCGTCGCGTTCTCGGCAAGGTGCTCATCGAGGGCAAGCTCCAACTCGGGCTTCTTGAACGCTTCAAAGCTATTAGTCGCGTCGTGTTAGCCATGGTGTTTCGCAGGAAGCTCTGTGTTTGCATTACTCGATGCATTTCGCTAATACGCGCGCCGCCGCGACTCGACCCACTGCATGCCCACAACCAACCACATCATCATGGTAGCCCAGTATAGTGACTGAAAGCCGCGACAATAGAGATGCGAATCGCAGCAGCGCGACGTAAAGATTGGTATGGCATCACGAGGAATATCTAGCAAGGAATGACAGACTACTTACTTCTTCAGGCCCGTGTGTTGCGCCAACTCGGCCAAATCGCCCTTTCGCTGCCGTTGCAGCCAGCTATTCGCGCCAGACATGGCAGGGGGTGTAATAACGCCTATAGAGAGGACTGGAATGTGTGGGAATTGAAAATTGATATCAACGTGATCGCGTCACTAATGCGACCAGATTGATATACTTTGCGAGGGGATATAGTCACGGATGGCCCGTGATGTTGTTATCGATTGATAGATGCTTTTTATGAAAAATGCTAGATGGGAGGAGGAGGGGCGCGTCGGGGTTGGTGCTTGTAGTGCTAGCTTAAAGAGATCTTGGTGCAATAGCTGGTGGTAATAATAATCGAGAGAAGAGGGATGGTGGTTGTTTATCTCGCAAGCGTGTTGTGCTTTCTATTGTTTTGGTCGAGGAGCCGGGGGGTCGGTCGCGGGGGGAATATGGGAAATCAACACGGATGGGGGAAGCTTCAAGCTTTAGTGACTGAATTGGAGCTCTATTTCTCTACGCCCGCCCGGCACCTGAGGGGAGGGGATGTGAGTGAGCAGTGCGAAAGTGATGTGACAGCGGGTGGATCCTCCTGTTGGGTTCTGGCCGCCACCCCCAGAATGTCAAAATAAATTCGGGTGGCTGGGGGGGTAAAACCCTCCAGTATGCGACAATTGACAACACTGAACAAGCATGAGCTGTACCATGTACCATCAGCCCATGTTATCAGTATGGAGATAATCTACCGTCAGCAATCAATGTCGTAGGGCATAGACTAATGGATTTGGCTCCGATGATCATTTCCTACGCGCAACAAAAGCGTCCGCGTCAATACATTGGGTATAGATGGCTCTAATTCACCTACGTAATGTTCCTCCCAACTGGGTCTACCTGACTCGTGTAGAAGACGAGAGCGACGAGGTTCAGCGCATGGCCAGCAACACCCCAATATACTCTAGACTACTTCGTAGATGTATCACGATATCCTTCGTTTTGGTTGATAGCTTGATATGATGCTTTTTTTGCTTTGCAACTTGGCTGTCTATTATATATAACACTGGTCGTTACTCGATCCAGCTAACAAATCTCTCTTCGCCCCGCGGCACCATCCTAATCGGCACAAACTTGTTTCCATGCAGCTTGAGCGTGATCATACTCGTGGCGCTTCTCATAGTTTCCCGGGCCTTGGCCTGCGCTTTCGCATAGAGCTCTCTCTTTTGCTCCTTGCTCATCTTGTCCACCTCGTCGTCGCTGGCCCATTCATCAACGGCCAGCTCAACGCTGTACTTTTGGAAGATGGTACTCAGTGCCGCGACCATTTCAACCTGGGCGATCCGTCTACCCAGACATGATCGCGCGCCGTCTGAAAAGGGGATATAGCTGCCGCGCACCGGCCGGAAGAGCTGCACGCTGGTGTCAGGACCTGCGAAACCACCAAAGTCCTCATTGTCGGCACCCTCAACCTCCGTGTTGTGACCGTCAGCCTGCTTGCGGAACCATCTCTCGGGCACCCAGTCGAGAACATCATTATCGGCGTCGCTAATCTTGCTCGGCTTGCTGGGCCAGTACCGGGGGTTGTGCTGCGCTGCGACCGCGATGAGACCGATGCGCGCGCCTGCCGGCAAAATATGCTTCTCTCCGTCCACGGTAAGCACCTGGTCTTGGCCTGGTGACACCCGTTTAGGGATCTCGACGCCCGGAGGCATGACCCTAAGAGTCTCGTTCATGCAAGCGGCGACATTGGACGCCATGAGCGGGTTGACGCACTGGTCGTAGTCCCAGGTCTTTGAATCCGCGTCTCCAAAGATTCTGTCGACATCCTGCTGAACATGTCGTTGCACTTCGGGATTTGCGGCCAGTTGCACGAGGGTAAAGTGCGTTGCGTTTGCTGTTGTTTCATGCCCTGCAACCATCATGACAAACGCGTTGCCAATGATTTCGTCGTCTGTAAGGCGAGCCAACTTTGTGTCCTTGGACTCATCGCCGTAGCTGGTGCGGACGAGCATGCCCATGATGTTCATGCCTTCATCGGATTTGCCTTCTCGCGTGTCTTGGATCTTGTCCTGGACGAATCGCCTGAAGTATTTGACGAGGTCGTTCTCCGAGGTGAGTGCCATTTTGGGACTCTGGAATGGTAGCCACCGCAGTAGCCACCTGGGCATCAGGATCAACCATATAATGCCGTGCAAGACTCCTGCGAGCGAATCCTTGAAGTTTAAGCTGTGGCCGGCAGGGGCTTCGAGTGATGAGAATTTGGCGGCCTTGGGGTCAATGTCTGGACTCATGGTCTGGTCAGACCATAAAAACCGAAGCCCAAAACCAGCATAGCCAATAATGTGCAGCATGAGCGTCATTGTATCGTCCTCGACAGTCTTGATGGTTTTGCCTCCCTTCCCATCTGGTCCGAGCCACTGCTTCAATAGTCCGTACGTCTGCGCAATAGTCTCGTGGAACACCAGGGCAGCGTTCTTCTCGTTGAAAGACGTCGAAGTCACTTTTCGATGTGCTCGCCACTCAGCTCCCTCGGTGGTCACTACATTCCGTCCGTATAGATCCAGCATCCTGTATATTTCAGTGGGCTTCGGGAATGCTTCTCTTTTCGACGTAATCTGGTGGATCGCCTCGGCACTGGCGGTATACAGGCACACCTCTCCTGGTGAAGCGACGACAAAGTTTTCGCCCAATTTCGCAAACACTTCGAATCGATAGACATATTGCCAGTCGGGTAGCAAGACGCTATGTAGAACTCTAGTTAGCGAATCGCTTCTCGTTTGGGTAACCCCAATTGGCGGTGCGCTATACTCACGGCAGAATATCCTCCCAGTACTTGCGCGGAAGCATCTTCCATATCCCAAGCACCACGGGTGCCACGAGTTGGCCAAGTTGGTTCATTGGACTCATGGCTAAATACAGATTAACTTGGCCCATTGATCATCTCTGTGCGCACATCTCGTTTGTCAACTTACGGACGACAAAGTATGGCAGGCCAGTCGCCTTGGCCTTGGCAATGTTCTGCCGCAATCCAGATACATATCGGTACACTTGGTATGCGACCAGTGACGCGACCAAGTATAATATTGTCGACGGCATTTTTTTTTTCCCCCGGAGTGAATGATTTTTGTAGCAATTGGAAGCCGACAAGATTCGGGGCCGCAAAATGCCTTTGTCGATTGTATATATATTTCAAGGCGTTTCTTGTCGAAGAGCTCCGTGTTTCACTACCCAGCTCGAGCGCAACGGTAGGCGAAACAAGCGTAACTGTCTGTAGCGGCGCCACTTGTCGTCGTCCAAACGCTCTCCCCTGGAAAAGAGCAAGAGGATGGCAAAAACATGCAAACAAGAGAAGACGAGCGAACAAGAGGTGTCCCCGCACACTTGATTATATGCGCCATGATGGGCGTTATGGACGGGCTCATTCTCATTCCCCCTTTCCAGCTAATCCGAAATGTTCATCAGAAAAATTGTGGGTGGGAAAAGGCTGTCGGAGACGTCGCTTCCCGTGCGCCAAAACATGAACTAAAGCATTCCAGAGGATTGATCCATGTGGTTTACGGCCTGGGCTTACCCACTTGAACATGTTCTTGGCCAATCGCTTTGGAGCCGAATGAATCAAGCAGCGCCCGCAAAGACGGGGCCCGAGTCGCTCGACCGCCCATTCTTCAGCAAAAAGAAATAATGATAAATGATATGCCGAGAGGTCATGATGTGCGTAAGCAAGGATTGGGCTGAATGTCAGATGGTGGGCATTTTGAAGGGTATGGACTAATTAGGCAAATGATCATTGATTCTTTCATGATGTGAAACCAATAAGACAGGATCAGAATCGCATTGGACAGGTTTTAATCTCTCAGTGTCTGTCAAAGATTACTTCCACCACCAATCTTTGCCCAAGGCGTCCCGGAAGCAGAAGAAGCCGGCACCACTGCGTTGCTAGTTCTCTTTTTACAGATATTTCCACTATCCACATGGACATGCAAACATATTGTACGAAGTATTCCGCTAGCATGTAAAGATAAGCGCGTGTCAAACAAATATATATCTAGTCGGCACTTGGTTTTATACTTTTATATCCCAGGGCGAACCACTATACTTCTGCAGGTTGTTTAAAGTATATTCCCCCTGGACCAAGAAACGCCATAGGTCTTATACTTTGCGTCTGCCCCGCGAATTTTTTTTTTCCTTCTTCCCCCTTTGGCACCGTTCCGCCTTATAAGCATCTCACAGCATGAGCGGGATGCTACCTACATCACCTACATTGTACCCATCGACCTACCTTGGTACACCATTCCCTGAAATGCCTATACCTACTTTAGCATACTCAAGTGACTGAAAATGTACAAAAGTATGAATGCGCATACCATCACGCTCCCAAAAGAGAAAGAAAAGGGGAGAAAAAACAGTATCGATTGAACGTCGATATGAGGACACTAAGCACTTAAGCTTTTACAGCATTCAAAGTCAAATCTCACTCACAAGCGATCTTGCGATGAAATGCACACTGTTAACAATAATTACTCTCTAAAGTGGCAAAGTTTTGAAAATAGATGGAATTTGGTCCTGATTACGATATTGGATTCCAATAAAAGCCGACCCATTGATATGGGCGGCTCTGAACAACCAGTCTGCCAGTACAACTCCGCAGTCAGTCTTACCTACTCGGTGTGACACCTCAACTGTCAGCTGCACCTCTAGTGGTGGAGCCTCGGTAGCTACCAGTCGTTATTGGATGAACCACGCGGCCTTTTGTGTCTCTTGGTTATTTTCATCATTGCATCCCATGAAGTCGGTCTGTCAAATCCGTCGCCGACAATATTGTGTCTTGACAGGCGAATTGTATACATAACGACGACGACCATGGCGTTTTTTTCCAACATTCGCCGCTTTCATCGCCATAATGTCTACACGCTTCGGAGCTCCCCGCTCTCTGAGCTCTCGGGTGCGCTGGGCGACTTGGGAACACTGCTGCCTCTGATGATCACGCTGGCGGTCAACGGTTCCATCTCACTGTCGACTACTCTGGTGTTTTCTGGCTTCTATAATCTCGTCACGGGTATAGTATTTGGGATACCGCTGCCGGTGCAGCCCATGAAGGTAGGTGATATATTTCCGCGGTCTGGTCCCTGCTCGTTACACGTTCTAAGGTTCCTCTCCACCGGCTGCGGGCTAATGCATTGCATTAATACATAGGCCATCGCCGCGGCAGCGATAGCCTCGCACACATCGCTTCGGGAGACCATGGCTGCTGGCAGCGTCACATCCATCGTTGTGCTGGTGCTCAGCGTGACAGGTCTTCTTCAGTGGGTGACTCGCGTTATTCCAGTGCCAGTGATCAAGGGTATTCAGTTTGGCGCGGGCCTATCTCTCATTATTTCGGCAGGCACATCGCTTCTCAGGCCACTGGTCTGGTTTCTGCCTTGGCCTCTGGATAATCGCATATGGGCTTTGCTTGCATTCCTGTCCTTGATCGCGACGCAGAGGCTGCCTCGGTTCCCCTATGCTCTGATTGTTTTCCTGGTCGGCATTATCCTGGCTTTTGTCATCCTCACGACTGATCACTTGGGCCACGGACAACACTATGCACTTCCCTGGTTCCGATTTTGGAGTCCCTATACTGTGATACCCAACTGGAGTCCTGATGCCATTGGCATGGGGATAGCGCAGCTGCCTCTGACGACCCTCAACTCCGTCATCGCCGCGAGTGCCCTCGCGTACGACTTGTTGCCCAACCTACCTAACCCGAGCGTAACGGAGCTTGGTATCAGCGTGGCACTAATGAATTTGCTTGGCTGCTGGTTCGGCGCAATGCCCGTGTGCCACGGCGCCGGCGGACTGGCAGCGCAGTACCGCTTCGGCGCGCGTAGCGGAGCGAGCATCATACTCCTTGGTCTATTCAAGATCGTCCTTGGATTGGTGCTCGGAGAGTCCCTGCTCGGCCTGATCCAGGCGTTCCCCAAGTCGTTGCTGGGCATCATGGTTATTGCCGCCGGCCTGGAGCTGGCCAAGGTGGGACAGAGTCTGAACCACGGCGCGACGGACCTCTGGGAGTCTAGTATCGAGCCCAGCGGACGCGTCCACCGAAGGGTCTCGGACGAAGAGCGGCTGGAGAGGTGGACAGTGATGCTCGTCACCACAGCTGGCATTCTGGCGTTCAAGAACGATGCTGTAGGGTTCCTAGCTGGTCTAGCCTGCCATGGTGCTTACAAGATTGCGGAATGGATTGAGAGAAAGAGGCGGAATGATGAGATGAGACCACTCCTTAATACTTGAGGTATCTATCTTTTGCCCAAGACTCTGCATAATTAGTATCATGTTCGCGAATAGGCTATAGCAAATACAGATATGATTTAGACTTGCAACATTCGACCAGAAAGGCTACCTGTGCAGTAGAGGTCGCTATTCCCATTCCAATAACTCCCTACTTCCAGGCTCAAGAAACATAGTCTGACACAAGTATATCAAATCTTTCCAAATATCCATCACACACAGGGTATCATGAGAGACTCGACCAGCGAGCAGTATACAAAGCAAATCCATCCGAATCACCGTCCTTGACAGCTCTCTAAACAACACTTCCTGGTTCCAGAGGTGGTCTTTTCAACTTTCTTTCCGTTCTTTGGAGCAAGCTCTCGTCGCCCTCGGCAGCCATGGCTCTTTCGGCTTCCTTGGCGTGCTTCCTCTTTACCCTCGCAAGCAACACCTGGCTGATGAACAAGAACAGCACGCTGCAAATAATCAAGGAGCAACCTTCCACGAAGGCGCTCGCGGCAGCCGTGGCACTCCATTTGCCATTCTGCTGCGTGTACACGGGGACAATGGTACTAATCAAGCCAGCAAGCGCATTGGTGGCACCGGGCAGGAGGAGGCGGTTGAGCAGCCAGATGTAGTTGCGGCGCCACTTGATCATGAGCCAGACCATGCCGGCGCTGCCGAGGAAGCAGCAGACGGCCGCGACAATGAGCAGCGGCACGTTCTTGACGTGGTCGACAATGGCGCTCGCCGCGGCATTGGCCTGCACCTCGGGGTCCTCGGACAGGTCCTGGAGACTGGTGAACGTGCCCGGAAACACGACGTAGCCGGCGAGCTGGATCCAGAGGAAGAAGGAGGCGTAAATGTTGTGCATCCTGGGGATCGTGTCGAGGCCCAATAGCATCTCGACGTAGCGGCTTTGAAAGCTCGTGTTGGCCCGATGAGGCGCAGGTCGTGGTAGCGGCGGCGCCGTGGTCGATGTTTTCTTGGCCGATGATGAGGCATGGCGGTGCATATCTGGTTTGCTGGTGTTTACTGAAGTTTCCTTGCTGTACTCGGACACGCTGCGCTTCGCTGGGACAGAAGCTTGCCGCCTCGGTGCTGTGCGTCTTGAACCATATCGCTCCGTGTGCTTTTCGCTCCAAGTGCTGGCACGTGAGGGCATAGCGCCTTCTGAAGACTTTCGTGTGTGCGAACCAGCCATTGCTGGAGTGGAATGACGAATCGTGCGTTCGTCCTTGTATGAATGAAACCAATTGAGCTCAAGAGAGTTTTTGAAACGAGATGTATTTTCAAAATGGCAATATTTTATTTGTGATGTGAGAAGAGAAAGAAGAATTCTCCTACATATGCACACGTGCAAACTGGAGCCTCTTCTACGTGTATGTCTATGCGAATAGTGGCAAATACCCACCTTGGTCTTGAAAGAAGAGGACCCCTGGGGAAACTAAACCAGTTTTTCCCCCTGGTTCATTGACTAACAATGCAACTTTGGTGCCGAGAACCGCCTTCCCAAAAAGAGATCCGAGGACGATGATTAGCATTGCATCCCTATCATGCAACAATTGGATTGTGGTGAGTCGCAATTGGAACAAGTTGACAAGATTCAGATGTAGAACTTGTTTTCGATTGGATTGGCGGACCGACGTCCCTGGTGAAACCCCCCTGTCAGCGACATGACGTACATATGCGTGGAGCTCAGAGATGTTGTGGCAGAGAGGAAGCCTGGAAGCCAGTTGCTTGTCAATCGTGGACAAAAGTCTCCATGCCTTTGATTTTCACAAGGGCGTGCCATCGGCCAGAGCACGAGAACACAAGATTGTTCAAGATATATAAGGTTGTCCGTCCATGTCGTCTCAAGTGGACGGGAAGCAGCATGCGATGTAGCACTACGACTATTCCGCGCTCAGCCCAACATTTGCAAAGGTGGGCCGTTTAAACTCGGTGGTAGCTTCGGATCAGGGAATTCGGGGTCTCCTCCAAAGCATGTCCAGTATGCGCCTCTCGCGGATATTCTTTCTTGGCGCTGAATAAGGCCGGATGAAGCCTGTTCAAGACCTCATGGCTGGCAGATGATGGATACTAAAGCAAACATGATACTGCCAACTTCTTATATATCTTGTTTGAACAGATCCTTTCAAAGTACGTACACTACCATCAGAGAAGGATCAAACATCTACACATACATACATGATCCTAGGTAGACTAGAAGCCATGATTGCGGCCTCGGTTAATACGCCAAACGCATTGCGCATCCGCTGCGTCCATTTTGCATGTTAATATTTCAGATACAAAAGATGTGGGATACTGAACATTGAATGATATTGCCTTTTTTTTTTTGTCACTTATGAAGGATCATCATCACCACTCCTAGAGTTGGGCGTGGGCAAAGAAAAAGAGAGCAAATTCTGGACTCTTGACAAAGCGTTACAGTCAAGTACGACTATTTTCTTTCTTTCAAAAAGCGTAGGAACCGACAAGTGCCCAAAGCGTTCCAAGAAAGAAGCTAACGTCGGTCGTTCCCCACATCGGCTGCTCTAGAGCGCAAAACGCCGATGGCCAACGTGAAAGTTCGCAGAGCTCTTTGCAATGGCAAGCCAAAATCGACCAATCAGAGCCCAAAACACTGATTCTCCACGACGGCAGGCAGTTTAGCAGGGGTCTCTGGCGCGGAGAGTGAACTGATCGGTCTGCTTGAACTTTTTAGATGCGGCGGTCGGCTGGAAGAGAGAACTTGACGACGCTCCCTCGAATCCCGGGCTGTAGAACAACAAACCCGACGACGACGACGACGGTCCGTCCATCTTTTGTCGCGTCGCACCCCCGAACGTAGGAGACGGTCGGCGAACGAGCTGTCAAGCGTTGACTAGCGATGACTTCGTCCAACGATGCTGGCGCCCTGGCTAACATCACCAGCCAGGGCGAGGGCGAAGGCGCTCTTCAACAACAACCTCCTCCGCAGCAGCCTTCAACCACGCCACCTCCGGGAACCAACATCGCCAACACCGAGCCTATTTCGCAGGCAGATGCAAACCCGGATAGCGTTGAACCTCAAATCAAGATCGAGAGAGAGGCCGAGCCCAATAATGACCAGCCAATAACCACCAATCAGACTACCACGTCCCTTCCTACTACTACTACTTCCACCGACATCATCGCAATCAACGGTGAAAATGCGCCCGTTGCGAACCACCTTGACGAGCAAATCCAGAATGCAGAGCCAGAGCTACCGCCCCAATCGAAAACACAAGCCGAAGTCAATGCGACTGCAACTGCAGACAGTCAATCTTGGGAATCTGCCACTGGCGCGCCGCACCTTCCGGATCATTACATGCCTTCTCCGCCCACTGTGTCGCCGCTTTCCACCCCGGCCGTGACTGCGATACACAGCACCAATGGCGATATCGCGCTCGACGAAGACCTTCCCAGGCTGACGGACGAGCACATTTCTGCCGCTACGCTTTCCGCCATGAACAGAGATTTGCAAGACTTGTCAAATCTTCAAGCATTCGCAGCCCAGCAGTCCCAATCCCAAGGATATGCTGCCGTTGCAACCACCGACGACGACATCAACTACCCGCAGCACTCTCTCAACACTGGCAGATTGTCTCGATCTAATACAGTGACCGATATCGACCCCGCCGCTTTCATGATGGGCGCAAACGCGCCAATGCCGTCGGATTATCCAACCGCAATCGCCCCTTCAGAGATTTCGCTTGCCGCGTCACAGGGTGGTCAAGATGATGGCACTTTTGAGTCGGCGTCCGCCAGTGCAAGTCAAAAGCTGGAATCATTTGCCAGAATCGAGTTTGCCGACAGTGTTTTCCAAATGACTACATACGCTGTGATCATTGGCCGCGATCAGAGAGCCATGGAGCAAGCTCGTAGGGACGAAAGACGTGCCAACAAGTACAGAGAAGCGTGCGAAAGAGCAGAGGAGCAAGGCTTGCCACCGCCCACTCCCGTGGGCAGGGACAGGGGAAAGTTTAGCAAGTCCTATGTGAGTGAAGAGGGAGGTATCCTAGGTCCAGAGTCAGACGGCGGAGACAGCAATGTGCCCAGGAAAAAGGCCCCCTCGCAGCATGATGATGCCGAGATCAATGACGACCAGGACGACAATGCAAAATCAAATCTGCAATACGTCTCTCATAGTGAAGGGGCAGCTGCAGTTGATCTCAGCAGTATGCAACCATCTTCATCTCACGTTCCATTCGTCGGTATCCATTCTCCCGGACCAAATATTGCCGCTAGGACAAAAGGTATCTCGAGACAACATCTCAAGATCCAGTTCAGCGAGAGGAAAGGAGTTTTCGAGGGTCTAGCACTGCACAAGAATGGCTTCTTCTGTGATGATGTGCACTACGGATCTGATGAGCCTGTCACCATGCGCAGCGGCAGTCGAATCCAGATCAAGGATGTCGAATTCTATTTTGTCATCAATGGTGTGGAAAACGGAAAGACTGGAGCCGAAGATCTTCACGAAGTAGACGAAGCTTCCAGTAAACGATGTTCCGTTGGTGGAAAAGAGATGAGCTTGGAGTTTGAGCATTCGGATCAAGAACAGAAGAAGAAGTTCTTGCGAAACACCGACAGCCCATCTCCAGTACATGTGGCCAAGACTCCACCACCTCTATCGGAGGAGCCCGAAGAAGATCTTGCAGAAGAAGATGAAGATCCAGAAGAAGCGGCCCTCCTCGATGACCAGCTCGACTTTCTCGGCGATGATCAGGCTCTGCCTTATATGGATATGGACGCTGCAACTGCTGCAGCACTTCTACAGTCTGTCGAAGGCGGAGGGGAACTTCCTCCGGACTTTGTCATGCCTCGTAGACGCGGCCCAGGACGACCGCCTAAAGACGGAATCATGTCTAAGCGAGAGCGTCGGCTACTGAAGAAACAGCTCGAGGCACAACAGATTTCCAAGAAGACTCTGCCGCAAGAACCAGCAGGTGAAAAGATCAAACGCCCCGTAGGACGACCGAGGAAGAACCCCTTGCCAGAGGACGGAGATAGGCCTGAGAAACGCAAGTACACCAAGCGTAAGAGGGAAGATGGCGAGGAAGGTTCAGACCCGGAGAGACGGGCCAAGGACAAGAAGGACAAGAAGATTCGACCCAAGTCACCTCCCTTGGACCTCAAGATCGAAGACTACACACATGAGCAACTTAAAAAGCCCGCCAAGAACTACGTCCATCTCATCGACGAGGCGCTTCAAGCCGGGCCCGAGGAGGGTCTGTCTTTGAAACAGATATACAAACGCATCACCGCGGCGTATCCGTGGTACTACTTTTCAGCAGAGACGAAGGGCTGGGAAAGTAGTGTGCGCCACAATCTTATTGGGAACGATGGATTCAAGAAAAATGAAGAAACGGGCTTGTGGCAACGAGTTCATGGCATCGACCTTGACGCGGGAAAGAAACGCAAGGCACCTACTCCAGAACGGCAGTTGGGTTCGTTACACCAGATGGGCCAGCAGGCCTACTATCATCATCCAACATATATGCAGCAAGGAACCCTGCAATTCGCAGACGGGCTGCCAGGCAATATGGCAACAAATGCTCAGCATCAGCAGACTTATGGCCAGCCTACAGGCCAGGCAAGTCAACACTATGCACCTTCGCAGCCTCAAACAAATGGCCAAGTCAATCATGCACAGCAGCTACAAGGCCCATCGTCGCATCTGGCTGCAGCACCAGGTTCCTCCGTACTGCCACGACAGCCCGGACCTCAAGGTGCTTACAGCTCTCCATATACCAGACCGACGACGACTGCAAATGCTCAGTTCAATGCAGCACCTATAGCACCAAACTCGCACGGGCAGCATACTGGTATACCACAGGCTGCAGCTCAGAGTGCACGTCCTCAACAGAGTGCTGCTCCCGTTGTTCCTGTCGCTACCAAGAGTGGTCTTGGAAATCCGGCCGACAACCCCAAGATTGTTACTTTCAAGGAGTCAATGTTGAAGATGTTGTCCACGCTCAGCGTGAGCCCTGCCAAGATCCAACAGCTCGTGGAAACTGCAATCAACAAAGCTTTCGGTCTTCCTGCGCTGCCGACCATTGGCGGCTTTGAGAAGGTTGAATCAAGACTGACAAACGAGGTACTCAGAATTCTTGGTGAAGATTCTCATCCGCCAGCAGCGTCAACTGCGCCTGCACCCGTGCCGCCTACGGTCCAGACACCCGTAGCTGCTGCTCCTCCTCCTCCTCCTCCTCCTCCTCCTCCCAAACAACAGACACCAGCACCACGACCCAGCCCTGCAGCTTCCTCGTTAGCTGACGCCGAAGTTGAATCGTCACTCGCAGTCTTCAGGGACAACTTTATGAAGACGTTCAGAAGCAAGTGCCCACAAGCGGATTTCATTATGGAATCTGCTGTCAACCAAGCCAAGGGACTGCCCAATGCTGGCAAAGTGAAGGGCTGGGAACAAGTCAACGATCTGCTCGTTACGGAAGTCACCAAGATCATCAACAATGTGAGAAAGAAATTCAGCTCGCAAGTTGACTCTGTGGCTTCGCCTCGACAGTCGCTGCAAGCGTCACCGAGCCCGGCAATTCGTCATGCCACGTCTGCCTCGCCAACGCCAGGCCAACCTGCCCTGTCTTCAGCTGTAGCACCGAATCCTGCCCCGGCGTCGAGCACAGCATATGCACCGTCAGTTGCGAAGCCTACGACACCTGCTCGTCCTTCAATCATGCGACCTGGTGCTGTATCTGTAGCTCGTCCTTCAATGAACCGCCAGGCATCAGGTGCAGGTCATCCGGCCCCAGGCCCATCAATGACATCTCCATCAAAAGCTCCAGTGCAAGCCTCAGCACCGGCATCAGCATCGGCACCAGCATCGGCACCAATACCAGCAACAGCACCAACTCCCGCCTCAGCCGCGAACCCTACGGTCGCTTCCACTCCTGGTATTACATCTACCCCGGCACCCGCACAACCATCAGTTGCAAACTCGAATGCAGCTATTGCTCCAATCTTGGCCACAGGGCCCTCACCATCTCCGGCCCCTGCGCAAGCTGCAACTGCAGCACCCAAGGGCCCAACGCCATCTCCTATTGTGCAGTCAATACCTCCCAATAGGCCACCTTCTACAACAGTACCTACTGTCTCAAACCCAGGCCTTGGTACTAGCAGCCTACATGATACGCCCGCTCCAAAGACGATAAGTCCTCTTCCTCAGGTCGTGACACATCCTCCGCTGGCCAAGACGGCCAGCCCCGCGCCGCCTCCTACCACAGTACCTAGTGCTGGTGTTCTGAACCAAATCATGGGACAAGGTCAAAAGCGGTCTCTTGAGAGTGTACACGGGCCTGGTAATGATGCCGCACATCAACCTGAGCCCAAGAAGCTGTCCACATCGGGGCCATAGAAATATCAACTGCTGTCCGCGGTGTTATATTCTTTGGCGAAGGCCTCTGTGCTTAAGTATGGCTTTATTCCATTATCACATTGTAGGCTGGATGGAAAGCCCTCAGTACGTAGCTAGGAATGCCGCATGATTTAGAAATCAAAACGCACACAGTGCCATGCAGGATAAGTGGTATATGGGGCACCTGCACCCAGAGTCTATTACCGAAGCATTGATTGGGGCAAGGAGTACGGTTAAGATTGAACTGTTTGTTCGTTTGAAGCGCATGATTAGCACGTAGCCAGAGCTTTTTTCGCAAGCAATTGCTGAGCACAAGAAATTTATTCACAATAGTCGTTACTGTAATGTGACTCATATGTGGCTATCAAGTAAATGAGCTGTATGCCCTTGGGCCTGGATACCATGACCTTTGAAATTCTGATGCGTAAAGGAGAGCTCAGGTAAAGACAATCATCTCGATGTATCACTACTAGCTAAGCAACGTTGGAGTATTTGTTTGATTGATTTCTGTTCAATGTCCAAGAATACGTAGACTAGGTACGTATCTGACCTTACATAAGAATACTGGACGTGGCGAGCCACATCACAGTACGGAGGCCACTTTCTGCTTCAAGAGCTCAACTTGCTCTGCCTTTTCGGTTGCGACAATCCAGCTTCCCAGGCCCAACAAGATTGACCAAAAATGTCCTATTTTCCGAGCCGTAAATCGGCTTCGTCATCGTGCTCTCTTCTCCTCAGCGTCCGGATGACTTTGTAACCCTACACTGGGCGCATTTCATGAAGACTCACGTAGTGTGAGCGGGTAGTATGATGACCTTCCTAATTGTTGATGTCCGGGGTCAGGACTCATGTAACAGATGAGAAGTTCTGAAGGGGAGGAGGAAACGATCAAGGATAGGCTGAGGATAGCGCGTGCACTCGCTCCGGCGTGATGACTTTGTGTAAAAGGAGTAGCAGAGATTTCATACCCTATTCGAAACCTTCTAGGCGCCAACATGGCAAAGACGGAGAAAGGTCTTCAAGTATTTGAACCTTCTTTGCAGAGTCAAAGGCTGCCTAGTAGCCCTTGGTACACCGTGGGCAAGAGAAGAGAAAATTTTCACCGCCGAATCTCACTGCTCCCAATAAAGGTTTCCGGAACAGTTGCTTTAGGCAAACAGGAAGGCGACGTAGAGAGACTCTGAGATTGATCCAGAACGTGCCGCGGATGATGTATGGAGGGCGAGAAGAAATTTCGTTATTCCGATTCCAGTTCGTCCATGTCACTGAGGGTATCGGCATCTGTCAGTGAAGCAGTGGCCGTGGTCTCGGAGTCGTTGCCGTCTGAGAAGTATACTAAGGTGTCGGAATTGGAAGAGTCTTCTTCGTCCTCGTCTTCCTCGTCTTCTTCTTCGTCCTCCTCGTCTTCTTCTTCGTCCTCGTCTTCTTCTTCGTCCCCGTCTTCTTCTTCGTCCCCGTCTTCTTCTTCATCTTCCTCGTCTTCTTCATCTTCATCGTCACCATCGTAGTCCGAATCGGCAACAGACGACATCTCGCTATCCCATCCATCTAGCGAGAAATCGTCGTCGTCGTCGTCATCATCAGGGTGCTGCAACAGGTTTTGCAGCATGGCCAGGAAAAGGAGCGCCATCGTCACAAAACAAATGACCCAAACGACCTCAAACATCGCACTGACGGTAGACGACCAGAAAGGAACATGCATCTTGCTGACAAAAGGATTGAACAAGTAAGTCATGATGGAATGAGTAGAGAAATGGTAGAAGCAGTGCAAGTCAAATCATGGGCTGGCCTTTATATATATGCTAACTTTCTATTTCTCTTGCAGCAAAGAAGTACGCCGAAATAACACAGGCGATCTGGCCGAGTTGGCCATCGGAGAAAGCATGAAGTCGGTGGTACTTGGAAAACAAGGTTATGCTGTAGTATTTTTGTGTTTTCCTGGCGCCGCCAGAGGCAGCGATGCCATCCAGGTGGCCCTAGCCAACTCCAAAGCCTAAGATCTCATTTTCCGTTATGGCATAGAAGCTTGGAAGCCTAAAGAGAGGTTCGATGCTCCATGATCTGTGTGGCTTGCTCATCCACCTGGTTGGGCATGTTCACTTCAAGGTTGACAGTCCGGGAAGACATGAAAACCACGATGTGAAAGCAGCCACTTGGTATCCATCTCAAAGTCCGTCTTGCTATAGTCCGACCTCTCGTCCTTAAGATTAAGTTCATCGTGCCACTATCCGGCCCACCAAGTCTTCATTGCAGGTGCGTTTTGATTGTAGATTCCGACACGTGCTCTCCGTCCCAATTCAGAAAGCGAATCCGATCAGGCTCTATCATTGATGGCGTCCAGTCGTGATTAACGGTCCAAGATTCCACTTCCGTATCTGCCTCTACCGCAGCACCTTCGATGTGGAGAATAGCGCACTGCTGGCTGTCTGGACCGAGATCTAGAAGCTCATCATCATTAATGACGAAGCATTCGTATTCGAGAAGAAGATCATAATTGCGTAGCCGCACGCCTCTATGCAGCACCCAACCGCCGGTGTTGTTGCCAAAGTGGACCATATCGCTGAGGAGCGTATCGTACAACAAGCCCATGGTGAGAATGCCTTGGTCGAGGAGGTCGAGGCGGAGGTACTCAACCTCGTCGCCATGCTCGTCACTGGTGTACGACCTAATGATCTCCAATCGCGTAAAAGGCTTCTTCTGACAGGGCCGAGCTATAGTGAGATGTCGCCAACTTGCCTCCGGGCGAAGGTACGCCTGCCGCGAGTGATCCTCCTTGACCCAACGAAGACGTTGGAAGGAAAGCGCGCGATTACCAACAATGGTGAGGTAGTAATTATTCTGCTGCTCTATCTCTTCGACCGTGAAACAGCTGGTAGGCCTAAAGATATAATTGAAATTGCGCCACAGCATCACATTGATATCATAGGAGCACCAGTAGCTACTGCCGTCATCGTCATCGTCATCCTCATCCTCATCTGTCACTTGCTCAGTGTACGGGAGGTTTGATCTTGAGAGAATCAACTGAACGACTCTGCGGAAGCGTCTGCTGGTTGACTGAGATAAGAGGAGAGTCCAAAGGTCGACAATGTAGAGATGCTCCAGGATGGCGTCGAATAGCTCTGCAGGCAGGTCTGACAGCCTAGCCATGATGTCGAGTCATCTCTTGAATCAGAGGGGGACGAGCTTTCTTGCCTTCTTGCGTCTTGTTGATTTGGATAATTATGAGACTGATTTGATCTCTTCTTGGAAGTGCTCGCAGAAACTGCTCCCTGGGCCAGATTGTGTGGAAGTCGAGGTACTCTGTACGTTGCCCTGGTGTTGGTGTGAGTTTGCAGTTGCCTTCCAGTTTCAAAAAGGTGCAGTCTCAGTGGCCGCTCAAAGAAGTGCGGAAAAAGCGGGTCCACCAGCGACCAGTGGTGAGGTTTTTGGAAGACAAAGTAGGTACCTGGGTAATTTTGCAAATGGACAGACATTTGAATAGCAGTCTCGTTCCAATGTCATGGTATATATGGTCAACACGAAGATCGAAATTGGGAGCCTCAAGACTTCAATGTGGATAAGATGACTGCTTCGTGGGAGACTACCTACCTAGGTTACCTAGGTTCTACCACCTGCATGCCGCGTGGAAATCCTCGGACTTGTTGTTTTTAAGATGGTAGATACCTATTCAAGTTGAGTACACATCAATTCAGACCTTTGCTTATTTGGTTCTTGCCACTTGCTGCTGCTGATCATGTTGTACAAATCAACAGTCCTGGTTCGGGAATAGCCTCACAGTGCCCTTTACGTGTCGACAAGCATTATTCGTGGTACCATGTCAGAAACAATAAAACAAACCGTGGTCCTAGTGCGGGTTGACAACTTTCTGTCTATTCTATGCATCGATGTTCGCTGCAGTCTTTATCTTGATCATTATTGAAGGTAAACATACACAAAAAAAAGAAATCCAAAATTTTCCCCTTTTTATCCGCCGTTGAAGGTATCAAATGCCCAGGGTTGAACACCAGTTGCTCCGAGTCCCTCGCTGGGAATGCATTTACCACATCGCCAATTCGCTGTTAAGAGCTGTTTCCGGAGTTCTGTTGAGAGAACAAATCTAGAGAAAAATAAAATAAAACAAGACTTCTACCATGTGTTCATCCAGGTGAGCCGCCAAATAGTCGTCGGAGCAGCTGTCGAAAGTCTGGTGTCTGGGGCTTAGGAGACTCGTCATCCTCGGAGTTCAAGGATACGGGACTTCTACCAATGGGACCGCGTCGTTGACCTATTCCAAGCTCCTTCAAATGAGCCCTCAGAGACTCAATTGCTGAGACCCGTTGTCTCGATTTCTCCGAGGAGTCATCAGTGCTGTGCATAGTCCTACTCTGGGAGTTGTCCGAGAAGCTTTCGTCTTCGGTTTCTTCCATGGCTATGACAGGTCTCACTTCCTCGTAGTCGTGGTTTCTCTAAAAGAGACCGTCAATCTCGCCAGTCTCGGTATCCACGTCCACGTTCAGATATCCGGGTGCAGTGGGAAGGCCTGGGATGGTCTGAATGTCCGCAGCAAGAGCGTAAAGATATCCAGCACCGGCGGCCATCCTGACGTCTCTGATGGGAACAGTAAAACCAGTAGGAGCTCCCTTGAGTTCAGCATCGTGACTCAGCGAGTACTGCGTCTTTGCTACACAGATGGGCAAGTTGCCGTAGCCCTGTTTTGTATACGTATCAACCTTCTTCTGGGCGAGCTCAGAGAACTCGACGGCCGAGGCACCGTACATCTTCTGGCAGATGGCCTCCATGCGAGTCTGGACGCTTCCATCAAGCTCATATGTGAGCTTGTAGTCCTTGGGCTTCTCTGAGGCAGCAATGACACCCTTTGCCAAGTCGACAGCACCCTTGCCACCCTCGGCCCAGTGGTTAGCCAAGATGGCGTCTTCAGCACCAGCCTTGATTGCTTCCTCGCGGACAGCGGCGATCTCGGCATCGGTGTCGGTAGCGAATTTGTTGACAGCAACCACAACGGGAACGCCAAAGCTCTTGGCATTCTGAATGTGCTTCGCCAGGTTGACACAACCGTTGCGCACATACTCGACGCTTTCTTCCTTGTAAACGGCGTTGAGGGGAGCACCGGGTGTGATCGGGGGACCACCACCGTGAACCTTCAAGGCACGAACGGTAGCGACAATGACGACAACGTCAGGTACGAGGCCAGAAGTGCGACACTTGATGTTGAAGAAGCGCTCGCCGCCCATGGTGAAGTCGAATCCTGCTTCTGTGACGGTAAAGCCAGCCTTGGCATTGTGGTCCTCATCGGGCTCAGTGCCAGTCAGCTTGAGGGCAAGTCTGTCGGCAATGATTGAGCTGTTGCCAATCGAAATGTTGGCAAAAGGTCCGGCGTGCACAAACACTGGAGTACCTTCAAGAGTTTGCATCAAGTTGGGCTTGATAGCATCCTTCATCAATGCAGTAAGAGCACCGCCAGCACCAAGGTCGTCGCAGGTAACGGGCTCACCTGCGCGAGAGGTGGCAACCACCATGCGACCCAGGCGCTCCCTCATGTCTGCGAGATCGGTGCTCATGGCGAGAATGGCCATGCACTCACTTGCGACAGAAATGTCAAAGCCAGTCTCGCGCACTTGACCCTTCTCAGTAGGGGCAGTACCGACAGTGATGCCACGAAGGTGACGGTCGTTGACATCGAGAACTCGTCTCCAGGTGATGGTCTCGGGGTCAATATCCAATCGTGCAAAGCGGCTGATCTCCTCCTCGGTCAAATCATCGGGGTTCGTCTTGTCAATGCCGAGCTTCTTCAGGCGTCGGAACATGACAGGAGCAAACTTTCTCGTGCCATTCTTGGCAGGTACGAGACGGCGGTAGAGCGGGCCATCCTTTTGTGTGTTCTCGTGGAAGATACGAGTCTCAATGGCAGCTGCAAGCAAATTGTTGGCTGCGGTGATGGCGTGGATATCGCCAGTCAAGTGCAGGTTGAACTCATCCATAGGGATAACCTGACTGTAGCCACCGCCAGCAGCGCCACCCTTGATTCCGAAAGTGGGACCCTGGCTGGGCTGCCGGACATTGGCAAAGGTAAGACGGTTGAGATGCGCGCCAAGAGCTTGTGCGAGACCCATGGTGGTGGTGGATTTGCCCTCACCCAATGGGGTGGGCGTGATGCCAGTCACGACAACATAACGACCATTTTTCCTGTGCTCCAAACGCTTGAGCAAGCCCAGATCGACCTTGGCCTTGTATGATCCGTACGGCTCCAGTTCATGGGCCGAGATGCCGACCTCCTCGGCGATCTTGGTGATGTGCTTGGGGACTTGCGCCCTCGACACTTCAATGTCCGAAGGAACAGGCTCCTTGAGGTGGAGCGGGAGTGGCACAATGTGTCGCTGCTTCTGCCTGGCGAGGTAGGTGTTGGCAGAGTCGACGACGTTCTGCAACAACATGGCGACAGTCATTGGGCCGACACCACCTGGGACGGGAGTGATGACGGAGGCAACCTCGGAAGCAGAGGCGTAGTCGACATCGCCAACCAAAGCTTGACCGCTCTTCTTGGTGCTGTCCTCAATGTAGTTGGTTCCGACGTCAATGACAACGGCACCGGGCTTGAGCCACTCTCCCTTGACAAACTTGGCCTTGCCGATCGCTGCCACGACAATGTCGGCCTTCTTCAGGTGCTCTTGCAGATCCTGAGTTCTAGAGTGGCAGACCGTGACGGTAGCGTCGGCGTTCTTGAGCAGGTAGCTGACGGGGCTACCAACAATATCACTGCGTCCGAGGACGACAGCGTACTTGCCCTTTAGCTCAACACCTGCCTCCTCAAGCAGAACCATGATACCCTTGGGAGTGCAGGGAATAAAGAGAGGCTGGCCGCCCTTCTTGGCCAGCTCACCAATGTTGTTGGTGCCAAATCCGTCGACATCCTTGTCATCGGCAACAGCAGAAGTGATGGCATACTCATTGATGTGCTTGGGCAGAGGCAGTTGCACGAGAATTCCGTTGACTGCAGGGTCGTTGTTGAGCTGGTGTAGCTGGGCCAGCAGCTCGGCCTCAGTCACGGACTCCGGAAACTCGAGCTTGTCACAGCTGATGTTTGCCTATGTAGCAACGCATTAGAAGGCATGAAGGAAGTCAATTGCAGACAAAACGCTACGCACCTCGGAAGCAGCCTTAAGCTTCATACGCACATAGGTCGCTGGAACAAAATTAGAGCTAGAAATACATTGAGGGCAGCGATGACATTATCGCATCTCATGAAGAGACATACAAGAGTCTGGTCGTTCACCAACTGCAAAGACGTTGAATTAGCATTCTCATATGGTCAATGGAGGCCGACGAGTCTGCTGGAACACACCTTGGATGATCTTGAGGCATGGGTTGTATCGAGGGTTGAGCTTCTGCTTCTCAGCGATCTCGGATGCGAGCCTCTCACGAATGGCCTTCGCGATGGCGTTACCATCAAGCCTTTGTGCACCCATGGCGGGGTAGCTGCACGAAAAGTTGCGGTGGGGTACGAAAGAAGAGGATGAGGAATTGACAAAATGAGTAGAAGTAGTAGGAACAGGCCGAATACGGCAGTGGGTTGAGAAAGGGCTGCTCGATAACGATGCAGGGCTGTAATAAAGTGTCGGGTTAGCAGACGACACTTTTTTGAAGTTGAACTGGAGAGAATGAGAATTCGAGATTAGATTGTCAGCCCTGGCGATGGCGCCGAATAAAGTTGGTGTGGGCGCATCGCATCGGGAAGGAGGCCGTGGGAATCTCTTTCCAAGGGAGTGGATGGGCCTGGTGGTGCTGCTGCAGCGGCTGCTACCACCTACTATTTGACGTACCTTGACCTGCAGACGGTTGTTTTTCGGGGGCCGTACACCGGAGACTGAGCCGATGATGAATAGGCACGGGCGAGTGCGACACTTCGAAGTCTGCTGTTGCTGCCAAGTCCAACAGTAGCAGGCGCAGGTGTTATGAGCCGCAAGCCTGCAGACTGTGCCAATCGCTGTTGTCCTGACATTCGCAGGATCGGATTCAGATTTGATGGTGTCGAGGAGGGGACAATTCCATGCCGAACACTGGTTGTCAAAGTCATCTTTGTAAACAAATTTTTTTTCCTCCTTCTGCCGCCAGGGTCCTCTTTGGCGCGTGGTGCCTATGACTCGCGAATCAAAATCCTGCAGGGACCGCCTCTAGTTGATAGGCACGTAGTATGTATCGCCAACGACTGCTCTATGCGCTGCTGCAGTGTATGGAACTGTCTCGATACAGTACTAGTATTGTACTGACGACAGCACTGATCGACGAAATGACTCACTCGAGTGTGTCAAGATTTCTCTCTGGATAACTCATCAGCATGTACCTAGGCCACCAGCATTTTAGGGCTGTATTGGCTCACGGTGTCTATCAGAGAAATTGACGCTATGGGCCCGTGTAATAGCGCCAGATGCTGGTTGTCACTCTCAGTGCGGCCGACGGTTCATCAAATATAACTGACTAGTAGTAGGCTGGAGACCAGCGCGGTGAAATGAAAGGATTATCACTGAATATATCCCCAGGACGTGTTGAATCGTCATGAAGGGGAAAACAAGAAGGCTTTGTTGCAAAAGTCACCGCCTCATGAGAAAGCAATTATCCGTGCAGACAATTAATTCCCTTGGTCCAACGGCGATTTATCGGCGTTCTCGTAACGAAAATCCAATTGTACACGAGGACAGCCGACTGACCAGGTACACTACATAATGTATGATGGATGCTCTGTAATGATGGGAAAATTCGGCTTGCAACTCACCGTAGTCGACGCGACTCCGTACGTAAGTCTACTATATGTGGAGCAGAAGCCCTGGCATTGCAGAATAACATAGCACAGCAAATTGCCTTTGGCGCATACATGCTCGCGGTGACTCAACATTGGAAGCCTATAGGTTTTAGTGGTCGAGTCACAAGATGGGCCAGCATACAGTGAGTGGCACAAGATGCCCAAAATAGGTTCACTGCGGACCATTACATTTAAAGTACATAGGCGAAATAGAAATAAGAAGGCTGCAGTCGCCTTCGTCTACAGAAAAAGAAATCCGGGGAACATTTAGAACTGGTTTCCTTCAAGCATTGTCCTAAAAAGTGTACCGGTACGTATTCGCTCGCAGCCAGTGGTGCTTGCAGCTGGTGGTAGTGCTACTCTGCGGGAAATTATCGGCAAAAAGCTCCCGTGTGCCCCTCGTCCACCAAAATACTTGCAAAACTCTCGCGAACTTTTGACTGACGGAAGGGGAGAGAGAGCAGCATCAGCCCCATCACAAACACAGCACAACCGCAAAGATGAGACCTATTCTTCTTTCCGGTCATGTACGTTACCGCGCACTTCCCCTGATTTTCGCTGGATTATCTTGCTAACAAGTCCTTCAGGAGCGTGCTCTGACCCAAATCAAGTACGCGCGACAGACTTGCACTGACCCCACCATGCCCGCATCGCTCAATACTGACCAGATCCCAGGTTCAACCCCGACGGCGACCTGCTCTTCTCCGTCTCCAAGGATCAACAGATTTGCGTGTGGTTCTCGCACAATGGCGAGCGTCTCGGAACATACAAGGGCCACGTCGGTGCCATCTGGACCGTCGACGTCGAGCCGACAAGCACCATGATCGCCTCCGGCAGTGCCGACAACACCATCAGACTCTGGGAGATCAAGACCGGCCGCCTGCTCAAGACCTGGGAGTTCCCGACAGCCATCAAGCGCGTCGAGTTCAGCCCCGACGGCAGCAAGCTGCTCGGTGTGACGGAGAAGCGTATGGGTCACCTGGGTTCGATCGTCGTCCTCAACATTAACCCCGACGTCGATGCCGAGCAGAGTGACGAGAGAGAGTTGACCATTGTGTGCGACGAGAGCAAGGCTACCGTTGCTGGATGGAGTTATCTGGGCAAGTACATTCTGGCTGGTCACGAAGACGGTAGTGTGTCCAAGTACGACGGCAAGGTAAGGACAATTTCCACGCGCAAGAGACACGGAGCGGCAAGAAAAAGTTGCTGACACATGATTCGTAGACTGGCGAACAGCTTGACAACCTCCCTGTCCACGAGCTCAACATGCAAGTGACGGACTTGCAATGGGGCCCCGACCGAACTTACTTCATCACCGCCTCCAAGGACAAGACAGCTCGCTTGATCGCAGTTAGAGACCTGGAGATCTTGAAGACGTACCCCGCCGATACACCCCTCAACAGCGCCTCAATCGCCCCCAAGAAGGATCTCGTCATCCTCGGTGGTGGTCAAGCTGCCATGGATGTCACCACTACCTCTGCCCGTCAGGGTAAATTCGAGGCCCGTTTCTACCACAAGATCTTCGAGGACGAGGTCGGCCGTGTGCGTGGTCACTTCGGTCCCCTCAACACCGTCGCCTGCGACCCTACCGGCAAGGGCTACGCCAGTGGTGGTGAGGACGGATACGTGCGTGTCCACCACTTTGATAAGAACTTCTTCGACTTCAAGTACGAGGTTGAGAGAGAGCTCGAGAGAAAGCTGGCGGCATAAATTTGCCGTCAGTCTCTTGATAATGGTCAATGAGTTCTGGCGTTGGTCGTTCATGCGTGTATGTAATGCATCAGGTCCGGCGTTTGAAAGGGGGTTTAATTACAATGCTTGGTTTTGATGATCACAAAAAGAATGGAGAGATGGTGACTGAAATATCCCATGTTACAGACCTGACCTTTTGAGCAGAGTGTGCCTCCCAGCGATTATCAAGCGGAATGCGTTCCGAAAGCAGTGACCCCTTTGATCCCTTGAGGGTCACTTCAAGAAGTCGAAGAGATCAACCGAGAGAATGGGGCAGGTCAATATCCACACCTTTTCGGGTCATGCCTTGAGTGACGAGGAAAATGTAGCAGAATCTAAGACAAGGGAGACCTGCAGCCTTTTGCAGGCTCAAAAGCTACGAGATATGGGGTCTTACGAGGGCTGCCAGATAGAGAAGACAGGGCCCATGGCGAGATAGAATAAGCACGAGTATCAATATCTATAGCAGAAGCTGGAGAAGAATCAAATCTCTACTATGTGCCAATACTTTGTGTCACCCGAGCATTGGGCAACTTTGTACTGGCTTTTATAGTGATTTGTTTGACAAATACCCATGTACGAATAATATTTGATATTTGCACAAGGAAGCATATCAAAGACATGCATCTATCCATATGTCCATTCCGATTGCTTATTTACACAAGTTAGAAGGAGCACAACCTGGTGTAGAAGCTACATTTTGGCTTTTATCTTGACTCCTGTGTCGATTTGTGTTATTCTTGCCTTGAAGTCAAAGACAAAGCTGATCTGTGAGAGCCAAAGTGGTAGAGTCGGAGACATAGTTATTCATCCTGCTTCGACATGACTATACGCATCCAAAATGCAGCTCACTTTTGAAAGAGCGCACTTTTTATTCTTGTCATCTATGTTTCAGTAGTTTGATCCATCCTAGAGGTACTGATACGGCCATAAAGTTATGATATAGCAAGTCCGCCAGTCTGACATCAGACCTAGCGAGCACCACATGCGATGAGTGAGTTCAAGATGACACAAGCCTAGGTATATTGGCAGCTACGTTGTGCAAATCGTTTATGCGGACAGGTGAACGACAGCTTGTGCGCCCTTTCAAATAGTACTAACAGCTATCTCCGACGAGGAGTAACACTGCTTCCTGGGGCCAGGACCTGTTTCAGTCGTGATGTTTCCACTGACGGGAAAAGCAACCTGATAGAGGCGCAAGCTAATAGGCGAATACGCCCATGCCGGGGGTCTCGAATTGATCAGACTGATCTTATCACCTCGGCCTCGGCTCGACCGTTGATACTCCCCCACTGAGAGACGGAAGCTCGGCGGGAGCGGAGAATATGTTGTGGGTGCTTTCTAACAGTCACCCGCTGATTGGGCTAAAGAGCGGCTCAACATGGGGGCGGTAGCAGTAAGATGGCGCGATGCCGAGCGCCGCAGCTGGAATGCATCTTACCTACCGGCCAGAAGTCAGGGACTTTATCGAGGGGCAAAACTTTTGACCAGTCAGCAGCAGATAATAAATCTCCCGAATAGACCATTTTTCTCGAGGTTTCAATCCGTTTTTCTCCCCTTTCCCTTTCGCATTGATCGCGTTTTTATCGGGGCAACAACAACGAATCCCTTCCTCTTCCGCTCTTCTGTTTCTTGCAGTGTTTCGAAACGGCCCTAGTCGTCTGTGCGCGCAATATTTCACTTTGGTTGTTAAACACCCGAAGTCACCGGCCACCAATCTTCAACAGTTCCTCGTTCCGTCCCATCTTTCAACAACACTGTTTTTAGCTTTTACTTCGAGGCATCCAATTACCTTGGCGGAAAGAATAGTGTCAATTTGATTCCATTATCCAATTGTCATCTCGCCCAGCATGTCTTTCTCTAGCCTCGTACAGGATCTTTCGATCCGTGACGGCCAGAATGCCGCCCGACGTCCCCGAGTCCCTCCCTCTGTCTCGACTCTCGACGACCGTGCCTCGCACATTTCGCGAAACATGTCCTATGCCAGCACCACTGCGACCAGCGTCAGCATTTCCGGAGACATTTCCAGCCAGCTTCACGGTGGTTACCACCACCCGTTGGCTCGCTCATGGCAAGCTGAGCGCCAGCTGACCAAGGTAAGCACCAGCCACGAATTGCCCGCAAATGCGCAGATTGGGCTAACAAATCATGAACTAGTCCATGCTCATCTTCCCTCTTTTCATCTCCGACGACGAAAACGACGAGACCCTCATTCCCTCTCTGCCCGGCCAGAAGCGATGGGGTCTGAACAAGCTTATCCCTTTCCTCGAGCCATTGGTTCGCAAGGGCCTCAAGTCCGTAATCCTCTTTGGCGTGCCTCTGAAGCCAGGCACCAAGGACGCCCTCGGTACCGCCGCCGATGATCCCAAGGGCCCCGTCATCCAGAGCATCCGACTGCTCAAGCAAAGATTCCCTCAATTGTTCATTGTCGTGGACGTGTGCCTGTGCGAGTACACTTCCCACGGTCACTGCGGCATTCTCCGGGACGACGGAACCCTGAACAACCAGCTTTCCGTGGACCGTATTTCCGATGTTGCCTTGGCATACGCCCAGGCCGGAGCGCACTGCGTTGCCCCCTCCGATATGAATGACGGCCGCATCCGAGCCATCAAGCTCAAGCTCATCGAGGAGGGCATTGCCCACAAGACTTTGCTCATGTCCTACGCCGCCAAGTTCTCTGGCTGCCTATACGGACCTTTCCGCGATGCTGCGGGATCGGCACCATCTTTCGGTGACCGGAAATGCTACCAGCTGCCTCCCGGAGGCCGCGGTCTTGCCAGGAGAGCTATTGTCCGAGATATCGGCGAGGGTGCAGACATTATCATGGTAAAGCCGGCCAGTCAGTACTTGGACATTATCAGTGATGCCAAGGAGCTTGGAAAGGATCTGCCAGTAGCAGCCTACCACGTCAGTGGCGAGTATGCCATGGTACATGCTGCCGCAAAGGCGGGTGTCTTTGATTTGAAGACAATGGCCTTTGAGGTTACCGAGGGCATTCTGAGAGCCGGTGCCACCATTGTCATCAGCTACTTTACACCAGAGTTCCTGGACTGGTTGGACAACTAAAGTGTTTGATGACATATGTATATACGTGACAAAAAGCATTCGCTTGATATCTCGAGCGAGGGAGTTTCGGTTGGCGGCATTGATGGGTTTGTTAAGCACTGGTCAGTTTTGATTTTTCTTTTCGTAGCAGGTTCGCTATAATGATGAGTTTTGATGTGCATAATGCGTGTAAATTAGAGGATACCAAAAATAGTACAACATGAACTTGCTTTTCAAGAAATTTTCGTCAGATTTGCCCATACTTAAAGAGTAATTTACTATTATGATATGAACCATGGAGACGACCAAAAGTCCTCTATTATTTCAAGACAATCCAGTGGTACATTGCTACAGGAGTAACAAGCACTGGATTCTTAGATTAGAAATATCAGATACGGGCACGCCAGAGAGTCTTCAGACTTCCTCTTTTCTACACCGAATTACGTCCAATCCTCCCAGCGAATGTCCCTCTGCCCATTCGTCATGTACGCAACGGGCTCCAGAGCTCCTTCGTACTCGAGCAATTGGCCAAGTGCACACTCGGAAAAGGTCACTGCATGCTGCTGATTTTCATAAAAGTCATCATAGACTGGGTTCATGGCATCCTTTAGATTTTTCACGGCGCCCTGTGGATGCAGGGTATCCCAGGGCCGCGTGCACACTTTGCCCTTGCAGGCCTTTAGGGTGAGCAAGAGGCCATTGAGGCGCGCCGTCAAGCTCGTCGTGTTCCAGCCGGCAATGGTGCCGGATGTAGCGTATAAATTGTTCATTTGAAAGGGGTCGGCCTTTGCTACGTCAGCTTCTATTTCCGGGGAGTATAGACGAATCATGTCGGCTTTCGGGATATCAGTTGGATTGTATCTTTTACCTTCATATCGTATAGCTCATGGTCCATGGTGCACCACACGGCGAATGCTAGGTCGTATCCTTCACCAATGACGCGCACGTGCTTGTAGGTATTGTTGGTATAAGTCACTGAGAGGTTGTGTTAAAACATGTCCAGTTTTCGTGCAGCCAATCAGATGACTCTTTTTTTCCTGTATTTCTTTTCTGCGGATAGAGACTTGTAAACTTACTGCGATCAGCATAGAGAAGTCCCTCTTGCAAATTGGTGCCCCAAAACTCTACATTAACGTGCTCGCTCTTGGGCTCCGAGGCGGCCAGCATTGTGTCCGTAACCGGGATGGGTTCCCCGTCAAAATCGTCGTGTAAGGGGATTCCGGCCAAGGTGAACAATGTCGGCACGATGTCCGTGTGCGTAGTCGGGAATGTCTGGACCGCGCCCTTGGCGATGCCGGGGCCGCGGATAAAAAAGGGAATGTTGATGTCTTCTTCGATATTACACGCTTTGCCGGGAGGAAGCCGGTGCTGTGAAATGTGGTAGCCATTGTCGGCCGTGTAGATTATGTACGTGTTGGCCATGACTTCTGGGGATGCCTCCAGCCGCGTCATGATGGTATCTACGAGGTCGTCTACGGCTTGGAGGGCCTGGAGACGTTTTCTGTAAAACTCGTCGTTGAAGTCCACCTCGTCCTGTGTCAGCTGTGGCATCAACTTTAGGTAGCTCGCAGTTCCAGGCTGAGATTTGTTAGTTCCATCTCAATATTTCATTCATGTCAAAAAGTAGCACGGCACTCACAACGTCAGGATTGAAATTTGGTGTTCTCGGTACCTTGACTCCCGGGAAAAGGTTCTCGTGACGGACGGCTGGCACTGGATCCCGGAAACTGGGTACAGTCCCGTTTACTATGACTTCTCCATGGGGTCCGATTGGGGTAACGCCGATAAAGAATGGTCGGTCAGATGCGGCAATGGCCTCTTCAAGAAACCCAACCGCCTTGGAAGCGATCAAGTCGGTTGAGTACTCTCCCGGATGGTATGTGGGAGGGCCCTTGTTCCTCGTCGTGCAGGAATTATAGTACACATAAGTATTCGGATCGATTAGAACTTTGTGCCAAATGGGTGTCAGTATGATAATGCATGCCATGTGCGTACTCTAATACTCACACTCAGACCCGTTCCAGCCATTGGCAAATGGCTGATTATATGTAGTGACAGAATGGGAATTCATGAGCTTTCCGGTGTAGTAAGTATTATAACCAGCTCCCTGCAACCAGATTGGTAGGTAGTTGTCATTGAGACCCTGACTGATGAATTTTGTGTAGCCACCTAAATAAAGTCAGCCACAAGCAAACATAGGTGTCAAGCTACATTCGCAATACCGTAGGGAGCAACAACATCCGTGACGTTCGTGTTGTGTGCGGCCTTGCCAGTTAGCAAAGACACCCTAGAAGGACAGCATTGAGAGACTGTGCAAAAGTGCTTCTGAAACCATGTGCCTTGTTCTGCAAAATGTTTCTGGACAGACGGTTGATACGCAAGAGAGTTCATATGCATGTCTTGGTCGTCGGTCATGATGAAGACAAAGTTTGGTTTGCTGCTGGTACATTTCGCAGCTGCTGTCGCTGCCAGCCAAGAGATGGCTTTGAAAGTGCCTGATACCATCATGTAAAAAGTTCTTCAGTGGCCATATGTTGTGGTGGTCTTCGAGTGCAATTCCACCAGCTATAGAAGTAAGACAATGGAGGAACAGCATGTCAGAATACATATGTACGTGATATCTTACACGCCTCGAACTGTCTGTTTGTCTTGCTATCATCCTTGAGGAATAATCATGTCGCTCTTTGCCCCTCCTGGAAATATGACCGGGTTTTCCGAGGTCATCTTGGGATGTTCCGCGTCAGCAAACTGGAATTGCTCTGCCGCCCTCTTGTCTCCTCTTACGTCCATGATAGGGATTGACCCTTGATGGGGAGAATCCGGTGGCTTTTTTCTTGTTTCTTCCCCGCAATTGCATGGGCTCCTTCCTTAGCGGTAGTACAGTATACTTAAGGTATAGCACGGTAGAGCAACTCCACAAATCTGCGCGATTCTGGGGAATTAGCGGTATCGATGCCCAGGAGCCAAGGATGCTTATGTATGCAGGTGCCCGGAACTTGGCACATATTACCCATTCTCAACAAATACAAAATAATGAATCGCTGATATGCTCGTATTGTGAGAGGTTTAATTTGTGCCAGCATTGGATTGGGAGGGTCGGCAATCATATTCGCGTATCGAAGTCTCTGCTTATTTTCATATTATCCGCACTCCAGCCGGATTACAACCCCCTCCCCCCCACTGTTCCGTATTAGACGGTGTATAACCCTCTGTGAATGCCTTGGCATCTTACTAAATACATAATTGATACAGATCTATTTCCCTGGGTAGCTACATGCTTAGACGAGGCTGGGCGGGGTCATGATTGACAATAAGCAGCCACCAGAATCCTGCTCCAAGCACCTGCCGACTCTCAATACCGATGCTCCTGAGTCGCTCGAATTAGAGAGTCCAGTGACTTGGCGAAGGATGATCGAACGCCCCAAACCAACTCACCGCTGCTCGAGGTTGATGATTCATTCATTGAGTAGTCTCTTGCCTCGGAATTTCTCTCCAGGCTTAGTAGTCTAAAGGCCTCTTTCAGTATTTTTGCTGGCGCTGAAGGGCTCGCAATATCTCCGACTCTGGATAAGCAGGCGGTCATTTTGGCTCCCCAGCGAATGTATGTCTGGACGAGCTCATCGTCAATGGGTCTGTCCAAGTAGACCACGACGGACATGATATCCGTGAGGTCCTGGTCTGTCGCGTCCGAATAGGCATGGGTCGGCGGGTTTGATCCAGGCGTGTTACTTGTGGCTGGCGATCCATTGTTATCAAGGATTGGCAACTCTGATCCACGCGACTGACAGAACTGCAGAGCGGTACTATATGCCCAGAGAACCAGTGTGGCAACATATATGGCATATGGCTCAAGAAATATTCGAGTGCTATAGCGCCTGCAATGCCAGAGAAGTGCACCAGCATGGACGACAGAGAGCCGTGCCTTGTATTGATCTTGAAGATACCAACGTAGCACGAACTCTCGGGACTTGGCATGCTTATCGATACCTGTTTGATTGATGACATCCTGAGAAGGTGAAGGTGTCGCAAGCGTCTGTATATGGCGCAGTGGTGCTAATATGAGGAGACGGGACAAGTGAAGATGGAATAATGTAGGGTGTTCCCAGCCCCAGTGTGCCAATGCTGTACTATTTGCTGACCAATGGAGAATATCCAGACAATCGCAGGCGCTGTTGCGCCATTGGGAGAGAAGATTCGATGATGGGGGCCAGGTTTCGCCTCTTTCGTAGACCTCGGTTCGACTCTCAATCGTTGCTGATGGCGTCCAGTTCATCAATTGGCTCTGACTTCGCAGACAGACTTCCTTGGTTCTTCTGCATATTCCGTAGATGAGTATCAGCTTGCTGAACTCACTCATTTTGGCCACGAGTTTCTTTTCCATGTATAGCAGCTCGAGAGCGTCCAGAACGGTTACTGAGTAGAGATTAGTGCGTTATCCACCAAGAGGAGACGTTCGGGCCAAAGGGACAACAAAAAGGTGTTCCTCTTACCTGATTTAATAGATTTCAAAACTTCAGGGTCTATTGTTTGGTTGTCCCATACTGTCTCACTACACGGTAAAGGCACCATAACGTCTGCCAATTGCAGAAGAGGTTGGCAGTGGAACTCGCATACAATCATGAAGTCCAGAAGCTGTTGGAACATTCAGAAACTTGGCAAAAACAGGATTGGTTGAATTTGTCTTACCCATATCATCAATCCGATTCTAGCGAATGACTGTTGTTGATACCAAGCCCGGCACTGAGCCTCGGGATCGCACCTTGGATCAAAAAGGTTGTGATTTGATGGTTTTGATAACAAATGCATCGAGTGGCAAGCGTCCACGAGTTTGAGCCTTTCAGCCATGGCAAAGCTTATCTCATCATTCCTCGCACCATGTATCAAACAAAGCATGCTAAGAACCATGGCTTGAAGGGTAGTCAAGTCCGATGACTTCGATTCAGACACAAATGATTGTTCTGGAGTAGGAGATATCCAATCAGTTCTACCGTCTTGTTGTCCCCTCATGATTGCAAATCGATGGCTCACGGCTTGCTGAAGAATCTTCATGAGTGGGCGCCTATATCTCTCCGCGTCGAACGTGTGACTTAGGGAGGTGCCGACCGCAATCGTGGCTAACAGCAGCACCCAGTCACTATCCTTGTCCCAGAATTTCGGACGCCTCAGGAAAGAGAATGTTGGATGGAATTGCTTGAAGTACAAGTCGACCCAGGAGGATACTTGTTGGAATGATGGGGGTTTATTGTGAATTACGTCGTTGAACTCGGACTGCATATTACTCCTTAAGCTTTGATACAACTGAATGGGAACTTCTGCCGTCGCAAATGAAGCCAAGTCTCTCTCATGGTGCGAATAAGCCCTGGATTGATCAGGAGTGACATCATGAAAACCTGGCCTCAATGAGGCGCGAGATCCATCGCCGTCAATGTAGAAGAAACTTCCGGATCCGTGCGAATCTCTCGATATCACGCTACCAGGATCAGAAAGGAGACTCCGGACTTCTTGTGATGGCTGGTCTGTGGCAGATTGCTGTTCGATCGCAACCGAGGGGCCAAAGTCCTCCTGGGCGGGTTGGCCAAGATTCATTGAAGGGTCGAGGAATTGTGTGGGGAAAACATTGCAAATATCTCCAAGTTGGTCAAAAGGATCAAAAGAGGTCTGGTACTGATGTGCTATCCAGTTTATGGAAAGGAACTTTGTAGCTTGAGTATCGTATCGACCGCTCATGTCGTAGACCATGTTAGCTCCGAGGGCAAAATCAGGTTCGTTCGCCGTCGGTTGTTGCGTCGATGTTGTTTCGGTGAACTGCGCGTTGGCTTCACCAATAATTTCCGAATGTGAATTGCTCAACTCGATGCTGGCCTGAGTCGTGCCGGCTATCGGTGTCTCGAGGATTGTATTGAGCGCGGCAGCTTCGGCGAGAAAGGAGAGGGGCATGTCTTGACCAGCGTCCGAATCTGACTGAGCTGTCGGGGTGCCATCTTGTATCGACAAGTCGTCCGCTTGCCGGCTGATTGTCGTTCGTCGACGCCTCCCCCTCGAACTCGTGGCGGGATAGATACAGGTTGCATGTAACTGTTTTTCTATACACTGTTTACACGGAGACTCGCGAGAGCAACGGATGCGACGTTTCGAACATGGTTTACAAGCCCGATTCGAGACGACATTGCCGGCGTTTGGTGGTTCTTGTTCATGAGAGAGCACATGTTTGTTTCGCACATCTCTGAGACCGGAGTCAATGAATCCAGAAGTATGAGTTAGGATTGGTACTCACTTGCGCGCAAAACCTTTGTCGCACACTGGGCACCTGAATGGCTTATCCTGAAGGTGAGTAGTCATGTGTCGATTGAGGTGTTCCCGGCGAGCGAAAGAGGTTTCGCATATACTGCAGCTGTATTTTTGTCGCGAAGACAGCTCTTCAGATTCTGGAGACATCATGTTGGGCCAGAAACTGCACTTTGATCTCCCGTGAATCCGTCATTTGGGCGGGACTCGTCATCAAGCCACCTCCTAGCACCAACCAGCGTCACTTCTTCTCGTGCCCTTTTCGTCTTCTGTTTCTCTTTCTCTCTATTCTTCCAGCAATTTCCCTTCAATGTCTCGCAGGGGCGCACAGTGTCAATGGGCTCTTCAGTTCCCTTGCCTTGGAGACCAAAAACCGGTATCTGTTGACGACGAAACCAAAGGCTTGGCGGTCCGGTGGGGGCACAAGAAACCTTGCTCACATCCCACCTAGCTCCGGTGGTGACTCCGGCTCTCAGTGGCACTATCATACAGACTCCTACCGGTGATCGGCCAATTCCCCGGGGAAACCCCAGATTTTCCCCAGTTTCCACATACAGGAACAAGCCAAAGGCTCCAATTTGGTGTGGATGCTTCTTGTTACCTAGCCAGGTACTGGTACCTGTGGAGCAGGGGTCAGGAACATGATTGCGCTTATGGCCTCAAGTCTCGACCTTGTCTGATTATGCTCCGGGCTCTTGGGTCAGCCCATCATATCCCAACAAGAGGATTCGCTAGCACTGCTGATGTATTGTCAATATAATACCAAGGGGTGGTCCTGATCATGGCGCAAGTAGATGAGATGTTACCCATCTACTCCTTTGTTTTATTACCACATATTGCATTTCTCTTCGAGGGTAAAAGCCTTGCCTCATGGCGGAATATGAAAAGGCGTCGGTCAATATAGACCAGCACGAAAATGCCCTCGACGTCAAGGACGATAATCTGGCCAGAGAGGCGGCAGAACAGGAACATGCCATGACCTTTCTCCAGGCTATTCGCAAGTACCGTACTGCTGTCCTTTGGTCCGTGCTGCTTTCAAGTTCAATCATCATGGAGGGCTACGACATTGTCCTGGTCAGCTCCTTCTTTGCTCAGCCCTCCTTCTCGAAGCGCTATGGAGACTTTGACGCTGCCACCAATTCCTACCAAATCTCTGCCTCGTGGCAGAACGGGCTTACGAATGCTGTTTCGGTCGGCACCATCATTGGTGCTTTTGCCAATGGCTATTTTACGCAGAAATACGGGTACCGAAAGGTGTTGCTTGCATCGCTGGTATTCATTGTCGGATTCATCTTTATCCCCTTTTTTGCGCCCAACCTCCCGGTCCTGCTGGTAGGCGAGTTCCTGTGCGGTATCCCGTGGGGAGTATTCGCAACCATGGCACCCGCGTATGCCTCCGAGGTGTGTCCCATGGCACTACGAGGACACCTCACCGTCTGGGTCAACATGTGCTGGGCTCTAGGCCAGCTCATCTCTGCTGGAGTCCAAACGGGGTTCTCGGAGAATAATACGCAATGGTCATATCGCATTCCGTTTGCCGTCCAGTGGGTCTGGCCTATACCGTTGTTCATCATCCTCTTCTTTGCCCCCGAGTCTCCGTGGCACCATGTCAGGGCCGAGAACTACATTGAAGCAGAAAGAAGCGTCATGCGACTTTCATCCGTACCCAAAGCTGAAGCCAAAAAGACTGTCGCCATGATGGTTCATACCAACGAGCTTGAGAAGACAATTGCACAAGGGACCTCCTATCTCGACTGCTTCCGTGGTACAGACTTGCGTCGTACAGAGATTGTATGCATGGCGTTCATGGCGCAGCCTTTTTGTGGCTCGGCTATGGGCGGAACTCCGACTTATTTCTTTGTCCAGGCAGGACTTCCAACCTCGATTTCATTCCAGATGTCTGTTGGGGGCCTTGGTCTCGCTTCCCTCGGAACTTTGATCTCATGGTGGCTGATGCACGTATGTGGCCGCCGCACACTCTACCTTTACGGCCTGGGTCTCCTCTCGCTCGTCTTAGCGACGGTTGGTTTCATCAGTGTTGGGGCCGGAGATACTACAGCTGGAAACTATGCGCAAGCTTCCATGATGATGGTATGGCTTCTCGTCTACTACCTCACAGTGGGACCCATTTGCTACGCCATTATTGGCGAGACATCGTCGACTCGACTTCGGAACAAGAGTGTCTGCCTCAGTCGCATTGCCTACTATATCTCGCAAATTGTTTGCAATGTCATCAAACCCTACATGCTCAACCCTACTGCTGGGAACTGGCGAGGCAAGACTGGATTCTTCTGGGGCGCTTGTTCCGCGGCATTCTGTGCTTGGACCTGGTTCCGCTTGCCCGAGACAAAGAGCAAGACTTATGAAGAGTTGGATATCCTATTTGCAAATGGAGTAAAGGCCCGCGACTTTGCAAAGTACAAGGTTGATGCATATGCTCATACCACGGAGGCACTGGGCAAGACTGAGTGAGGCTCGTACTGAGCTCGCGTCAATCTTTTGAGTTGTGGGGTTGGTCAGGGAGGAAACTTTCAAAGAGTGTTTCCTCTCATAGGAATTAATTGAATTTCCATCTTTTTCAGCATCTGGTGTATTTCTCCTTCACCCATTCAAGTATAATGCTCATAATAGTGGTGGGTATGACTAGCATGCCTGGTTATTTTCACACATCATGTCTGCTGTCCTTTTATGGCGCATCAGGATTGACACTGTAGATTCCGCGTGTCGAATCGCCGTGAAGCGCCCCGAGCTCTCACGAGAGCATACCTTGCTAGCAAGAACCTTGATTCTGCCTCCGGTGGGGGATTAAATTTCCCGACGGGCAGTTCCTGGCGGCGCGTGAATTGTACTTGAACCGATTGATCTACACAATAATTACTAGAAAACATCTTCTGGAGGCAAGTGAGTCCCTACACGACCAGCGAAACACCCGCATCATGCTCTTGGCAAAGGAAAATCCCCGGTGGTGAGACTGCCTAAGCGAGTCTCGAGTGCAGCAACGCCACCGCAACATCCCTTATTATCGTCGAGATCTGCATTCTACCACTACTATTCAACCGGAGGGGGTCTCCAGGCCCACCAAAATGCCCATTATATTAGTGTCAAATCGGGTCAAACTGAGGACCAAGACTCGTCAAAACATATAGATTTCTCACATAAGATATTGCTCCATTAAAGTAAACATTACAATCAAAATGATTCACGAAGACGCTGGCCGCCTCTGCTTCAAATATGACGCCGAGAAAGTCTGGATTGAACCTTGGGGCGACAATGCCTTTCGAGTTCGCGCGACCAAAGTGGCAAGCATGCCCACAGAGGACTGGGCATTGAACAAGAAACCTGCTGAAAAGGCAGATATTGCCATCCACGACACTCACGCATGCGCTGTAAACGGCAAAATATCAGCTACCATCACAAAAGGGGGCAAGCTCTCGTTCCACAACTCCGACGGCAAACTCCTCCTGGAGGAATACACCAGGAACCGTCGAGATATCGTCGACCCCAAATGCAGCGCCATCGAGGTCGAGGCACGCGAGTTTCGGCCAATCCCTGGCGGAGACTACCACTTGACCTACCGTCTAGAGAGCCTGGATCTGAGCGAGAAGATCTTCGGCATGGGACAGTATCAGCAGCCTTACTTGAACCTCAAAGGTCATGATCTCGAGCTCGCCCATAGAAACTCCCAAGCCAGCGTACCGTTTGCCGTTTCGTCTTTGGGATACGGACTGCTTTGGAACAATCCCGCAATCGGGCGGGCAGTTCTGGGAAGCAACATAATGAGCTTTGAGGCATACTCTACCAAGTCTCTGGACTACTGGGTTGTAGCAGGCGATACACCTGCCGAAATACTCGAATCGTATGCGCGAGTCACGGGAACGGTCCCCATGATGCCAGAGTATGGTCTGGGGTTCTGGCAGTGCAAGCTCCGATATCAGACACAAGAAGAGCTCCTGGAGGTCGCGCGGGAGTACAGGCGTCGACAGTTGCCCATTGATTTGATCGTGATTGACTTTTTCCATTGGCCCAAGCAAGGCGAGTGGAAATTTGACGAAACCTACTGGCCTGACCCAGGTAAGAATATCTCCATATATCTTTTCCGTCTTTCACTAATTAACTTTTCGAATGATAGACGCCATGATCAAGGAGCTGAAAGATTTGCGCATCGAACTCATGGTTTCCATCTGGCCCACCGTGGACAAGAAGTCGGAAAACTTTGAGGAAATGCGGGAGCAAGGCCACCTCATCCGCGTCGACCGTGGTGTCCGGACGGGATTGGATTTCGAAGGTGAAACCATTCACTTTGACGCAACCAACCCCAGCGCTCGGCAGTACGTCTGGAACAAATGCAAAGAGAACTACTTCTCCAAGGGCATCAAGACTTTCTGGCTCGACGAGGCGGAACCAGAGTACACGGCCTACGACTTTGACAACTACCGATACCACCTCGGCTCCAACCTCAGCATCGGCAACGTCTACCCTCGTGACTATGCCCGCGCCTTTTTTGAGGGCCAGGAAAAAGAGGGCCAAGAGAACATTGTGAACTTGCTGCGATGTGCCTGGGCCGGCAGCCAAAAGTACGGCGCTCTAGTGTGGAGCGGGGATATTGCCTCGTCGTGGTCGAGCTTTCGGAACCAACTCGCGGCCGGACTCAACATGGGACTTGCCGGGATTCCATGGTGGACGACTGATATAGGAGGCTTCCACGGCGGCGACCCTACGGATAAGAATTTCCGGGAGCTGTTTGTTAGGTGGTTCCAATGGGGCACCTTTTGCCCCGTCATGCGACTCCACGGCGACCGTGAACCACGACAGCCTCAGCAAGGTACAACGGGAGGCGCGACCTGCTGCAGCGGCGCTGACAATGAAGTGTGGTCGTACGGACCCGAAGTGTACGAAATCTGCAAGACCTACATGGGGATTCGTGAAGAAATCAGGGATTACACTCGCGGGTTGATGCGGCAGGCTCATGAACACGGCACCCCAGTCATGCGCACGCTCTTTTACGAGTTTCCCCATGACGCAAAATGCTGGGAGATTTCTGAGCAGTACATGTACGGTAACAAATACTTGTGTTGTCCCGTGCTCGAGGCCGGGCAGACAAGATTGGCCATCTACTTGCCAGCCTTGCAAGAAGACCAGAAATGGGTTTCATTCTCCAACAATACCAGCTACGAAGGTGGTCAGACGATTCAGTTTGATTGTCCTTTGGATACTATGCCGGTATTCCTCAAGAGTTGAGGAAAATTTTGGGGTGATGGATAGAAGAAGACTACCAGAAATGTTGCACAATTTGATTAATGAGTGATAAGTATAGAATATCTCCCAAAATTGACGACTTGAGAAAATGGTAATTATATCCATACGTGGATTTGATTGTATTATTCATCGCGGATAAATAGGTACTTACGTGACAAGCTCAAATAATAAAGCGATTTCTCTCGACTAGAACGAATGACTAGAATTACAAGAAACTAGGAACTGGTATTCAAGCATGTTAAGCCATCCTTGTCATCATCTCAATGGTATCATACCAAGCACATGCGATAATGTGAAATTATAGTTTAACTATCAATTTTTTATTATAAGCTCTGGGCAAAAACAGTGAAAGTCCCGATAAAATACGCCATGTCAAACCGCGAGAGTCAGGTACGGACAAGCACAGCTGACGCGCAAAGTCGCCCACTTCAGAGAGAGAACTCATAGGCATAGGCTGTAGAGCTTGTTGCCGGTGTCAAATTGATGGTGAACTAGGCTTGGTCAGCGTTTAGTCAGATAGGGGTTCTGGCTTCTTCAACATACCGTTCCATCAGTATAAGTGTAGTCTGCCGTCCCCAAGTCCACGGGTGCATCAATTTGACCTGTCGCTCCATTCCAGTCGAATCGGGTGGTACGAATGCTGAGCACACCGCTCAAGCCTAGACTGGTACTTTCGAGACCCGTGACTGTAATGTCGTATGCATCCGATGTCAGTCTGGTCCCAGCAAGGATCTTGACAGTGTCACCGCGGACGGCAAAAGCATCAAAGAGTTTGTCGGAAGAGGCAGAAGTCACCACGCGGTCTCCTTGCATGGCGGCATAGTACTTGTAGAGCTGCCACTCTCCATTGGGGTAGTAAGCGCCATTCTCGTCCTTTCCCAGAAGCGAAGCCGCAAAGTCGTGTAGGTTTGAGCCGCCGCCCCAGTTGGCGCGCAGGCCGCGAATGTTGTTCCGCTCGAGCTGGGCTAGGTAGTAGGCTGAAGACGCCGGGTTCTGCTCGTCGGGCCAGGCGTACTCATTCAGGTCGAGTGGGCGGAAAGGAAGGCCATACTGCTCACGAAATGCATTAAAGTCGGAGACGGTCCTGTCCGGCTCGCGCTCCCACAGACCAATCTGATGCCAAGAGTAGATGTCAGGAATTACGTCGTTGGCAGCCATGTACTCGAACCAAGTGTGCCAATTTGAATTATCAAGTGCAGGCGCGTTGGCCATTGATGGGCCACTAATGGACAAGTATGGAAATGCCGCCCTAAAACAAGCATCAGCAAACGGTGTCCGTCTTATATAATGGTCGAGGAGATGTACTTGAGCATCTTGTGGGCATGACCAATATACTCCAGGTATTGATCCCATGAACGAGCCCAAAAGCCAAAGCCATCGGGTTCATTCCAGATATCCAAAACGACTCCGTCAAGCATGTTATTCTCATTCATGTCAGAGATGAGTTGATTGAGAAAAAGATCCGCCTCGGTCCAGTTGCCATTGTCACCCGGAAAAGGAGTGCTCTCGGTGGCTCCCCCATCGGCACCCCACAGATCGTGAACGAGCAAGAGGAAGTCGGCACCATACTTTCGTACAGTCCGGTAGTTGGACAGCGTCGACTGAAAACGTGCATCATACTCGGCCTTGCCGCCATAGGCCCAGCCGCGGGCGGTGATTTGCGCACCTCCCGCGCGACCCGCACGGAAGCCTATATCAGTCAGGAAGTAATCCGGGATAGCGTTTGAAGCTTCGGTGCCATTGTCAGGAAAGCCGTAGATGAAGCCAGAGCCCAAGTGTGTAGCGGTTCCTGCAGACTCGGCCAATTGTACAAAGGCAGTACCAGATGAGCGAGGTGCAATAACGGCGGCCTGAGAAGCCGCCGCCACGAGGAAAACAAGACTAGAGAAAATCGAGTTCATGTCGATGATGACGATGATTTCCTCCAAATGAATGGATTACAATGGCTATGCGCAAGATACTTGAAGCCATGGCGATTCTATGATGTTTCTTATATACTCCAGAACAGCCCTTCGTTTTGGTGGCCACGATTCCAGCAGTACCTGCCAAGGGTCATCAAAACCTGTTGTTCTCGTTCTTGGGGTCAGGGTCTAAAGATGCTCCCACCGCGCGTGTTGTAAACAGAGTTGGAGACGCGCTAGGCGGAGGCGACCACTGTAGAGTCTGTATAGCCCAATGGTACGTAGTAGGTTTTCACTCACTCATAATTATTTCTTCTCCTTTCCCCACGCACAAGATCATGTTTCAATCTTTCAACAAATGTAATTAGGTCCGATGGGGGTACTTATGCAACCAGAAAATCCCAATCGTATCACTCGTGGGATAATTTACAACTCATGTGGTTGGGTCACAAAGTGGAACAAATTCATGCTACTATTACAACACAATGCGGTCGCTACATTATCCCCCACCGGCGGGTTCTCCACAATCCCACCGGCCTTGGAGGTTCGACAGGGCAACTTTTACCCCTCCGTGCCCGGCATATCATGGCAGAGGCCCAACACCATCTGCACCCCAGATTCTCGGTAGCCATCCAGTTCGAGCTGGAACGCCGCGCTTACTGTCGTAAGTAGGTAATATTTCCGTCAGTTTGCATCTATATTGTTGATAGGTTTGTTGAATCTCATGGAGACATTCAGAATGTGCTTGGTCTCATTGATTATGTGCTCTTGCATCAATAACTTTGGCTTAGCTGCGATGAATTCAATTGTAGCGAGCTGGCAGTCATGCTCTACGCCAATCATGAATGCAGCAAGATGATGGGGCGGGGAAAATAGAAGAACTGCGCCCATGAGGCACACCGCAAGGCTCTCGCCTGCCTGCGACTTGAATGAGTTCCTCCGCATTTCACGTTGCGATGCCCCATCTTGAGCTCGTAGAACTTCCATTGATCACACCATGGCGGACCCGATCTCCCTGGTGGGCACCGCCGTCGGCGTCGCTTCTCTTGCGATTCAGCTCTTTTCGGGGTTTACTTCGTACATCGACAAGCTCAAATGCCGCAAGGAAGACCTCGACGCCGTCAATAGGAAGCTTTCGGACTTTCGGGCATCAATCGACGCAATCAAGTCTACTGAAAAACGCCGGCGAGACAATCATTCAACACCTCAACCCGCGCTCGATCAGTGTCTCCAAACATGCGAAGCAGAGCTTCTAGCTCTCAAAGCCTTTTGGGAGAAATGCAGCGACGAAGGCGCAAACGCGCCAAACCTGCGACATAGGGTCAAGACAAAGGCTAAAGAGCTGAGCTTTCCGTTTCATCGCGAGGATTTGGCCCGGTTAGAAGCGCGGCTCGACCAAGCGACGAATACCATGACACTTGCATTGCAAGCAGTCCACATGTATGTTCTTTTGTTGACTTTCTTGTGTACCTCGTCTATCCAGTAACTCACTTAGCCACAGCGACGAGGCCGTGACCACCTCTGAGAGCCTCAAGGTGGTACTCAAGAATACCAACACCACATCCGGAGACATGCGCATGATTCGCCAGCACAACCACGACATTCTTCAGGGGATTGGCCAATTGACCATCTCATTCGATAAAGCTTCTTCAAAAGATGAAGAAGCCGCCAAGTGCATGGAGGAGCGTATTGCGGCCATGCAGCAGTTGATGGAGGCTGGGAATGCCAATATACAATGGATGATGGAGCGGATGCGAAGAGTAGACGACAATCAGATGGTGTCATCCGACTCGACGGTAGGCCTCATGGATTCCATTCATCCTTGTTCATTCACTGACACATATACCAAGTCATCTGGCGCAGTCGGGCACAATCCAGCACCGGCACAAGTTCTTACTGTTGGTTCGCTGCGTCAAGGTCAACGTGGACAGCCATCTCCACTATCGCCTCCGTTACATCGGAATCTATTTTGCACATGTGCACAAATACGAAGGCGGCAGCTTCGATGGAATCCCCTTTCAACTTGGTCGTTTGGGGTCAAGTACACAAGTACCCACCACCACCCGTCCTGCCCAATGGCCCAGGTTGCTGTCTGGAGACCAGCGGATCGACATCAAGTTGAAGTCAAAATTGCAGCTAGATTGCGCTCATGGATGCTGGATTTCGCGCTTGCAGGCGTCCTTGGGAACACCTACTTGAGCATATATCCGTCCCTAAACTGTACGAGGACTGTGGGCATTGATTCACCAAGTTACAAGATATTGGCTATCATCGAACATTCGATATACTCCTTTCCTGACGATCTATCACACGTACTTACGAGAATAATTGACCATGCCCTTCAGAAGCTAAAGAAACTCTACGAAGAGAGAAGGGCCTCTCCGCTGGACATGGACGTGAATGGAGTGACATTTGTCGAACTTTTCGCATCTGTACTTGGATTGGTGAGTTGAATTTCGTGCCTCTGATTGATGATATGGAACAAAATCACTCATCAACTGCTCTACAACAGGTCGCAGCGTCAGATCACTATGTCTCACTGTTCCTTGACTTCCTTACTTGCCTGAAGTCATGGGGGGTGGAGCTGAGGCAAGAATTCGGGTGGGTCGGGCCATTGGAACGTGTCTGCATACCCGTTAACATTCGTCTAGATCATCAAATCAACTCATCCTTTGTTTGCTGAGACTTGAGAAGAATAACGTGACTTCAAAAGCTGGTGTCACCAGCCGTCAATGGATCAAGCGATTATCAGACATTGGGTTGGATTTAGATGCAACTTTCGAGTCCGCCTGGACTAGAGCAAATTGGGACGCGACAGCGGCATATCCAGTACAACTGTGGCATGCAAGTAACCCAACAGGTCAGTATTATATATCTTCTAATTGATGGGATACCCAGAAGTTGTCTTCTAATAAGCCCAGAATATGCCTCTTCTGCAACACAGGTAGCCATAATGAACCAGGATTATGATCTACTTCAAGTCACTCTTCTGGAAAATCCAAAGGATCTCGAGAAACATTTCACACTTGGAGATGTCGGAACTTTAGCCATGGCAATTTTCTGGCCAAAAGGATTGCAGCTGCTGGTAAGGACAATTCTGGAAAACGACATGTTGGATACCCAGCTATTTGAGCTTGGCCAAGCATACCGTATGACCAGTAGTATGTTTTTCGATTACGAACACCCCGGGCGATGTCCAGAAACGAGACGCGCCGCCTCCACTGAGCGGATCAATCACGCATGTAATCATGTAATGTGCCTGAAAGTTCTCCCATCACTATTGCAGCTCGGTATTCCATGTACTCAAGTGGACCAGATACACTATCTTCTTTCCGATTGGGCTTGCAGATATGGGAGAAAGATGCTACTGGGGAAGCTGCGAGAACAGCGAGAATCGCTAAAACGGCTCGCAGTTCAACATCTCCCATCGGAACAAATCGCCTCGTATGCTTGGTCCGCCGGATACATCTTGGATACAGAAGCAAATGCGATTTCCTCAATGCTTAAAAATTGCAACATATACGTGCCTGGCATACTTCGCGTTTCTTCGGATTGGAAGTCAGTGTTCCGTACTATGATGAACGGGATTGTTACTGTCAAGTTACTGGACTTGATATGGGAGGCTGGCTTCCAGCATCCTGACACGTATGATATGTTCAAGTCACCCGACCTGTCCAACAAGGACCTCTTCATATATGATTGGTACATTCAACATGGTATCAATCCTCGGCAGACTCATTGGATCCATAAAGGAAATTTCTCGGTATCTCACCTGTGTGCTGCTGTAGTTGGTGAGAAGTTGTCGTGGAATTACAAGAGGAGTTTATCAGATGCTGAAAGCTTTGCCAATATTGTTGGCCAAAACCAGCATCATGATACTTGCAGATGCCATTGTTCCCCTTCTGGTTGTTCGCCGTTCAAAGTGTACCTGCACGCATATATTTCAACCTCTTTTACTGAGCGTCGCAGATCAGCAAAGCGACAAGCTGAGCGTTGGCAGATGTCGACTGCCCTCTCAAACAAGTCCTCCGACTTTCTGGAATGCCAACTGCAGGCCATTCGCCTGGCAACATTTGACGAACTGGGCCTGGCACACACCTGTTGCACCCGGCTTTGGGACAAAGAGGGAGAGTTGTTCGCTCCAGAAGAAGAAGAGATGATGGAGTTACAGAAGGAAGATCAGGCATTGCTTCAAGTGCTTGAGGATTTGATGGATGAATTCATCATAGAATTTCCTCGATCAGGTTGTGGCTTGCGTGAGTTCTTTGAAGGATACTGGATTCAAAGAATACGGGAGAATCTGGAACAGTTGAATGCAGACACCCTCACAGAACAGCATTTGAAGGAAGCTGAGGACATGGGTGTCATCTGGGACTCTGGTTCCGTGGCTGGTGGGAACAGTGACATGGAATATTACTCAAGTGACGATGATTGGACACCAGAGCGGCGACCGCCAGAGGAGCAGACCTTTGAGTACTGGGAAAGGATGATAGATGATATTTAGCTGAGCAGTTGCCGTAGCCGAAGCAGAATGAGTCACCAGAAAATTCAGCTGTTGCTCGCTTGAGATGGGGATCAACCTACTCTATATCGCCTAGTCCAAGAGGTTTACGGAATACTCTAAGAGATCATCCGAGTGCGCTAGGTTCTATTGGCTGCATGCACTTGAGTCTTTGGCAAAGCTATGATAAATTCAATTGTAGCGAGCTAGTGGATAGTTGATGCATCTCGTCTCGAGAAACAAATCACGAAATAGCAATCGTCTGAAAGGGAGATACAAGTACTTCTCCCGTCAACCCCACATCTATTCCACCGGGGGCCGCCCCAAGTAACTCGGTGTATTGCACCAAAAGTGGCACAGTCCCTGCATTTCTCAGCTCATTAAAAATAGTTTTTAGATAATTCCACATGACCGTTGGTGCCATAATGAGGACATCGTTTGTGCCCCTATGCAGGGCATGGGAAATGTCAATCTTGGGATTAGTAGGGTCCAATCCCGTAAACAAGTGGTCGTTGATTTGCAAGCGGACCACGTTGAGAAGTGCGGATGTCGTAAGATAGGCACCGAGATCCGTGGCATTGTCGCTCTCCAAAGGCGGCCAGTCAAACGTTGTAGTGTAGTAGCCAATACCGGATGCGTTGACTAGCTCGGGTATCTGTAGCCACGATTGCAGCTGGTTCAATTCATGAGTTGTGTTTCTCTTGACAGCAATAGTTTCCACGTCGTATAGATTGCTTGGTGCTTCCCAGTGTTCTGCTACCAGAGTCCAGTTCGAGAGTGCAAAGGCATCAGGAACGTCGGACGAGTTGATGGTGAAGTTTTCACCTGTCAATGTGCTCAGGGTTTCCGTCGATTGCGAGGACCCAACACGAATATAGCTGATCCCTGTCGTTTCATTGAATTCGTATCCAACGATTTGAGATGTGGTTTGGGTAATGTGGCTAGCTGGAGTCGGGATCTCGGTTGACAGCGAATCCGAAAAGGCCAGCAAAATGGTTTGATTTACCTTCAGATCAATCGGGATTGTTATGGTTGACTCGTTCTGTGCATAGGCGAGAATCGGAGACTGCTCTCCAGTCCAAGCGTTCAGCAGATATGGCGTTTTTGTCGTTGCAAAAGTGATGTGTCCAGAAAATGGCACGAGGTCGGCGAAAATAAATGCGTACTCTGTGGCGTTCTGGGCCAAATCTCGCCACACTGTGTACATTGATCCCTTCTGATCCGCACTGATGCGCGGGTTGATTCCAAGGCTTTTCAGCAGGGATGACAAAGCCTCTGCAGTTGCTGAGTATACCGTGTCCCTGTCCTTGAGAGCCACAAGTTGTGATGAATAGTTCTCGCAAGGGCTCCTGTCCTTGAGAGAGTAGCACCCCGGGTCTCCGTCGACAAGTACCACGGGGAGACCCTCATCTGCATACTCAGAGAGTGTTTCCAGTGCTGACACGGTAAGGTTTTGCGAGCTGTACACAATCAGTGCTTTCCATGCAGGGCCATCAGGACCCAAGACGTTATTCTCAATGTAGGCACCCGGTAGGCCAAAATTCTCCGAAGAGATGTAGGAATAAGTCCATCCTAACACACTTTAGCCATGGAACTTGCATGTCTTGTCCTTGATCTTACCTTCTTGTGTCAAATAAGTCAGGTTATATCCCGGGGTCAGCGTGGTAATAGACTGCTTCCAAAAGACCGCAAGATCAATCCTAGGGACTCCGGTCTGAAGAACCTGCTGCGTCCTCGAAAGGTAATTCATTGCGTCTTCCATCCCATGGCTCCAAACTGGTTGTTTCTCGTTCCAAGTCTCAGAGACTATATACTCCCACGGTACGTAGCCAGGCCAAGTGCTGTTATAGTAGGTACCCGTGTATGCCATTCCATGGATCACGTACTGGTTGACTCCGCCGGCGAACCCTCGATTGGCCTCAAAGATCAGGTCCGGGATCGTGTATTGGAACGCTTTACCACCTACGGCGCCCAGCTCGTTTGAAATAACACGCTTTCCAGCTAGTTGTGCAGGTCCTGAAAATTTGAGGTAGAGATCAATGTTGTCAAGGAAGCCCAAGCTTTCGCATTCTGGGGCATCAACGTCGGGGATTGTAGCCGCCATATCCATGGGCAGGTTGTAAGACGGCTGAGCAGAGAACTCGAGGCCCAATGTGTTGTGGGTCCAGTTGGTAAGAGCTTGGAGGTACTCCCGATAGCCATCCTGAAGCACGGCGTGGAAATCATTATGATAGCCCTGGCCTTCGTCTTCCGTGTCAAGCACGCACTTGAAAGAGCCGGGGGCGTCTGTCTGAATACCAACATTGTTTTCTGCAAATGAAAGCAATGGAAGGAAGACTCGAACATCATATCCCTTTAGTCGCTGGAAGCGATCCGGCAGTGAGCGAGACCAAGAGATATTTGAATGCATCTCCACACTGTCTTCCCACCCTACGATGAGTTAGTCGCAGTGATTCCAAGACTTGCACCGAAACTTACCGTAATTGCCGACTTCTCTCAGTAGTGTCGTAACATTATCACTGAGAATATAGTCCTCCCAAAAGTTTGTCACCGTGTCTGCACCTAAAGAGGAGTAGTGGTCCACAATGTAGGAACCATTATCAAAGATTGTTTTTGTTGTTTCTCTCGTTATGTCCAAGTTCTTGTTGAGGGAAAGCTTTTGGTAAAACGCAAAGAGCTGATAGGAACTGGTGTTGGTCAGTGACTCAATGCTGAGTAGCATATTCCCAGTGGCGATGTCCACGGTGTGAGTATAATCCTCCAGCGTCCCATTCTTCAGAGTATACTGAATGTAGGAACCATTGGTCGTCGTGAAACCGTTTGAAGCCGAGTATGTCTTGTTTTCAACGGCCGTGACCTCGGACAAGACGAGTGATACCAATTCACCGACTCCCCAGCCTGGTATCGTGCCGTCAAAGGTCCCATTCGGGACCGGTACGGTGAATGGAACCTATCTTGGTAAGTATCTTTCTTGAACGGGTCAAAGTATAGGCGCCTTTACCAAGTCCCACTGAAGGCCATCGTCTCCTGTGCTGGCGGGTACGCCTTGTCCCTGATTGGGCCCCATGGCAAAATCCATCTTGAGGCCCGTCTCGCTATGGGCTTCCAATGCGGCTCGAAAAATATCATTGAACTGTTGAGTCCCGAAGTTTGACGCGGCCCAGTCGGCCCCGGCCGGCTCGGGGTGCATGGCGCCTCCATAACCGAAAAATGGCAACAGCTCAAGACCACCTGCACCAATCGATGCCGCTGATCTAATGTCATTCTTGAGTATATCAGCACTGACACTGGAATCGGGGAGCCAATAACGAAAACGAGGACGAGCAGTAACGGAGGGATTGCCGAAGGTGCCTATATTGTTTGCATCAACAGCGGGCAGTAGACTGCCAGCCCCAAACAGCAAGGCAGCAACCCGAGAGATGGACCACATGTTTGCTTGTTAGCCCGGTACTTGACGCCTCATCGAGCACACACAGCTCGCACGTTGGAGATATGTCTATTTATGTATTGCGTGTTCTTGCCTCGTCCGACAGGTGCCTCATGTAAAGAGCTTCACTCGGGATATCTCTGCGCGAGCCCTCTATACTCTGTATAAGATCTATATAGGCATCCTGGTCGGCCTGATATCATGTTACCTGGCGAACATGTGATGAAAGAAGATTATTGGTCGACATGGCAGAGCTCTGGGGCCCATTGGTCTTTAACGCACCAGGCGGCGTCGAGTGATCTTGGGCATCATTACAATGATCGGCACCATACTGGTTGATGTTGCATGCGTTATGACCCATGACAATCTGACCGCGGCTTTGGCGTACATGCCATGTGAGGGTCTCGTATATAAGCCGAACGCTCGATGTTTTTCTCCACGCGTGCATCTATGAAATCCGGGGGATGCCCGGTACCTGGCAACGCTTCTCCGCTTCCCCGCAACTCACACGCACGACAACGCCGACCAGGATCATAACCGGCTCACGAGTCTTGGACGATCGGTATATCCTCGCATGCCTCGCATTTCTCGGATGCGACAAGGTTGAAGCGAATAGTACTAACCTAGACCTGATGCGGGTTCGGCTGCCGTGATTCTCGCATTCCACGCGAATAATCGGCAATTGGCCAGTTTGGGCGGGTATTATTCGATATAGGGAATTGGTTCAGCTGGGTATTGCCGTTTTTCCGCGGCTTTGATACCATTTTGCGAATGACTTCGTTTACCGGGGACGGCGCCGTTCCATTCTAGAATCTAGATCATCAACATCGTGGCGCTATACAGGGCAACTATGCATGCAAAATCCTTGACCTGACCTTGATTCTTTTTCTTGAATTTTCTCCTTTGTCACCTGAGGTTTTTTGAGTATATAATCATGTAAACATTTACCACATTACCTCGAATGATCGAGTTCAATCAATCTTCTCCGAGCTGTAATTCGCAGAGAAGAGAAAGGGCTCTGTATGTTACTGTGAGTAACTCTATTGAGCAGTGCTCATTCAACCACGCTGGGAATAATGAAATATCTTGAGAAGTCTAAAGCAGAAAATTCGGACTGAATTGTATGTGGCTTCATGAGACGGCACCAGCTTTATATAATATGTTTCCTGCATATTTTTCAACTCTACCACTGAAAACGGCTGGGACATGAACACTTTTTTTTTCCCTTCGCTTCCCGGGACGACGCCTACCCCACATTATTAACTACTAGGTACCTACATTGTAGGTAGCGATTGCCCTATGCAATGCAGTGTGCACCAAGCGCATCCGTGTTCATGGACGTTTTTGTCTTAGGGTTACCACGAAGATATGTGACGAAACCTCAATAATGCACGAAAGTAATTATAAGAAATCGTCATGAGAGTTTCTTCTTTTTGTTATAATCTATCTCGTCCTTTGGTGGTTTTCCGATCACACCTTTTCTTTTCCTTCTGGACGATCATCCACCAGAGTTTGTATGGGAATGCTCACGAAGATAGGCATGATGGTTTAAAAAAGGACTCCGCCTATTGATTTCTTGAGCAGACTTTGCAAGTGTCAGATAGACCTGAGACATTCGGGAACCAGCAGCACACAGGACGCCAGAGCAACATTCCGCAAGGGGACGCAGAAGACGTTTATGAACGTTGCATACGCGCGCGAGTCGAATAGACCTTGTTTAGTATGATCTATTCGAGAAATTTGGCTTTGCAAGTCCTTCTTGCGCTTAACAAATGAATAATAGCTCAAGAAACCTGCGGATAAGGGGCCAATAAGCTTCGACAGGACTTGATTAGTTGTTGGACTCTACGTCAGCTATAGAGTTTTGTTTTCGGCAATCGTGCGCCACAGCTGCTTCCCGCATCGGCCGTGGTTGGACAGACAAGCGAACGAGGTTGTTCAAATCCGAATCAACTAAAGGCCGTCACGCGACTAGGTGATGTACAGTTGGTAGTCTATGATCAAATTTGAGGCAAGTTTTGAGGTGACATAAATGCCTGATGCATTAGCTTATTACTAATCAATACAACACGGCAAATGTTGAAAAGTTCTCAAGGGGTATTCGAGGCAACTCGCTCCGTAATGCCTCTTTGACGGTGACCGTAGGCAGCGACATATCTTGGCGAGGCTCGGTGTGCCTGCTGGACAGGATCAACGCACCTTTGAGTCGGGGGTTTCGTTCCGAATACTGATACTGATTCTAGATTGATGTTCAAGGACTTGTCTAGAGAGAGGTTGAGCTTTTTCAAATGTGTGTCATTGATGGCCCTGAGTCGAGAGACCTACGGTTTCTCATGTTGCAATATGGCTGTTCTGCCAAATTCTCGCTAGGCGCTCGTCTGTGATGGGATCTTGGCTTGCTTGGAGCCATCACCCTCTCAACCTAGACACCTAATGCATATCATCGACACTACTCGTAGAACTACGCCGGATTCCCTTACCCCGCTCTATCACCTAATGCTATAGTGTAAACTCATTCTATCTTAATTGGGTAAACTACAGAGCATTGTGTTTTGAATTTTGACTAGCTGCGGATGAGACCGGGAATTGAGAAACAGCTTCAGAAGTAGGAGCATTGAATGAATGTACTGTGAGTGCGGGGAGCTCTCAATTGAAGCACTATCTGGGGCTGGTGGCTGGCCCATCTTTCTTTTCCCAGGCACTGTTGATTCACTAAAAATGTGTTTGACTTTGCGGGGACAAAAGCTTAAAAGGTTTTGAGAAACAAAACACCGAATGAAATGGATGATGATATCCCGGGGCCGAATAGCGCTGCGATAGATTCATTATAGCCAAATATTGGACATTAAAAATCATTACGAGGTGAGCTGGTCTATCACATGGGATATAAAAGGTAAGAAAGAATTTGTGCATTCAAGCAACAAGACAAGAAAGTGGAATTAGTAAGAGAAGGATGACACTATAGCCACTTACGCAAACACGCAGAGCGCAGTAGTCTCAAGCAAGACTGATTAGTAGAGGGAATTAAATGCAGCTATTCGCTAGAATTGGCAATGCTCTTCATATTCGGCTTGCACGGAATCAAGATTTTGAGCCACATGGACATTAGCAGCGATGTTGCTTACTTGTAGGTCGACAGATGTGTTCCATGATCCCATTATCTAGAGCGGTGTTGCAGCCAACGCAGCTTTCGGCCCGCAGTAGTGGCAGACTGATCGGAACTCTAACAGCTATCAGAGCTACGGAGGCTATAGTAGCTGAAGCTAGGTCACAGCCAAGATTATTGGTCAATTCCGGCCGTAAGCTCTCAAGAAACATGATTGTTGATGAGAAAGGCCAACCCCTGGAACATTGTCGCTAACATAGATCTAGAGTGTGCATGAATCATAACTGATAGATGCATCGAACCCTCACCTCCGCCGCAGCCCCTCCATCTACCTACCTAGTAGCTATTCTCTTTATATAATCTAACCCCCATTCCGCGCCATGGAGTGTGCAGCTGGTTCTGGCATGTACTTCTTGTGCGAAGATTCTACGTCATCACATTATAATTACAATCCATGAAATAATTGTTAATCGTACTCACTCTATCTTCTAGTCACAGTATCATTCAAAGTCGTAAATGAAGTTATAACTCGCATTGCATAATTATCGATTGGCTGTACATCTACAGTCGATCGCAGCATTATCTTCAAATCAAACAAAGTAAACAACAGTAGGAAAAGTCACCATGGCACCTTCTGCTCTTGTTGCGCCGGCCGCGCCGGCCCTGTCCTCCTTCATGTCCTCTGAGCGGCGGGCATATCTCAGACAGCACTCTGGACTGCAGGACAGTCAGAAGTTCTCGGGCAAGGCCGCAACTGGCACCACAGACACATCTGCTATAATGAATATGGTCTCATCCCTGCAGAGACGCAGTGGAGATGAATTGGGCTCACGAACATCAGCCAGGCTTCAGGACCACACCTACGACTCTATCCGCGAATGGATCGGTGCCCAGCGCATGAGCCAGCTTCCGCCCGAGGGCAGCAGTTATGACAAAGTCCTTACCTGGACCCAGCTCTTTGTGGAGAGGTTGAATTCCTTTGACCAAGCCATTCAAGGCTTCGCAAAGGACAGTCAACTGGCTTCCCAACTTGCCTACGGCTACTGTTCCATTCTACTAGATGTAAGTTGTCCATGGACTGTCCCGTCTATCTTGCTACACGTTCAAGCCGCTGACCTCTTCTATTTGCAAACCAGTTGGGTCAAGAGAATGCTCCAGCATTGATGATCTCCTTTGGCTTCTTTTACAGCATCTCCATGTCCTTGGTGAACCTTCTAGAGCGCACCGAGCTCTTTAGTGTCTCACAAGACATTAGGGAACAGCTGGTACTTGCCATGTCAGATCTTGTGAATCTAGTTGCCAGTGTCGCCACACATTTCCATAAGGCTATCCACAGTGCCTCGAGCACTGCGACCACCTCTGTATCGGTCAACATGTACAGCTCTTTCTCAGGTCAGATCAAGGCTTTCCGCGACAGGTGTGAGAAGATTGGTCAGTCAATGTGGCGTCACCAACTGATTGTCAATAACATGGACGCTGAAGGAAGTAAGTTCGAGAACTCTAAAACGCTTGTTGAACTTCACTGACTTTTACAACCCCAGTCTCCGATGTACAGATGGTCAAGTCCTGGGCAACACCGGAGGATCGCATTCTCAACAATGTCGCTCTGAGTCTATCTCTGCTAGCCCATGACCGCGAGGAACTCACATGTCTGTGGGTCGGTCCTTACTTGACACGCTTCCTCAAAAGCCATGATACAGTCTTTTCAATCAGCGGAAAGCCGGGTTCCGGCAAGAGTATCGTCGCCTCCGTCATTGTTGACTATCTACAACGGCCAGTCTCAGGTGTACACTATAACACGCTCTTTGTCCCCATTAGTATGTGTCTTCCTTACCGTGCGGATACCTGTTCATAAGACTCATAGCTAATGACATCGTGCTTCAGGCAGCAGGATACCCGCCGAAACGACAGAGCGCGCCATTGCCAAGGCTTTACTATGCCAGCTGTTCGAGAAAAGAATTGGCAACATTGAGTTGCTTCAGATCATGATCCAAGCCTGCAAACGTTGTGACCAAGCCAACACCAACGAGGAGTATGACAATATCGTCTGGAACGCTCTGGAACAGGCACTTGGCGCGGTGCTTCCCGGTGCAAGAGAGCTAATAATTGTCGTGGATGGCATTGACGAGTCCTCCTGTGGCGAACAAGCATTGTTCAAACGATTGATGGACGCCACAGCCAATGGTACAAATGTAAAACTTATCATGCTCGGTACGGAGAAGCACCCGCGAGTCGCGGGACGCTCGAGCTTTGCCATCAATGATGACCTCATCTTGGATGACATCATGGCCGTCGTTCGCAGTCAATTTGAATCAGACAACGAATTCACAACCATGTCGGATATCGAGCAGGAGTCTATCATCACCCGTCTCAGCGAGGCTGCCAATGGCTCGTTCCTATGGGCCAAGCTTGCAACCAAGCGCCTGCGTCGAGAGATTGGCCTGGACAAGTTCCGCAGTGCCATTGACAGCGTCATCAAGGCGAAGCCGTCCGTTGCGGATTTCGTTGCTCGAAGTTTGCAATCCACCAGCATCACTGATGAGACCAGACTCATGCTCATGTGGCTCACCAACGCGGAGAGGCCTCTGTCGCTCCGGGAGCTAGCCGCACTATCATCCGTCAGAGTTGACAAAAATACCGTCTCAGAGCCCAGCACAGATGTGTTGAAGATTTTGAGACCGGTGCAGAATATTGTGTTTCTCCAAGACAGTCTCGTATGCATCCGACATGGGGTGATCCGATGTGCTCTACGCGATCTCCTAGTCAAGGGTCAGCTCATCACCACGGTCAATGACCCCCACGCGGATCTCACCAGTCGCCTGCTTTTTTACATCAAGAGCACCGTGACTGAGCAGCGAGAGCCATCGATGAATGTCCTTGGCGCTCATGACGCCAGTCAGTACCTCAACAAGTATCCGTTGCTCGACTTTGCCGTCCGTCACTGGCCCTACCACTTCACCAAGACTGCTGTTTTCGTGAAAGAAGGCGAACACAATGCTTCCAAGACTTTTGCCAAGGTCATTCCCTCGTCAGTGACAGCGTTACTCCTCCAGGGCACTCTCTGGGCCCACCGCCCCAAGCCGGCTCTGTTGGCATATCAAACCATCATCACAAACATGTACAAGCAGCTCTTTACGGACAAGAGCCCCATGACTTTGCAATCAGTCATTTTCCTGGCGATTCTGTACGAACATGTCAATCGTCACGATGATGCGGCCTCACTCTTTTGGGAAGCAACCATCATGAGTCATAAGATTTTGGGCTCAAGTCACACTATCACAACACACATGGCCAACCGGTACATTGAAATGACTGAGTCCAAGCGCACCACCAAGAAGACAGACATTATGAGCAAGCGAGAGGAAGTTCTGCAAATCTTGGTTGAATGCTACAAAGCCGAATTTGGTCAGAGGTCAGCCAAGGCCGCGTCGGCACTTCGCATGCTCCACCAACACTACGAGATGACCCAGGAGGAGCAAAAGGCCAAGAAAATCACAGAATCTATTCAGACCATTACCAGGACCTCTGTGGATGACGAGCCGAATGACGAAGACGGACCACAAGTAGAGCTGAAAGAGCCGAAACATATCCGTGGTGAAAAAGTCAATACTTGGGATCTCGCCATCAAGGAGCAAGACAAACTACTCGAGTCTTCTGGAAGTTGGGACTTTACATATGCTCTCAAGGAGGCTGAGATGGCTGCTTCAAAAGGCCAGATCGAGGCCGCTGATCACGTCTACGCCGAGATATGGCAACGCGTCAGTCAAGAATACCGTGATCACCACACTGATCTGTGGGCGGAGAGAAACTTGAGGGCGGTTCTTGGCTACGCGAGGTTTCTGCAGGCCAACAAGAGAAGCAACGAGTCTGCTGCCATACTCGCCAGTGTCTGGAAAGAGTATAGTCACTCGACCGTGGCGCTTACTGAAACCACGGCCTCGCTCCTCGCTCAAGTTGGTTGGACCATGAAGTCTGTTGGCATCGCTACAATGGCATTGAGCGTTTTCAAGCATTGCTCGGAATACTATAGTGCTACCAATCGAACTCAGTCGTCAACGTTCAGAGAGATTCAGCAAAGCATCCAGGAGACGTCACAAGAAGTACTAAAGATGGCAAACTCAAAGGACATGGTCATCTCTGAGGCCTCATTGGAAGAAACTGTAGTGCAGCTGTCCAATTCCTTTACAACCATGAATCATATGACGTTTGAGGTGACCCTCAGATTGACAAACCTGTACATCTCACAGCGCCGTTGGGAGGACGCAGCCCAGTTTATCAAGAAGGTCTTCCGCGTGGCATGGCCATCCCTGTTCAGTGGAAGCGCACAAGACGTTCTTCTCCCTACGGAACATACAGAGGGTTGCGTCGAGCTAGCTGAACGCTTGGCTGATTGTTACCGGTCGCCTCGACGTCGTGCCAAGGAGGAAGATATCCGTCTTCGCCTCTACCACTCACTGCGAGCCGGTCGCAAGATTGATGACAAGACCCGCGAACGTGCAACGAATGAGTTGCTTTCGTTGTACCTACGAACATCGCAGACAGAGTCCTTGATCTCCATCAAACAAGAAATGCTCGACGACCTCACCGCCCACTACCGCCCTGATCACCCCACGGTGGTGAAGTTGTTGTGGGAGCTGGCTGAATTAACGCACCCACAGCCCATTTACGTTGAGTACTATCAAAAGATCATCCATGCGCTCAACAAGGACGCCGAGGTTTGCACACCGGACGCTCTTCAGCCTGTAGTCATCGTGGCCCAGGAGCTCTGGCGCAGAGGCCGCCTATCGGACGCCTTGCCATACTACCGGACCCTCTTCCATACCTTCCTGAAGTCCTCCAAGACAAACTCGACATTCCAGAACCACAGCTTCGTCCGCGAATTCTTTGAGCAGTACATTAGCTGTCTACGCAACGTTCGAACGACATTCGCTGTGCTCAACAAGACTGCAACCGAGTATCAATCACGATGCAAGACGCTATATGGAGCCAGTACCGATGTTACTGTCTATGCAACCATGTTCCTGGCAAGACTTTGTCAAGAGTCAGAGGCAAACGAGAAGCGCGCCATCGAATTGTACGAAGAGCTCTTGGAGATGAAATCGTCCGAGATTGACAAGGAGGAAATCAAGGCTACACTGGAAAGAATCACCGAGGACCAGGTCAATACAATGACGACATCAGCTTCGACATCAATGACTGCCACACAAATGAGCCAAACGCAGATGGTACTTCGAAACCGCGCCACCAAGATACGCGAGACACACGGCTGGGCACATGAGGAGTCACTCTCTACCATGAACGAGCTGGTCAAGCTGTACACCAAGCAGCACGAAACCGAGACGATGCTCAATGAGCTCAAGAATACATCGGTCAATGTTCTCAAGCAGGAAACCTCGTCAGTACGGTTGATGGCCGCGGCCTCAGCCATTGCCAATAACTATGTCTCGACAAACCAGACCCAAAAGGCCCAGGAGCTGTTGGAAGAGATGCACCGCCAGATTGTGGTCAAGGACACATCAAACGCGAGGCAGTTTGGCTTTGACCTCTCCTCCAAAGGCCGTGAGAGCCTCGTATTCTTGGCCCAGATGGAGCACAGTCTGCGCCGCAATTCCAAGACACTTGCCGAGACACTGGCTACTTTGACGACTCAGTATTTCTACTTCCGGGAGTTCCGCAATGCCATTGAAGCCAAGTCGAGCAATTTCCTTCAGCTTTCGCTGGCAACAGCCCGTCTTCACCGCTATCTCACATCATGCAACCAGATAATGGCAGACCGATCAATCTTGGACCAGTTCTCCAAGTGGTTCATGAATACAGAGTCCAAGCGCCTCAATCTGAACATGGCTCCGCAGCAGACAAAGCTGCTCCTCGAGAATATCATGATGCACTTTGGAAGGTACACCTCTGACGACATGGTCCGATCCACCGCCATCATTGGTAATGAACAGGTTCCTCAGCTCATCGAGGCGGGGCAGTACAATGATGCTTGCGACCTGGCTACTGCCTGCTTCAAGTATGTCTCGGCCCATGAATCGTACCGTACTGTCAACATGGCCAAGATGATGTTGACAATGGGTATGGCCCTGGACGGACGAGATTCTAGCATGAAGCCCGACCAGATGGCGCGCAAGAGACTGGTCGAGACGTCAAAGATGATCATGCACGAGGTCCTCGGAACCATGAGCAAGCTGAACATTAACCTCGCCCTTATGGATTTGAAGCCTCTCAATCGACTCATCCGACTGCTGGGTGAGCAGGAGGACTACAAGACTTTGGCACTGCTCTTGACGACTCTATGGAAGAACCGTGAGGCCCAAGGCAACTGGCCACCGTCGGCAACGTTCAACCTGGCTCGCCGCACCATCTTGGCGCGCTACCTCGTCGGCGAGACCATGGCCGCCACGCGCATGGCCGAGCACATTGTCTACAACTGCCGCCGCGTCCACAGCGTGCACCATCCCGCCACGCTCGAAATGTCCATCCTACTGGCGCAGCTGTACTCGGGCATCGCACAGCGCTACCAGTCTGGCACCGTCGCCGGACACGGCGCGTCATCCACGGAGGCCAAGGACATGGCCAACCGGTACTACAAGAAGAGCGCGGCCATCCACGAGAACATTCTGCGCATCTTTAGCGACCCGGCGTACGCCAGCGTCGAGAGCAGCGCGCTCATGGAGGGCGGGATCCGACCGCGTTCCGGAAGCGTGAGCTCCGCGGCCGACGGCGTCGACTCGCCCGTCATGGCCGCGTTTGGCGAGTTCGCCGAGGACGCGCAGCAGGATCAGCTGTCGGACGGGGAGCACGTGCGCCAGCACCTGCGGCTGCTCAAGCTCTCGCTGGAGCGTCTCGGCGACTGGCCCAAGGATTACGCCGAGTACGAACACCTCAACTCGGAGGTCTTTCGCGAGTTTGGGTCCGACCTGGACGGCGTGCAGGGCGTTGATAAGTGGAATCTCAAGAGTTTTGGCAATGGCAAGGCCGAGTCCAATGATGATCTGATTAATGCTAGTCAATTGAAAACTTGGGAGCTGGTTGAGACGGCATGATTGACACCAAAAAAAAAAAAGGTAACGTCTAAGCAGGAAATTCACAAGGTAACTAACAACATAATATTCCACGCTCCTTTTATGCTATCTTAGTAGTTAGTTAATTGATTGATTAAATCAAGATGCATTTGTTGAAGCAATCCGCAAATTATGCTACCTGCACGATGATATGCCAATAAGAGGCCACCACACGCGGGGTTGTATATAATATCTACTTGTACGATACCCTGGTAAGCAGTCATTGGGGACAAAGACCTTGAGAATATCCAAGATCATAGAACACAAGCAACGTTTTGAGTATCGGTTCTCGCCTTTCGCCGATAATGATTACAAACATTTGCATCGATTTGTATCATGTATGGCTGAAATATTCCCCGTAACATGCTGTACTCAACTGTTCCTGGGGTTTCCAGCCACTGTTTTGTAGCGGGTTCACCATTATCAGCCAATCGGAAGAATTCATTAGCTGGAATAGACGCCGCTCTCGCAGCAGGCTTCCCTGTCTAGAGTCCGGACCAGCTACCGAAGACCTAAACTGTACGTGGTATAAATTCAAACGAAAATGTGACTCTTGCTTTGTTGTACACTTGAAATACGGACTGCGCATCTAATCACGACGCCTTTCTTCGGAAGAACTGGGAATTTAACAACAAAATAAGAAACGACATATCTCGCCGCGAATCTGTAACTGTGCACGATGGAAACCTTTAAAGAGATTTTTGCCGAGGTGACGGGGCCGCTGCTGTTCATGAGCGTCTCGCTGTCCTATGCGCCAAAGACAATTTTCGAAATCATCAAGTCGGGAGACTTTTGGAGGCTATGGTCACTGGACGGTTTCAAGGAAGCCTTGTTTGGGAACTTTTGGGCCGTCATGGGCCCCGAGGTCAAGGCCAATGGCCAGGAGCGCGTGATTCCTCTGCTCGAGGGTCGCATCTCTGGAGGGAGAGTGCACGACCGCCCGGTCGCGAGCCCCATTCATGGCACCGTGATAGAAGTCGGAGCAGGTAGCGGCATGTGGATGGATGTTTTGGGTCGATTTGTCGCCGGCGCAGCGAGCAGCACAAAATCTGCCGCCCAGATCACCAGGATTTACGGCGTCGAGCCCAACCCTAAATCCGCCGCGGCATTGCGACAGCGGGTCCAGGCGCTGGGCCTGGAGGACACCTACGAGGTCGTTCCGGTCGGCATCGAGTCCCTGAACCGGCCCGGGGTTTGGGCCGGCCACGTCGCTCCGGAAAGCGTCGACTGCATCGTCGGCGTCCTGTGTCTGTGCAGCATTCCTGACCCCGAGGAAAATATCAAGCACCTATATAAGCTGCTCAAGCCCGGGGGTCACTGGTATGTATACGAGCACGTCAAGGCCTCTCGGGGCGGTTTCTGGCACAGTCTATATCAACGTGAGTCCCTCATTCTCCGCCAAATACAACCTCGGTGCTAAGAAGGAATCCCAGGCATTTTAAGCTATCCATGGTCATTCTTTATTGGGTCTTGCCAAATTTGCCGCGACACTGAAAGTACTCTCCGGCTGGCCGGTCCGTGGAGAGAATTCGATATTGCTCAACCACCTAACGAAGGACCATATAACCTCCTACCTCATATCGTCGGTACATTGACCAAGTGAGACAGCAAAGATAGAGCAAATGGGTCGGGATATTTTCTGACAAAAGGACTTGGGAAAATCATTGGTCATGCCGCGACGATATTCTTTTAAGCATTATCCGTTCTGTGAGGCCAAGTTTTGTACCAGACTGTCCGTGCTCAACAACTGAGGCATATATCGAAAAGCACTAGGCTCAACAACTATCAAACGTCCCCGATGTACAATTTTCTGTTCTTACGGTGAAACACTGCGGTTCTTGTTTGTCCTGAACTATTGAATTCAGCTTTGCCTTTTGCCTAGTTCCTGGTCTAAGACTTCTCCAACTGAAACTTTTGAGATGGGTATCGCATGATGCTTTTGAGCTGCTCACTGATAACTGTCTCGTCATTGGCAGCATCTAGTGTCTTGCTATGCGTTCGTAGTAGTCAAGCGCAAACACTCAGGAATGGTGCAATTAGTTGTACACGGCAAATCTGTCTAGCCTTCATAAACGAATACAATAAATCTATAATGCTGCCCAGAAGGCGTTGATTCTGTTACTCAGTTTTGTTTCCTTCCTTTTTTTTTTTTTCGGACATCACAAATCTAGCCTCGCGCCAATGATGTCTAAGAAATCAGCGGACTTGTCACTTGTTTAGCTCTTCTATAGCCGCGGAACGCACCAGCCGACGGTTGTATGCCATACTACATTCTGCCTAGGGAGCCATCTCGCTAAAGCGGAAGTCTGTGCTTGTCTGTGCTTGAAGGGGAAGGTTCTTCCTTTGATCATCACCGAAGGCGTCAGTTTTGCATCTGTGAGTCGGGAATTCGCTGGTGGTCGTGTATCGGTCCATGCTGTATACACGCCATTTCACCAGGAGTCGGCCCAAGCAGACGACATCTGAATCAAGATTTGTACACATTGAACCGATATATGATTAATACTCCTCTACTTCCCTATTACCATTAGTTATAATTATTATTACTATTAGCTTGAATATGTCTACGACTGATAAGTCACGACCACTGAGTTATCAGTGGTTGACGAAGATGTCAATTGGGTTCCGGCGGAATCTTGGATATCCAGCATGTGGACACCCGAGAGCGTGACACTCCCACTGGTGCTGGTGCCCTGAACATCGCTGAAAGTGACGGTGCCAAAGTCGGCCAGGCCGTAAGTGCTCGAGTCAACAATCAAGTCCTCGACGATCCAGTCAATGGCAGTGCTGCAAAGGGCCACGGAATCCGACACGGTGTTGGTGTACGTCTGGCCGGTTCTCACATTCTCCATGACGATCTGGCCCGTCTTGTAGTCCCCGCCCGAGGTCATGTTGATGATGATGGTGTCGCCGGCCGTGACGCCGCCGAGGTCAATCTCGACCGTGGCCGACGGGTACCATTCGTACCAGGCGTAGTAGAAAGTTCCCGACGCGTCCACCCCGGCGTCGACACCGGCTTGCCAGAGGCCTCCATCACAGTTCTATGGTAACTTGAGTTAGTACTTGAGAGAATAGGCTTGTAAGTATGCAGCATGACTTACATAGCCGTCCATACCAATCCAGACTGAAGCTACATGTTCCTGAGCTGAAACCTGATTTCCATTGGTAGGAATCTTTGGCTCTGGCACCACAAAACTGCCAGAAACGCCGGTCATACCGGTACCAGTCACCACCGAGCCGGCCCAGGAATCGTTGTAGTCGACATAGGTAGATGCCTTTTGGGAAGTGGCAGGGTGCGATACGGTACTGTTCTTACTGCTTTCGGAAGCGGCGGCGGCAGAGGACGAATCGGATTCAGGGGCCGAAAGCAACGAGTCAAGAAGATCCAATGAGCCCGACGAGTAGATCAAACTGGCAGGAGAGTCTCGGAATTCGCCATGTCGCAGTGCTGTACGTCGGGCGTGACGTGCCCTCAAAGTCGACCGTGGTCTTGGTGATGGCGCGGCCAAGGCTGCAGCCACGAGAGCATTCACGACCGTCAGTGAGAGCCTCATTGTACTGTCAGAGGGGGACCAATATCGAGCAATTGATCGACCGGTGATCACTTCCGCGGGGGACAACGTATGTTTTTAAAAAAGCAATACTATTACTTATCGCCGGAACATTGCGCGCCAGAGAATCCGGGGAAAAGAGACATGGCACATCTGTATGAGGTTTCGGCTTTGAGTTCTATATACAAATTCCCAGCAAGTCTTGCAAGCATTCTCCGCTATTTCCCAATTCGCTCAGTCTTGATCCCAGAGGTACGTAATGTTCAATCTCGGGACCTTTGCATCCCACGGCAGGGGGCCGAGATGTAGTTTTGAAGATCGCGGTGAGCCAGCAAGACCCGCCGGCCAAGACGACTACCACGGATCCCAATTCACCACGGGGGGCGGAGGGGCGGGCATCGTTTAATGGCGCAGCCAAGCGCTGGACATATGAAGAAGAGTCCACAACCAGCCCCTATGAAAACCCATATAAGGCTTGTTCAAGATATAATTGACCAATGGGACACAGCAAACGTGGTCGGTAGGAGATGATCCGAGGCTACCGTGTGCACTGGACTTTGGTCAAAGGACGATGAATCATGACCTCGCTAGGTGAAATCTAGGCGTCAAAGGAAAATCTAATGAGGTTATCCCGCGACGCGCACACATTAAGCTATGCGGAGATGGACCCTGACATACATTACCTAAACAATCGTGAATGCCGTCGGCCAGGGCGAGCAACTGGGGGGTTGAAATGAAGATCTCAAGAGATCGTCGGTGCTATTGTAGCCCCGCTATCGCCGGAATTCTACCACGGTGGAGAAGAGGGTTTTTTTGTCCCTTCCAAACAAGTGGGTGCGGCCCATATCATTGGGACAAGATCCTCATCTCACGATTCATGACCCCTTCGCTCTCTTCTCTTTGAAGTTTTGTTTCAAAGGTGCCCTCTTTCAAAAAGAAACACGAAGGTATATGCCACCATTTGTTTGAGTTGCCTGTTCATTGCAACAAGGTTGTCGGGTGCTATATGTTCAGATGAATAGGAAAGCCGCAAATCGGGTCCATTATACAAACCGGGATTAGAGCCTCTTTTAAACACTAGATTATGACTAATAAGCCTTGCGTAGCGCATGGGACATTCGGTCGCTTCAAGTAGTATAGTAGGAACGATTAAAGAAGCGATTGACGGAGATTAGTTTGTTGTTGAATAGTACCTGAACAGTTGAGCGTGACAAGAAGAGATTCTCATCAGGGAGGACGCGCAGAGATCCGGAGATACGAACAACTTTGGTGTTCTTCCGACCTGGGCAAACCCCCCAAAGGCCGATGAATGTACAGCAAAAGAACCACTTACACTTGTCACAGCAGTCACCTGGCAGCAGGCCTGGGTCAATATCCCTACCCAGGTGCTCCAGCTCCATACTGGGGAACGCTGTCATTTGAGTCCTCCGCATTACTAGCAGCACGTGGGCAGTCAGGGACTCAGGGTGTTCCTCCAGGTGGGAACGAACCCTGGACTCCTGAAGCTTCACCTGCGGTACCTTGTCTTGCGCGTTCGCAATTTCCAAGGTATCGCACGCGTTATTTAGTTGCTGCTATCTTCTGCTTGGTGGATGTTTTTGATTTCTCATGGCAAGTATCCAACAGCACCTCATTGATGCATCATGCGCGGGGTATCTAGTCGTTTATTTCTTATCTTACAAATAGAGACGACTGGGAGTGCAAGTCTTGACTCTTGACTCTTGAGTCGTCGGGCCTCCGGCCTCTGCGAAATTGCGGGTTCGATATCGCCCAGGGGGGGCCCTAGCGGGCTTGGTTCTCGGAACGGCTCGGCAGGTACCTAAGGTAGCACTCAATGGTACGCAGGCGGTAGAAGGAGTTTAGTCGACACGTTTACTCTACAACAAAGATGGACTAGACTGTGTTATATTGCGTCTGTTATAATCCGGTCTGTCTTGATTTAGATGTTTTCTTGATAACGACAACCGTTTTCGCGAAGAAGGAGAAAAAGAAACGTGGAGTCGGATTTTCAAAGTCGAGTGGGCAAAGCACGGAAAAGAGGTTGATGCCCGCTATTGTTCACCGCAACTAAGCGGTCCAGTTGGACATACATGAATGTCGCGCGACATTGCCCTTTTGAGACCATTGTGACCATAGTTCAAGCAGCACTTCAAGCAGCACTTCAAGGCGACACCTTCGAGTCGATGGATATATCGATAGGGCAAACAAAACATACTATGTAGACAGGTACCTGGCTATTCATGCAAGCCATTTTTAGCACGAGGATCCCTCCTATTCATGATATGGCCAGAATCGGGCGCAAAGGAATGCAAGATCTCGTATCGCAAATTTTAGGCTGCAGCTGAACGTGATGGGCATCCAACACGCAGGAAGGATTGAGCGAGTCGCCGGTGAGAGCACATGGCGGTAAGAAATGCAAGCAGCTTCGCTTTCGTTGCCGCACACAGGGGGGGAGGAGGAGGAGGAGGGGGCCGTCGAAAGAGAGAGAGAAGGGAATTTTATTCTGGGTTCTTGTTAGCTATCGAAGATAAACCTGGATGATTCAGCCACAGCTTTTTGGGCGAGGAGGGAAGGGCGCGACAGGGTTTGCTTGGTAAAGGTGTAGCACTTTGGGCGCTCGCCTAAAGCGCCGCTCTCCTCATCTCCATCCTGTACTACTGTAATGCAGGTACATTCGCCTATGAGTAGCCGCAACGTAGCCTCCTTGGTATGTAGTATACTACTGCTACTACGAGTACTGATGAACGTGATGGCTAGCAGCTAGACACACTACTATGTATTTTAACGACGCAGCCGCACGAACCCTCCGCTTGTCAGCGATGCAACCTCACCCACGACCAACCGGAGAGTTGCCCTGTAAGCGATGCAGCCCCGTATAGTTTGTTGTTGGGCTTACGCGTTCGTTCTCGCTTGCCCGGCAGTGCCCCAATAACAAGACAGACAGCGTTCATACCAACATGGCGTACATGGCGCACCGCAACTCACGTGGTGGCTTGTTTCCAGGAAAAATGAAACGAAACCTTACCAACGTCGCATTGTTCTCTAGTTCTATCGGGCGGCTCTGCGCTGTCTAATATACACTTAATCTACATCCCTACGCATTTATACCGAGGAGCACTATAAATTTTTTTAAGGTTAACCCCGTTGGTCTGGAAACTTGGTCATGGTATCCCAACAACAAGCTGGGTAACCTTGCGACAAAAGATCAAGGCGGCCGCCGACCTGGTTTTCGAGGATGCAACGCGCTGCCATTTGGGCCCTGTTCGCTTGTTTCCCTTGCCCGAATCGCCCGCTGACAAACTGTTTATTTTGCAGCCAAGAAAATTGGAATAGGAAAAATTGGCCCAGGGCTGAATCTGGGGTTTTACTCCAACTTATTCCTGATCAAGCTTTATTTTTTGCCAAGGACGGCTCACGGCTCGGTCAATATTCATGCCGCACTCCTTGGGGAGCGCTGGGTGGGAGGGTGTAAGCAACCAATAAACATGACCGAGTCTGCATCGCGGATTGGCCGGCTGCTATCTGAACGAATAGTGCATCATTGTCTTACCTGAGGCTCCTGGGCCTGGGATAGGGAAGACGGTTTCAACGCATGTGCAATGTGCGGTGATTGGCGCGCGATCCGAGCCCACCGCCCACGCACGTCTTGGCGGAATCCAGATTATAGGGAAACTATTCTCGTTACGCAGAATCGAATCAATCGATACGACCCAAACCCCCCTGCGACAATCCCCGGTTGCTGTGAACCGAGAACCTTACTCTCAAGCTCAATCCATGATGTCTTCTTCGTAAGCAGACTGCCGCGCGGAACACGATTACCAAATACCCAGGGGTCCGCAGATATTGATGCAGAAGCGCTTTTCTTGCCAAGAGGAGACACGAAACATCAGGGAACAACTATTGGCTGAGCTTAATGCAACTTCGGCTTGAGCCGTATGCTTTATTATATGGCTATTTGCGGTACCTGCGTCGCCCAGTCGCCTTTTGCTTCCCAGCCAGTTTTTTTAAAATTCAATGTCCTGATACCGTCACATTGCATTTCATAAGCGAGTAGAGTCTTTTGTCGGAGCCGAAGCCACAAGACCAAAGCTGCCAATTAAATCCGATATGTGAGGAGAGATACTCGGAAGAAGTTCCGAGGCGGTGCACTTGTTGCTGAACAGTAAGAAGCTGATATCTCTGTACGTAGTCTTTTTTTTGTAAGGGGGGTGGCTAAAATCTCAATCTGGTGGCTTTCTCAACCTAACTTGACAGAGTCGAAGGATTTACGGCTCAGGAACTTTTCTTTTTCAGCTCCTAGTATTTCTTATGTCATCTCTTCTGGATTTCATTCCCCCTATTATGTGTCACCATTGAGGCAAAGGTAATGCATTCACGCATGTTGGGAAGTGGTCCGTTCAGAGGTAGCAAAGAAAACTAATGCATGACATCCTCGTCGTTTATTTCTTTGTCAGACTGCACGGTTCCTCCTCATAATCCAAAAAGCCAAGAGACAAGCTTAACTCCTAGGCAACGATGGCATCTGATTTGCTTCTACTCTCGGGGATGCATCCCGAGGCTGGCCGAGAACTGTTTCGCCCAACGTCCTTGCATAGAAACAGGCACACTGTCGCCTAGTCACACGAACGCCACATCTGACCGACCAGTATAGTCATCGCCTGATATGCCTTATTGGGACTTGAGAGTAAAAGGTTTGTCAGGATGACTCTATCTCCGTGCAGGGAGAAGAGTCAATAATTGGGAGCAACGTACGCGTCCCTGGTCAGGGGCTAGGTTGACTCGATGGACGTGGACGTTGGTGACCACCAAGAATGCTTCCTATTCCTTTCTCTTGCACCAGTATCGTGAAGTATTGCAATGGCGAAGTCGGTCCGCTTGCCGAAGAGCCCAGGCAGGCTCATCTTCATCAGGTATGGACTTCATGGCCTCTGAAAAGTATAAAGATCATAGGTATCGCCGATAGTTTTGGAGGATTCTATCTACATCTCAGACAACAACAGCAGCCTCATCTCTTCAACTGCCTCCTTCGTCACTCTTTCTTCTCACCTTCTTTCTGGTTGGCTTTCAACCGATACATTCTTTACTTGAACTTCAACTCACTCATTGATTCCTAATCTTTGTTTGAAATGGTCGGGTTTTTCTCAGGCGTAGCTGCCTTCCTGCTCCCTGCCACGGCATACGGCCTTGCCTTTCCCACTCCGGACGATCTTGGTCTCAGTCTTGAGCCTCGTCAGACCGTCTGCGAGAACTCGGCTTCTTCACGAAGCTGCTGGAGCAATGGCTTCGACATCAACACGGACTTTTACACCGTGACACCTGATACTGGCGTGACCCGCGAGTATTGGCTCTCCATCGAGTCAGCCCCCTGTGCTCCAGATGGTGTGAACCGTACCTGCATGACATTCAACGGCACGGTTCCTGGCCCTCTCATCACGGCTGATTGGGGTGACAACCTGATTGTGCATGTCACGAACAACCTTCCTGACAATGGCACAACCATCCACTGGCATGGTATTCGTCAACTCAACTCTTCCTTGATGGATGGTGTTCCTGGTGTCACTCAGTGCCCAATTGCCCCTGGCGATAGCATGACATACGACTTCCAGGTGACTCAGTATGGTAGCACCTGGTACCACAGTCACTTTACGCTTCAGTACGCCGAGGGTCTCTTTGGGCCCATGATCATCAATGGCCCAGCTTCATCTGACTACGACGAAGATCTCGGTGTCCTATTCCTGTCGGACTGGTCCCATACTAATGCCTTTACCTTGTGGGGACGATCTCCTGGCACCCCATTCACTCTCGACAACACTCTTCTCAACGGAACCAACACTTTCAACTCCTCTGATGGAGTTGTGACCGGCTCCAAGTATGAGATGGTTGTCGAAGCTGGCAAGAAGTACCGTGTCCGTCTGCTCAACAACGCCATTGACGGTGTCTTTGACTTCCACATTGATGGCCACACCTTTACCGTCATCTCCACCGACCTGGTCCCAATTGTGCCTTTTGAGACGGATCACATTCAAGTCCACATTGGCCAGCGCTACGATATCATTGTCGAGGCCAACGCTACTCCCGGTGACTACTGGATTCGTGGCGGTTGGAATGTGCAGTGTGCCAACATTGGTAACAATGGCGACGCCTCGGGCGACTCCACTGGTATCCTCCGCTATGACTCGACCAGCACCTCGGACCCCACGACCTCGGACACCATTGGAGTCCAGGACACCTGCTATGATCAGAACTCTACTACTCTGGTCCCCGTTGTTGGCGTCGACGTGACTGATGCAAACCTTGAGATCGTGACCGAGGATCTTGGCTTCAGCACCAGCATCAAGGGCTATCTCACCTGGACCCTGAACGACAGCACTCTGTACCTCGACTGGAACAACCCAACTCTGAAGCAGGTCCACGACGGCAACTCTTCCTACGCCGCCGAGCAAAACGTTGTCCAAGTCGGCCAAGGCTTCGAAGCCGACCAGTGGGTCGTCCTCGTCATCGATTCATCGCAGACCATTATTGGAATTAACCACCCCATCCATCTTCACGGTCGTGAGTATACCCCATTTTCGTCCTGTCACGGGTCCATGACTGGAATAGAAGCTAACATTGTCTTTCCTCACTAGACGACTTTTTCATCCTGGCTCAGGAACCCAACTTGCAGTTTGACGGCACGACCTCGACCTTCAACACGGTCAACCCTCCCCGCCGTGACGTCGCGGTGCTGCCGGCCAAGGGCTACCTGGCCATTGCCTTCCAGCTCGACAACCCCGGCGCCTGGATCGTCCACTGCCACATTGCCTGGCACGCCAGCGAGGGTCTCGCCATGCAGTTTGTCGAGTCCCCCGGTAACATTCTGACCAGCGGTGCCATTGGCGTCTGGGACACTGCCACCGACAATGGTGGTCAGACGTGCACCAACTGGAACGACTACATTCCCGGCCAAGTCTGGGAGCAGGATGACTCGGGCATCTAAAGTCGCCTCGCCTTTTGGGGTGTTCCGGCACCCCCAATTCGACCTTGAACATGATCGCTTCCCTTCTTCCCTTCTTTACTAGTACATATTGATGCATATTCTTCTTGCCGGGTCTATCCTTGGATACCAGGCCTCTATTGGTTCGGTTCGATTCAATTGTCCATAGTTGATTCTGGCGCAGCTTCTTTTCAAGACACGAACTCGACAAGTTGCTGCACCACGAATGGAGGAGAAAGTTGTTGCTGAGGAGGCTGCATGCTGCTTTTCAATGCCTGTTTACTGGTTCATATCTCCTACTCCGACTGTATATAGTCTCTACCCTCCGTACATAAGTGTTTACATAGTCATAATCACATTCCTTTGCATGAAAATCTTTTCTCTCCATTGATTGATGAATACTCGTTCGCATTTGCTGTGATTGCTATTGAATTTTCCACTGATTCAGATTTCTGGGGCGTACCTGTCGATGCGGCTCATTGGGGATGGCCTTTTCCAAACCCCTGGCGCCATCATGTCCACCATCTTTCAGTGCTGACACGATCTGAGTGCTGGCACGATCTGCACATGGGTCTTTTGCCCTCGGTTCAGCCACATGCCAATCTTTTTCTAAATTTTTTCCAAAGGATGGTGGCACAGAAGATTACCTACCAAGATCTGGTCGACGGCGCAGGGCATATTCTAAGCGCCAAGAGTATATACGAAACAAGCATAAGTTCTATTGGTGGAATCCTATACTTACCACAATCGGCGATCCTCGCGCCCCTTTATTGCCCATAGGCTTCGTTAAAGGTGGGGGCAATGCAGTGTAGCCGCACCTTATATTGTGTGGTACCTGCATTGATTACGCAACTTGATTGTATGATCCGGGGTAGCGGAACTTGTAGAATATTCTTTCAGCAGACGACGAACAGCATCTAGGATAATATCATGGAGATCTCGGTCTCAATTGACACTTAAGTAAAAGTCTTTGAAATGAAGTTATAAATATGCTCATAGTCTATGCGCTACGGTAATGTTGGCAAGGTACCATGTGTTTTCCTAATTGACTTGTAGTAAGCGAGTCTCTTAATCATGATGTTGCCGAATCTTCGCTTGGTCGCTTGCGTAGCAGGACTCGCCTGTCTCGCATCAGCCGCCAGTGCAGCACCCTCGATCACCGCCGATAAACGGGTTTACACCTGTACCATTGAGGCCAATGGAGATGGGTCTGATGACGCTCCCGCCATTCGCGACGCCTTTACCGAATGTCAAAGCAATGCTCGCATAGTCTTTCAGAATACCACCTACTACATCAATAGTCCTTTGAACACAACCACATTGTCAAATGTCGATATTGACATTTATGGCTATCTACTTGTATGTTGCAAGCGAGATTCGTTTGAACCCTTTTCCGTACCAAAGTTGACGACCATTATTTTATGTAGTGGAGTAATGATACAAGCTATTGGCTTGACCATTCCATGCCCATTGGCTACCAGAACCAATCGACCGTGTGGTTTCTGGGCGGTCAAAACATTAATGTCAATGGATACGGCTCGGGCACATTTGACGGGAATGGGCAGGTTGTAAGTACACAGTCTGCCAATGTAGACCAGCTCTCGCCGTACTGACCCTCACAGTGGTATGACCTTGTCAAGGGCGAATCCAATTATCCAAGTAAGCCCCTGAGTCTGATGCACCTGAACCATTTCTCTGACAATGTACATTAGAAAGGCCGATGGGCTTGACCATTTGGGGTGCTTCCGACTCTTCCTTTAAAAGACTGAATTTCGTTCAGAGCCAAATGTGGTAAGCCGCGTCACATTTGGGATAGATTACCCGGTAGCCATTAAAAAATGATTACAGGACAATGACCATTATACACTCGAACAATGTGTTGATGGAAGATATATACGTCAACTCGACCAGCCACAGTGGAAATCCGGCGCGCAACACGGATGGACTCGACACGCTGTTTTCCGACAATATTGTCCTGCGGCGGTGGCTCGTCGATAATGGCGACGACGCCATCAGCCTCAAGGCCAACTCCACCAATGTTTTACTCGAGGACAGCGTCTTTAGAAGAGGACAAGGCTTCGCCCTGGGCAGTATTGGTCAGTACGTTGGGGCATTTGAGACGATTGAAAACGTCACGGTGCGCAACGTCAGTATGATCAATACCAACTTTGCCGTCAATGTCAAGACGTGGACTGGCGATCGAGTCAACTATCCGCCCAATGGAGGTGGCGGTGGGCTAGGATGTAAGTAGCGCAATGTTTGTGATGCCCGAATCTAGCCGCAATGGCTGATATTCCTCCTTACAGATCTTAAAAATGTCACGATTCAGGATCTCACCTTGAACCGAGTACGAAGTTTCGCAGTTAATGTCGGTCAGTGTACATCATATTCGGGCGGTTCCCCCGACTGCAATAGCTCGCTCTTTCACATTGGCAACATTACCTTTGACAACATCACCGGTGATATCGCCGGTAAGTATGTGGGCAATTTGCAGTGTAGCGAGGATGCTGGTGGGTGTGATGCAATTGAGTTTACGGATATCGACTTGACCAAGACTTCGGACGATACCGTGGTGGATGACTACAAATGTAGTAACGTGGTCGACCCAATTGGATTTGAATGTTAAAAAGGCGCTTGGATTTTATATTCTTCTTTTTTGTAGGATATTTTCAATACATATAATCTCACCTCTTAACTCAAGGCCACCAAACTTCCCTTGTAATTGGTGTGGTATAAGTGGTATAACACATTCGCTCAAAGCTGGTTGGAACCCTTGCTGGTATCTCCACCATACGTGGCTAAAGTCAACATGCATTTGACACTGAGTTAAGAATAATGTACCTACACCTGGTTGTCGACAGATCTTGTTGAAATAAAGTGCAAAATAAATTGTTTGCATTGCAAGTAGGTACCACGCCATTAGACTTTTTGGCAGCTGGCAGCGTAGTGCTTCAGAATTTGGTTCAAAAATGAAACACGAGTTGTTCATTCTCGATTGAGTTGCACGGAGCATTTCATGACGTCATTCACGCATCTCGAGACCAGCACTTCAAGCTCTACCCAACTACCTAGTAGAGCTTCCACACAATAGATTGCATTCTGCCCTCCAGCCCAGGCAACATTACAGATAGAATGTTCGGAACTGTTGAGTAAATTATACAACACAGAAATCAGCCATCCAAGCATCAGAAGGCAATTGCAGCAACATTTCTTGGGCCAGTCCACGAATCCCCTTCGAACTCACTCGCAAACTCATAGCGGGGCAGGCTCTCATTGACACTATGGCTGGCAAAGACGAGCCAAAGACCATGCGAGCATGGCTGTATAGTTCTGTCGCAGGAGGACTTGAGAAGAACTTGAAGCTCTCCGAGGCTACAGTCAAGCCTGTGGCCAAGGACCAAATACTGGTCAAGGTCCACAGCACCTCGGTAAACCCGGTTGACTACAAGGTAGGTTGGCAGCTTTCTTTTCCCATTTGAGCGTTTCCAGTCTTCTATCGGGGACGATCTGAAGCTCCAATTCCAAGCACTCACATTTGTTTTGAAGATCCCTGAATTGGGCATGTTGGCCCGGTTCATGGTCGCAATGCCGGCCGCGCCGGGCGGTGACTTTGCCGGCACAATCGCCGAGGTCGGTGAAGGCATTAAATCTGCCGATGCATTCCGTGTCGGCGAGAAAGTTTTTGGCAACGTCGCTCCTCAGCAGTACGGCACCTTTGCAGAGTATATAGTCGTCAAGCCGGAAAACATCGCCAGCCTGCCAGACGGCGTCAGCGAGGCAGATGCCAGCTGTGTCGGCACTGCGGGCCTGACGGCGTACCAGAGCATTGTTCCGCACGTCAAGTCTGGCGACAAGGTCTTCATCAATGGTGGATCCGGAGGTACCGGCACCTTTGGAATCCAGATGGCAAAGGCTGTCGGCTGCCATGTCACCACGAGCTGTTCTAGCAAGAACGTCGAGCTGGTCAAGGGACTTGGGGCCGACGACGTGATCGATTATACCAAAGAGAATGTGAGTGAGGTATTGAAATCCAGAGGTCAGATCTTCAACCATGTGGTCGACAATGTGGGATCCCCAAGTGATCTTTTCAAGGCGGCAGACCACTATCTCGTGCCCAGTGGAAAGTTCATGCAGGTCGGCGGTGAAATGTCACTCGGGTCAATGAAGTCCATGGCTTCGCGAGCAATTCTTCCCTCGTTCTTGGGCGGAGGAAGCCGGAGCTGGCAGTTCATGATGATGAAGGTCAATCACGATGATTATGTCCAGATTGGAAAGTTGATGAAGGAAGGCAAGGTCAAACCTGTGATCGAGGAGACAATTGACTATCAGAATGCACCCAAGGCCATTGAAAGAATCAAGTCGGGTCGCACTAGAGGCAAAGTCGTTGTCCAACATTCCAACTAGACGAATGAAGGTTGAATACTGGTGCTCGATAGGTCACCTGAAGTTTCAGCTATACACTCGTGGACATGCAGCATCTTGGAGCAGCTACCAGCTGCAGATAGCGCTCAATTGATCTTTTCATGATGAAAAATACTTTGAAGACCAATTGGTTGATTCTCAATGTACGGTGAGCTAACCTTGGCAGGTCCAGAGCGTACGAGAAGGAACCGAGCTGAGGCGGATGCACTTGTCACAGATCTTTAGCCATACTTGAGAGTCTAGAAATGAAAACAAGTCAAGTGACTGACTACAGGCGAAATGGTTCCTGAAGTGTACGCCGAAAATGGCTAGTATGCCGTTTTACAATGTTGTCGTTTAGGGCATGGTAGATGTGTCTGTTTGGCACCTTGGCTAGCGGATGCCCGACCACTAGGTAGGTAAATACCGGTCACATGTGGGAGTATACTGGGATCAATACAAGCTGATGAAGCTATACCCAGCCCATACCGCCTTTGCATACCAATACACAGTACGTGGCTGACTGATTCCTCATGATGTGTCAGCAGGCAGATTTGCAATTTTTAGTCTCTCGTGTCGCGATATGTTGCTACGGAGATCGCGAGAACCACGTGATAGCACCTAATTGATCCATGACCAACAATTTTGAGCACATGGGTTGTATACTACTTTTTTTTTTTTTCTTTTGAGTCCGCTTTCTGGTCTCCACCTTCAATGATGATTTCATAATCATGAACATGACCTCGTTGCCTGATCCCGGAACAGGGAGAGAAGAGAAAGAGAAAGAGAAAAAAAAAAAAAAACTGGAATCGGAATCGACAGCTAGTGAAAAACGGTTCCACTATTGCAACGATCATCTCAACAGGTGAAGCAGTCTCGGCAGTGCAGCATCGACTTATTGGAAGAACCAAGCCAAGATCAAAGTAATGCAAAGAATCATACAACCAATTGGCCGATCAAAGCCGCTTGTTTCGTGGTTGAGGAAAGCATAGCAATACCTCATGATCATACTCATAGTATGTGAGCCTAGTACAGCTTTGGGTCTCCTGGTTGCCTCGTCAGTTGGAACCTATCCGCCAGCGGAAGCAGCCCAGCTGCCACGGGGGCTGAACTGTTGGATCTCAGCGCCGCTGCGGTCCGGCAGCACACAAGCCAACTTTCAGCATTTCCAGCCAAACGAAGCGCTGTTAACTCTTGATGCACATGCTGAGTCATTGACAATTCTTGTTTCGGCGCCCGGCGAACATGCGGAACCCTAAAATTTTACACTGCACCTCAATGACCGACAGCATTAATTCTGCGCAATTCTAGACGTTCTTTTTGGGAAGGGAAAACTTTTTTTTTTCTCTATTGAGTCTCCAGTGGACCGCGGCTGGCTTCGGCCCTTTGAAGCTGCTCGCGAAGCCATGTACAGCCATAACTAGTTATAACGATAATATATTTGCAGAGCATATTATCGTTACACAGCGAAATCCTTATAAAAAGAGTGGGGATTCTCGGAAGACCCTAGTTCTCTAGCTCTCAATTGGTTAATTTTCTATGGTGACCCTCCTAAAACACCTCGGAATAGCGATTTTGCCCCATAAAAACCACGAAACCCACCCGCATTTATAACGATATATATACAAAATTTCCTGGGATATTATCGTATATCACAATAGCCCAAATTCTATGTATTTTATCACTATTTTGCTAACAAATTTTCATTTGTACGGATGCTGATCGTTATACCCTAGTAAATCGTTACAACCCTGTATTTTAATAACGAGTCTTGGTTGTACACTAGAAGCCGAGACACCCAAATTTTCGGGCCCTTGTCCATGGACGGGAGATCAACTCAGGGTGACACCTTACTCCAAGGGGCAAGGCCAGACGAGCTACAGGATGTTTGGCGCCAAGCACTGGAGGGGCAACAGATGGAGAAGAAGAAAAAAAGCTCTTTAGTTGTCCTTGTTTTGGTTTCGGTGTGACCAGAATCAAAGAAGAAGGGGAAAAACCAAGACTGGTACGACTCGTAACGCCCATCTGCCATCAAGGTCAATCATTTGGTGTGTAGGTCACAACTCCAGCTTACTATGATGGCTTGATGCGTAAAGCCAAGCCTGAAACACCGCTGAGTTCCAATTCCGCGGAGACGTTCATCGTGCAGACCTGTTGTGTCACCAGGCCACATGTGCCGCTGAGCAAGCATTTGATTTGGCATGTTGAGTGCATGTTGGTCGAGACCTTTTGCTTGGAACTCAGGAGTCAAAGCAAGGCACTCTGCCGTCTACCGCTTTTTTTGTTCCACGCACACAGAAAAAGCTTCCATGGTAAATTTCTCTGGCTTGGTCATTGCAAAAGCCAGAAGCCTGCCCCTTCGTGGAATCCGAGCCAATCACCCGCCCTGGCCGCTTCAGCTATTGGATCACAGCCGACCTTGTACCTGGCTCTGAGCTTCTTCCGCCCAGCCAAAAGCCAGTCAAAGCCAGCACATGGCGCAATGGAGAAGCGAACGATGGGGTAACTTTTAGGTACAGAAAATATCGTCTATTGGATATGGCCATGGCCTCATGACGGGCGCTTCAAACGCAATTTGGTTCGGCATGGTTTTGTTACCTAATAGTAGCCACCCGACCCATCACGCGCTACCCCAGATTTCGCTACGATGCCGTTAACTGCAAAGCGCCTTACGAGGTCGGATCTGCCAAGGATGAGAAATCCGTCCATCCTGGCCTGCAAATTTTCCCATCCGCGGCACCGACAAGCCCTGAACCGACCATTCTATGTACTGTCACGACTCCTTCGAGGCCCCCTTCCTGACCAAAATAGGCACTTCCATGCCGGCCAACTCATAGCCGGCTGCTGAGCGCTGCAAAGCTTGCAAGCCTTCCCCAGATTTTTTGGTCGTCGGAACTCACCTAGACCGTACACTACAGGGGCCCCCCTTTTCTTCTTTGTTTCGTGACCGTCGTCACAAAATTTTCCTTTCAACTCGCGTCATATGTTCCTATTTTGACTGGGTACGTAGCTACGTACTGGCACAAGTCTCACTAATTTCTTCTGTCGGACTTGTGCCCGGGCGGTTGGATCAGGTCAGCTTGGAGCTTCTAGCAAATGACTCCCAGAACCATGTATTACCATGACACATCGTAACAAAAGCAATGTCCGTTCATGTCACGATGCTTATATTAAGCCCTCCCCTCGTTTCCAGGCCACACAATTCCAGTGAACCTCATAATTCCCACGTTTCATAATATAAGCATCCGGTAAACTCAAAAGTCTTTAGGCCAGGTCCTGTGTTCCTGTCTTATATCAGATCTTACTCCAACCAAACAACCACCAAAACACCACCAACAATCACATTAACAACAACAAAAACAATATTAGCCATGTCATCATTCACTGTGACTGAGCCCCACCCCACCGTGGCCCAAGGATCTCTTGTGCGGGTGGGCAGAGGAGGATATGCCAACCACGTCCGCGCGCCCTTGACCACACCGGCCACTGGTGTTCCCTCAGTCAGCAAGCCGATGCCCCCCAGCACCGACAGGAAGATTCGTACTGGAAGAGGTGGTTTCGCCAACCTTCACTCTGCTTCGGACCTCCCTCCCGTCTCATTCGATGAGCAGTACAAGCTGCAGAGCCACATTGAGGACAGCTCAACCAAGGTCCTCGGCGCCAGGGGCGGCTGGGGAAACATTGCCAAGGACAGCAAGACTTCTTCGAGCCAGCGCAAGTCCAGCGATGCTAGCAGCCAGCACAGCGGCAGCAGCTCTGGCAGCACCAGCAGCGTGCGATCGGGATTCCTGAAGCGCCTGACCAGCATCAGCTCCAAGGGACCCAACCCATGAACACGTCTCTTGAGAGATCTACGGCACCAATTTTCATCTTTCATTTCACACAAATCTTCTCTCTTCTCTCATCAGCACGGCGTATTGGATTATCAAAACAAAGCACAACAAAAAAGGGGCGACGAAAGGTGACCTACGGGGCCTCAGAGCAAACGGAGTCAAGTGAATAGGACGGTATTACAAACCCACGACACAAATTTTCGAACCAAAGCGACATCATCGGTTTATCTCGATTTTCAACAGCGAGCGGTGAATTTATACATGGTACACGATCGTGTCGCCCCTGGCTGGCAGATTCCAGGGGATATATTGAAATGGGAAAGCATAACCAAAAAAGGCATTTGACAAGCGGGCGTTTGTTTCTGGTGAAATTTTTTTGGTCTGGCGAGACGATGCGGATATACCCCCAACATAGCAAGCGATTGGTTTTTATTTCATATGACTATCTTGTACAAGTCCCTATTGTATTGGACTTTGCAGAATGGTCGGTTTAGGTGGATCTTACTCAGTAACTACAGAGTTGGAATTGAATGAATCTAAATCAAAATCCCTCATCCCTTGCATTCGGTGAAATATCATACATGTTCCTTGATTCCTAAGCCATCGATTATACGAGTATATGGCCAATTGACTGCGAGATCATACGGGCAATCGTATGATCGTCCCATGCAGAGATGGCAGTTGGATGGTGACTTCTCCGCTTTTCTTTATATACGTCTACGTGTATCCGACTGCGACCATGTTTCCAACAAAGCCACCCATCGCCTACTACATAGTACAACTTCAAGTCTCGCGAAAAAAAAAAAAAAAAAAAAAAAAAGACTCTCTTCACCAAGGTACTTTCGTTCTCTAGAAAGCTAGCCAACACTACCAAGGGGGGAAAAATAAATCAAGTCTCATGACTTCCCCATCCCGTCAACTTTCTCCAGCAATAATGTGAATCAATTCTGTTTTCCCCCGCCAGTTCCCACCCCTCCTGTGCACGAGCGGACTCTTCCCCCCTTTCTTTCTACCCCATTTTGAGTGATTTCATAACCAAAAGCCCACCACTGAGCCTCAAAGTACGGGGTAAAATAGAAAATCTGCACGGATCAATAAAGGGAAATAAGGATGGGGCCTACTCTGTACTATTTTTTTGCATTGCTCGCATATTTGCGGTCCAGCCGGCAAAACGGTACGTATCTACAAGTACCACGTACATGCCATGCATTCGGCTTCGCTGCTTCTAGAAGGGAGACTTGGAATTCTTGGGCCCATCCATATCCGAGAATCTTCTTCTTGTTGTTCTCCGTATTCTTCATTACAAGGGTAGCATCGCGACGTCACTCACGAACTAGAACCTCGATTCGACGCGAATTCACAAAAATCATAAGGCTTTTTATATGTATAGTAATCCAATATATACAGTAATTTTAGTCGCGGGCTATCCCTCCAGGTTCTCCGTGTGCACTTTCACGAAAAAGCTCTTGTGAGATTCTTACACTTGATATAAGAATCCCGCCAATCATGAAGCCCTCCTAGTACCAGAGAGCCTTGTTCCAGTAAACCACCTTTTCAATGGCCAGGTCGTCGTCCTGCGTGTACATGGTGGTGTTGAAGACGAGCTCGGTACCAACCTCGGACTCATTGTAGCGAGGCCAGTAGAGCTTGTCGTCGGCCCACTGCGCATTGGGGTCGCCGTTGAGGATAAAGGACAGCAGGTACTTTTGCATGGTGACGGCAATGGTGGCATTGACGCTCGAGCTGCCTCCGCCCATGCCACCGCTGCTGCTGCCGCCGGGACCTCCCGAGGTCGAGTTGCCCGCCGAGGTGCCCGTTGCCGAGGGCGCGGCTGATGTGGCCGTGGCAACGTCGCTGACGGCGGCGCTGCTGGTGGTGGTGGTGGTGCTGTCGTCGGATGAGGAAGTGTCCAGAGTATAGGTGCTATACCAGTAGTAGGATTGATCGGTCTAAGAAAGAGGGAAAAAGTCAGCACTGAAGTCTCCTTGGATTGGATCAAGAGGGGAAGGCAGTTGATACTGTATACTTACACCGTGAGTAGCGCTGTCGAGAGCAACCATGGCGTTCCAGGTCTGGTTCTTCATGGCATTGGTGAGCGCCAGGTTGTGGGCCGTCAGGTCAAAGTGCTGCTTCATGTCCGAGAAGCGCAGGCCGGGACTCTCGTAGTCGTCGGCGGGGTAGTAGGCCAGGAGCTGGTCGACAACGTCGTCGGCAACGGCTGGGAAGAAGAGGCGCAGCTCGGCGGCCACGTCGTCGTCCGTGTCGACGCCCGAGTACGCCTGGCCATTGGCCTCGTGCTGCTCGTGCGTCGCCACCACCGGGCCAGTAAAGTTGAAGCGGCCCTGGTAGAATTGCGCCTCGTACGTGTCGGCAATGATGAGGCCGTCCACGCGCGGCTGGAACTGGTACGAGTAGTTGGACTGGACCGTGCTGGCGGCGTCGGTCAAGGTGTCAAAGTCCACGGCGCGCATGCAGGTAATATCACCACCCGTGCAGCCGACGGCGGTAGACACGTTCTGCCAGAACATCTCGGCCTGGTGATGACCGGCGCCCGGGACGAAGCCTGGGGACATGACGTAGGCTTTGTGGAAGAGCTGCTCAGCACGGCCCGCGAATCGCGTCATCTGGAACAACACCTGGGAGGCACCGGCCGAGAAGCCGATGGCAGTCACGTCGCTTGGATTTCCACCAAAGTTGCTAATGTACTTTTGAACCCACTCAAAGGCGTGGCTCACGTCCCAGATGGCCGTGTTGGCGATACCTCCTTGGTGGTTGTAAGTAGGACCGTTGGCGAGGCCGGTCAGACCCAGACGGTAGTTGTACGAGACAAAGACGAAGTCGGTGCTGAGATCGAACAGTCCCTCGGGTGTGTTTTCGGCCTTGGATCCGCCAGTGAAACCTCCTCCGTACGTCCACACCACCACGGGCAAATCCCGACCCACAGCGTCCGCCGGAGCCCAAACATCGAGGTAGAGGCAGTCTTCGGAAGAGGAACAGGCTACATCGGCATCTGCGAGACTGCCCGTGTTGACTTCGGTCTCCTGAGGCGGCCACTGGGGAGCGGCCCAACGAAGGTCGCCGGTAGGCACGGCGGCGAAGCGAATGTTCTGGTACTTGTAGTATCCTACGGTCGTGTTTCCACCGACAGCCTGGATGGTGCTATAGTCGAGAGTGACCGTCGGAAGATCGCCAGTCGTGGCAGTAGCAGCAGCAGTGGCAGAAGCATTTTGGCACGAGCCAAGTGCTGCCGTCGCCAGGAGCGACAACGACAAGAACGTGTTCATTGCCACCAAAACAAGGAGAGAAGGAGAGGTGGTTAGTTATCGGGAATGACTGAATAAAGGAAACTTCCTGAGATTGGTTTCCAAGTAGGAACGAATGTCAGAATGAATAAGCTGGTAGACACTTGTACTCATATATAATCTCAAAAGCTCTACCCACACTGGGCACGTTTACCTTGCATTAGGAGAGATCAGATTAGATCTCGGCCACAAATCTACTGCCTATGAATACTCAGCCTCCAAGATATTAACAAGATATAATGCCAAGCAGTCGGCAACGCAATGCTTGGTCTTGGCATGTCTAACTTGCATCTTAAATCCCTATTCCAGGCCCGATCGAGGCTGGCTGTGTTTTCCGGTACCGGAAACAGAAACGGTTGCCCTCGCATGGCAAGACGGCAAACAATCAGGTACCTCAAAACAAACGCAATTAAAGCAAGGACTTGAGCTTACGCAGTCTTTGTCAGTACCCCAGAAATTCCATGCAGGAGAGAGGCAGATTCGGCAGATGCATGTGGCCATGTGGGGAAAGTTGTCGTAAGGTTATTCGAGATCCATGTCGTTTCTATTCGGATGAGCTCGGCGATACGATCTTGACATCTCGCAGCCGAACAAAACAATGCCAAGACGACGCCATTCTGCTCTTAGACCACAAAGTGCCTACTCCCAGAAATCACTGAAATCAAAGAAACACTCGTACTACTCTATTCACATGATGAAACCTACGTAATTGACGCGTCAGGGATCTTTATATAGATTCCTGCCCAGTCACGAATTGGTTTGTTTCAAACAACACTATTTCGACATGAACAACAACTCCTGGGTATCATTTCCTCTACATATATGACTATGCTGCAAACGCCCAGCACGGCCTCAACCGCATGAGCTGAACCCCCTTAAGGAATAGCGCCTGCCAGATCTCGGGACGTCCCGTCACCAATACTACATTACATTGGCATGGTTGAGGAACGCATCTCTGTGATACAAGCTCCACGGGATATTACATGGTAGAGTCCTTCTAGGTTCATAATTAGTGGCTCCCATTGACGCAGCCTGCAACAAATACGCTTCGTCTATTATGTCAATTTGGTGTGAATGATATCGGGGTTCTCATGCCAGTCATCGATACTGACCCACATCTGTCATGTTACGATTAGTATTGGTAAGTTGACTAGGAAAATTTGTGGGAAAGATTTGGCGCAGAGGCGACATACCTTTCTGAACGTGCTGAGACCAGCCAAAATACTGCCTCCTATCCAGGTCGAGTATTTTCTCTCTGGTGGCGCAAAGATCTTGATCTTCATATCCTTGACCGCCAACTTCCTCACCTCGCTGATCAAGCGATCACCGAAACCTTTCGTGAGCGTGCTGCCTCCGCTAAGCACAATATTGCTGTAGAGAGCTTTACGCAGGTCCAAATCTGTCCGGGCAATCGAATCTGTCACGATCTGTTGTACGCCGGGATACTCCAGTCCAATAATTTCGGGGTCGAACAGAATCTCAGGCGCGCGGAAGCGCTCCTGGCCAATTCTCAGCTTTTGTCCATCAGGCAAGGTGTAGTCTGCCGATTTTCCTTGGTCGAGTTTCGTAGAGGCCCAATCCTTCTCTTCTTGCTTTGGGTTGAGAGCAACATATGACAAAGTCTCCTTGATGTTGCGCACGACTTCCTTCTCGGCCGAAGTGTGGAAGACGTAGCCGCTTTTCCGTAGTAGTGTCTGCATATACTCGGTAATATCCCGACCGGCAACATCGATACGCCGCATGGCGGAGGGAATCGCGAAACCTTCGTATACAGGTACAGCATGAGAGACACCATCGCCAGAGTCCAGCACACAACCCGTTGTCCTACCCGACGCATATAACGATAGGACGGCTTGTATAGAGGTATAGAGGGCTGGCACATTGAACGTCTCAAAAAGGATCTGGGCGGCCGTGTCTCGGTTCACGCGAGGATTGAGTGGGGGTTCGGTGAGAAGGACCGGGTGCTAGAAACCAGTCAGAAAAGGCCAATTCGGCCAAGGAGCAGATTTGACAAAGATCTCTTACCTCTTCGCTCATGGTCTTTAGCCCCTCACTGTAGACATACTCCCATATCTTCTCCATGTCGTCCCAATCTGTGACAATGCCATGCTCCAGTGGATATCTGATCTTGAGCAAGCCTCTCAGCTCCGAGGCGGCCTTTTGTCCAATAAATACCTCGCCCTCCAGAGCTCCAGCCAGGACCCTCAGATGTTTCGGTCGGCCAACAAAGGACGGAAAGTAGCATTTCGGTAAGTCGTCACCGGCAAAGCCAGCTCTGATGGTGCCCGACCCATTGTCGAGCACGATAGGGGCGTTGTGCAGCGTGTCTGTCATTGTTGAAGCTCCACCTCCTCTCTGGCTGCCTTTTGGCCAGTTGCTCCGCCTCTACTTCTGTCGTCCCAGACTGTAATCTAGCTGGTTGTTCTGGGAGACAATTTTGGCGCTGAGGTAGCCTTGGGTTTGTAACTAGCGGTGTTCACGTCGAGGAACTCTGGTGACTGTTGATGGCCAAATCAATGGCACGGTCGTCGCAAGTCCAAGAAAGTTGGTATCGTGCGTTGCCGACGTGGAAGCCAGGGGCAGAGGAGAATTGAATCGCTCTTTGGTTGACTGGAGATTGTGTTTTGGCATCAACCCGCAGCCTAACGTAGCTGTGGAATTCCAACGACCCGACTCAATCCAAAGACGCGTTGGCCCTTTCCCAAATGCTCAATCAGGAGCTCATGCAGGGGATTGGAGGGCGTCTGGACTGGCTAGACGTGTTCGGCGGGCACTAGTCTCTCATTGGGCGGGCAGATTGTAAATTGTGGGGGAGTTTCTAGCTTTGTCCAATTGGAAGGGATCTCCCGGCCAAAGAACACGGACCCTTTTTTTTTCTGTCTTCCTTCCCCAATATGAAGTAGGTACTCTGTATGCTCGTTCCAAATGGGATGAACACTCAAGGTGAGGAAACAATTATTCCAAATAAATCAACTAAAGCTTGGAGAAACTATTTTATACTAGACGAGTTGGTGTTCTGGTGCATCCAGACACTCATTAATTTTGCAAAGCTTGCATCATGCTTTGTTCGTTCTAGCAAGTTTCTACTTCGTACACGTGTAACAGAGCAGCCCCATGCTGCTATGCAGATTCAAAAGAGCAGTCTCATAGTGGAGGCGAGACCAACAGGCGACTCAGATGACAGGTTGTTCCAAGACCAATTGTTTCACCACCTTCAATATGCAAAATGTCCATTCTCTTGCCGCTCCTCTTGACTCACTTCGGATCAAGCAACGTTAGGTATGATGTGCCATCGTTACTATCAACGCATGATGCGATTCCCCGAGTAAATGCAAAAAAATCATGCTTGCTCAGATTCCAAACAAGTCGACGAGATAGTATACAGGAAGCGGCCATCCAAACGCGGCGAAAGAGACTGGGAAGTAGCTGAGAAAATCAACCGCAGGGCCGAGATTAGCACGTATACATTTCTAATGGGAGAGCCTGTCAAAACAAGCCCATCAAATACAACAGCCTTGTACAAAGAACATCCAACTTCAACCAAAACCAGCTCATTATGTTCTTCGTCTTGTGTTTTTCATATTGCCACCCCTTGAAGGGAATATAACAACTCACAGCGCAAGAGTACCAGTGACCTGCTTGGTAACCCGGCTATAATCACTAGCATATCGTCTCGAGGCAGTTGGGCGGAACATGGGTCGGGACTGCAGCAACACCCGGCGTCCGGCGTTGAGGAGTTGCGTGTTCATTTTTGATAAATTTTCCTCGAGCGGCAGCAGCGATAAGTTGGATATAAGATAACCAGAGTTAAAAAAATAGCGACAAGTCTCGGCGTCAATGCGGGAGTTCCTGCTGGCTGTGTCTGGACTTTGATTATTCCGGAGGATCGTCTTCGTTCAACGATGGAGTTTGGGAAACAGGCATAGCACAAACAGGCACGAGCGCGGCCAACCGAGGCCTTGATATCCGTCTTATAGCAGTCGACCAGTCGAACAACCCCTCTCTTGGATGACCGTGGCTTTGGCTTGCGTGTTTCCTTATTTGTTTCCGGCTCCTGGCGACCGCTCCAAGTGTCAGATGTAGTACCCTGATTGCCCATTCCGGGGAATTTGCCCACATATCAGTCGAATGGGACCCCTGGCTAAACGCTTCACGGGGTATGCATACAACTCTGCATGCGGCAGCTTTAATGCGGGGTGAATTATATGAATGGCGAGCTTCCCTATAATGTAACCAAAGGATTGTATATACCCCAATGCTATTGGGCTGTCACGCTGCAGGCAACGTTGAATGGTACGATCATGGTGTGATCAAGCGTTTCCCCGCACCGTCCAGTCCGGTCAGAGTGCATATTTAATAAATACCATCTCAGCTGGTGCATTAAAATGTTTTAAAAAAAAAAAAAAAAAAAAAACAAGAGTTTCCGCTCCCCCAAGGTCACATTTCACAAGTGATTAGATAGACACAAGCCTGACATGTATTTGAATGTATTTTATCATTCGTAGCTATGGTGTTGACCACGAACAAACACAAACTCCATCTCATCCAGCAATATCGGGCTTATTGCTTTCTTTTTCGAAGCAAGTGCCGCCATTTGCTTCAGCGCCTGTGCAGCGGCCAGCCATTGAGGATTTTGAAGTACTCTGTCCGGGAATTCCTGACGAGGCGCCTGCTTTTGTTTCTCCAAGCGCCGCCGAAGGCTCGCTATTCCTTGACCAAATCGCGATGGAGACTTCTTGTTGCCTCTAGTGGACACTTCTGCCATCTTTTTCTCGTACCACTCTGGAGAACGTTCCCACGTCCAGTGAATCCGTGGATCAAAGTGGGCACATCGCGTGTCTGGATTGGGTTCAAGCGGCTTTTGGTATATTTGCTGATTGAAAGTAGGCTGATCAAAAGAAGACGAGGCCGGGCGGTTGGGACCATTTGCCAAGCCGTAGATTGCTTCGTCCAGCGTGTACTCGGGTTTACGTAAAAACGTATTGAACCTTAATGCAGATCGTCGTGCTTTTTTGGACACGGCAGGTCGTGTTGTCATATCGATATCATACAGGACCGGAGGAACATGGGAATGGTCTGCTCGAGTGATTTGTGTCTGCAATACTGCCTGCGGTCTGACAAAATCGCCACGGGGCGTGTTGTTCGAGGCAAAAGGGATTGGCGACGATGCAGCGGTTTGACGAGCACCAAGTCCATTTCTCTGTCCAAGATCGATACTAGGCCTCTCATTGTAAGAAACCCCTTTCTGGGCGATGGTCATCTGGCCTTGTCTCAGCATATCAACATCATGTCCTGTGGTTGAACAGGGTGTTGCGGATGATGTTTTAGACGACATTATTGGTTCCTCGTTTGGTAGCTGAACAAACGACATTTCAGACGCCGGTTTGGACGATGCCGAGGCCTCCATATCATCGTCATCATCGGATAATGTCAAGTCAATGAAGGTTTTTGTAGAAGTCGGCGGTTTGTAAGGCAGTGGCGTCTGCTTTTTTCTAGACTTTGTGGGCAAAACTTGGTGAGGTGATTCTTGTTTTTGCCTTTCCCTCCAGGCCGCTAACCAGGCTGAATGATGTGGAGGCGGATCCGTTTCTGTGAGGTTGTTAGGTTGCGCAGCCTGCCGAATTTCTGGCTGAGCTGATATTGCTTCTGAGTTGAGCGGATTCTGACGGTGAAGTGGTGGTGCATTGAGCCCCTGCAAAGTTCTCCCAGAGGAAGAATAGCCCAAGTTGGAATCTTCATGTGGCTCATCTGGCGACGATTTGTCACTGCGGCGCCGTTTAGAGGAGCCACCCATCTTTACAGCCGGCTCCCGAGCTGGGGAGACCTGCACAAAAGACCCTACTTGTCGACCGTTTAGTGCTAGAGTGTGTTCTGTGCCATGATTTCGCAACGGCTCAGACGAAGCTTGTGCGTGTTTGTATTGCTGAAATGGCCGACTGGGTGAAACACTAGTTTGATCAAAATTGGTTGTGTAGATTTGCCTCTGGACAACTTCAGGTTCCCTTCCCTGATCCACATCTCTTTGGTTCAGCGGACGGTGTAAAAGATGGCCGTTTGTAGTCGGCAATGAGGTTGATAATTTCGAGATATCTGGCAGGGTGAATTCTGCCGCCGGATAGCCGTGTTTCGCTTTCCATGCGCTAGCTCGGGACGTGGAAACGCCTTTTCTGGCTACATTTTTGGTAGAAAGAAGCTTTCGAGTGGCCAGGGATTTTTCTTGCCCTGCTGCTTGCTGAGCAGACGGATTACTAAGCATACTGGGGGGACCCATGAGGTTATCATGGTCGTCGTCTTGCATTGCCAATAGCATTGACGACATGTTTACGTTACGATAGGCCTTGATTAACAAGCATAGTGATGACGATGACGACCTCCTTTGTACTGAGGGTCTGCCTCGAGCAAGTAGTCGACGATGGTAGTTTATGAAGGCTTGGGTGATTTACCATCGACTACGATCTAGGAACTTTAGCATGATCCGGTGACAATGAGACGAAGATATGGCTTACTAGGTAGAGTCGAGGCAACCAAGGTGTCCCCCCTCCTTGTCCAAGTTGTAGAGGAGGTCTGTTGTCTGTATAGTAGCAGAGTGCTTTAGTAACTAAAGACAATGAGAGTAGAAGAAAAAAAGGTCACTTTTTTGATATGATCGTCTCAGATCTTTTCAGTTTCGTTTTGATCGTCACACTGCTCACCACAGCGGCTCCGTCATCTGCACCCGACTGGAAGTGACGATGGATAGGAAGGTTGTACACCACGGCCTTTGGCGCAGCTTCATGGGAAGATTTTGCAAGGCAGCGCTCCAGAAAGTGGTGTAGGGGAAGATGATTCCCCTCGGCTTGTGTCCATTGACATTGACATGCATCAAGGAACACTGGAGGCCTACACGAGGGCGGGCGCACTTTCCTCATGCGATAGATGAATGAAGACAAAGGACGCGACCCTCCGCCGAGAAGAGGCAGGAGTCGCTATCTATTTCCAGTGGATATAAAATCCAGAACCAGAAGTGGCATTTGAGCAGTCCGACCTTTTACCAAATGCTCATCATATATGACGACGAGATGGGGTTGGGAAAGAAAAGGTAAATAGTAGGACTTACCGAACCCTTTTTTTTTTCTCACAACCATATCTCATACGGTTGGTTGGTCAAGTGACACGCTCGAAAACGGTCGCAAAAGATTGACCATATCGAGAGGGTGGGGGATTCTGCGTTGTCCCCAATGTATGTTGGTCCTAATTGCGGCCTGTCTAGGGTGTGTGGGTGGATGCTTGCTCATGTACTCTGTATGTTGGATGGCGCCCGCGCGTAGAGTTCCGTTAAGGTAGTGACAGCGGCGGTTAATGAGCTCTAGCAATCGCACGGATAAGTGCCATGTAGGTAGGTAGGTAAATTGAAGGAAAACAATCATACGCGACACAATAAAGCTGCCGTCACCGCCCCCGACATGTATATCGAAGATAATGCAGACGAGCACCGTCCCGCAACAGCAGGTTATTGGTTACGTTAAAATCCATGTCGGCTTGCACCAGTTCTTGATTGCCAACTGGTTACGCGAAATTATGGGGCTGCGCTGAACAGCCAACAAATGATGGGGGCTCCGGGGTCCACGGGTTGAACACCAGCCACGGGCCATTGTTTAGCCTGTTCCGTGCTGACCTCCAAGCGCCCGGGGCCCTCCCACCACCCCCGGGGCCATTCATGTTGGATTGACCTGGCTGCATCCATGTGGGATGACGTTCAACAGTCTTGTGCTGCGCGCGTCTTTATCAAAGAGCAAGTACCGTCTCACACTGGCCAGGAAGTTATGCTATTTGTTTTCAATGCACGTGGTTGAAAGCGTCACATCTTACGATAAATTATTCGTTGTTGAACAGGACAAAACCAAGGAACAGGCTGAGCAATAAGTGTCTTGAAATTGTCCCGCCAAATTTTAGTTGATCATCAATAACTCCTATAATTCATAGATGGTATACACGTGTTTAGCTCTTTAGTCCCTTTTCTCTTTATCTTATTTCTAAATTCCAAATCATGACCTCTTGCTGAGCATGTTCAATGCGCTGCCTGCGAGGATAAATTGGGCTTGATCTTTGCTGACAGCGTGCTTGGTCTTGACCCGCACCTCCTCACCAGTCTTCCTCTTCTTGACCACCAATGTCACCTCTCCCTGACCACCATTCTTTAGCATTTCGTAGAGTCCTTCGGTTGCAACCTCATCGCAAGCCGAGATCTTGTCGTAGTCGGCCTCATTTGCAAACGTGAGCGGCACAACACCCTGCTTCTTCAAGTTTGTCTCGTGGATACGTGCAAAGCTCTTGGTGAGGACAATGCGCGCGCCAAGGTAGCGGGGCTGCAAAGCAGCATGCTCACGGGCACTACCTTCACCATAGTTGTGTTCAGCCACAACAAGCCATGGCTGATTGGCTTCCTTCCATCGCTGACCGAGCTCAGGAATTGTGTGCTTAGAGCCATCCATATCGTACGCAGCATTGACCTCACCAGTCTCGGCGTTGGTCGCTGTGTTCAACGTGTTGGTGCTGATATTGGGCAAGTGTCCCTTGTACTTGAGCCATGGTCCAGCAGCTGAAATGGTGTCGGTAGTACACTTGCCGGTAACCTTGACGAGCACTCGGAGGCCTGAGAGGTCTGACTCCGGGAAGGGCTCGAATGGGTCTAGCAGAGCAAGTCGCTCAGAGGTGGGCGAGACAGCGACGGCAACAGAAGCATCGGGCTCCTGCGACAGAGGTCGGAACTCTGGGCGGGCAGGGGCAAAGGGCTGCGCCGGGATCTCAGAGCCCATTGGAGGCGTGAAGCGGAACTCCTTGCCAGAAGCAGTAGGAATCGAATCTGTCATGGGGTTGAAAGTGGTGCTGCCGGCAAAAGCCATGGCGGTCACGATTTCGGGGGAAGCCAAAAAGTTCATGGTACCGGGGTTACCGTCATTGCGGCCCTTGAAGTTACGGTTGTACGAAGTGAGAATGGCGTTCTTAGTACCCTTCTCCAAGTCGTCCTGGCGCTTCCACTGGCCAATGCAGGGACCGCAGGCGTTTGACAGCAGAGTGCCGCCAGCCTCTCGGAATGTCTCCAGGGGGCCGTCACGGGCCAGAGTCTCCCGGATCTGGTCACTGCCCGGCGTGATGTAGAAGCTAGAAACGGGCTTAAGACCGGCCTCCATGGCCTCCTTCACCATACCCTCACAACGGGTCATGTCCTCGTAGGAGCTGTTTGTGCAGCTGCCAATGAGACCGGCTGACAGGGTCTCGGGCCACTCTTGCTCCTGAACGGTCTGCTTGAACTTGGACAAGGGCGTTGACAGGTCAGGTGTGAATGGTCCGTTGATGTGAGGCTCAAGTGTGGAAAGATCGATCGTGATAACCTCGTCGTATCTTGCTCCCTCATCGGCTCGCAGGCCAACAATATCAGAGTACTTCTTTGCCTCGGCAGCAATGTCGTGGCGGTTAGTTGCCTCCAGGTAGCGGACGTGAGCGCTGTTGAAGGGGAAGATGGAAGTCGTAGCGCCAACCTCGGCTGTAATCACACGCAGTCAGAATCTCACTCTATCCTTGTTCAGATGTTTTCCCTGGCTTGAGACTTACCTCCCATGTTGGTAACCGTGGCCATACCCGTGCAGCTCAGGGTCTCTACACCAGATCCAAAATACTCAATAATGAAACCCGTGCCTCCTCGGACAGTGAGTTGGCCTGCAAGGTTCAGGATGATGTCCTTTGGCGAGGCCCAGCCGTTCAGCTTGCCCTTGAGCTCGACACCAAGCACGCGGGGTGCCTTGAGCTCCCAAGGTGCTCCGACCAGCGCCTCAACTGCATCAGCACCTCCGACACCGATAGTGACGGTACACAGACCACCGGCATTGGGCGAGTGACTGTCGGTACCCAGCATCATTTGTCCCGGGGCAGCATAGTTCTCCAAAACACTCTGGTGAATGATACCAGCACCAGGTGGCCAGAAATCAATACCATATTTCTTAGCAGCCGACTCCAAGAAGTCAAAAACCTCCTTGTTGGTCTGAATACCGGCTTCGAGGTCCTCTTTGGCGCCGCGCTCACCGACGATCAAGTGGTCGCAGTGGATGCTGGCCGGTATCGCAGTACGAGGGAGGCCACAGGTCATGAATTGCAGAATAGCCATTTGGGCGGAAGCATCCTGCATGTTTACCCGGTCGGGCTTGAGCTTGAGGTTGGCGTTGCCACGGACATTGCGGCCACCGTCTGTGTTGGTCAAGAGTGACTCTTCAACATTGTCCAAATGACTGTAGACAATCTTCTCGGCGAGAGTCAGAGGCGTGGCCTTGCCGAGGACCTCCTTGACCTTTTCGTAGTTCTTGAGGAGCTTCAGGTAGGGGGGTGTTCTCGGATTCGATGAATCGAAAGTGGGTGTCGCAAAAGACCGTCTCTGGGTGAGGCGGCTCGTCGCGAAGCGCTGCAAACAGATGGGTTAGAAAGATGCTCCGAAGCAGGTCGGCCGTCAAAATCGGCCCTCTGGCAGGGTGCCACCTACGCTGAACGCCGGCCCGCGACGGCACGCAAGCTCAACTGCCCTCATGCTTGCCAATTGACCTCCCAGAAAGATACTCCGGAGATTCGAGAGCCACCGAAAGAATCGCAAATTGTCCTAACGCCTGGAAAGTGACGCTGGTGAAATTTTTGTGATTGAAAACGGCCTCTCACTGATTGGCTCTAAGCTTTAAGACTGGAGCCGGCATCGGCCGTCACTCAGCAGGGGGGCTAATCTGGGGTAACCAGTTATTACCTTTGTACCTGTGGTACACCCTACAAATGCACACCCTATGTATGTATGTTTTGTCTTTCCTCTGGAACAATTCTCGTAAGGTTCAAGGTTCTTACGATTGATAAATTTAATTGCAGGCCTTTTACATTTCAAGGGGAGTCCATATTGCAATATTAATGCGAAAATTATTACTCCGATGTGAAATCTGACTCATAACAATGGATCTGCACTATTGAGATGGAAAAGGAGCATGTCAATGCCGGTGGACGTTAATCTAGAGCATTTGATACAGCGTGACTTTGCAGCAGGTGTCACTTCTCAAAAATCAATCAAGGATCAGGTTCCACGTTGAATTTCATCTGGTTGAGCCAAAAAGGTACGGCCGCTGCTTACTGTGAAGCGAGGCGCTGCTCCCTGCCAATCTTGGTGATCATAGAAATCCTGGCCAACTTACTGTCGTCTGTTTATGACCTTTTGTGATCGAGGGTATCTGGAATATCATATCGTACGTCTGCATTCTCTCTTCGACTTCTACCAACACCTCAATCGTCCGTCACAAGTCTTTGTCCCAACGAGAGTTCAGAGAGGACTATTGTCTGATAGTACGGGCAAAATACGCTGAAATGGCAGCCCTGACGATCGGTTCTTCTGATTTTGGGGACCGCCCTTGAATATTATGACCTCTATGGCTAGACTTTGCAAAAGAATCTGGATTGGCCGCCATACCACATCATTTCGCAAATGTGAGTACGATCAACCTCATCGGTGCTCTCAAGTCAACATGGATTTCAAAGAACCAGGCATAGTAAAAAGTCGCCCTCTAAAATGAGAGTCCTCGTCACCCGCAGCGTCAAAGCAGAGGAGATCCATGGTTCATACACTTTAAAATCATCCGTACAGAGGGAACGGCATGCCTGGAATATTCGACAAGAAAGTCTATTGTCAAAAGACGACAGAGTAAGAAGCAAAAAAAAAAAAAAAAGTGCAAAAGAATCGGTCGGCCTATTTAGGACCGTATGATTGGTGGCAAGAACTGCTTGTTCTTGCCCACTACTGGAGTCGAACCAATTGCCTCCTCATTACTAGTGAGGCGCTCTACCGATGAGCCAAGCGGGCTTTGCTGGTGTTGTGGATCTCGAAGTCGTTATAGCATGTTAAGGAGTAAGTAGTTCTGTGGATAGTCGTAGAAGAGATAGTGGATGGCACAACACCCACTTTGGCGATGTTCGTGTACTTACTTGTTGGAATTCAGCGGCACTCGTGATGGCGGCTATGCGAATTCTTGTCCAAAGGGGCACGGCAGTTTCGTAAGAAATTGCGCTTCCGGAATCAATGCTCATCTGAAGTCTTGTCGGGACTGTGGTCCAGAAGCTTCTGCCTCGTAGGTGTGCGAAATCCGCAAGCGTCCGAAAATCGAGTCATTAGACGAAGTGGTGCACGGAACTTGCAAAGGAACTGCTCAAAAATCCTCCGGTGTTACGGATTTGCAAGTGCTAGAGAAAAATCAAAATATGCCTAAAAATTTTAATACTTCCGAATGCCGATTGGGTTCATTCTTCTTTTTCTAGTTTCGGGTGTTCCTGCATACGGTCGGCGCTTAGAGTCACCAGCGAACAAACCAATGCATTTGGCAAAAAAAGTCAGGTAGATATACGATAGCTTGCTCAATCAAGGCTGTTGTGAGGATGAAAAGTTAATTGTTAGGAGAAAGAAATGACTATAATTCTCTTGGCGTCATTGTGGCCGTGCAAGGCAGTCGATATGATCCATCACTTCGCAGAATGCGGAATACTGTGGATAACAATGAGTTGGCAATACGTAGCAATCCCTCGCTTCAGTTTGTTGCGATGCATGAGGGGTTTTCTTGCATTCGGTTGCGAGTTGGTGGTGGTTGGAGTGTTTTTATCAAAAGGTTGAACGTCATAGACCGACGGTGATCATTTCCCCTAATTGCAAGCTGAATGCGTTGACGATCCTCATGTCGGAAGTTTCCTGCCACGGGTCGACGGGAGAATCGTAGATGGGGCTCCATCGTCTAGAATTGCCCAATGTTCCAGCCACGGCCACGGATCGATACAGCGGATCTGATCGTCTTTGTGTTTGCGTGCCCAATCATGAATGAAAAATGGGTTATGCGATTCATGGAGAGACTTGGTGTGTGGGCATGTTAAGAAATCACAAGTGCCGCCCGGCTCTTTACACCATTGTTTGATGCGTAGCATTGAGTGAGGAAGGGAGTCAGGACCGCCAGTGGCCCCCAAGAAGCCGGCCTCGGGCTCATCTTATGTTTGACCAGAACCCACGGCGTTGTGCTGTAGGTGACGCCATTGCGAACCAACCATCCCGGAATCCACGGGATCGCCTGATTGACAAGCCCTAAGTTGATAAACTGCTAGGTTTAGCTAGCCCAACGGCCCGTATCAGGTTCACGTTGTACATGCTAGGTGCAACCGCGCGCTACCATACGCCGCGCTTCCCACCTACCTAGGCCGCAGGTACAAGCCGCACGGCAGCGCCGACCTCTTTTATAGAGTCCACTTGTAATCTCCAATGCCTTGTTATCGCTACGCGCCCTACATGTCTATACATGGGTCTCTTGGCAAAAGGACTTCGTAAACGTCACGCTAAGTATGCAGCGACTAATGGCTAGCTGAACTCCAAGCTTGGTTCTGTATGCTGATCACTTGAGAAGGGTGGATGAGGCTTGCGGCTAGAGACAGGGCTTCTTCACGATGTTTAGTCTGATGTGTTGTTAGTCTGATGTCAGTGGAAATAATTTTTAGATGTGCGAACTCGAGAAATTCTGAGGTTGGGACTGATTCTATTCTTCTTCATACACTCTTTTGGCTACCGCCTTGGCTGCTAGACGCTGTCGTTTTCACCAATCAATCGCCTTGAGCGAAACCACATTCTTTATAGCCATCGGCTAAGCGGTTGGCATTGTCATTCATTAAGAAAGCGGCCACCTTATACACTCTTTACTGTCGATATTACCACATTCACTCTTTTTTTTGCAAGTATGTATTCATGCAAATCGACGCCCTTGGGCGCTCTTCTTGGTCTGGCAACCGTTTCACAAGGTCTTTTGATACAACCTGCGAATATCCAAGCAAGCTTGCTTCAAAGTTATGACTATGTGATTGTCGGTGCTGGACCAGCTGGCTTGGTACTCGCAAATCGCCTGAGCGAGGATACAAGTATCAATGTTCTTGTTCTTGAAGCCGGCCCAATGGACTCCAGGCCTGAGAGTATCACACTGCCATCCGGTATTGGATCTCTTGTTGGATCGCAATATGACTGGAACCTCACCACGGTGGCTCAGACGGCCCTGGACGGAAACACTCGTTCATTGGCGCAAGGACACGCCGTGTCTGGGGCGACAATTATGAATGGCATGATCTGGACGAGAGGCACTCAGGCCGACTACGATGCATGGGAAACGCTCGGCAACGATGGCTGGGGATGGGACGATATGCAACCATACTTTCAAAAGGTTGAAAAATTCACCGACAACTTGGCCAGCTCCGAAGGTCTCGAAGTCACCGTTACTCCAGACAGTTCCATTTACGGACAGAGCGGTGCTGTTCAAGTCGGCTACTCTGAGTACTACTACAGTCAATTTAGTAAGATTAATAGGTACTATACCAAAAAATTCCCGTAATACTAACAAGGCATAGGCAACTTCATCGAAGGAAACATGGAACTCGGTTTGGATTTGGCAAACGATACCTCGAGCGGAAGTACCAATATCGGTGTCACTGTTCCTCCCGTGAGCGTTGCGGCTTCTACTCAGACACGATGTGATGCTCGCGCCGCATACCTTGACAGCATTATCGATCGAGCGAATCTACACATTGCACCAGAACAGCGTGTCACGAGACTCATTCTCAACTCTGGAGACGGTTCAACGGACCCGGTGGCCGAGGGTGTCGAGTTTGTCGGTACCTCTGGAGCCCTGAGCATCAACGCGACTCGTGAAGTCATCCTGGCAGCTGGTGCTGTATGGACGCCTGCACTAATGCAAGTCTCTGGTCTTGGTCCTACTGCAGTTCTTCAAAACCTTGGTATTGAGACTGTTGTCGATCTGCCTGGTGTTGGTAACAACCTTCATGACCACGGCATGATTGATCCGGACTACGCATGTAAGTCTTGTTTCCTTCTTCTCTTCTTTTTCAAAACTTGGAGGTTCGCAGGCTAATAACGTACTATCGTCTAGACTCCAACCCCGATCTTTTCACCAAGAGCGATCTCACTGGTGCTGCCATGGAGACTGCCCAGGAAGAATACAACAACAACCGAACTGGTCCCTTGACGGCAACACTTATTGAGTCTGTTGCCTACATGGCCCTATCCTCCCTGTCGAGCGATTCAGCCTCGCTGCTGAGCGGACTGTCCTCTGCGGACTCCAACACCTACCTTCCCTCCGACACACCAGACGAGGTGCGCACTGGTTACCAGGCTCAGTATGCAGCCATTGTCGAGTCCCTGGGTAGTGCAACTGAGGGCGTTGTCGAGATCATGGCAAACTCTGTCGGTACAATCCAGGTGACTTCGCAGCGCCCCTTCTCCCGCGGATACGTCCGCCCGGTCTCGGCCAATCTCGTGGACGGTGTCCAAGTTGACCCGCGCTACGGTGCCCACCCCTTTGACAAGGACATCATCGTCATGGGCCTAGAGTGGGTTGCCCGTCTCATTCAGACCAGCGCCATGCAGGAGCTGCAGCCCCAGCCAGAGGCCGCCCTCACCTCGGGCGATCAGTCCCAACTTGAGGGTGTCGTCAACGAGCAACTCGGAACCGAATTCCACCCCTGTGGCACGGCGGCCATGATGCCCCAAGACAGCGGTGGTGTTGTTGACACCAACTTGAATGTATACGGTGTCTCAAACTTGCGAGTTGTCAACTCGGCAATCATTCCTTTGATCCCTAGTGCGCACTTGCAGGCCGTCGTCTATGCTATTGCAGAAAAGGTCAGTCTCCCTCTAATTGTGTTCTCCTGTATAATCTGCTTCATTATTCTGACATCTACACCCAGGCTGCCGACATTATCATTGCTGCACAGCAGGACAGCACAACGACCGCCGCAACACGTGCGGAAACCACAAACCCTCTCGCTGCTGCCGTGTCAAAAGTAGCGAGCGCCCTGCCAACCCTTCCATTGTCGTTTTAGATGTGAAGCGCGGGGAATAATGATAGACCTTTATGAAACATAGATACTAGACTTTTTTTTATTGTTAATATACTCAATGAGAAGAAAAATATCTCAACTTTATACTTGGAATTTACCACCAAAAAGACAGGCATAGGACAAGCCTAATGTGAGTTGGATTTCGTCTTGTCAAAGGTGAAAGCCGCGAAGCACGAAGATCATATGCTTTCCCTCATGTGAATGTGAGAAGACACGGGTAGCAACTTCGATATTACAGCGGCATAAGATGCGATGACTTGGCAGCTGGCTTGGAAGCAGTCGGATGTGACCATGACCGTCGGTTTCGGAGGTTTTGGTGTCGATAAGCTTAACCTTTTCCACAGTGCACATCTGCAGCAGCATTTGACAGCATCGAAAAGTTTTGCTCCATTTGTGGAATATGTCTTAGTAGGTATGTGTTTATAACTAATTGAGATAATGTCTACAAGAAAAAAAACTCGCAATGCTCATTTTTAGCCAATCCATCCTCATCTATACTACTACAATGGCGAAAATCACCGCCATAGCGAACACACCTCGAGAAATTTACAAATAAGTTTTACAAATCTAGTTGGCCGAGTCCCAGTTACCAAGGACCGAGTTGTAGTGGTTGAAGAAGCCATAGGGGTCGTACTTGGCCTTGAGCTGCGCAAGGCGCTCGCGACGCCAGGGCTCGTAGCCGTACTGGGCTGTGAGAGGCTCGTCGCCCCGGGCATAATTCATATAGACGGACTCGACGGGGTAGCCAGAGTGCTCGGGGTCCCACAGCTGGTCGCGCCACGGGCCCGCCCAGTCCTGCCAGGCCGCGGCGACGCTGGCGTCGGAGTAGGTGCCCTGAATGAGCATGAGAATGTTGCCGTACTGGCGGTTGCCAAAGGCGGTGCTGTCGGGGTCGACGGCGAGCACGCCCTGCTGTGGGAAGATCTCGTAAAAGAGGATCGAGTGCGCGGCCAGAGGGTTCCCCTCGACGAACTCAACGTACGAGTCGGCCATCTCGCGCTGCTGGGCAATGTCGAACAGCTTCGTGTTGACCGTGTACACGTCGTAGCTGAGACCTTCAGTGCAAGCCTCGACAATGGCGCCGTGGGCAGCGGCGGTGGGAACGTCGGTCCATGGCACCATTGTCTCGTTCTTGGTAAGCTGCTCGATGCCGGTTTCATTGCATGAGTCGAAGCGGGAGGCGAAAGCCTGTCCCTCTTCTAGGGTTCCATGGTAGACAATGTTTAGTAGTATACCCGGCTGTTGGATAAGTCAGTATATTAATTGCTATTCAATTTCAATTTATCACAAGACCTACAGTAGCAGTCGTCTCATTGTAGGTGATGAAAAAGTCCATTGCCAGGCCAGGATCTTGGTCAGGAATCAGGTCGTTGATGGCTCCCAGAACGCCCTCTAGGGAGTCAAGTGTAAAAGTCATATCACCGTTGTAGTTTTGGCCGTCGTTTTGTAGAGGAAACGTCTCAAAGGTGTACTCGAGGACAATACCAAAGTTGTGGCCTGCTCCGCGCATGGCCCAGAAGAGATCCTCGTTCTCTTCGGCAGATACATCGATGATGGTGCCGTTCCAGAGCGCCACCCGGAGTTTGCTGATGACATCAATAATGAGTCCATATTCACCTTGCAGTCGACCATGACCGCCTCCAATGCTGGCGCCGCCGACACCAACACATGGGCAAGATCCGAGGGCTACGATTGAAGATTTTCTTTTAGCTCCAGTGTCGCATTGCAAGTCTGGTGTATATGAAGTGAGGAGCACTCACGCAATTCTCTACCACCATTGTACGCCACTGGGTAAACATCTCCGAAGATTGCGCCACCACCAGCAGTGATTGTGTTGTCATCGTGCAATGTGATGTCGTTAAAGTTCTCCATGTTGATCACAACGGCATCTCGCACAGTCTCAAACGTGACAGTATTTCCATGACCTCCACATTGTGCCAAGAAGGAAATGTTGTTTCCAGTCAAGTATTGAAGCTATGAATATGATCATGTCAGCACCCATGTTGTATGGCTTTGACTATAATTAACTGGATGCAACTTACACTTGTAGTGATGTCTTGTTCTGTAGCGGGAAGGAAGGCAACGCTGTAGGTAGGGGCACTCCACGTAGACCAACGGGCCGTGTCGTTTTCCCATTCCGCGTCGCTGGGATAGATGATTGAGGCTTCAGATGAGACTGTAAAGTTTAGAGTGTTTGCTCTTTTCTCAAAGAACCTGACAAGAGCATCACCACTGCTGGTGTGCAGCGTCGGAAAGGCCGAAACCGCCGATACGGCAGCCAAGAGGCCCAGTGGGGCGTTTGAACGCATGTTATTATGGTATGGGAATAGAAGCTGTTTCCTTCTCGGCCTCGTTCCTATCGCAACCTGAATCGTCAGGAGATGGGCGTTGGCTAGATGCTTATAAGATATCTGCTGATCATATTGAGAAATACCAGAATTCGTGCTGCCATGCTTCACGTCTTATACGAATGCACCCGACCAAGTCATTGTACGATCTCACGAAATCTTCAACAGGATGACTGAGATTACGAGCCATGGAGGAGCTTTCGGGGGGCTGTCGGGCAGAATCCTTCCACTAGCGAGGCTATTTCCTGGACAAAGCCTCAAAAATAATAGTGCTATAATGGAGTCATTGGAGCATGCCCGATGGAGATGAGAATCGTACATTGACGTCGCTAAAGATCTACCCATGCAAAAATAGAATTAATTGACTTGATCTCAGATTCTTCAGTGTTTCGCACGTGGACAACAAGGTAGGAGTGCACGAGGCGGCAGACCAGCAAAATGGCTTCGCATCTAAGTATACGCGTTGCATAAAGAGCCTATAGTCGTAGGCTACAAGGTTGATCTCCAGCGGGGCTAGGCCCTGTGGGGATGAAGCTAGGGCTCCATCCAATTCAGGTTCCCCGACACACGCCCCCCGCGTGGGCTATCATTCAACGTCTTTACGGTATCCGAGGCCACTCACCCGCAATTTAGGCGGGTTTACCACACTAATAGCTGGACTGGACGATTCCCAAACCCCTGGGCAGGCTTGTATGGCACTCTACAGTATGCACCCTTTTGGGCACCATACAGGCCCAGGGTACCTAAATTAGTCCACTTGACATCGCCTCTAGTAGCCTAGGGTAACTCCCGTGGTGCATCGTTCGCATAATACCATGATTTCTCTGTATGCACCCGAACAACGCAAGGAGATACCCCGTAGCCTCAACATTTAGAGACACGGGCACAATTCGATGGCTGCAGAAGGAGCTGGAGCAAGACACGCCAGTTTGCCAGACTGCGGCTGAACTTTCGGCTTTCATGTTGCATATTAGATCCCAAAAGTCCCGCCGCGACGTCATAAGTCAGCGGCACAGCATAGCTTCTCCCACAAAGGGGATGAGGCCCTGTGATTGGTGAAAGCTTGAGGAATGTTGCTTGTTGTGTAAGTGATATGCCCAGGGTTCTCATCCGCCGCCTCTTTGAAGTAACAGTTATGGCCAAGTATCTTTTTAAGACAAGAGGGATTCTTGTTCTTGTCGCTGCAAGATGGTGCTCTTGATGACTTTCCTCCATAACTACAATTGATTTCTCTTTTTCGCCTTCTTGGCACATTCAAACACAAACGACTTTCCACTGACCCTTCCACCACGACTAACCCTCACACCAGATCATACCATACAAACACTATGCCTCCCTCCAACGTATTGAAGCCAAATGTTCCCACAGGCTTCGGCCTCATGGGCATGACCTGGCGCCCCAAGCACACCCCCGATGAGCAGGCCTTTGCAACCATGAAGAAGGCCATTGCCCAGGGCGCCACCTTTTGGTCCAGCGCCGACTACTACGGCATGCCAGAGCCCACGGCCGGCCTTGACTTGATCCGTCGCTACTTTACAGCCCACCCAGAGGACGCCGAAAAGGTCACGCTCTTCATCAAGGGTTGCGTCGACCCCCAGACTATGCAGCCCAAGAACAAGCGCGAGCAAGTCTTGGCCAGCGCCGAGACCTGTATCCAGAGGCTTGGCGGCGCCAAGAAGATTGACATCTTCGGTCCGACCCGTCAGGACCCCTCCGTGCCGCTCGAAGAGACGCTGGGTGCCATTGGCGAGCTCGTCGCTGCCGACAAGGTCGGTGGCCTAGGTATCAGCGAGGCTGCTGCCCAGACCATTGAAAAGGCCAACGCCGTCTACCCTCTCAGCCTGGTCGAGGTCGAGTTCTCTTTATGGACTCCCGACCTGCTGTCCAATGGCGTAGCAGCCACCGCCAAGAAGCTCGACATCCCGCTCGTTGCATATTCCCCTCTGGGCCGAGGCTTCCTTACTGGCCAAGTCAAGTCCCTCGACGACATTCCTGAGGGAGACATCAGACGTCGCTTTGATCGTTTCCAACCTGAGGTATGATACTGCCAATTAGTGGTGACAAATCAACCAAGGAACACATGTCACTAATTCTCTCTCTTTTACTTAGAACTTTAACAAGAATCTAGAGCTCGTGGACAAGCTCAAGGCATTTGCTGACAAGATGAACGTTACCCCGGCCCAGCTCGCGCTGGCCTGGATTCGTGCCACCTCCAATTCGGAGCAGGCAGGTACAATTATACCCATCCCGGGAGCCACTTCACCAGGCCGCGTTGAAGAAAACACGACAGTTGTGTCTCTCTCGCCTCAAGACAAGACGGAGCTCGACCAGATTCTTGCTTCGTTCAAGATTCAGGGAGGCAGGTACAACAAGCACCTGGAACATCTCTTGTGGCAATAGAGTAATTTATCCATGATCATGAATAGATACTTGGGTACCTTCATACAGTATACAAACATAAATAGAAGATTTAGTGTACTCGGAAGCGTATGATCCACAAATTTATATCCGATTTCAAGCGATCAAGTAAGCATGATTGATGAAGTGAAGACGACTTAGAAATGCTATTATTGAAAATAAGTTGATTCTGGATCAATAACATGATAACTTGAATGATTCCTTATTGTTGTTTCATGAAAATGTTTATTCACAGCTTGATGATATTACGTGACCAATAAAGGCCGAATCGGTCACGTCTGTGATTCAGAAAGATCATGCTACCCTTGTTTTTAGTCAAGCCGTGAAGCGATAACATGGCTATTAGCTGCACTTACTCGGTAGTGCTGGCTTCCAGGAATGAGGAAATAATAATTTACTTCTCCGAGTAATAATTGAATTTTCTCTCTTAGTCTATTTAGAATAATTGACTTTGTCCAGACGGCCGAATTTAGTTCATTGGTGTTGCTGTCACCCAGAGACATATAAAATGCTTAAAGCTATTCGATCTAGACGTTTATTACCCCAAAGTCCTCTATTCGCGCTTTACAGGGTGACAACCATCTTTGCGCCGCTGACACCCTTGGGATATCTCGCAATGGCGGCATCAATAGCCTGCCACCCCTGGCCCACCACGTCGACCTTGACAGGCAGCTGGTACCGACCCTCCTCGACCAGCTTGGTCAGGTACGGCATGGCCTCGATCTCGGCGTCGAGGAAATCCTGCCCGCCGACCAGGGCGCCGTCCACGCCCTCGGGGAACCCCGCGGGGGGTCCCGTAATAACGGTGGCGCACCGCCGCGGCCCCGCGGCCTTGAGCGCCTCGTACACGGCCGGCGACGAGCCGCCCGCCCCGACGGCGTCGATAATGGCGTCGAAGCCGTGGCCGTCGGGCGTCGAGGCCTTGAGCTCCTCGGCGTGGTCCTGGGATGAGCGCTCCAGACACGCGGAGGCGCCGAGGGACTGCAGGTGGGCGTGGTGCGGCGACGAGCTGGTGGTGGTGATGTGTGTAAAGGGCAGGGCGAGGCGGAGAAGCTGAATCGCGGCCGAGCCGACCGTAGAGCTGCCGCCTAGCACGAGGATGGATTTTGGTTGGTTGCTGTCAGGTAGCTGAGTGAGTCGCGGCAATTGAATCTTGAGTCCGACGTAGATGGCTGAGGCTGCGGTGAGATACGTGATGCTGTTGCAAGTTTTATCAGTCCCCGGTATTTGAGAATAAATCATGCGCATGTTTCCTTTCTACCATGAATTGATATGGCCACTTACGGTAGCGATGCCGCCTCCTCCCAGCTCAATCCTTGGGGCTTCTTGGCGACCAAATTCTCTGGTACTGTGTAAATCTCTGCAAATGAGCCGTTGCCAAAGATGCCGTTGGCAAAGCTCATGACCTCGTCCCCGGCCTTGAACGCCCTTACATCGCTTCCGACTGACTCGACTATGCCCGCACCATCAATGCCTAGCACGGCCGGCCATGACTTGACCATGGCGCCAAACTGAATGTTCTTCCAGTCAATGGGGTTGACAGAGACAGTCTTGGGCCGGATGCATATTTCGTTCGGTCCTGGCGTTGGCTTAGGTACTGTGACGAGCGAGAACGTTCCGCCCTGCTTGTCGGTTTGGTATTGCTGAATAGACATGGTGGATATGGTTGAAGTACTTGGCAAGTGTGATACAATTGAGGAATTTCAAATGTTTTGGTGATTTATGTGATTGTGAGTATGTTATTGAACACGATATGACGGGGATGTTTGGAAATATTCTTGGCATTCAAATCGTACAAGTCCTATGAATGGCGACTTAAATATTTACCTAGAAAGCCAAACTTTGTATACTCTCATTTCGGAGATTTACCTGGTCCCGACTGATCGACATTGCTGGGCACGCTCAAAAAGGTGACAAATGATGTAATATGGAATGGGGTATAGCAATGCTGGTGTGCCGAAGGGATCCAACCCCCTGCCGTTCCTCCCACTCAGCTTTGTGTTTCGGGAACCGAAACAGTCAGTTCTATGGTCAAAGCTAGACGCCACCTCCAGCTCAGCTTCTAGAAGTCCCCTGCGTAGTTATGCAGTCAGAACTCTAAATGTTCATATACCATTGCCAGAGCCGACAATGCAGCTGCGGTGCATGGTACGTGTACAAATAGCCAGACGCACTTTAGCATTCGGTATTTGAATTTCATGAAATGAAGTTTGTCATATCCAAGACTTGAGAGTTGATTTGTCTTGTTGGCTTTCATCTGCAATTGCTCCGCTAACATATCTAAACAGCCAAATACTTCCAAACGAGACCAATGAGAAAGAACAAAGAATTAGGTGAAATAAGTAAAAGTTTATATGAATCCAATTCATATATGATCTATCGAATTTCATGAACAGTCTATCGGTCTGATTGTATCTACACCAAGGAAAAAAGGCACTCGCTTTCTATGTTACAAAAGAAAAACCACGGCCCCAGTTGATTGCATCTGGATGATGGCCATCCCACTAGGCATATCCAAGTGCAATAATGTGTGCGTGATACCAAGCTTGGAATGAAATAGCCCTCACTTCTTCAGGAAACCGATCGTCTTCCAGACATAGATGTACTTCCGAATAACCTCCTCGCTGACCGGGCCAACTGCAGCTAGAGTTTGCGAGTGTTCAAGTGTTTTTTGCGCATCCAGGACAAGACCGCCACAAGACATGCGTTTGTAATTGCTACCCAAAAAGTCTGCTAGTGTCGAGGCCGGATTGTCGCGCTGCGGTGCATCCTTGACTCGTTGAGTCCATTCCTCTAGGGGTATCATGTTTGACTTGGGAATACCCAGAGCGTCGGCAATGATTGTGTTCACTTTAGGCCACGGCTGGCCTACAGGGTTCTCAATGTGGTACACGGGGTGGGGGTCGCGGTTCGACAGAACCAAATCGCACAATGTACCAGCAATCTCATTTACGGGAGTCCAATAAACGGTTCCATCAACATCAGGCAGGGCATTGAGAGTTTGCGACGACTTGATCAAGAAGCCAAAGTGTTCCATAGGGTTCCAGTAGCCGCTGACACTGGACCCGGCGATCTGGCCAAGACGAACCGTCATGGGGCGGAACAAGTCAGGATGCTTGTGTAGTGTCTCGTCAAGCATACGTTCGCAGCCCCATTTAGCCTCGGCATAGCCAACCGGCAAGAGTGCATCAACGTTCACCCTGTCCTCGGGCACCAGCGTCTTCTTACCCTCCTTGAATGTCTTCTCGCTCTGGGCATAGTTGCCAACGACGCTGATCGAGGAGACCAGCTGGAAGCCAAATCGGAAACCCTTTTGTCTCTGTGCCGTGACGGCACAGGCGAGATCAATGAGGTTCCTCATTACGGAAAATTGTGACTCGAAGCCGGGCAATGGACGCTTTACGCTCATGGGCCACGCCTGGTGGACTACATGAGTGACAGACGCTACAAGCTTTTGATACTCATCGTTGGAGAGTCCTAGCATGGGCTTGGAGGTATCTGCTTGGTGCACTTCCAGTTTGGAGAGGAGTTCCTCGGGAAAATGAACCCCCTTGTCCTTCATGGCTTTCTTCTGGCGCTCAAATGCCCCAGCTCTGTTCTCGCGATTAAGACAGATCACAGTCTTGACGTCGGAGAGGTGTGCCAACTTAAAGGTGAGATGACCGCCTAAGCTGCCCGAAGCACCTGTCACTAGTACAACCTTCTCGTTGTCATTGGGCGTCGCTTTGCGAGACTTTGGAACTGGAGCAGAAAAGCCTGCAGTGTATTTTTCGATATACTGGTCAATCGTGTGCTTGCGAGCCTTGTCGGATTCGGAGAGCTCGAGAGCGGGACCGGGAGGCGCTTGTACGCTCGGCGCAGAAGCTTCCGCCCCGTCATTCTCGACAACGCTTACTGCTGGAGTGGTTTCAGCTTTGGCCGCCACGGGGTCTTCTTGGGATGTGCCTACCAGCGTCTGCTTCAGGTCGGCTACCGTCGGGCACTCGAGAAAGAGTGACTCGTGCTGAATATCCATTCCGAGCTCGTCTCGGAACCGACTGACAATGACAAGAGACAGGAGGGAGTCGACTCCAGCATCACCAAAGTTGGTATCGTCAGTGAGGTCATCAGCTGCCACACCGCTTTCTTCTGAAATGATCTCAAGGGCACGCTCGAAGTCGACTTTTGCTGTGGCATCTTCGACGTTGACTTCGGTAAAGGGAGTTGTAGCCCCCGTGGGCTCTTCACTTGCGCTGTCGGTTTCTGGAGTGGACGCTGTCTCACTGGATTCTCCTGTCGAGGCATCTGTCTCGGTGTGTTGAGATTGTCCTCCAGCCAAGAAGCGCTTGAGGTCTCCTACGGTAGGATATTCGTAGAACAATGCATTGATGTCGAGATCCATGTCGAGCTCCTCCTTAAATCGTGCCGAGATTGTAAGTCCAAGAAGGGAGTCAATGCCTGCATCACCAAAGACAGTGTTGTCCGTGAGATCATCAATAGCAAGGCCACTCTCTTCTGCAATGATGGCCAATGCTTGCTCCGCGGTAGGTGAGCCCGATGGTTGCGCCTTGGGCTGCTCGCGGTCCTTCTGCTTGGCATTGCCCAGTGCTTTGGAGAGTTCTGGTGCATTGACCTCATTCTTCTTCTGGGCTGGTTTCTGGGCTGGCTTCTGCGGTTGTGCCTGGTGGGGCTTGGCCTTGTCCTTGCTCTCTGCGGATAGAATAATTCTCAGGAGACGTCGTGGTACTCCTTGCATCTAAGCAGTAGCTTGGTTAGCACATGTACATCATTGTCCATCAATGCAAAACACCTACCGCAAATTGCCCAAAGTGTGCAACAACTCGATCACCATCCATGATCATGATCTCGCCGTGCCACAAACGATCTTTACCCTCAACCATACGGGAGTAAGTAGTATACTCCTTGGAGAAGCTTAGAGGTTCAAACATCTGAAATGAACCCCATCCATGGTTGACGAACACCTCTCTATCAAGGTCGTTGTTGTCGTTGCAATTCATAGCAAATCCAGACGACCAGGTCAGAGAGTCGAGCAAGCCCGGATGGGTGTGGAAATCTCCCTCTTTATGGAACTTGCTAAAGTTGAGACGACTCGAAGATTCCAAAGTCTTGCTGTTGAGTACAATTTCGTCCACGGCTCGATATTCATCATGGAATCGAGCAAGCGGTCTGATGGCTCTGTATGCCATGGCACGATTGAACCGAGCCGTGTCACCTGACACAAGACCTGCTCGCAGGACATCCATGTTGTGTTTCACATCAGCCATCTCTTTCTGGAGTTTTTCCTGTGTACTTCCATCGGTAAAGCGCACTGTGCAGTGAGAGTGCTCCTGGAGCTTCTTTTGCTGATCGAATGTTGAGAATTTGACAAAAACCTTCTTAGCAGAGAAGTCAGCATCGGCATGGGCCTGCAAGCGCTGCTCAGGGTCATCAGCTCGCAAAATGAGAGCCTTGAGGATAGTCATATCCGATACATTGAGGATGGTGTTTCGCTTCTTGTCTGGGCTATAACGCTCGAGCAGATGATTGCCCAAGCTCAGAGCAATCTCTGCATAGACAGCTGGAGTGCAGAGGGGTTTCCCATCTACCTCGTGGCCCTCGACCAATGGTCTGAAGTCCTTGCGGGTGACATCTGCCTCAACCACCATGTGCGCTTCATTTAAGTCGCCTGTCTCTCTAACGACCCGGTGAATGGTGGTGCTCTCTAGCTGCGGAGACTCGCTGATCACCTTGGGGCGATCGTTCTTGGGGCGATCGCCCTTTGCCAAAGACCAATTGTTGACGTATTGAATCCAGTATGGCTTCAGATCCCAGCTATAAGCTGGCAAAGGGATGACCTGGTGGGAGGCTTTGAAGTCAGCGTGGTATGCGGACCATTGAATATTGGCGCCAGCCATGTAGAGAGTCTTCAAATTTGAGGTCAAGACCTGTAAAGTAGATCTGCCCCTCTGCAAAGATGCTAGGCAGGTCATCTTATTCCCATGGACTGCCTTCACCATACCAGTGATAGCAGGGTGGGGGCCAATCTCCAGGACGGTACTCTGGTCAGTCATGATATGGTGGCTGTTGGCAGCGAGCAGTGCCCTCTGCATATTGACAGGCTCTCTGGTGTGACGAGCCAGGTACTCGGGGCCGAATTTGTCAAAACCGTCAACAATGCCACCATCCAATGGGCAAATGACTGGCACCTTGGCCTCGTAGAAGGTTGCTCCGCTGGCAAGCTCCTGGAAGTCATCCAAAATTGGATCCACCTGGGATGAGTGGAAAGCATACGGAACTTTCAGCATTGTTGTCTTCAATCCGGCATCAGTGAGCATATCTTTGTACTTGGCTATCTCGTCGTTGAGACCAGCGAGGACCGTTTCAAGTGAAGAATTGATGCAAGCAGTCTCATATTTCTCCTTCTTTAGGACATTGGCGATTTCATTGGTTGACGCCTTGACAACCAGCATCGAATGCGTACCGCGGGTACATCTCTCTTGGAGCATCTTGGCTCGCGATCCAACCAGGTAGACCATGTCAGCATCAGAGAGAACGCTAGCAACGTTGAGTGCAGCGTATTCACCAAGACTGTGTCCTACGACTGCAAGAGGTGTGGTGTTCCACGATGCCCAAAGCTTGCTGAGCGAGACCTGCATGCAAACACTGGCCAACTGAACAACCACGGGATCAAAGATGCTGACATCCGTCTCGGTGGATTCGATGAAAGGCAAGATAGATTGGAAGCCTAGGCTCTGTCCAATGCGATCCAAGCGACGCATCTCGGTGCGGAAGAGAGAAAAGCTTTCGAAGAGTTCCTTTGCCATGCCGGGATACTGCGCACCCTGCCCGGTGAATGTGAAGATCACCTTGGGGGATCCCTTGGGTCTTGTCATGCCTGTCTGATTCTTGAGTGCTTCGTCGATCTGGGTGCAGAAATCCTTGGTGTTTGTGCCGGTCAACATAACCCGATGCTGGTGGTGAATGCGGCGAGCGGTCGTGGTATACGAGAGCTGACCAATATCGATATCAGGGATTTCTTGCAGGTACTCAAGCAGAGATTTCAGATTGCCTTGTAGAGAGGCACCATTCTTTGCTGACACAGCTACAACGTGGTGGGAGCGACTATCAGCCGCAACACTTGTAGACTTCGACCTGACAGGCGCATCCTCGAGAAGCAGGGCAGAGTTGCCACCGGCGGCACTGAAGTTGTTCACAAACGCTCTGCGCGGCTTGAGCGGGTCAGAGCTTCTATCCCAAGGTGTTGGTTTCATGGCAATAAAGACATTTCGCTGGTCCATATCAGTGGGAAATTTGTGGTTAATCTTGGTCTTGATGCCAGCGTGGGGAACAATAGTGTTCTTTTGAAGCATGAGTAGGACCTTGATGAGACTCGCCATGCCGCTGGCAGCTTCACCATGTCCGATATTCGCCTTTGCTGATCCCAAGTAGAGCGCTTGGGACTCATTTCTGGGCTTCTGCACATCCGCAAGAGGAGGAGCAAAAGTATCGAGAACACTCGACATCTCGCCTGCATCGCCAGCCTGAGTGCCAGTTCCATGCATCTCCACGTATCCCACACTGTAGGGGTCGGTTGCGCTCTGGTTGAGAACCTTCTTGAAGATGTCGCGCTGAGCACCCACGTGAGGTCGGGTGATTGACTCGGACTCGGCCGAGTGGTTTGTGTATGCACCCAGGATGACGCCCAGAATGGGATCCTCGTCAGCGATTGCGTCGTCAAGGCGCTTCAGGATGATGGTTCCAACTCCTTCACCCCGGCAGTATCCGTCAGCCGTGTCATCAAAAGTCTTGCAGTTTCCAGTTCGTGAGAGGAAGTGTCCCTTGTCCAGACCAGCCGTCATATCCGGGTTCGTCAAAACGTTTGTCCCTCCGGCAATGGCCGTGTCGATATCTCCTCTCCACAAGGAATTGCAGGCAAGGTGGATGCCCGCCAAACTGGAAGAGCATGCCGTGTTGACCGCATAACTTGGACCACTGAATTTAAAGTAGTAGTTGATGCGGCCAGGGATAAAGGCCATATTACCCCCCGGAATGAAGTAGGTATCGATGTTCTGAGCGCTGTTCGTCTCGAACCAATCCTGGCTCGTGACACCGTAGAAGACACCCACACGGTCGCGTCTCGTAGACGGAGTAGCGTCCGGGACGATGCCAGCTTGCTCGACAGCTTCATACGCCGTCATCAGAGCAAGTCTCTGAGCCGGATCAATCTGCGGCGCCTCTCGAGGCGAGATGTTGAAGAAGCGCGCATCAAAGCTAGCAGGATCGTCTAGCCACGACCCCGTTGCGACCTTGCTTGTGTTCTTCTTCTTTCCCTGTGGGTCGACATGACTCTCGGCATGCCAGCGAAGAGGCGGCACTGTCTTGTGCATGTCCATGGCGCCATGTAAAACGCGCCAGAATGCCTCATTGTCTTTTGCGCCGGGGAATCTTCCAGACATGCCGACAATGGCTAGCTTGGGCTTGGATGGAGAAGCATAGTCGCCATCGCCACCAATGTCAACGGCGGGACCATTTTGTGTAGAGGTTGAGGGCAGCAAGGAGGCCAGCGGCGTCTTCCTGAGAGCAGCGTAAATCAATTGGTGGTCTGATTTGGTCGCAATAGGAACAATGCTGAAGGAATCGGGGTGGCCACTCTGGACGCGGTTCTGCAATGTCTCGATCACATTGTTCCAGCGGATAGGCTCCAGCAGGATATGGGCCACGGCGTTCTTCAGGAGCTGGCCAAATGTGCCATTCTCCAATGAGCCGGCGCTGGAAAAGATGGGGATAAGATTCTTGTATGATTCAGCATTGGATTCGCCGAGGATCCCCACGATATCGTCAACATCCTCTTGGCTGTAGAGGTGAGGAGCATGGTAAGGACCAAAAATGGAGATGCTCTTGAGTCCGGGAGAGCCCAAGGCGCGAGACCTGTACAGGAGGCCTAGAGAGCGGGGAGGGCCGCTAACAGTGATGCCATTTGGTGAGTAGGCGCTAATGTAGGGCCTGGCGGACAGTGGTAAAGTCTTGCGCAACGCCAATTGTGTATTAGTCGAAACTCAACCACAGAAAAGCTCAAGGCAAAGAATAACTTACAGTACTTTCACGGTACTTTTCCACCGCTTCGGCGGAGGAAGCACCGGGCACAACAAAGGACCAGCTCTGATCCAGTGAGTCGGATGGATCGAGACGCTGCGCCATGTCGGCTACGCGCATGCCTGTCCGGAAGGCGACCACGACGGCGTCTACCGCGATCGGCACCAGCTCCAGCGTGTTTCGGCTGCAGACGACAGCGGCCGCAGCAAGCGCTCCCGTGCACAGGCCAATGACTCCAGAGTATCTACTGTAAAAGTCCCACGAATCGGCTTGGCTATATATCACAAGTACCATTAGTCTAGGCTCCTCTGGGCCAATGTGCCCGATATGGGCCATACCTGATGAATACACTGAGCTGGTACAGGCAGGTCAAAGCCATGTCCAATGCGATAACTCGTTGGCCATCTTGCTTCCACAGGAGCAGGTCGTCCAAGGAGGTAAACCTCGGTAGGCGAGTCCTAACTTCAACTGGTAGGTTGTAGATCTCTTTTCGAATGGCCTCGTATGACTTGGTCAAGAAGTCCTCCAGAACTGGGTTCTGCCTGTGTCGCATCAACTCCTTCCGGTGTGGCTCGTTATCATATGTCTGGTCTCCGAAGAGAAACAATCTTGGTTCGTAAGGCATGATGAAGATATCTTGGAGCAGGAGGTTTTCCTGAACGAAAGCCTGTACCAAGAATTGAGGATGTCAATACGGGAAACTGGGGACTTGGCTGGAGTGGGATGATGTGTAGAGTAGGCTTGCTTGGTGTAGTTGATATCTAAGTAATACAAGTTCTTAAAAGCTTCAGAGGAAGATTGCGAAGAAATATACGATGATACAAGGCGACACGATACTTGAGGAGATATGCGTTTGTGTGGGATGATTGTTTTTGTGAGGGATGGTCTTGAATGTTTTTCTTGTGAAGTTATAATAGAAGATCTGAATACAAGTGAAAGAGAACACTACTCGACGATGTATATGTTCTTAAAAACACCCAAAAGTCAACAATATCTAGACTTTTGCCGAGAGTCATCATCACTGCATCTGATGAACAAACGTCATAATTCTCGGGAACATAAAAGTTCGCGATATGTCAGATGCGTCGCGGCTTTCCTTGATGTTGAGGCTCTCTACCCAGCTCGTTGGCGTGTCCCTTGATTGGCTGTGATTTCAACCCGAATCATTGTCTGCGCACGAGTATATGATTTCTATCTTTAGTGTTCAGTTGCAGTTTGCCTAGTCCAATGACTGTGCTGTGGACCTGATTTTGCTGTATCCTACCATTTCGGGAATCCTGTCGGTGACTTTGGACCGGGAGTCACAATTTTGGCGTTTGCGTCTCGGGCTTTCGCCAAGCACAAGAAACTGCTTACAATCGACCTAGGTAGTTCTTACATCTTACAAGAAACGGTATCGGTATTTTTCCTAAATCAGTTTTTTGTAAATATCTGCACTGTCTATAATTTCCGAGAACCATTGCAACGGTATTGCTCAAAAAGGTATCTGCTTGCCCTGATGCAAAACCATCCTTCTCGATGGATGAACTACGTCACTTTTCGAGAAAATTGAAATCTCGATTCTATCCATGGTGAACACTATCCAGGATGCTGAAGATATCGAGATGTTTCAGCTCGGCACCGCATTTCGAAATAATCGATGCGGCACAATTCCGAATGGCAATGATGGCTCCCGTCTTTGAGCACTACAGCTAGGACTATTTCTCAACGTCTGACTTAGAGTTTACCAAGATGCTCAGCTGGTCACGGTGCCAAGTATGGTGGTTTCAGCGCGAGGCAGACTTGAAGCGATCAAAGTCCTCCCATCTGATACCTACGATCTAGAATCTGGTGTTGAATAGGACCTCAAAGCATGGTAGCCTAGCAGCCAGGGTAGCCCAGCAGCTTGGCGGATCGTCAAGCTTTGCGGGCAAGGTGGTAGGGTTGGATGCCGGGATCGAGGGAAATGGGCATTGGGCCTTTTGGGTGACTGCTCAGCGGTCCCGATGCTTGTGCAACGTGAGAAACACATGTTTGCAGGGACTTTTGGGCGTGGCCAGATGTGGCCAAACCAAAAACAGAGTACTATGCAGGTGGGAAGCGAAAGAATTATGGTCTGATTGGTTGTCAGTCGGGTTCGTTCCTCAAGGTTGGTATCCCCAGTAGCGGCAGGCCTAGTCTGGTCGATCTGACGCTCAATCCGGGACGCCGCAGATGTTGTACTATGAATAAGTCCTAACCGTAATGGCCATTACCTGAAAAGGCCGGTGGTGGAGAGTGCGTGCTCTGTGCATCTTACTGCCCACATAGGTAGCGTAAGAAATGTCCATCTTGTTCTAGATACAAGATCCAGTGTACGATAAAGGCGACTTTCGTAGAAGTCATCCCTGGCTGTATGATATACTCCCTGGTCATGGCCGTCCGGATCCGATGAGCCGCTGGATTGGCAGATTGAAATTAATTCTTCGATTGGTCGAGTCGTTGGGCTTACATGGATCTAAAGCGATCCAACCTGGAATGCTTGCAATTAGAATGTGACGTCAAATCGTAGACCAAGCGCCAGGCTGCCAATTGCTGGCTCCAACGGGGCTTACTTACACGTGTTAGAGAGGATCTTCCGGGGGGGGCTGAATGGAATACGGGCCATTACAGTTAGTAGGGAACAGGGGACATTGACAGCCCAGCCAACGCGCAAACACTCTCAACGGGCTCCACTAGGCTGTAGAGCACATAACTTCTTTTTCACCTAAGGAATTGCACACAACAACGCTGCAGCTGACAATCTGTCAGTGTACGGCGCGAATGGCTTCAGATCGCCGATCGAGTGCATCTGAGGCTGGACTGCTTCTAGCAACGGCTACCACAGCCGCGCAACTGCTCAGCGGGGCCCTGCCGGTAAGCTGACCCTTACAGAGCGAAGGACTCTGGGGAGGATTAGTTCCTTGCACTCGCCTCGTCTCATATCCTGGGAGACATATGTGCACGAGATCCTAATTGACAGCGATTTAACCCGCCGTGTTTCGTATATGGCAGACAAGAAAGCACACCTTTAATTATTGTACAAAAAATATCTAAAGAGATGAATATCTAAAAGGACTTGGCACTCTAGTGCAACGCCAGTCCAGGGCAATTTCATCAATATCGGTGTCAGTGTGCTCCTCTCGCGTTCTTATTATAATTATATCATTGTGGCCTTGATTCTTGGATGCCCTGTATTTGTTTATATTTGCCCAGGAATTATTCCATCACTCACCATTCTTCTCCTCCTCGCATTGGTCCATGGTCGAGCACCTAGATTCATCATTCAACAGCGGCTGCACACCTCAACGTTTCCCTAGCCGACAGAGCCATGGCTACAAAACCTCCGAGGCAACCAAAGCTCCGGTCTAGCTGCGATGGGTGCGGGGCTGCGAAGCTCAAGTGCGACCGCCGGCAGCCGACATGTGGACGGTGCGCGGATCTGGGTGTTACCTGCATCTACGGCGTGTCGCGAAAGATGGGTAAACCCCCGAGGGATCGGCTTCAACTCTCGGCATCGCGGGGCAAATCCCCGGCAGACCGGCGCCCCAGCTCCGCCGAGAAACGCAAGTTCGACGATAGCGACTTCCAGTGCCATCGACAAAGGCGGTCTGGTAGCGAGACCATGTCGTCACTTTCGGCGGCGTCGTCGACTTCAAGCAACAATGAAATGGAGTCGGCCTGGGGATCAGTCAACGGCGATGATTTTGTTAGTATGGGAACTAGCAACACGACGATGCTCGACGCATTTCCTCCATTGACCAACTTTGCATCTATGGACCTCGGTGACTGGGCTCTGTCAGACGAGCTCTCTTCGAATAACCTAGACAAATTGGACCCAGATCTGCTCGCTACATTCGAGTGGCCCGACTTTGACAGCACCGCGACACCGCCTCCATACGGACAGCAGTCTCATAGCGAATCAATAGGCAGCTTTCCCCTACCATTCAAAGGCGACAAGTTGTCCTCCGCGCCAGATGGTTGTAACTGCCTGCGTGAAACACACGAAATCCTGCGCAATCTGTCTCTCATAAATCCTAACAAGACACCGACGCCGTTGGCACCCGGGCCCATGATCAGCGGCGCGGGTCATTTCCCGTTAGACTTTGTACTTAACCTAAATCGCGAGTGCAGCGAGCATCTCGGCCGGTTGCTCAACTGTTCATGCGTGAGCTGTCCACATCTAGGACTGCTGCACGCCTCCATCATATCCCAAATCCTAATGTGGTATCATCAAGAGGGCACGTCGTCCATGTCATCTCCAAATCACATGTCCCCTTTCATGAACACGAAAACGGTTGACACTACCTCGCGACCGCGACCTCGCCCCTCCGGCATCACCACCTCCTCCTCCTCTTCAGCCTCATTGTGGTCTGGGAGTACCGCAATAGGTAGCAGTACCACGACGGGTGGCACAAACACACCGACGCTTGGCCAAGCATCCGGCCAGATGGCCATGGGATGCTTCATCATAGATGATGAGCGGGTACAATCTGCTCTCCGCATCCAATTATTGTTGGCAGAGCTGACAAAGATCGGATCTCTAATTTCTGCATTTTCTGCACAGAGCCCCAAGATTGTATCTGCCTCGGGTACGGTGGATCCACTCTATAAAAGTCTTGGCTCTTGGCTGTCCAAGGAGCATGCAAGCATTGTTGATTTGTTGAGAGCCAAATTAAGCGAGATCAGTATATGAGTGGATCTTGCAAGTCTGTATTATTTTAAATGTTAGCGCAGCGATTGTATTTCGATTATATTCTACCCTAGAAACTGTAATGTACATGACTTTGGGGCATTGTTTTCCGCAAACCGCCGTAGAACATGCCAATCGATACGAATGTCAAATCCGCCTTTCAGACCTCTTCGGTTGACTATGTAGCTGCCCGTTGACTACTCGAGATCATGGAATGTATCAACAAACGGTCCTCTCACATTGTTTTAGTATTATTATTAATTTAGCAGGCCCGTATGCGGTCGTATCTCTCTTCATCCAGATGTCAGTTTGAGCTCATGGTGCAATGTCGCAACCAGGTCAGCAGAGGATCGCAGAGCTCATTAAGGATGGGGAGTTTGTTTACATATATCTCGCCGGGATATTTCAAACAGCCAAGAGATGCAAATTGCCAAGAAAAGATATCCGAGACCAGGTCCCCCAAAGCGGACGTGGAGGATTGGTACCCTTGCTATCGAAGGGGGGCCCTGCTGAGCCACGTTGTCCGCGCAAATCAGTACGTACAAAGCCTCACCGCATCACTCTGGCTTGAGACAGCCTATAAGGGATCATTTTTGATGCCCGTTATGTTTCTTTTCTTGTCTTTTTGTCCCTATCGTAGCGCGATCCCACATTGGTTGGCCCAATAGCCGCGCCCAGTAGTTCGTCACACAGCTGGACGGTCCGTACTCGTACAGCATCAGTCCACTTTGCGTACTTCATCCCTAATATACCACCATCCAAATTCTGGAAGAACCCGAGATAGAATTGCTGGGGATAGTAAGATATTGCGTATGCATAGTAGGCAAGATGTTCACAGGTGGAGCGTCCAATGAGCTCCGCTTTCATCTTTTGCGAATTGCCTTTAGTCGGCTCCCGAATTTGTGTGTCTATGGCGTGGCTTGTATCAATACCGAATTCTAACAATAAAGTCATCGGGGATTGTCAGTTCTAACATCTATCTGACATTGCTTCAAGATGCTCCTTTATCTCATCTAGAAACCTTGGAAGATGATCAAACGTCGTTGAACTCCTGTCTCTGGAGACAAGAAGTGAATGACTAGAGCCAGAATCCTTCTTCAAGCAACGTCAAATTGAGAAGATTAGGTCAAACTAGAGTTCATGGGCAGGTTGACACCATTCAAATGGCCGCGACTTCTCAGCGTGCTCGACAGAGCAAGTATAGGACTGCCTCCCATTGCAAAACGTCCGACAACATCAATTTCTCAACTCTTTCATACTTACACGCCCAAGATTTGGTTCACGTAAGTGCCCCAGGCGTGACGTTATGCCAAGATCAGATGTGTACATCATAACCATCATAGTTCACAGAATCTACTACACGAAAAGTCGTTCCGTGACTCATCACACCGTCTTATTCCATAGTAAGCTACCCACCAGATTTGACATACGTTTTGTCGCTCTCGCCGGAGCCTAAAGCCCTGCACCTACATCAGCTCTCTCCCCTGCATCGCCCTGATCAACGGTGTACGTACGTATTCGTTGATCCGCAAGAGAATGATACCGCAACTACACTCATCCTTTCTGTACGACTAATGATACAGGCTCCTTGGGTGGGTTTACTTGAAATCACATCCCGAGGTGCTTTCTGTACATAGTCCTAGGGACCGGACCTCTCAGCTCCATGCATACTGGGTCGCAGGTATGTACGGCCCACCAAAATATTGCCACAATTGGCTGGACTTTTGGCTAGACACCAAGAACTTTTGACCTTATCTCCAAAGTTAAATTCGCGATTCGGTCACGGCGAGGTGGCGCCTGTGCAGGTATGCAGAAAGCGTTAGCTGGCGCCAGTGCTGCTACAAGCAAAGCACTTCAGCTCCTCAATCTTGTCAGTTGGAACAGTAGTGCCCTACAAGATTGCCTGCGGTGCCGCCTATAACAGACGGGACCAAAAGTCACATCAGCCGCTATCATTTTCTTCTTATGTTGATTTCCAGGAAATTGCTATTTCATCTGCCGCATCCGCTTGGGATTTCATTCTATTCCCGCCCAGTATCCATGATGATCTGCGTCTTCCTTGCGCCTCAGGTGAGCATCGCCGCACGCCCGCAGATTTCTTGGCTGATGCCAAGATTATAGTGGACGTGCACGCTATTCCGTGGGGCGATTGGGGCGCAATTTTGACTTTGCTTTTTTGGTCTTTACTGATAGAACATGTTCCATTCGGTTTTCTGGTAGATCACCTGGCAACTAGGTAGGTTGTGACCTTCTAATGTCAATCTGCTGTTCTCTCTAAGTTTTTGAGCAGATATTTGCCTTGCTCTGCTCATTGCCTCGATGCATGCTTTAGTGCAGAAGACACAATCCTGCGATAGTAGCCAAGCTTCACCGGAAATCATACTTTCGTATCGTGAATATCACTTGTGCGCAGCAGAAGAATAGTATTAGCATGCATTACTAGGACTGCGGGAAGAATTCCGTCCTGTCTTACCGTGTGGCTTTTTGGCATATGAACTATGATTTAGCAGGAAGCTGTCGCGTGTTACAAGAATCCTCTGACAACGCTAATGGCTTAGTAGAAAGCAAATAAACATTGGTGTTTAGTTCGTAGAATTTGTGTACAGAAAAACCAAATTCATTTAGAGAAGATACTTGCTCGTATTGGACCGAGTCACAATTGACCCGCATGAAGGAGGATACGAAGAACACGGGTATACTTCTGCTAAAGATGTCTGCAAGTGATTGCCATCACAAAATACCGAATTTCCGTGCTGAAGTTGCAGAAGTCTTCCAAGGATTCTTACTAAATTCGTTACACAGACATACATGGATGCTTGACCCAGTAGGATAGGATCAAAATGCTTGCACTTTGAGCCTAGGAGCAACATCTTTGTCATGATTGGGGGCCAAGCCCAAATCTTAAGATCTCGTTCAATTTGTGAGAAAGGAGCCATTGACCCAAACGACCAGAATCATCAGTGTCAACTAAGGAAAGCCAAAACGTCATCTTTAGTATTGGAAAGTGCCCAGAGGCAGTGCTGCCTTTTCTGACTTTGTTTCGTGTCGTGCAGAGTCTGGAAAGAGGATGACTAAAAAAACAAAACAACAAATGATCCGGGCAGCGAAAATGGACGCTCATTGGACAACAAAAACCCTATAGCGGTAAAGCAACAAGCGAGCGGCCACGCGGGAGGATCCGACGTAGCATCAAGGCTAACGAGCTGAGAGCCCTCGTCTCTTCCCCTCCAGCAGCTCGAAATACGTTGTCGGTCCCGGAACTGTCTTGGCTTTCATTTATCCTCGCGGATCTCTAATAAGATCTTATAATAAGCTTGTTACAGATAGCGCCTCTTCGGATCTTTTACGGGTATCAAAACTGGTAAAGAAGACCCGACGATAGAAAATTGATGGAGAATGACGAAATGCGTCAAATAAGTCTACAGCGTGACAGCAGAGCGAGACCTCCGGCTATGTATGTATATTATGCCTACGCGTTATGTTGACATTCGGAATGGTTGCGAATGAATCTGTCAGGTCACATGAGTGGACAAACAAGAAGGATCATCTTACTAAAGAAAGATTTTAACCCCCCTTTACATAATCATCACATCATATTCTTCCACACGCTTGTCATATATAAACCTTTCATCGAATCATCATGACAGAGACGAACGATCTTGCTGAGAACTCTAGACCCATCTTCTGGGCCGTTTTGCTCACCGTATTCTTAGTAGTACTATGGCTTCGTCGAGATCGTCGTCTGGACAAAATGCCTGGGCCGGGAGGGTTCCGTGTGAGCCTCCCTGCCAAGGTGCATATAGACTTTAGAGATTGGGCCTCAAAATATGGAGAGGTTTTCAAATTGCGCGTTGGTGTCTATAATTGGGTCGTTATCAATAGTCCTCAGGCTATGCACGAAATCTTGAGCAAACAGGTAAGTCTGCGACTATCAATCATCAATCACTCGGCCAAATCGACTAATCAAGCAATCAGTCCTCGAAGACATCATCAAAGATGCCAGCCCCTATGGGCCACGGAGTGGTCGCCGGTGGCATGCGCATGTTCACGCTCGAGTACGGGCTCAAGTGGCGCACCTATCGATCAATTACGCACCAGCTTCTCTCTGCTACCATGACCTCCACATTTATCCCGAGTCAAGAGTATGAGACCAAGCAGCTGCTGTTTGACTTGGCCAACAGAAACAATGACGAACAGGAATTTGCCATGCACGTCAGGAGATTTGCTCTCTCCAACGTCATGACCAGCACCTATGGACTGCGCGTGACGGACTGGGACAACGAGGATGTGCATCACGCGTTGGAGAGTGCCCGTATCTTGGGCAAAATCACTCGCGCGGGCGGATTCATCGTGGATGAGTTGCCTATTCTGGCGCAACTACCAGCCTGCTTGCAGCCGGGTAGAAAGGCCGCAGAGGGATATGCAAAGCCACTGCTCCACGCCAAAATGATACTCTGGCAGCGACTGGAGAAGCAGGTCGCAGAGGGCAAGGCACCATTGTGCTATGCGCGCGAGCTCATGGAGAACAGCGAGTCCTGGCGCAAACAGGGACTGACTGATGAAGATGCGGCTTGGATCGCCGGTGGAAACGTGGAGGCCGGATCCACCACAACGTCCGTCACGCTCCTGAGCCTCTTGCTTCAGCTGTCCGCTCGCCCACACGTCCAACAGGCAGCTCACGAGGAAGTCATGCGCGTCGTCGGGCCTGACCGAACGCCTGCGTTTGAAGACATTGAGAACATGCCGTATATCCGCGCCTGCATCAAGGAGGTGCTGAGAATGCACCCGACGCCGTTTTGGGGCATCAAGCACTACGCCGACGCCGACGTGGTATACAAGGACTACGTGATTCCCAAGGGCACGGTGTTGCTCGGTAACACGAGCTTTATCCACTACGACCCGGAACGGTATGAGGAGCCCTTTGACTTTCGACCCGAGCGCTACCTGGACTTTCCCAAGTATAGCTCCGAGTACGCCAACCAGAGCGACCCCTACGCGCGCGACCACTTTACCTTTGGCATGGGCCGTCGCATCTGTCCCGGTGCTCGTCTGGCCGAAAACTCGCTCAACATTGCGCTGGCCAACATCATCTGGGCCTTTGAAATCCACCCGCCAATGGTGGACGGGTTAGAGGCCAAGGTTGATCTCACCGACGATGCGTGGGAGGACACGAGTTTTCGCGGACCAAAGCCTTTTGCTGCGCGGTTCGTGCCCCGCGGGGATGACAGGCTTCACATATTGGAAGATCAATGGGCCAAGGCCAAGGAGGAGGGCTACGTGCTCAGAGGCCAGAAGGTTGATGTCAACAGTATTGCTACAGCATAGATACTGGAGCTGAACACATAAAATTTGCACACATTGCACTGTCCTAATAGAATAGATTTCTAGGTATAAAACTCTTATCTGAGCGAATACGAAGAGAGAAATATGAATAAGAAGGCGAGATAAAGAGTTTGATTTGATCCTGTCGAAGTTTATCTAGAATACCTGAGCAGACAATCCTCATCAGGGCTGATACACGCCCATAGAACGTAGAATCATTTAAATAATGGTTGTTCTTGCGCCTGAAGTCAACCATTTGACCTTGTCCGCGATTCCGGCATCCCTGAAAATATTCTTGAGAGCTTCGCCATTTTGTGTAAAGTGCGACCATGATTCAAAGTGCATTGGGACGAGGATATCTGCTCCCAATATCTCCAACATCCTCACAGCGTCTTTACCTCCCATTGTGATCTGCGAGAATCCCGTGGGACTGTTGGGATCCGGAGACATGGCCTGGCCTAGGTTTGCAAGGGCAACCACTACATGATACTGCTTTCGAATCTTCTCTAGCTCCTCTTCTAATAGGATTGTGTCACCAGTGAAGTAAAAGACATTCGGACGGCCATCAGGTTGGACGCCGAACGAGTCCTTGTGAAGAAGGAAACCCGTTACTTCTCCACCAGGGACGTGAACGCATGGAGTGCCGGTGACCTTCCACTCCTCGCCGCCAAAATGAAAGTCGAGAGTCTGCCAGGGCTGGATCGCAAATACACCGGGATAATCGTAGAGGTTTCGAGCGCCGTCGGGTGTGGTGATGACCTGGCGACCGAGAAGTAGTTGGCGGCCGGTCTGATCCAGGTTGTCGACGTGATCTTCGTGACTGAGGAGAACGGCATCAATGACCGGGAGCTGTTTGATGCTAAGCTTGGGACCCTCTGTGACGCTAAGGACGAATTCGCCCGGCTTCATTCCAGCCAAGTGCGATAGATCATAGTCTTGTGGAGCGTCGTCGAAGATTGGATCCGTGATGAATGTAACGCCATCGAATTCCAGAATTGCAGTCGCTGTTGTAATATGTGTGATGGCCACTTTACTCTTGAACGATGCAGGGACTGCCATATTGGTCGAATTCGTGTTTCAAGTTTAAGATGCGAGAGAATTAATTCTTGGGAGGATACTAAGGGATTAAAATCAACTACATGATGCTGGTCATCCTTTTATACATCGCAGAATCGGAGCTCAGCAGTTGGTTGTATTTATCAGCATGGGAAATTATAACATCTAGCGTCCGAGTTCAATGCCGCGATTTCCTAGGTTTTCCTCCCCTTTCTCCTGTTTCCTCCACCGGGTGCACCTCAATGTGAGATCGCTTCAGAAAATGGGCCAACATCGTGATGTAAGCGACATCAAGATATGGTACTATTGGTGGCGGCTGACGATGCTTTCAAAGTCTTTGAATGGGCTACATACCTATACTAGTCTCTTGGCGGAAACTATGCCCAATTGTGGGAAAAGAAGCACCTGAATGCTCGCGCGTTCGACCACTGAAGCGCCTCCGCGACTCCCGCATTTAGACTCTGTAGTCTCGATCTAATCCATTTTCAGTATCATAAACCGCCAAGCCTTCCGAGTGGGGGTCCCTGGCCTCGGTGGAAGAGACTCGCATTTTACACCGAGAGATGTGAGAATCGTTCATCTAAACCACCTAGCAACGACAACGCCGAGATCTGAGCGAATCTGAATATCATGAAGTTGCGGCACAAAAACGTCTGTCAAACATGCCGGGACCACAAAATCGGGGTACGTCTTCAATGGTGACTTTGTTCAGCTGTGCAATGCTTACAAGATGGTGCGCCACGCCTAGTGCGACGGCATACGACCGTCCTGCTCTCAGTGTCGCCACACCGGCCGAGAATGCGCTGGCTATTCGGTTGACCTCGAGTTCGTGTCAGTTCATGTCAATAGCCGTCAATTCATGAACGGCCCCCGAAAATCGAACAAAAGGCGGAAGAATGCCAGCCAGGGTATCTTCCCAGTCGAGGTCTTGGACCAAGAGCAACGGACTAGGAATGGCCAATTCTACTTAACGCGTACTCCACTACCGGCTCTGCAAGACGCCGTGAATATAATCGTTCGCAGCTATGTCCCCAATAATGAGCTCCCTTTTCTTACCCAAGCCGAGGAAATTCAGCCTCGAATATGTGGCGGTTGGGTCACAACACTTCCACACCTAATTGTTGATTGTGGGAAATATACGGTATTGCCAGCCGCTATCGAAACTCTTGCGCTTTCAATCGCTTCCAAGAAAGCGCAACATACAGTAAAGTATGCAACACTCTGGCAATCTTACGGATCTACGCTACGTCTTTTGCGACAGAGCCTGCTACATGGTCATGGCAAGTTTGATTGCGAGCATCTCGCAGCATCGATGTGCCTGACATTGACAGAGGCAAGTCCGGCTACGTGTAATCTCGGCTACTCCCCGACTAACGAGCGTCACTTAGCTTCTGATCAGTACGCCAACGAACGACGGAAAGATACACATTAATGGTGTGGGGAGCATGTTTAGGAGTATTGGCCCTGAATTCTTTGCTCAAGGTGTACCTCATAAATTATTTGTTGGCTTTCGACCGCTACTGGTGTGTGCATAATGTCCATTCCTGTTACGAGGCGATCTGACAATACCAATTTAGGTCTTGCAATCAATTGTATCACGGAGCACATCATTCATTGCACATGAGTCGTGGAAAACAATACCCTTCCAGTTCATGTCTTCCTCGCCAATGCAAGAACTCCTCACCGAAGCGGTCAATATCCCCTTTGTTCTTGAACAGTTCGACTTGCTGCCTACGCGTCCATCGGGTTCTACTCAGACTCACAATAATGCACTGCAAGATGAATTTCGAGTACTCCTGAAACGCCTTCATTCATGGAAAGCGACGTACGCAAGCAAATCACAAGGTCCATTATACTGGTCATACCCAGGTGACAGGCCTCCAGACCCAGACGAAGAAATCTGGCTCTGGTTCGACAACGTGGTAGTGGCCAATGCTCTCACTCATTATTGGGCATTTACTGCAATTTGCTTGGTTCATATACAAAGGCTACGCTTTGCGACCAATGATTTCAGCGCTAGCAGCACGATTCAGACACGAGCGGCATATGTTGAAGCACTTTCCATGATTTGCAGAAGCATTCCATTTCTGTTTGAGGAAAGTCATGAGCTATATGGCCCTTCTTCCGTCGCCTTCCTCTTGAGCACTGTCGTGAGTATCCTGAACTGGGATGAGGAGCTCTACGGTTCGAGGATTACCATCAATCAAAATCTTGTAGAATATGCCAAAGACCAAGGCTTTTGTTGGGTATCATAGCATGTTCCAAGCCAAATTTGACCACCTTTAAACTTCGCGAAAAGTAGCATAGAACACGCCGATACCTATGACAGCGGCCCTTTCTGATCGTTCGTTCAGACCTTTCAAGCAAATCTTAAGCAGCTCATTTTCACATTGGTACGACGAGCGCAAAGTACACCAATGATCGGGACGGGCTCGCGCTCGCTACGGAACCAGCAAACGCAGAGCTGCCAGTCTTCCCACAGTTGCTGCGTCAGTTCTCGTGATATCCACTATTGATGCCGGTCTAGCCCAGGACTGTATAATATCGGCAAATATTTCAGAACGCGCAACGTTCGTCCTTTAGTGCGTTGTGCCCGCTGCCAACTGCCATTGTACGGCGGAGATAGGATAGATGTCCGACAATTATCGCGCTCGTTAAGAACGGAGTGTGTTATATGCACCACCGGTATATCAATATACCGGCGTCCGTGGAAATGTCCCCACTCCAGACTTGATAATTAACAAGGGCGTCAAGCGGCGTAGCGACGTCAAGTTTATCTTGCCCTCCATCCAAGGTATTGTACCCACCGTCACCACTATCGTAGAACTTGATTCGTCGCAATATATATATGCATTACAAGTTGCAACTGAGTCGCTAGACTTTTAGACACCATTATAGCATTCTGACGATCGTGTGGAAACAAATAGAAAAAAACATGGCACTACCAAAGGTTCTTCTCCTTGGGAAGATCGATCAGTGAGTATCGCTCAGAAATCCTTCAACTCGGGAGCACATATGCTGTACTTCCTCTACAAGTCCAAGTACGGGCCTTTTCGCAGGCACTCGGTCTCTAACACTCTTGCAGCGCCACTGACTCGTGGAGTGCACTGTCGGACATAGCCGACCTTGTGTTGTCAGACGCAGGCAGTAGGTCAGACTTCATGAGAGAATGTATTAGTGGCAGATATGAGGGTGTCGTCGCCATCTGCGATCGAGCACCGTCTAGCCTCAAGGCAACCGGAAGATACGACGAAGAACTGATATCGATACTCCCCACGACCTTGAAGTTCATATGTCATAATGGTAATGTCCCACGTGGGCAGTTATTGACTTGTCTGTTGTTACTAAGCATTTTGTTTCAAATTTTAGGTGCTGGCTATGATAATATCCAGATCCCACCCTGTACCGCCCGCGGCATCTTGGTGTCCAACTGCCCTGGCGTTGTTGAGAATGCCACGGCTGATGCGGCTGTCTTCCTGATCCTGGCTGCCCTACGGGGGTTCAATAACGGTATAATGGCCATCAGAAACGGCACCTGGCTCGGCGCAGTTCCACCCCCACCGCTTGGGCATGACCCGCAGGGCAAAACTCTGGGCATCCTCGGCATGGGCGGTATCGGGCGCAACCTCAAGCGCAAGGCTGAGATCTTCGGGATGAGGGTCATATACCACAACCGAAGGCCACTTCCTAGTGGCGATGCCGATGGCGCCGAATACGTGAGCTTCGATGAGCTTCTGGCTACAAGTGACGTGCTGAGCCTTAACCTGCCGTTGAATGTGAGTAGGTCAAGTCCAATGAGGCCCTGAGGCTCTGCTGACATGCGGTCCCATACACAGCTGAACACCCGCAATATCATCTCGACGAGGGAGTTCGACAAGATGAGGGAGGGCATCGTCATAGTCAACACTGCAAGAGGGGGCGTGATGGACGAGAACGCCCTTGTCGAAGCCATCAGCTCGGGGCGCGTACGGTCTGTAGGGCTAGATGTGTATCAGCAGGAGCCAAACATCCATCCTGGTCTGGTCTCAAACCCTCATGTATGCCTGATTCCCCACATGGGAACATCGACTGTGGAGGTACGTGTTACTTGATCCGCAGCGACCCGGCAGTAGCCACATGTTGGCTGGCTAATCAGATAGTAGACCAAGACAGCTATGGAGGAATTGACGATCAGCAATATTCGCTCGGCCTTGGAGACGGGAAGACTGAAGACTGTGGTACCCGAGCAAAAACATATATAATGGTAAGCTTGAGTCATTACCATGCCTTTCCCAGATGCTGGAAAAGACTCTCGACGCCAGACGATGCCAACTCAAGTCAAGGGGCGACACAGAGGCGCTGACATGATCAACACGTGTCTCGAAGGTCCAAGCTAAGATTTTCAGGCATTTTACTCCTTCTGGGCACCATGTACCTACACAATAGATGCGCCGTTATACAACCAAATCCTCGATGCTCGCTGCCTATTGTAGAGACGGAGAGCACCCTGCACCAACGTGAAAGTACTGTCACTGGTTCGGCGTACCTGATATTCGGCAGTGAGACTTATATGCCATGTCGACTCCTTACACGTCCGTCTCCCAGGCACCAGGACACATGCGACACATGCCGGGTTCCGGCTCTAGCGCGGTCATGCGTGACGCCTCTGTAGACCCTGGGTGACTATAAGCGACGCCGTGCTAGAAAGCAGAGACATCTATGGGCCACGTAATATATGGCGTATTTTGTTTGCATGGACCGTGGCTTCAGTACAGCCACTCACCGTCCGTCTCAGATCCAAATGTTTCAATCCGGTTAAAAGCCAACTCGCCCTCGTCCAGCATCGGTATATCGAGGAAGTCAAATGAATTCGAGAAAGCCTCAACAGCGATTGGATGCCCAGCCAGGGTTCCGAGATGCTTCTGGAGGCCGTAGGACGTACGCCTCGTGTCGTTAAAGATGTCGATTCCAGTGGGGCCACCGGGGTTATCTCTCGTGTCGACGATCAGCTGGATTATCTCGGCGTGGCGTTGAGCGCACGGCCATATAAGGGCTTGATGGCGCAGGATGCCGAGCAGAGGCTCGAGATCGTCAGGCGTTGTTCCGTTTGCGTTCTCATAGCCTGTAGTCCAGAGTATAACCAGGGTTCTGGCGGCAACCCATACCACAAAAGCAAACACCGGGCCAAGCTTCTCCAGCTCATGAGGCTGCAGCGACGATGTCAGACAAGTCACACTTCGGATGGCCTGACGACAGCGACTCCGTGCCACTGAAGAGGGCCTCAGATAAGGTGATGTCGTGGAAGGGAATGCAGCTACCGTATACATACGGATGTTGATCCTAATCAGTTGCAGGTTAGATCCGCTCATCTTTGTTAGTAGCGTGAAAAGAAGGGGGTTTCGATCCTACAGGTGAAAGGTGGCATGGAGCATGATCCAAGACCAATCGAATCTGTCTGGCAATTCCCTGACATTCTGCGGCAGCTTCTCGAACCATGTAGACAGTGTGATATCCAGGCAGCGGAAGTTGCTCTGCCACTCCTGGCAGGGCGCGGGGAGTCCCAAGTTGACGGGGTGGGTCAACAGCCGGTTTGACCGGTCGAGCAGCGCCAGAAGGTCGATTTGGTGATGCCTCAGTCTCGCAGTGCAGTCCCGATGTGTAGGTTTTGAGCCTGTGACAAACCACTCTGGAGCAATTACCTGACCCCATTCCTCATCGCCCACAGGATACGGCAATCTAATGCTCTTGGTATCCAGGCCTCCGGACTGACCGTGGAGCATGCTCGAAAAGCGATCGAGGCTGTATATTGTCCAGAAGAGGCGACACTTTTCCTCCTCCTCAATGCTTGAGGAGCACAGATCGTCGTCCGAATCCTCATTCCTTACCAGGGCGGTGTTCGACCCGCCGCTTGCGGGCAGCGACCTCTTGGCGAGCCTCAGCTGCTGTGTCGTGCTCAGGAGCATGGCCATGATGTTGCAGGTTCGGGGGCAGGGTCCTTGCCCGACGGCATCTATCGCTAAGAGCGTCAAGGCCTGGGCAGATACTAGGGAGTGGGCGTTTATTGCCTTCAGCAGGATCTGCTCTCGTGAGTTGGATACATAAGCCTCTCGAACCTTTGTCGAGGGCTCCGACTTCTTCCAAAAGCGAAAGCAGGCCACTACTAACCCGTGCAGAAGAAGCCGGCGTCCGGGCGCAAACAGATTGGCACTGAAGGTCGGCCTGAAGAATATCGGGGCCCAGGGATATATGAACTCGAAGAACAGTTCAGAGAGCTCGGTCAGTATGCCGTCGGGAGGCAGGCTTCTACTCCCGTGACTCTGCATCGTGGCGCCGAGGGAAGATGAGGGATGGGACGAGACAGTGGCGGAGGCCTGAAACTGATCTAGAGGCATCAGCGGTGGGCATGTCTCGAATGAGTCCATGGCGGGTATCTGCTGTGCTGGCTCCCATATCTGAACGTCATTGCCAGGCAGACCTGCCGCGCTCTCTGACGGCGCGGGTTGGAAGGTGTCGCCGTCACCACCATCCCTCACTACGTTTCCGGTATTGATATGACGGAGGACATCCTTCAATGATTGTTTTATTGTATCCATGTTTGTCTCCAACATGGTCAGTCGGTGTTCTATTGCTTTGCCATATCCTGGGCGCAGCCCAGGCTGCCCCTTTTCGCGGTAGACGCAAGGGATCCCTTTGATAAATCATCAGCCCGTGTGGCATGGCAAGTGTGGAACAGGATGATCGGTTCACCTTTGCGGCGACATGAAGCGCAGAAAGGCCTAGAACTGTCGCAGCGGGACTTCTTCACTTTGCAGTTCTCGCATCTGACCGGCATGCATCATCGACGTTAGTTGCGGACCCAGGGAAAGACGCAGCCTGGGACACGGGTGATCACATACGCCTTCGATAGCGCCTTAGGCCGCCTGCCGGCACCATCATCTCCTCCGGCGTGCAGGGAATTGGCCGACATGACGACGTATAACCCCGAACATCAGGAATGTGCAAATATTGAAAGCTCAACTGTAGAATCCCAAGATGGGACGATGCTCGCTCCTCTTCTACCAGTCCATGTCGGCATTGGTTGGTTTCAGGCCACTGCCTGGGGGCTCGCAGGGGGCCATTACCAGTGCTTGCTTAATGTAGGGAAGCAGATTCAAGTCCCGGCCTCTGCGGGGAAGATGCGGGGAGGTGGGCCACAGAGAATCGTATTTTGTCAATTCCTTTCAACAATCACGGTGCAGTCTTACCTGGAAGGTACTCGTTATGGTGCCCGGGGCACAGAGTACCTAGCTACTAGGTACTCAGCAGTTGGCTTCAACTTGCGAATCCGCCCCCCACGGAAAGCCGGGGCAATGATGCTGCGGTACCCACAACCTTGTAGCTAACTTGGTGATACGTTGTCTAGCACTCGGGCAGCTGGGCAGCCCTCAACATAGGCCAACGGCTCAATCAAGTTCATCTCTGCAGCGCCACCTACGAGAACAGCCCAATGTATCGAGACACATGAAAATATAATACATAGGTACTGTCAGTAGTATACTGACCCTGTAGCCTTGCATAGCCGGGGTGCAGAAAGCATTGAGGCATCTAGCTACCTAGGTAGGTTAACCGTTAGACTACGATACTTAATACTTACAAAATCCCCAACATATACTGTACATGCGGGTCAGAATCTGACAGTGACACAATATTTGGCACCCGACAACTTCCCAGGACTTTCCATCATCAGACTACCTCCCCTTCGGCTCAATAGGCCATCACGCCGGCCAATTGGAGGAGGCGTTCTGAGGGTTCTGCCTTCTCTAACGGTTCGGAGCGGTTGCGAGGGTCAACCGTGCCGTCTGGCAGGCAGACTAGCGATTCTCGGAGCTTGATATTATCGTGAGGCCAATGTGTGGTCGCCCCGTTTGCCTTGAATACACGCGCCTTCTCTTGCAAGGCGCTCGGCGCAGCCAGCTCCCTTGGGGCGTAGGCGGCGTAGATGACTGTCCGGATCGTGGTGCTCTTGTCCGTCGGCTCACCTCCCCAGTGAATGGTGCGCGAGTCCCACAGGATCAGGTCCCCGGGCTCGGCGTGCACCTTCTGAGGCGACAGGCCGCGGCTGCGGAAGAAGCTCATATCCTCCTCGCTAAAGTAACGGTTGTCACGCCACTCCCAGTCCGCTGGGCTCGTCTTGGTGTCAAAGAAGTCTTCCACGTATCGATGGGACCCGGGAATGACGACCAGTGACCCGTCTTCTTCTCCGGCATGGCTGAGGTTGATGATACCCTGCACGCAGTGGAGGCCACGTTTCCGAGGCGCCTGGTCGACATGCGGCCACGGCTTCCGAGAGGGCTTGAGGTTGGGCAGCGTGACGTTCAGCGAGTCAAACGAAACGAGCAGCTCTTGTGTGCCCCAGATCTTGGCGAAGGCATTCACAACCCCCGGCTCCAGACGTGCCTCCCACATGAACCGCTCATGCACGACTCCACAATGCTCGTAGGTGTTCCTGTCCGTCTGGACCGGCAGGGTCGCATCCTTCCAGGTGCCGGGATCTTTGAAGTCCAACTTGGGGTCAAAGGTCTTCAGCCAGTTGAATGCTTGTTGCTGGTAGTATTCGGCCTTCTCTGGGGGTACGGCTCCTTTGACGACAACATATCCGTTCGCTTCCAGGTCGTCTCGCCAATCCCCGAACCCAGTCTGCAGTCTTGCGCCATTAGCATCTCGCACAGTAGACCATTCTGAAGCCAAGCAGCTTACTTGAAGGGACTGAAGACTCTTTCGGAAGCAGGGCGGGTCTCCTCGGTGGCGGTGGTCGTCATTGTTTATCTTATGTGATTTAAATTCTGAAAAGGGAGATACTGTAACAAAACATCAACTGATCGTAAGGCAGGCTCGAAAAGCATGTAGATTGTTCACCGCGCAGGTCATCCATTATGGAGTTCGGAGACAGGGATATATGACTGCTATACAGTATTCGCCTCCCCACGCAATGTATTGTTTCATGCAGGGAGGGTGAAAAGCAGGCTGCTTTACCTAAGCCGTTGTCATCGTTGTCCAAAAATGACCCGGTGCATGATTGCGCCGTTATTGTGCACGATGGCTCGGTCAACAGGGCCGCGCTGAAGTCCGGGGTGGGTTCAGGCCCGGACTGCGGGGGGGTAGGGAGCCCATATGCATACCGCGTCAAGTGAAAGTGAGGGGTGTGCGGGGGATCACCACTTCTCATATTCGCGAACACATAGTACATAGTTACGGACTAATACTTCGGGCGTGGGACCCGTACTTGGCCAATACTGGTGTACTTAAATTTGTAGCTTGATCCATCAGCGACTTGCACGGGGTCTGGTAAGATTGATCCGCCATCAGAGATAGTCAGGGTACCTCGTCCTGTTCCTTTCTTTGGAGTTACTTGAAGCTTTAAGGCCAATCAAGCCCGATACATTTGTTAGTCCGCAACTAGCCTATGAAGTTGACAGGATGCGCATTCTTGTGACTGGTGCCGCTGGCTTCATTGGGCAGATTGTAGCCCAGGCACTCCTAGAAGATGAGGCCAACCAGCTCATTCTCACTGACATCATTGAACCGCCCATCCCACGAGATGCAAGGAACCCGAATCAAGCCAGAGTGGTGAAGGCGGATCTCTTTGAGGCCGCCGCAAGCGTTGTCGACAATAATCTCGATGCCGCCATACTCCTCCACGGCGTCATGTCAAGCGGCGCTGAGGCTGATTTCGAATTGGGATACCGCGTCAATGTTGATGCCACGCGATCAGTGCTCAACTGCCTGACGAAAGTGTGTCCTGGGGTCAGAGTTATCTACGCTTCTAGTGAGGCTGTCTACGGGAGCCCGGTACCAAAAAGCAATGTCACTGAGGCGGATATACCAACTCCGGAGTTATCATACGGGTGCCAGAAGATTATCTGCGAGACGTTTATTAACGATTATACGCGTCGGGGCCTGATCAACGGCTTCTCGCTCCGCTTTCCTACCATTTCTGTGAGGCCCGGCAAGCCCGCAGCAGCTGTTACTTCCTTCCTCTCTGGAATCATTCGGGAGCCAATGAATGGGCTTCCGTGTTCTATACCCCTAACGGATCGCTCCTGGCGCCACTGGATGTGTTCGCCGAAAACCTTGGTACACAACATCCTCGTCACGCTCAGCCTTCCCCGAGACGCGCTCGCACCGCACCGGAGAGCCGTTAATGTCCCCGGGTTCGCGGTGACAGTGCAGGACATGCTGGACGCGCTGGAACAGGTCGGTGGAAAGGAAAAGCTGGTGCTCGTGATGGAGGAGGAAGTTCCGGAGCTGAAACCTATTCTGTATTCCTGGGCTGACGATTTCGACAACAGTCTTGGCTTGTCATTAGGAATGAAGCAGGATAGTTCCTTCGTCCAGTCAGCACTTGATTACAAAGAAACACTTGAGAGGGAGACTTCTAGACGTAATTAGCAGCGGGAACAATGTTCACGTTCATAGGCAAGACAATAGAGCGTGCAAATGATTTCATCCACTCTTGCTTACACTTCCGCAGTGCAAGGTGCCATCAGTATCCACGAGGTAGACCAGTAAAATGCGACCAATGTTCTACGTACGTATGTTTACAACTGAAAATGTATTGTATAACAAGCATGGTCAAGTGACGTGCACCATCGTGTCATGAACAGGAGCATCACGGTCTGTATGCCCCATTTTGGGCTATCCGAAACTCCTTGTCACTCGGACTTTTTGCAATATTTATAAGGCTGATTAAAGCTAAAAGCAGGAGCACGTACGTTAGGCTAGATTGACCACTATGCCGCCTTCCCCGTTGATTTCAAGAAGTCCATGTGATACTCTACAACGTCCTGCATCGCCTTGGTCTGCTTCTCGATCACTGTGGTCAATGGCACCTTGCCAGTCCACTCGGCCGCTACTTTTGTATAAGCAGCGTTTACCGGCCCATTGACATTCACCTTGGCCATTCCATAAGATATGCACTTGGCCAGTAGCTCCGCTTGGAAATAGTCCTCATGGGCGCCGTGCAGAACCAATCGCACTCTGTCTCCGACAGCCGCCCGCACTCGTTCCAGTCGCGGGAAGTCGAGCTGCGGACCTTTCGGCCCGTACGGTCCGTGGACGTTGCCGAATGCAGGTGCGAGCCAGTCGATTCCCGTGGCCACGAATTCTTCTGCTTGCTCGGGCGTCGTGAGCACCTCCTCCAGATCGACCGTATCTGCGATGCCATCTTCACACCCGTTTATGCGGCCCGGCTCGGCTTCGGTGATGATGCCCCGGGCGTTGCAGTAGGCGACGAGTTCCTTGGTCAGCTGCAGGTTCTCCCCGCGCTCGTAGTGGCTCATGTCGACCATGATGCCGTCAAAACCGCCCAAGTCCGCAGATCGCCTAATTATATCGGGATCTTGTGCATGATCCATGTGCACGCCGATGGGGACTGTCGCCTTATCCGCGGCCTCTGCGGCAGCGTGTATTAGGAGGCCATCGGCGTACTCGACCGACCATGGGAAAAGCTGTATTAGGGCTGGCGATCGCTTAGACTCAGCTGCGCGAACTGTGGCGATAATGGCCTCTAAATTATAGCAGCAGACGGCGGCAATGGCATATCCTCCCGCTGCGGCGGCGTCAACGATGACCTTGGCACGATTGTTCTTCAGCTTAGCTTCCACCTCATGGGTAGTGCCGTTTGTCGCCATCTCTTTTAAGTAGATTTGACACGATTGTAGGGCTTAGTGATGATGTGCAATTTATAGTGGGATTAATGGCATCCAACCGTTATATGGTAGATGATGTGGTGGCGTTTTGTTGACAAGTACTGTCGACAAGGGTTTTATATTATGTCCCTGATTAGTCTATCTACTATGGAATATGGAGCTACATTGCGGAGTCTACAATTTGTTTGCGATGTAAAGAATTCTCGTTGCGGAAAACCTGACTCGGCGGGACATCATTAGGAGACACCGCCGGGAAAGATGCCCCGGCCGCTTTTGGGGGGATGATAATAGGTCCACAGACCGACATGAATTTACAGCCAGATGAGCTCATCGGTCAACCCAACCACCAGCCTTGATCTCACAAGACTCGTGCCGGGGTAAGGCTAAGGTGACTTATATCCGGGGATCACAGGGTTCCCCTAGTTGTTCGGTATATGGTCCTCGGGTCACAGCATCAGATAAAATCAGGCATATAGGTTGGAACAGTGATTACCATCCGGAAATGGAGAACAACTGGCTCATTTGCCAACGCGTATCGCTGTCGGTGCAGAAGAATGAGCTCTATCCCCCCTAAACGAACCCATGTGCTGAGACAAAGATCTTCGCAGCCCTGCTAGTCCATAGTGTAGTAGAGGCTCCGACCCTGGACAATCCTTTAGGAACACTTGTTCTCCAGGTGTGTCGAGCCAGACTTGCTGTTGAATATTGCATTCTCGGTGGCAATCTGGTCTTCACCGATATCTACAACTCGATCACCAAATGCCGCAGCGATTTGTTCCAGGGTTTTCAGCTTGGTCTCACTAATTCTGGTCAATTTGCAGGATCCAAGTTGTGTTTCGGAGCTGAGGATGGACGTACGGGAAGTAAAGGTAAATCAGCACGAGGTAAACACTGCAGCATCCGACGAATACGTAATAGTAGTTCTCGTGGATTGTTGCAAAAGCACTCGGACCGGCCTCAGTGACTGTGACAAAGTTGTCAGCACAGCTATCCAAAAGCTTGGCCATCGTGAACCAACCAGATACGTTGACTATATAATGTGCTGCAGCGGCTACACCCATTATTCTACTCCTGATGGACATGGGTAAAACCTCCGCGCCATACAGCCACGTCACGCTGTTAATTAAACTGTCTGTTTCATATATTAGGGGAAATCTTCAGCATTGGATCGTGGAGCATCAAGACGAACAGTAGCCAATGGCAAATAGATATAGCCCAAGGATGGCAAAGGCTTTCCCGACGCTGTTGGTGGAATTTTGGAAGATGCGCTGCATAACCGCGCAGTATATCTCCGTCACTATGACACACACAAGACCTAATAGAAGCATCCTAATTCGGTTGAGTATAATGATCACACCAAGCTGCAAATCTGGTCTTACTTTCGTCGCCCCCACCTGTCAGGAAGGAAGTTGACGGAGATGACATTGGAGATGAAGGCGCATGTCCCCCATACGGCTGCCAATGCGAGGATGGTCTGACCATCGATGCCCAGTGATGCGTAGAGTGTTGCTATTCAAGATCAGTAGGAACATCAGGTAGCAAGGCTGGTCTCTCAACTTTGGTAGTACTATGAGGATGTTAGCAGACGAAGACGTGCGTTCCTTCTCGAGAGCTATTCACACCTGGATAACATTGACACCTGTTATGCTGGTCATGATTTGGATTGCGACGGATCTGGAATTTGTCAACGATATCCTTTTGTGCACAAGAATCTCTCCTTACGACGTACACCAAGACTCGATGTCTATATAGCTCAAAGATTTCTCTATAGCTACGCATCTCGCGCTGCATCTCGAACTCGATCTGTGACTGCATGAGAGCGAATTCATGTTGAGCTTCATGGGAGAGCAAGTCGCTTCTGATCTTCTCAAAAGCGTAGCGTGCGTCTTCGACTTTCCCCTTCTGAATTAACTGACGGGGCGAGTTGGGCATAAAGGTCGAGAGGCCGGTGAAAAGGATGACGCCCCAGGGAATCTGAAGACCAAGGGGTAATCGCCATTGGATGGGGCCGTAAGGGGCAAAACCCCCTGCAAACCCGACCCAGTTGGCGCACATTGTGCCTGCGGAAAGCCCTACGCCAGATAGGCCGCCGATCAGCCCACGTGTCTTGGGGGCGCTGATTTCCGAGAGATAGACAGGTACTGTGCCACTCAGTGCTCTGCATGCAAAACATCAGCTGAGGGACACCCCGACTTCAGATTCGTAGAGGGCCGAGGGCATACCCGACAGCAACTCCGGCGATAGCCCGCCCAGCAAGGAACATGCCGACGTTGACAGATGCAGTTTGGATAGCACACCCGATTGTCACGATCACGGCTGCAAGCTGCATAAAACGAATTCGGCCCAACTGGTCGGCGATGAAGATCTGTAAGATTGACCCTACAGCCTCGCCAGCGATGTATATGGCAACGACCTAAGACATACGTGTCAGCGGCTGGGGCTCCTACGGGATAATGGCTGAATCATGTGCGCACCGCACCAGTCAGTCCGTTGTTGGGATGTTGCATATAGTCCTTCCAGCTCTGGTGAGCGATGGCTATATTTGCGCTTAGCTATGGACAACCTCCAACCTCGTGAGGCCGGTGAGCAACTCACTGGTGGTTGCGATGCCCGTGTCGAATCCCTACGTTAGCTCGGCTGATCAGTACCCTTTCAGCTGGAAGGTTACCGGACGGGGAACTCACATATAGGAATGTTCCCATGGACGCAAACAGAGCAATGCCAACAGTATACCACTGACCTCCCATATCTATAATCGTCAGTAACTTCAACAGAAAGACATAAGTAGATAGCGTGCTGTAATGACGAGATAAAAGCGAGATTGTTACAGAAGTAAACTGAACCTCGATATAGGCACACAGCGCCGATTATTAATATTACCCACTTGAGCACAGCAATTCTTTGGGCTATATTATCCTACCCAGCTCACTGGGCTCGCGTGACGACTGTAGCCAGGGTTCCCCGCAACTTACAGCGCGTAAGGGGCAGGGAACGCTGACATGGAAGGACTGAACGGCTCAATGACACGCCGGTGTCAGCGCGTGCCATTCTTGTCGGGACATCATCGCCAACACTTGGGCGACTGTGTGGCTTTCGAGCTTGATAGATGAACACTTGCGACTGGCAGATACAAGGTGCTATATTCTTTAACCCCGGTGCCAAGCTCTTTCTTGGCAGTCAAGGGCTACGGACCCCGGGGCAAAATGAACTGCACCGGCTTGGTATCTCATGACTTATCATACCCTTTGAGCAACCGACTGGGGAATGACTAGAGAAAAATATTCTAGTGTTACGAACATGCACCCTTGCAGGACCAGAGACCTAGAAAGGATAAAAACGGCCAGAAACGAAGTCTAAGACGAATAGGATCAAGAACAACCTCTAATAGTTACGTGACGGCTGATTATATAAGCCAAGAACGGAGTTCTATGGTATGCTTAGTTGAGACTAATTAAGCAAAGTTCAGCAACACCAAGCAGAAATAATCAGAACAAACATCAGTGAGAGAATAAATGAGCATATTGATAAACGGGTTTCCTACTCTATATGAATAATCATTACCTCAGTGATTCGTCTTGGCATTTATCTTACCTGTAGGCAAAACTTATCAAGCTTTGGCGACTATATCAATCTAAGAGCATCCAGTCAATCTTTATTACTCTTTGCTAACGTATAACTATCTAACATATTGTTAGGTGGTAGTGTTACTTGGTCACAGATAGTGGGGAAAACTACCCAACATCATTACGAGCTACCAGAACCAGCACATTCCTTCAATATCCTGTTAATATAAACCCCAGCACCTTTCGTACCCTTATTCACCTAAGAAACCATGGTATAGTCGTTATATGTTGCCGGTGATATGGTACGCAGTGTTTTGAATCTGAATATTGGATTAATGGTTGGTATTTACAGCGGCATACCTAGCTTAAAAATAATATTGGACTAGGTAATATGGTCGTAGGCGCTACCGGCTATAATACTCAAGGTGCTTTGCCATACAATTATAGCGAAACAGTCCCTGACGGCATTTATCCAAACGCTTGGTCCGGCGGGCCATACGTTTGCCACAGTCTTTTTCGACCGTGAAGAAGAAGAAGCAAAACTTGACCAAATCGTCTATCTTCACATCGGGACAACGAAACATGCAAAGGAGATCGCTAATCGAAACGGGCTCGCGCTCGCTCGAGTACCCGGAGACGCAGTTGGATTCGTGCTACTTTGGGACAAAGTGCTAGGGGACGATTTGGACTTTCCTTTGAGCACAGAGAAAACGGAATGCTCAATTATCCAAGTAATATTTGGCTTGCATTGAAATCGTCTCTAAGGCTGTCCTTTGCATGGGTCACCTTGAGAAACCCTACTATTACAGTCCAGACACAAGCTAGGAGGATGATGCATAGGTGTACTCAATAGGCTAATGCCATGGGTGTTGCTGCTTATCGGAATACCAGAAATTTCTTTTGGGCGCACATAGTCCGATCTATTGACCATTTTGGCGGATTTGGGACTATAGAAAGGCGACTCCCTTGAGTCGGGAGGAGACACGTTAAGAGGCAAATGAGGAGTACTAAGTATGTAGGTACCTAGTAGGGAAACCCAAACGAGGCCCACTTTTGTCATAGGGCTGATTTTAGAGGCTGCTGGTTTTCATGTGCTGCAGCGACCAGCGGGCCTACCACCGCAGTCCCGCGGCCGACGCGATTTAGGCGGAGCTTTCGTGTCAATACTGTCAATACTCTAGTCCCCGGAGGACGTTCACTACCAACCAAGCCTGCCTGTCCGGAAGGATCTTGTTTCGATGCCTTATCTCCATCGGGATACTGAATGTGAGGTACCATTCTTTTCACTCTCAAAGGATGTCTACGTGTGTGCCCGGTACGCAGCGTTTCAGGCTGTGAACGACCCCGCATTGCGGTGCAGCCGTGTCGCCATATAATTGGCAGTTGTCACCACACCTCAGCCGCAACCATCAAGATGGCCAGGGATAATCTCTCGACATCCGTCGCAAGGCCGAGTGTCAGCATTTCCACTTGGAAGGCTGATCTTAGGGAAAGCCGCATACTCCCATCGTTCCAGACAATGCCCGCGTCATGTATCTCCTTCGAATCGAACCCAACCGCGAAGTGGCTATTGTCGAATTCATATCCGGCTTACAAGTGCCCGAGTATGCCATACTGTCGCACACTTGGGAACCCAACCACAAGGATGAGGTGATCTTTCGCGACTTTGCAATCCTGGAGGAGGACCTAGACACCGGACAAGACGTCAGATTCTGCACACAGCGGGGGAAAGAGAAGACGGGATACCGAAAGATTAGATTCTGTGCCGAGCAGGCCGAGCGCGATGGCTTCCAATACTTCTGGATCGATAGCTGTTGCATCGACAAGGCCAACGCTGCCGAGCTTTCCGAATCGATTAATTCCATGTTCCGTTGGTATCAGGAAGCCATAAGATGCTACGTGTACTTATCCGATGTCTCCAAATCCAGTAACGATGATGGCTTGATGGGAACAACTTGGGAGGACGAATTTCAAGGGAGCAGATGGCACACTCGGGGTTGGACGCTGCAGGAACTTCTTGCATCGACTGTTGTCGATTTCTTCTCTTCCGATGGCCATCGACTCGGGGACAAGCAATCTCTCGGACAAATGATCCACGACATTACGCACATTCCGATCGAGGCCCTCCATGGTCGCCCACTTTCCAAGTACACCATAGCCGAACGCATATCGTGGGGTCGCAACCGCCAGACAACGAGAGGAGAAGACAAGGCCTACTCGTTGTTGGGCATAATGAATGTCACCATAGGCGCAAATTATGGAGAAGGGGAAGAGGGCGCGTTCAAGAGACTCCATCGCGCAATCCAAGATGATCAAGACATTCCGGTCCGCGACCCCGAACTTAAGAAGAGTCTTGATGAATGCCTTGCAAACCTGCGGCTTTCTGATCCGCAAGACGACAAATCGCGCATTGAGGCGACAAAGGGTGGTCTGTTCAAAGACGCCTACCGCTGGGTCTTGGAGAATCCAGACTACAAGAAATGGCGTTTTGATCAGGAAAGTCGCCTGCTCTGGATCAAGGGCGACCCCGGAAAAGGCAAGACTATGCTTCTCTGTGGACTTGTCGACGAGATGAGCCTTTCTCCGACTTCAAATCTGGTTCACTACTTCTTCTGCCAAGCTACCGACTCAAGACTGGACAATGCCGCAGCAGTCATTCGTGGCTTGATGTATATGCTTGCCAAAAACGATCGCTCGTTGCTCAAGCACGTGCACGAGGAGTGGAGGGTTGCGGGGAAAGCACTGTTCGAAGACGGCAATGCTTGGCAAGCCATCACCAGGATATTCACAGCCATGACGCAAGAGCAACAGACTGCGAAGCTCGTCTTTGTCATTGATGCGCTCGATGAATGCCTAAAAGACCTGCCCAAGTTGCTCGACTTCATCGCTCAGCAATCCCGCCATGGTCACGCGAAATGGCTGGTATCTAGTCGCAATTGGCCCTCGATTGAGGAGAAACTCAATGCCACCCATCAACGAGTACGACTCAGTCTAGAGCTCAACGAGGCGTCCGTAACTGCTGCCATCGAGACGTACATTCGCTACGAGACAGAGCTCCTTGCAAAATCCAAGAATCTTGATGAGCCCAGGAAAATGAAGATTCGAGAGTACTTGACCTTGAACGCGAACTACACGTTTCTTTGGGTAGCCTTGGTATGCCAACGACTCAAGGATCCAAAAGTCCGGCGCGGATCTATCATGAAAGAACTGCAGCAGTATCCTGCAGATCTGTATCCTCTGTATCAAAGAATGATGGAGACGATTGACACGCTGCCCGATGCCGAACTCTGTCACGAGATTCTTGGGGTTGTCTCGGTAGTTTACCGGCCCATCGACCTTCGCGAGCTCAACGTTCTCTTGGAGTCAAATTCCCTTGACGATCTCGATGATCTGAGGGAGGTCGTTGATTCATGCGGCTCTTTCTTGACTATCAGAGATAATACTGTTTACTTTGTACACCAGTCTGCCAAAGACTTCTTGGTGACCGAGGCAATCCAGCTTGTTTTTCCTCGTGGAATCAAGCATATGCACTTCTCCGTTTCCAAGGCATCAATTACGGCACTCTTGCAAGGTCTCCATCAAGACATCTGCGCTCTTCGGAAGCCGGGCACATCTGTCGAGGAGATTTCATCTAAATCGCTGAGTTCATTAGTACCAATACAATATTCTTGCGTCTACTGGGTAGACCATCTCACCGACGGAGAGTTGCACAATGGTTATATGGACTCCATCCGCAACTTTCTGGAGCAAAAGTACCTCTATTGGTTAGAAGCTTTGAGCTTAATTCGTGCTCCGATCAGCATTCCCGCACTATCAAAGCTTTCGCGGTTTATAAAGGTAATATCTTTTTATTAGGTGTGGCAAAAGACTAATTTAACATTGCCAGGAGTTTCCACCAAACGAATGTTTCTCATTGCTTGTAAACGATGCATTGCGGTTTTCCCAGTATTACGGAACTATAATTAGCCAATACCCGCTTCAAACATATGCTGCAGCGCTTGTTTTCAGCCCTTCAAAGAGTGTAATTTGGAAATTATTCCAAAAACAAATGCCGGATTGGGTTTCTTTCAAGCCGCGAACCCAAGAACATTGGAGCGCATTGCAACAAACATTAGAGGGTCATACGGATTATGTCCTGTCGGTCGCATTTTCACCGGACGGCCGGCAGGTGGCATCGGCCTCATAGGATAGCACAATCAGAATATGGGCTGCCGATACAGGCATATTACAGCAAACGCTAGAGGGCCATAAAGATTCCGTCAATTCGGTGGTATTCTCCCCCGACGGCCGGCAGGTGGCATCAGCGTCAAACGACACTATAGTACGGATCTGGGCTGCCGATACAGGCATATTACAGCAAACGCTAGATGGCCATACGGATTATGTCCAGTCGGTCGCATTTTCGCCGGATGGCCGGCAGTTAGCATCGGCGTCAGACG